GATTAGAAATTACAGTAAAAACAGAAACGATTGAAAGTAAATCAGTTTATATTACATTATTATATGAGAGAGAAAGAAATGAGGTTTAATGTCCACTCGACACAAACTAGGTCATTTCGGGACTAACATATGGTTTAATTTTATTTCAATAATTCGCTTGCGTGTAGGGGTCTTTAGTAGTGGGAGGAAATCGGAGAAAACCCACAAGGCTGGACAGGCGACCCTACTCCTTGTCACGTACAACCGGGGATTCAAAACCACGCCAGCTGACAGGCCTTATGATACAGTGCACACATGCTAACTATTCGGCCATCCAACCCCCCCATATGGGTTGCGACCCATTTGTGTCCATTTCTAGTTGCCAAAGAATAGCGATTTAGCACATTTAAGAATGGGGCTGATGTCCTCACATCCTCAATCCCAAAATAAATAGATGCCCCTTGTTATATATAATTACTTACACATTAATCTTTCTTTTTTTTTTTCTTTTTTTTTTAATGTTATACGTCAAAAAAATAATATCATTTTCTCCAAAATCTGTGGGGATCATGGTGGGGGCTAAGTGGGTAAGACGCTGGCTCGCTAGCCTGGTGGCCGGGTATTCGATCCTGGCATTGACCGAGGAAGTTCATCCAGATTTTCCAGCGTGGTTCCCCCTTGTCAGTAGGCCGCAGTGCCGCTGTCCAGGCAAAATTTCCCTCATTGCACACTGTATCGCATATGCCAGTCTTCATTTGCCCAATTCGGAGTAGAACCGTAGGACGTTAACCCCAAATCATTTCATTTCCAAAATCTGCAGAGCTGTTATCATAAATACTTCATTTTCCACATTACTTCAGTAAAATGCAGGCCTACACACGACTGCTTACACTTAGAAATAAATCAATGAAAAATTTATAAAGTTTAAAGGGCGAATAGCTCTATTCTGAGGAACCTTAAAATAGCTGAAAAGTCGAACATGGTTCTAAAAGAAAAAGTAATATGATTTTATATAAACTGATTTATATCCAATTTTTAAATTCTGTATTGTAATTTCTAATCAATAATTATGTTCAGCGAAATATGCGAACAGATCAAGTTGAATGGCAGTCATTTCGGCCTGCTTAGTCCATTAGGGGTGTTTGTGTGGTGGTGGGGGTGAGGAATCAGCCGTTGTTAATTACTTCCTCATTGTCATCTGGGATATGTTTTTCTTTGGTCATTACAATTGCCGCTCAAAACCATTATGTCCACAGAATACATGTGTCGTGTATTGATTTAAAAATGTTCATTGTGTCTTAAAGGACAATATTGGTGTCAGCCATTATCACATACATGATAGAACTGGTTAAACACGTTCAAAATACAATTTTAACACAGAGACTTGATAATGACTTGTGAAATCTTGTTGAAACGTCGCAGTGAAATAAACCTTAGTAATTGTTATCAATAAATAGGGTATTATTCGATCCTGGTTTGTTGGTGCTTGCATTGGGAGTAAAAATAAACAATGCAAATCACTGAATTCCCAACAGACACAACCATAATATTGATCATTAAAGTTGGACGAGCGTAGGGCCTACTTGGGTGGCAACTGGCAACAATATATGATCACATATATATGTCTTATCCTTTAAATGTAGTCTCAAGGGGGTAACTTGTTGTGTAAATAATAGTCCAGTATATAAATTCAATAAATATCCTGTCATTAGTTTTTTGTTTATTTTTTCAAATAAAACAAAAACCAGCACAGTATTTAAAAATACTTTGATTTGATGCGAAAAATCAGGCAGTTCTATATTTTGAACAAGCTCAAAAACACAGAGGGAAATAAAATCCTTTAAATCGTGATTATTATGTCACATTATTTCTTAGTTTTTGACTTTCAGAGTTTTTTGGCCGATCAAAGACACCAATTATGATGTCCAGCTAGATTGTGTAAAATCATTTATGAAAATGTATATTTACTTTTGTTAATGTTTATTCAGTTAGGGCTACATATCTCAATGATTCATGCATAATGCAAAATGAATATATTGAAAATTTAATTCACATTACTTTTATTCTGAGAAAAGTTATCACTGTTTGGAGTTTTAACAATATGTGGCATTGATTGCTTATTATCGTCACAATGGTACTTGTTATTTGAGACTTTGCCTTCCTTCTCTATTTTTAAATTAAATCATTAAATGGCCGATGGCCTAGAGAGTTGATTATTGGCTTGTCATGTTAATAAATGTTTAGATAATAGTTTATAGATAAACATTTGAAGCAAAAATAAAGACCTGCAATAGGCAGATTTAGCTGTTATATAATGCATCTTTATGAATCTCTGAAAATAATTTTTGCATTTCACCATCTGATAAAAAAAAAGACTGTAGTTTATCTGCTACTGTGTGGCACCATGATTTTTAAATGCTGTTGTCTGAGAAAATGAACAAACCCATATATTTGATGTCTGTTGCCCTTGGGGTGTATCCAACAATATGGTTTCTTTGCCAAATATAACACAAAATGAATAGTACTGTAATGATATACATCTAAGATCAGTTTGTGTTGTTTGTTGAACATACCAGGTATTTATCATATGACAAGATCAGCAATAAAGAATAAAATATTGTCTTTTTTTTTTAACTGAACTATTGTAGGTATATCTGAAGCACATTGTCAATGTTTACAAAAGAATGATCAATGGGCAGGGTGGACGGAAATGATAATGCAATATTTAGTACCTGAATTTCAGTTTGTTAGCATTGTAAACTCACCAAATGATAAGTAATATCAGGGGTAGTAGAAAGAGTAAGCATACTCTGTCAATTGCACTACGTCTGTCATTACTTACAGCCAAATGGAGCAACAGTTTGAAAGTGGATTCTCAGAGCCAAAACAACTTGTTTAATAAACAAAAGTTCAGCAACCGTTGTTATCTATGTCAGATCCTCACATCAGGTGTTCTAGAAAGTGTAAGTTAACATTGTCACACGCATGGCATTGGTCAACTATTTATAGCCGAAAGCAGGGATACCTTGGATTAAGATTTCAGAAGTCATATTATGTCAGTACTGCATAATCAGGGCAACAATTTTCGATTATCTGATACTGACAATTTCTCAACATAATATTTAGCTATCATCTCCAGAAATAGATATGATAAAAAATATTGTGAATGAAAACTATAGATCAATAATAGTGTGTATGCAATATAGAATGATTCACTATGACTAATATAGAATACATTATACCATGCACTATCTTATCATTATTTATTTTATAACATATTATAAATGAATAAATCAACTCAATGACACAAGAGTAGAATTGCATGGTGAAACATCTGACTTTTTGACTGAAATTCAAAATTAACAGAAAGGTCCCCCTTGTTTTTACCACCTAGGTGTAATAATTAAACTATCTTCTTTCTTTTCTGGGGGTGGGGGAAGGGTATTCTATCCAACCACATGTTATATCATAAAGCTTAGATTTATGGTTAGTTATAGATCTACATTTTTCATCCTAATTACAAGGTTACGATGCAAAAATGGTCTCTTAAGTAGCATTATATATAGGTCAATTTTACCTTTCTTTCACTGGTAACCTGACTTCAAAGTAAACACTACATATAGCCACATACTGGTGTTAGCCATTAATAAACATGAACCGAATTTCCTTTGATCTGTTACAGTACATAAAATGTCCTAATGTTATCGCAAAGGCATACACAAGAAAATTAATGGCCCCCTAATTAGATCAATTAATCGCTGGTCTGGCTCATTTAATTAGCTTATATTTTACCTACTAATTAATTGGTGTGTAGAGGGTATTTAGTTATTCTATTTAATTAGTGTACCTCATAATATCACTGATTCTAAAATGATCTTTAAGCTTGGATAAGTAAATCACGGTTCACAGTGCCAAAGTTTCCATTTGATTTGAGTAAATATGTTTTTGACATGCCCATTTTGCATAGAATCAAAATAATTATATGTATCAAATTTTTAAAGTAAAAATATAACTTTGGACATAGGCCACTGAGCGGCACATTATTGGTGAGAATATAATTTTTGTGACTAAACTGTTACATGCTCATTCTAATACAATTAATGAACTTTCTGCTTTGATTTAAATGTCAATATTACCTGGCTGGGAATATTGAAACACAATAATAATATATTAATACTTTTTATCAATAAATGTGTCATTTTATGTCATACATAATAATAAATCATACAGTATATGAATCTATACCTACTTACTTAGCTTACTATAACTTTCAACTATTTTACAAATAAGAATTTTGCAGGTATTATTAAACTGCAAATCAGTCCATCTTTATTAATAAAAAAATGTATTTGTATTCCTATGTTATCCAAAAAGAAAAGTGACTTAAAACTGTGCAAATTTGGTGTAGACACACCATTATTATTAATTACATGTAGCTTTGATATCTCTTATTTGATATCTATGAGAAAATATAATAGTTCAAAAACTATATTGAAACTTTCATTCAAATGATTGAAGATTGGTTATCATCATTTAAGCATAGCAATGGTACTTGATAAACGAGACTAAGTCTTGATTATCCAAATTTATCGTTAAATTTTTTAAAATCTCGTGGATGTCCTAATCCATTTAATTTTGACAATCCAATGGTCTAGAAAGTTGACTATAGGCTTGGCTTTTCAAGTGAATAAAATAGTAGTTTATATAACATTTGAAGCAAAAATAAGACCTACAATAGGCAGATTTATTTCTTATATAATGCATCTTTAAGCAACTGATATTAATATAACTTTTAAAAACTAACATTCAGTAATAATGGTTTCCTGCCTAGCTACTGCGTGTAACAGTTACTAAACATCACTTTCTACATCTCCTTTTGGATTTTATAACTCTAAATGACAAAAAAGAAGAGAAGGAATTAAAACCCTTGATTGTAACACTGCCAATAACACCAGATCAAGTCAACGTCAGTTTATTTCTGACAGCAATTGTTACTAAAGTTTCGGTTAATATGTACTTACCAAACAGTTTACTGTTAGTTTTTGTTCGTAGGTATTCTGGTCCTTTATCCAGCAATTGTCTTGGGTGTTTACCCATGGTACAAGACGTCACCAGTAAAGCCATTACTGTTGGTTTTCTGTGTCTATATTACATTACAGTTGTCTACAATCCCAACAATATCAAATTAATATCCCGCTTTTTCATGATAATTTGAACTGCACCAGCAGGTATATTACGACTGTTTTTCTTTTATGATGTGTCTTCACCTCACTACCGACTTCGTACTTCCCGTATGATACGTCATGCTGTGGGATATACCAGCGTATTAGTGGGTTGCTCTGTTCTAAAAATAGCACACAGGTGAGTTAATTGAAATGGTGACATGACTTTAATATTGATTTTTTTTTTTATCCCGACCGGGATCGTTTATACTCAGGACATGCCTCTCTACCGATTGTTTACATTTGTCATGTTTCTTGTTTTGTTTGTTGTGATTTCAAACCCTCAGAACGTTCCAACAACCAGAAATATAAAGCATTTTTTTAAAAAGGGGGATTTATTATAAATATTAGTTCCTTCAAGGATCAGAGTAATACACTTCTTTATAAAATGGGGTCCCGTGATTAGGCGATTTTTATAACTGTCTTTCCACTGGAACCATCAGTCAAAGGAAATAAAATATATTTTTAAAATGCGATTGATGTTTGAGAAAAATAGTGTAACAAAAAAAAAAGGTTTTCATATTCTCAAGAGCTCTATGACCATAATAAGATCATACGCATTCCGTAGAAATTTGGTGTAAATCATCCGTTGATTATGGTGGCTGATTGGTATCATGTCATGATGTCGCCCTTCATAAGGCGACAACCCGATATCACAACATTTTAACCCGACATCAGAAATTTTTTTAAACCCAACATCAGGACAACCCGACGTCACAACATTTTCACCCGACATACAACATTTTCACCCGACAATATACGACATTTTCACCCGACACGACATTAGAAATGTTGTAATGTTGAATAAAAATGTCGTATTGTCAGGTTTAAATGTTGTGATGTCGGGTTGTCGTAGTGTCGACATGATGTCGGGTTATCAGCCATATTCCTCTCAAAACTATGATTATGTCCACTGATCCTGGCGTTGGTCAAGAAAGTTCCCCAGGATTTTGCTGCGTGCTTTCTCCATGTCGGTAGTGCAGGACAAAGGGCCTGGCAAAGAACCGTGTTAGTATTGTATATGTACATTGGCGTGCATATAAAAGAATCCTCCACAGTTGAATTTCGATGAAAAAATGTCATGTTGTGATGTTGGGTTGTTATGGTGTCGGGTTAAAATGTCGTGATGTCAGGTTGTCGCCCATGAAGGATGACACCACAACATGATACTAATCCGACAACTTAGTTGATGGCAAAAACTGGAAACAAATGGAAACAAAACTGTAACAACCAATAAAATTGTAATGATATCATAATTTTGTGTTATTAAATTGGGGTTGTGGGTACTTTGGATTGGGACATTTTAATGATGTTCAAATATATTGTGGAAATAATATATTTGTTAAGGACAATTTATTGACAAAGGATGTGTTATAATATGATAGATTTTGTAACGTTTACCGTCCATAAATTGGAAGTGCATCTTGGCTACTTGCAATGATAGATTTATTGTTGATGTGATAATATTTTCTTGAACCCAATCCGTCCACCGACAAGACCCATCTCCCTGTAATCATCCTGAGCTTATTCAAGTACTCAAACACACGAATCTATGTAATTGAGAGCTCGCACATACATTACTAGTTACTGCCCCTGTCATCGAATCCCTGTTATAGATCTACAGGCCATTATTTGCATAGTTATTGCTCTTGTAATCGCTCCACAAGCTAGTTTTTTTTATACGCCTCCATTTCCATGTGGACGTATTATGCCGTCGCCCCTGTCCGTCCGTCAACTCTAAAAGTCACAATTTTAATCAGATTTTGACGAAACTAAAAATATAGGTCTGTCTCCCAAAATCTCGGTTCCTTTCGATAGTGGCAAGTATCGGACCGGATTATGGCCCCTGATTGTTCGAAAAATCACGTTTTTAGCTTGTGGACAATGTAAAGGTCACAATTTTCATCTGAGGCGACACTTTTTTTGATTTTTCTTTGCGTGATAGACAGAAAACTACAAATTGTGTTATGAAGAAATGCCATGGTGCCGTATTAGCCTATTTTGGCTACATGTACGGCATTTTCTGATACTGGCAATAGTAGAAAAATACTAATATTTTAGATCATCGACTTATGAAACGCGAACGTTTCATCGAATAAACGAAGACGGTAATTTATTCTGGAATATTACTGACCTGAACTTCAAGTTGGTACGTGAATTAAATACTGGTTAACAGTGATACATAATATATTGTCACACACTTATTTTGTTTTGTTAACAATACCCTGTTAAAGTAAACTTCTAATATTATTTGTTTTTTGGAGTTTTTGGGGGTTTTTTTTAACCGACCTACCCAACCAATATGATAACCCTGTGCTGAAAAAAAAATCTAATGTTTATATTTATTTTTATTTCGACCTACCCAACCTAAAGTGCTGCCAAAAAATCCGTAAACGTTTGGCCTGATTTTCATGAAACTAAAAATGCATGTTTATAACCCAAAGATCTTAGTTCCTTTCGATATTTACGCATAGCGGATCTTAACTTCCTGAATTATGGCCCCTAGTTGTACGAAAAATCTTGTTTTTGGCTTGTGGTCCCTCTAGGTCACAATTATTATCTAATTTAAAAAAACAACGTTCGAATATATCACCATTACACCATAATGATGCCTGATTTCGAATTTTGTGAAAATCGGACCAAAACTGCCAGACAAAATTTTGAAATACATGTTTATAACCCATAGATCTTGGTTCCTTTCAATATTTGTGCATATCGGACCACAACTTTCTGGATTATGGCCCCTGATTGTATGAAAAATCACGATTTTAGCTTGTGGACCCTCAAAAGGTCATAATCTTTATCCGATTTTAATAAACGTTTAAATGTATCACCGTTACACCCAAATGTTGGTTTAGTTCGAATTTCGTGAAAATCGGAAGAAAATTGCCTGACAAAATGGCCGCAAATACTGTAATAGTATGCAATACCAATGTGTTGGACCCTCTAGAAGTCACACTTTTTATCCGATTTGGAAGAAACTTAAAATATATCTTTATATCCCAAATACCTCAGTCCTTTTCGATATTTGCGCATTTTAGACCATACCTTCCTGGATTATGGACCCTGGTACGAAAAATCGCTTTTTTTTGTTTAGCTTGTTCTCTATCCATCTCTTGCAAAAGGTGGGCGTATCTTGTCTGGCAACCGCTGGGTTTTTTTTATTCCATCGTTTGACTATCACTAAGGATTAAGTTAGACGAAACCTATCGCAACTCAGAGTAGAGCATCAATTATTTCCAGAGTTATTACCCTTGACATCAAACTTTATCCAGTATCACTCTTTATAAATTAAGTTTTCGAGATATTTTTCAAACTTCATGGGATTGTTTCGCTATAGTTATAAGGGTAACTCTTTCAGGGTTTTGAAGAGTTTCTTTTTTCACGGGATTACTTATTTGCTTTTTGACATTGAAATTCAGAGCCGTGTGTCATTTACTTGCAGGTGTATCGTCATCAGATTCCTCATACCATCTTGCTGGGATTGTTTGACTTAGTGGCGGCTGCAGGATATTTATGGCGCATATCTGGAAACGAATACAATATTAAATTTTACAACCTCAATTTACATGTTACATAGGAATAGAATGATTTTTTTTTTCTATATTTGGCGGTGTGGAAAACCCTACCAGGATCTGTCACTGATTGGACAAACAAATTAATAGATGTTATTGTATGACTTTCCAAGTATTTTTGAATACTTTTGTTGAATATTTTTGTTCTTTTTCTGATCATGTTTTGTTTCAAATAAATTAATATCTACTTGCCTCTCTAAGACTAAGAGAAAAGTGGATTGAAATGAAATGGGGTAGACCTACGTCCCACTGGTCTGCTCCAGTTGTGCTAATGTCAAGGTGGGCATACGTCATACAGTGCGCCATACGACCCACTCGGCAAACCTCAACAGATTCCAGTACCCCACATCTAATCTCGGCTGTATGACCAAGACCGCCATTAGAACTACTTTCAAGTTCCCGGATTACAATGGCGTTGTCCATGACGACTAATGACGTCATTGATGACGACGTATTTGAAGAATGTTTTATCATACAAAATTTTCAAAGTTTGAAGCTGTTTTTCTTTCAAGTTTATCCGATTTTCTTTAGACAAGGACAAATTTGCACTGAAAATTCTACACACTCTTCGAACGACGCAAATTTGAGAACTTCTTTCTAAACGCGGGCAAGTTTCCCTTATAAGTAAACCGGTGCCGCATCGCAAATGTATAGGCGTAGGTGCATATCACTTACTGTCATACAGCCGAGGCTAGATGTAGGGTTCCGGAATCTGCCGAGGTTTGCCGAGTGCTATACGGTCCAGTCTTATATCGAATTGCAACTTCTGCCATTCATGTCAATGTCTATAAGTATAATAACACTGAATCTAAACGTTGTCTCTTGGCCCTCTGTCCTGCACCAGTGACAATACCGAATCCTTATAAATATGCAAAATTGGGAATGGAAAGGTGAGCATCTATGTTATTTTTGAAAAGAATGGCAGACTACAACAAGCAGTGCCTATTTGGAGCGTCATAAATCGTAGTCGAGTTTCAACCCCACCTTCGAGATTTGACGAGAAGCCAGGACCAGAACATGTAAACCCTACGGTACGCTAATGCGACCAATTTTGAATGGCATCTCAACCGTGCGCAAGGCAGCGGGAGAACCGGTTAGTTAGAATGTGCTATAATGGGACATCGTACCTGGACAGATCAGCCGACAAGGACAGCGATCTATGTTCAGTCGTGTCAACCAGACACACGCTCCATAACAATGCGTGTCTCCAATCGTATATAAAGGAGCGTGCCATGAAAACAAGCTTATTCTGGTTGCGAGTTTGTAGCTAGAATTTCATATGTATGTCTTTATAAATACACCTGTATATGAGTTTGCTTATAATACAAATTGAACTTATTACTTTGCTAATAATAAAGAATTTGGTCCATTTCACATTAGGTTAAATATTCAGAAAGCTTATTTTATTTGCATTAAAAGTATTGTGAAAATTTCAAACGGAACTGCGCACTTTGCAACTGCGCAATACTCCCGGATACAGATACGAGTCGAGCATTAGGCTCGGATAAGCTTGCCTACTATACACGCCACACGAAGGTAACCATGCGTCGGCAGCAGCATCTAAATATTAATGTCACCTGCAGATTTCGTCAAGGTCACGAGATGTAAACAGGGCTAACCCTGCCCCACAGAGTAAAAATTACTCCAAGACCTAGCCCACAATCCTCGGCAACAATCACGTGCTCTAACCGTGTTTTACATCTCGTGACCTTGACGAAATCTGCAGGTGGCCTCAATATTTAGGCCTGACTAAGTGTGCTACGCCCATACTAAAACACTATTTATAACTCCCTATGGCTACGCCATAGAGCTATAACTCTATGGGCTACGTCCATCATAGGGACTCAGACTAGCAATTATTTGCCCATTGACTTCAATGTTAAATGACTGTAACATCACAGGCTGTAGCTTTTTGCTCAACATTCCGTTGGTTCCAATCTTTATAGGCACAATGGGGACAACATTTGGCAATCTCCTCATCATAATTTTGTAGGGGGTTGACCATTTAGATTTTTTGCTACACAGATTTGAAGTTGACAGGGGTGAAAATCTCACTTCCGACACAATGATTGCTCTGCAGAAAGACACTTTACACCCCCTATCCCTCCGCTGTAATATCATCAGTATTACCCAAAACTACTATGAAATTGCAAATTTGATCCCTTTTCTCCAATTCTAGACCAAAAAGTCAACCCAAAAATGCAGGAAGAGGGGAGAAAAAAATTAAGGGAAAAATTGTCTATTTATAACTCGCACTACATTCGTTAATTACTAGTCTTAGTCCATAGATACTACTAATATGGCCTCACGGCGAGAAAGATCACTGCTCATCCTCTGTTCTTACCGAAGCAGGGCTGACTCCAACATAAAACCGTGCATGCTACCGTGTGCAAGTTTGACACCGAAAATCTATTAGTAAATTAGATAAATGCAAAGCGAATCAAAAGAATATATTATTTTATAAAAGCAAAAAAAAAAAAAAAAACGAAATGAAATGGGTTTTTTTTTTACGCCCCACTCCCAGTGTTCTGCTCCGATTGCAAGCTACCGTGTGCAAGTTTGACACCGAAAATCTATTAGCAAATTAGATAAATGCAAAGCGAATCAAAAGAATATTTTATTTTATAAAAGCAAAAAAAAAAAAAAAAAAAAAAAACGAAATGAAATGGGTTTTTTTTTTACGCCCCACTCCCAGTGTTCTGCTCCGATTGGTCTAAAAAAAAAAAAAAGAATTTAACAGAATATTATTGTAGGCCTTATTAAAAATTTTACATGTCATTATTTTTATCGAGCCATAAATTGGAATATTTAGTTTAGTTGCCGTTTAAGGTCAGATTTTATTAAATTTTATTTTATTGCATCAACGTTTACATAAAATCAAAATACCTATAACATGTGAAGGGAGATAAATCTTGAAGTTCAGTAAAATTTGACATTCGTCTGACCGTACTGCTGTCAATGAGCATAATAAATTAAGTTTATAAATAAAACGGTACCGGTATGTACAAAAGGAATAAAATATAATACTGCATAGAGGTTAACTGCCCGAGATTTAATTTGTGAGCAAATATGGGGGGTACAGTTGCGGGGTTAGGTGTGTATAGGCTTACCTCGGGAAATATTTTATTCCATAAATTGGCATAAAACATAGGCTTATTAAATAGCAATGGTAAAAATGTTGGAAAAGAAAAAAATAATAATTTGGTTGAAAGGCATTTACCAAGCAGAGCAGAATTTTCACACTTTGACTATTTCTGATTTATGTCAGAGCCTATCTTTATATGGTAAAGAAATCACAACAAAAAGGCGCAACTAATTCTGTTCTTATTTGCAACATTCATTCATCTCATACATGTACTTTCAAATAGATTCACACGATTCGCTTACTGGCCTATCCTACATGCCGTTGAAAGAGCAACACAAACGCGAAACTTCACAAACTACCAGCAGGTCATGTAATAATAAAAACCTGATTTTAAAAACTTCAGAAATATTAGAAAATGCAATAAACACTTGTCGGCCTTGTTGTAAGCTATGCATTCATTACGATTTGAAATGTTGTCCCATGAATTGTTCCACAATGTTACACTTTCACAGCTTTGTACAAATAATTCATTATTTTATGACAAACCCCTTATTCACTGGTTGTAAATCGTTGCGTATTTTTTGCTTTTGCCGATTTGGATTTTACAACCTCTGGAAAGTGGTTCGATCCTTGTGGTTCCGATCCATGATTAAGCCATGACATCACAAATTCTTTCGAAGGAAGTTCTTTTGGAAGCTGTCGTGGGTATTGTCTTTTTGTCGGCATTATATTATGTGGATGAAGTTCGCATATTTCTGTGGTATCTATACACAAATCACCGCCAGTATTATTTGTATTAAATCTCTGTGAAGAATAAGTTTTGGCATGATAATTACTGGAATAAATAAGATCTTTGCGGTCACTGCCTCTTCCGTGCATTAAACAAGGTTTTGAATTCATCAACTTTGGCAAGACGTCTGAGTGTTCATCATTAACATTAGCACGTGCCACCATATCGATAACGTCATCAGGATCCCTCTCAACCCGTCGGTTTCTTCGTTTGTCCATTTTTACAGGTTTGAATCTGAATAAAGGAGAAAGAAAGGGAAATTGTTATGGACTGTATTTTTTTTCACATGCTACTTTTTTTTTTAAAAAACATATCATTATTTCACGTAATAGCCCAGTATGCCATCCAGATAAACAGTCAAATCTGAAATGTGCGATCATGCTCAAATTTATTTCAGTAAATATTCGATTCTAGTTATTAGTGTCTTATGATTTAACGCATCCAATTGTCTGTGTTCTTCAAATAAATTTTATACAGATTTATTGGTATTCAGTTAGGTTCATAACAGTGTTTACAGTATAAAATAATGGACATTAACATTTATTGAGATTTGAGATAACTGAAGCCACTTTGTGTAATTGGCTCTAAGCCTTTCTAACACTAACAACTTATAGATTAGTGATTAAAACATATCTTCCATATATACAGTAAATCTTTCCATAACCTAATATTGATTACGTCGACAATCTAACATAGATTACTATGATATAATGTATTACGGTTAATTCCCGAGTAATTTTAATGTAATGCAGGATTTGGCCCCGATGCTTAACATTTAAAGGGGAGTATCCAGTGAATTAATTATAAATTATTCTTTGACGATATAGTTAATGATCTATTAACAGTTTATTAATTAGGAACTAAAGCATAATCATTAGGCCTACTTTTAGGTTTTATATACAATTGTTATGGAAGATCTCGTTAGCTCAGATTTTTTTTATTTAGCTTATAATATAGTTGATTGGATGATACATAATATATTGTTTTTAGTATTTCATAAACAAAGTATCGGACGATGTCTAATTTTTGCTTTTCCAATGCTACACGAGATTAATGAATTTCAAGCCAAGCATATTCATTGCTTGACTTCTATTTCATTGTATTTCATTAAACAGTGTCAAATACATGCATAAAACATCGAAGCAAAACTATTTACCTGTCGCCGATATCACAAACTTCATTTATCCGTGTAAGTTCATGTTTTCGTTTCTTGGCTCTAACTTATATCCGTATATTATAACATGTTTGGAAGGTATAAAATGACAGTGTTGTGGTGGTCAATTTATGACGACATATACTACCCAGACATGTACATGTAAGTAATTAAATATAATACACCATAAATAAATCTCTATATTGGCATACATACATGTACATCATGTATATACGAACTTTAAATTGAATAGAAAGTATAAGTTATTATCTGGATTATGGGCCCTACCTGAGAAGATAAAGGGACGTTATAAAAAAGAGATAAAGGAGCGTAAAAGAAAAAAAAAAGAAAGAAAGAAAAAGAATTTAGGCGTGTAGGCTAAACGAGATATAATAGATCAAATATATGTACGTGAATAGACGGTCAACCTATTAAATCTATGTATTGACTTCTATTTATGAATTTATATTGGTTTGTTGTGATCGATTGAACGTTGATAATGCAACTTGCTTTTATTATAGATTAGCCACATACTACATAAGTACATAAATGTCGCAATCAATGCCACTTGATAACAAATAGTCTAATTGAAATTTAATAGCAGGAAAATGTTTTCACTACATTATTTTTTGAAAATTAATTGCAAATCAATTCTATATATAAATTATTCATATATCGAAAATATAGGACAACAATAATCTGAAACAGAATCGATTTTGCAGCTCACTTACTATTATATATGGCTATTTGCTGGGCAACTCGCCTTTGTAATATAATGTCCATCAACAGATGATGTTAGAAATTTGGGGAAAGATTGTGCGGGGAAGGGGGTAAAATTAGAAATGCTGTAGAATTTTGTTTTGCGATTTTATAGATCGCAACCCCAATCCCCCGTTGTACCCTTTCCGACTTATCACAGCTATTGTATATTTATTTGGACGATTCTCTAATGTTCTGATTTAATGAAATTTGTGATGTGTTATTCAACAGAAGACATTGTTTTAACGGCAGTGAAGTGAAATGGGATTTACGTCCTATTGTTCTGCTCCAACTGGGCTAATGAAGACGGACATGCCATGCAGTGTGTTATGAGGGATATTTTGCCCGGACAGCGGCGCTATGACCTACTCTTATTTCGAATTCCAACTGTCAAGGGTTCTTTTACGTGCACGCCAATGTGTACACGGGACCTCGGTTTTTCGTCCCATCCGAACGACTACGCGTTGTCCCTTTCCAGGCACTCCGTCCTACATCACTGACAAGGAGGAACCACGCCGGAAAATCCCGATGAACTTTCTCGGTCAACGCAGGGATCGAACACGGAACCTCAAGTTAGCGAGCCAACGCCCTACTCACTGAGCCACCGTTTTAACTGCAATCACTTGCACCTAACATTTTGGAATCGCCGTGGCTCGGAGTGTCTAGGGCGTGTGCCGAAAAATGATTGGAGGGAGTGGGTAGGGGGGTCCGGCGTAACTGGACACGCGCCGGAGTGTAAGGCGCTGGCTCACTAACCAGGAGGTCCCGAGCTCTATCCCGGTGTTGGTAGAGAAAGTTATTCGACAGTTTCCAGTCTGGTTTCCCCGTGTCAGTGCCACATGACGGAGGGCCTGGGCATAGACACTTGGACGGCACATAAAATAGCCTTTGACAGCTTTAGCGCGTGCGCGTTGTATCATAAGGTCTGTCATTGAATCAACTGGTGTGGTTTCGATTCCGCGGTTGTACGTGACAATGAGTAGGGTCGCCTTTCAATCTCGTGGGTTTTCCCCGGGTCCTCCCACTGCTATAGACCTAGTTTGTGTCTTGTGGACTTTAAACCCCATTCGCTCTCTTTGACAGCTGAAATTTAAAGAAGAGTGCGAAAGCGCCTCTGTCCGTTATTCTCCTCATAGCAAACTGCATGACCTTATTTTTAGCCTCAGTTGGTGCAGTAAAGTAGGGCCTTAAACCCATTTCATTTTATTCCACTAATTTGATTTACTAAATTTAGAAAATAATTACGACAGCACAAATGATTAAATTATATATTCTAAAACATCACGCATGTTACATCAAATAATTCCATAGCAATCAGTTCCGGAAACGGGTACGATATAATTATGAAATATTCAGATTCGTAGCCATGGGATTCGACCGTTCAAAGTTAAGCGCATGACATCAGAAGATTTTGATGAATCGAGAAAAATAAGCCACATATTTCTTGTTTACGTTATTTTCATAGTAATCTATTAGTAATAACAACGCCTATGATGCTTGACAATATTGTTTAAACTTATCTGGAATCAGTAAGATGTGGTGAATATAAAGTTACATTCCCATTTTTATAGAAATCTGATCAAAATTCTCTACCCGAATGCATACGTGGTCGATTACCCTGCGAATAATATGCTCATTTGGGTTAAAACATGCAGTTTCATTTAAGATCTCATGAATGTAAGTCCCGAAATTTCATTAAATCGGGTAAAAAATGTAGACCTCGGGGTGCTCACAAACAATTATTGCGAGTGTCACCACATGTCAATTCCGCACATGCTGTGAGAAGATATAGCTGTAGGAAATAAGTCTGCAGTTATTCCGAACACTCTAGAATTAAAACAACTTTGTTATATACTGAATGGTGTTGCTCTATTCAACATGCCATCCCCATGTTCGACATTGGGACACGAACATTTTTCTCTCTCAAAGTCTCTACGTGTGAAGATGTGCTATAGCCCCAACACACAAAATGCTTTAATAATGATAATAAATACTTACTGCAATTTTGTCCTCATACCACAAATGAAAACTTCAACTCCTGAATCCATCATGTTTAGTACACGTAATATAATAGATTACGGGGTAATTTATCTTTGCAAGACACAATCTCTTTTTCAAATTGTGTTGTATTAGAATCCAAATTTGCAGTCGCCATTAACCCTTCACCATTAAACCAATTCCAGCTAAATGAATCTGTATTGCTTATAACACCACATTATTGAATATTGGTTTTCCATTATACAAAACGTTTAAACGATACGAAATGTAAACTGCTGAATTCTATCGAGCTAGTTATTTTATATTAAGAATGATTGCTGGGATTTAAAACGGGTGGAAGTCATTGCCGTTATAAATATATTGAAACGGAATGGGGTTTAACGTCCTTATTTTTCTGCACCGACTTGACTAATACAGGTGGGCATATGCCATTAATGTGGGCTAGGAGGGAAATTTGGCTGGGACACCAACCCTACGACCTACTCTTATTTCGAATTCCAACTGAAAAGGGCTCTCGTTTTTTTTTGTGTCCCATTCGAATGACTAGACGCTGTCTTTACCAGGACCTCTGCCCTGCACCACTGGAAAATCCCGTGAAACTTGTTCGGCCAAGACCAGAATTGAATCCCGGAACTTCGGAATAGTGAGCCAGCTCTTACTCACACATCCACAGATTGTCAGTCGACTAGGTGTCAACACTGAAATATGGTACATGTAGTATATTATTTTCACAAAGCTTTTTATTAATTACAATTTAACAAATCTCATCAGAACAGAACTAAAACAGTTAATAATAGTTCTTAAAAATAAAGTTACGGTTTCATACTCAGAAACAGATAAAAACAAGCGGACAAAAAAGGATTCAAAATGATCTCTTGATTAAGAATGCACAATATCTTACCAATCACTGATTTTAAATAGATGGAAATGTAAGGCCAACTGTGCTATGTATCCATCATTACACGGGGTTTAGAATTGGGTTTGGGTTGCATAGTCCACGGAGGAAGGTATTGGTCTTATTCTATATAAATACCAAAGCTGGCGTACAATATCAGACGTAACCACTGGACCACAATTGTTCTCTAACATTTTTAAAATAAACACGCCGTCACCTTGTAGATAATCTGTTACAAATTTCTTTACATGGCCTTTGTCTTGTTCACCACACAGGACATTCAAAAGTCTCAAATAATCTTCAACAAATGATATTCGCTTTGAAACAACGGTCATTAAACGAAACCATCTTAACAAACTTAAAAAAGACATAACAGATACAAAAACTAACCAGAACCACAGAAAGAGAAATATTTTTTCATTAAAAAGATTAATTGGCAGAACGCACTGTACAGTAAATCTCAAAACATTGTTCATACTTCGTATTACTAATTCACATAATGTCTGAAGTGGAAAACGGTTCGATATACCCCAGGCCCGTTTGGTTAATAATTTCTTAATCAGACTACTCCCATAAAGACTGAACCAACCTCCAAGAAATTTATCCAACATGAAAAACTGACACACGACATTCACAGAATAGAGTATTTTAGAAATGAAATAGATTATAATAATGTACCATCTCTTTCCCCCGTCCCAGGCGATATACCTCTGTTTTTCCGGATCACATCTTGGAGGAAGTGTTAAAACTTTCTTGTAAAATTCCAACCATTTATCTAAATGTTCGGCCATTTGCTTCATCCTTTCGTCGTGTTTTTCACAAGGTCCGTATTGAGAATTCACTGCCAAAGTTACATATGTTGAAACGTTAAATCCTGTGGCATTGGACATAATCCGCCATAAAACATAAGGAATCTTGAATAAAAAGGCCATAAACAATAAAATGATTGGAATCCACTGATAATAGGCTAATTCCTTTGCTCCCCTCTTTTCGATCTCTTTTGGGATTTCTTCCTCCATATCCACATAGTAGGTGTTATTCATCCAACAATGAGCAAGGACGTATGCATTATAAGTTGGTTTATACTCCGGGGGAACCAAACATTGTATAGCATCACCGACAAACTGTTTACTACCGACTATAATGGTGAATATTACTAAGATGAATACGGTATAAAGGTGGTTTAATCTGTCTGTCCAACCATCATCATTGGAAGAAGACAGTCTTGAAAAAACAGCATAGCTAAGTACTCCACTGATGCTGTAAAAGAAAATATAATATTTAGCAATTTCAATAAACAGTTTGCCAGCCCCCGCCCCCTCCCGCAATAAGCGAAACGCGACCATCACCATCGTCAACGTAAGAAATAATGACATATGTCTACATAGAACTGTAGATATATACTCTGAAATAACTATATCTGGATCTGATAATTTTATCGTCGGTGTCGCGATGCCAGCTTTTGACAGAAGTCAAGCGGTGGGCAGGGTACTAGTATGTTTACACTTTTATACACACATTGTACCATGACACGTCCTTATAGTCAGTACTGGAGGATCGCACCACACGCATTATGAAAAACTTGTGGACAACAGGACTCACAAATTGCACAGGCACTGCAAATGCAAGCAATAAACAAAAACCGTATATTAGCCATATCAATTTGATGGATCCGGGGACAAGTACACCCGAATTAGCTCAATTCGTTTTCATGATTTATATGGGTATTCTTTGCGACACGCATTTTCTTGACAGCGGCAGCTCGTTGCGATTCCACTTGACAGGCGTACAGACTAACAGAAGGCCCCCTACAAAATGGTTGTACTAGTACTACTCCTATCGATAATTTCTGTACTTACGACATTTTGTTCACATCACCTTCTTCTCTGAACTAAAAGTTGACATCGCAGCCCATTCAGCATCTTTGGAGAAAAAAGGGTACAGTAAGATTATTTGTTGCTCATAACTCTGTTATTTTAACGACCCCTTAAACTCTAACGGATCGCTATCTTGCTAACGTGTCGTTTGTTAACGGTCCGTTAAATTTCTGTTGCTGGAAACTCAATTCCATTATCCGTTTCCTAATGAACTAATTAAAGTTAATCCAAGAGAACACTTGTCATTGGCTGAATTTTAAAATTTTAAATTCAATGCACATAGAAGTTAGTATTAACATGAAACTGAAGAAAGTGGGACAACGTGCAGCCTATACACAAAACTTGATTATAGACAAAAAGATAACCGTAGCATTTTCTTCAGAAAACACAATAAAAAACATCCATAGAATACTAGATTATTTTCCTACAGAAATTTTAGCATAATTCTAGGGGAAAAATCATAGGATTTGCACTACAGAAACTGTAGAATAGCTGGGGTCGTTATTTCCTACAGCCCCCCCCCCCCCCCCCGCAAAAAAAAAAAAAAAAAATTCTATAGAATACTATAGAATTTCATCCTATAGAAAATGGGATAGCCCCCAAACAGCCTAGAATGTTCTATAGACTTCTATAGAAAACTACACTGGTTTAGGATTTTTTCCTGTACAAGGGTATACTTTGACCGACAGCCGACTAATGAAATCGTTAAACAGATCACCCTGCGCCTTCGTTATATAACGGCAATTTAACGGGGCTTACAACAGACTTTCTCTTCGGTCAAGATAACGATCCATTTAACTCCATGTTAACGATTCGTTTTTTATAAGTTAACGTTGCTTGGACAACCGGTCCCAGGATTACGGGTAACACTAACAGTAGGCAGAGCCAGAAGCCTATGATTTTAAATGATCACAATACTGCCATCACCTTCGCAACTTCTTGTAAACAACTTAAGTTAAATCCAGGCCCAGGGGCTGTTCATTGGGTTATTAATAATTAGGGAAATGCCTGCCGAAATTATGAATTTTCGATAGCAAATCGTGGAATTTCCCTTCCGGTTGAATTCATGATACATGGCAGACGTTTGATGGCAAATCTAAAAACTTGCCGGAGATCTCATATGATTTAGTTGTTAGTTTTTAATGCGTTACTTAGAAGTAATGAAGTATCGCTATTCCGAATTTTCACTGTTAAAGCTTGTTGTTCTACTAGTACTAGTACTACTAATGGCAATGGCGGTGGGTAACCGTCGCGGCGTAGCCGCGTAGCCTAGTAGGGCCTACTAGTTTAGTTAGTACTAAACCTTCGAAACACGCCTAGCCAAAATTTCGTAATAGAACATCGGAGAGTATTTTTGTTACCGACCCTAAAGATGATGATAATGATAGGTTCAATATCGTGAGATTAGCTGTCACTGTTAATTTATAACCCGTATTTTTAGGCAATCCCGCCTTCAAAATTATAATTTCCTCTTTTTTTTAAAAACCCGTTTTAACAAGTTGAACGGAATAGGGGCTTGCAGTCACAGTCACCGGCCCAAATTGTCAATGAACCCCAACTTGCCACGCTAAGAGTAAAAAAAGAACAAACCGTATTAGGTTAGGCTACAAAGGGGATGGGGCCTGGATTTGTGGATACGATCCACGCCCACGGTAGTTTTATTCTACATGTTATGATGTACCGGTACATTGCACAGCCTAAATATTTTCAATGTGAAACCGACCTCAACCATCATACCTTCATTTGGTACTAGAGCAATCCTTTGATTTCTGTATGGACCATAAAATGTATTCTGTAACAGCCAATACTAGACTACACACTTGTCGGAAACAACATGTGGCACTAATATTAATAAAGTTGTGGTTTCTTAGTTTCCCGCCATAATAACTACGTTGTTACTATATTTAGACGCCAAACATAGAACACTTAGATATAATAGTTACTGCTTTAACTTTTTATTTGGGATATTTTTGTAAGAATAATCTGTGAACTGATAAATATATCTATTTATATATGTATATATATATTTTTGACACTGACGAAAACTATTTCGTTTATTTTTTTAAACCGAGTTCAAAATTTACGAACCGGAAGTGGCGCCACCGTACTAAAACATTTGCCAAAAGAAATTAAACATGGCGGGGAATGAGTTTCTTTCAAAAGCTCTAGAATTATCTGAAATAGAGCTACTTTCCTCTACAACAAAACATAAATTAGAGCGCCATGTAGCCGACTTAGACATAAAACTAACAAATGCAAAGGCTAGCTATGAAAGTCTTCGAGTAAATTCTGGTAAATGGCTTCGATTTCGTTTGTAAACAAACCGACAGAAACCGAAAATGTGGTGATAATTGTAGACCTTTTTACTACTTTGTATCATTTGTTTGAAAACTCTTAGATAATGCTTGAAGGTTGTGACCAGTCGATATTTTTATAGTGTAAAATTAGTTTAAAGTCTTAAATATTTTAGCATTAAAGGGACAATAACACTCTTGCTGGCTTGAAAGCTCGAGAAAATAAATAATATCTCTATCTTAAGTACTAGATGTTTAAGTGTCCTACCTGTTGTGTAAATTATCCATTACATCCTATTTTACTTGTCCAGAGGGTTCGAAAATATTTTTAAATCGAAATTTCCTTTGAAAAGGTTTACGTTAGACGTTTCAAACCATTATGTTGAATTTTTCAAAAATTTTAAATAAGGTGTGTTAAGATGAAATTTTTATCATCAATTAATTGAAATATTCTAAAATAGTACAATTTGTTGACCAGAATAAAGATTGGGACATATTATTCAGTTACAACAAGAGTGGTATTGAGCCTTTAACAGCTTTGTTATTAATTGACAAAGTTACAAGTGAGATAAACCAGGAGGTGGCCCAACATTTCGGTCCTGCGTCATTTCAGAATGAACACAGATGACCTTTCGGACTCAGTTTGATGACGATTCAGACTTACTTGATGACTTTTCGGACTATAAACACCTATAGTGGCCAATCAGACTATAAAACAAAAATTGACACATCAATGGGAACTTACACTGGCTAATACCCATTTGAATTTTGCTTTCAGTCAGGAACATATGAGAAAAACGATTATAACTATAATGTTTCTAAAAGGTTAAATTATACCTTCCGATACATATTGATGACATAAGGCTGTGTTGAATTGATTCCTTGTTTCTCCTGCCAATACTTGTGACAAACATGTATGGTAGTGCAGAAAATACTATAACGAAATGAAATGGGGTTTAACGTCCTACTGTTTTGCTCCGAACTGGGCTAATGAAGACGGGCATACACCATACAGTGTGCTATGAGGGAAATTTTGCCCGGTCTACTCTTATATCGAATTCCAACTGTCATGGGATCTTTTACGTGCATGCCAATGTGTACATGGGACCTCGGTTTTTCGTCCTGCATCACTGACAAGGAGGAACCACGATGCTGGAAAATCTGGGTGAACTTTCTCGGCCAATGCAGGGATCGAACACCCGACCTCCAGGCTAGCGAACCAGCTTCTTACCCACTTAGCCACCATGACCCCCCAAATACTATAACACTATCTAGTCTGAGGATGATATACGGTACTTTTTTACATACAATCTTAATTAGTCATAATTAATAACCCTTTACTGTAAAGACTTCAGAATGTAAGTTCACATTCAACTTTATAACAGTGTATTTGACACATATTGGCCTATGCTTATTTTCATTTGTTTGACTCAATAGCTTTATGAAGTTTCTACACATATGTAAATGAATTGGACACCTATCCTCTTAAGTCACATTGACCTAATTCTACAAACACTGTAATGGCACCACAGATTTCAAAGGCACAAGATTCATTGTCTTGTGTATTTAATCATTTAAAATACAATGTTGAAATATAAAGTTTATTTATAATGTACATGAAAATTTGACAAAATCAAATAATTTAGTCAGGAGGGTATTTTATAACTATAATTAATATTAAGCGTAAGTATAGTTGGGATGTGAGAAAAAAAATTCAAGGGTGCGTGACATGTCCTCCAGTGAATAATAGAATAAGTGTGATATGTACATGTGCGAATCAAAGTTGTGTTTTGATTTTCAAGTACGAATATTTTAGAATCTAAATTCAACACATTTCTCAACGTCTTTATTTGAAATCATTGGATTTAGGTACATGTTTTACTCAGCGGAATCCATGTGAATTCGGGTTATGAATCTTTGAGTCGTTGACGGCCAAAGAAGATGCATGATTCACAAGAATTAAAAGTCATGCTGATGTCGAAGAAATAAAACTGTTATTTTTATAAAAATGTTATAAAAATGATATTCATTTGAAAAAAATTAGGACCTAAACGGTTTAAGGGTGTTTATGTTTCTATGCATAATGTGTGACATGGATAATTAAGAGTGACAGGTTAGTTCCTGAACCGACAAGTATTGAAGTATGGAAAATAGCTACTTGACGCTTGCAATCGATAGCTTTTTTTGTAACATTTCGTAACTGGCTTATCATCAGGCCTCGACATAAGTGTGTGGGCGAGGAGGAACAAGGAATCAATTCAACACAGCCTAACACCTATAATAGGACTTTATATAAACATAAAATCTATCCATTGCTCCAAATAAAAGAAATGCTACCGCATTAGATAGCTGCCAAGCTAGTCTTGACTTTGATATCAACATCAAACAAAAACAATTGAATGAATCTTTATAAAAAGATAAATGTGCAATTAATTAATGAATGTCAGTTATTTATTTTTGGATTAGGGTGAAAGACATCAGCCCCTCTGTTAACTTGTTTTTTTTTTTTATATTCTTTAAAAATATTTCTTTTTCAGAACAACAGTATAACGAGTTAGAAAGAAAACTAATAGAAAGTGTTACCCAGTTAGAAACTGAAACTTCATCCAAGAAAGCCTTACAAAGCAAAGTAGCAGAATTAGGTAGTCTAATTTAGTACATGTACCAGATTAAACATACATTATGCAAGAGCTAAATCTGCCTATTGCAGGTCTTTCTTTAGGCCTGAAATGTTATCTAAATTATTAATTAGACATTGGTTAACTTATCCAGACCATAACCAACTCTCGCTAGCCTGTGATATTTACTGATCTGCGGCTCTACGCTCACTCATGATTAAATCAAGAAATGGATAATCGAGACTATGTATTTTATAGTACCGACTTTAGTAATGATGATCGAGGCTATGCCCAAAATTCAATCGCTAAATCTTGTTGTCATCGCTAGCCTGGGATATTTACTGATCTGCTGCTCTACGCTCATTCATGATTAAATCAAGAAATGGATAATCGAGACTATGTATTTTATCGTACTGACTTTAGTAATGGTGATCAAGGCTAGGTCCAAAATTCAATCACTAAATTCTCGGTTCAGAGTGGATCAATTTGACTGAAATTTTCAGCAAATTCCCATTACATTATCTAGATTTTAACTATTATGGTGAGAACTGCCAGCTCTTTATCTAATCTGCCATAATGTATCTTTAATTGAAAACTATTGTAAGGAATTTTTGCCTGTCATCTATAGAATAAATAACAAAGTTTGAAATTCTGTGATGGACAAACAGAATATTTAAAGCAATGTTGTGGTGCCATAGCTTAATTCTCAACACTTGTCTTTGATGGTTAAATTAACAAAGGCTCAGGTTTCATTCAAGGAATCTTTTTTGAAAGTGAACATAAAAAACCTGACTTATTTATAATAAAAATGATTTTACCATGTCTGTATTCTACAGTGACTACATCAAAACTACATGAAATGAAACCATAATCTGATTTGTTTAGCTTTGTTCATTACTAGTCATCATATCTAATGCAGATAAGTGAACTCATTAACATTTGATATATCATTTTTTTTTTTTTTTTCAGAGAAGAGATTGTCTGATGAAGTTGAAAAAATATCAACCCTTGAAAACAGCTATCAAAAGGCTCATGAAGCAGAGGTTTATATCATTTGTTTTAATAAACTTCAATTCTGTCCTCGTGATGCACAATAATACCAGGATATCAAGAATTTGAAGTTCTACAGAATTTTTGTCAAGATTATTAGTTCTCATTTTGACTAACATGTCTAAAACTACGTATTCTTAAACACAAATACAAAATTTACAATAATTTTTATTTTTAAAATGTTACTTAATGTATCCCTGTTAAATTATGTGTAGTAAAGTTTTACAATGTAGAGGTGGTGCTTCTAATTAGTAATACTTGCTATGTTCATAACTGTTTTTAGTCATAATGCTCTAATATCAAATATGTTACTAACTGGAATCTTTTAATTTTATTTTGTTGACACTTAAAAAATCCTATATTTTCAGATTAAGTTTACAAGATTATCTGAAAGACTTGAAGCTGATAAAGCAGAGCTAGTTGAAAGACTTGAAAAGAAAAATAAGAAGATTGAATCTTTAAATGGTAAACACTGGATTTAAGAGAAAAAAAATTTCTGCGTATTGTCTATTTCCTTCAAAAAAGTGTATGCACAGGAAACGGTTGTAGTTTGTTTGTCTGAAATTGACCAATATATTGTGTCATTTTTCTTATTTTACAGGAGGGATGTTAGTAAGGAGCATTCCAATCATTCCTAGTTCTCATGTTTTTCACATGCTGCAAAATGATACCCCATTTCTCTCCACCTTTTCACCAATCATCGTCAGTTTTCTTTTTCTGCTATACATTCAAGTCTGGAAGTAAAGACTCCTGTCACTGACACTTTCACACTGAAATTCGGGCTTTGTCAGGTGTGAAACCTCTGGTGTCTCCCATTTAGTCTTTTATTGATATTATGTGCTGTTAAAAGTAGCTATCTGCTACTCATCTTGTCCTTCTTGGGCTGACACTCTTCGGAAAAGCCTAAAGCTCTGTCAATTCAAGTTTGATTGACATGAAAATTGGCATTCTTGTTCTTTGAACAATTCTGCATCGATTTGGTGAATTAGATTTTTGAATTTCATCCAACAATATGGTCAGTTCTTGGTCCGTAGTATAATAAATTTTCACTTGTTATATAAAAAAAAAGTTCATTTTTTTCCCCCCTACCAACTAGAATATTTTATCTGCAAAAAATATGTGATAAAAAAAAGACGTGATAATTTTATTTCTCAGGTAGACCTATTTTATAACAATTACCATCACATACAATATCCAGCAACTTACAAAATCTGTCTTTAGATAATACATTTGCCCAGTTTTGAGATGATTACCTATGATCAGAATTCATTTTTGGTGACATTAGTCCTTTAGCACACTGTATTAAACAATATATACTATTCAAAAAAAGTAGGGGATATTTGATTTTGGGGGCATAATACTAAAATATGCAAATGACTACGAAAAAAGTCACTATAGAACCTAACAGAAGAAACATTTCCAGTTACATGTGACGCCCAAACGCACCAATAGCTACCGCATGGAATGCAGGTGATGCTTGGGATCATCATGGGGGTCCAACCCAAGATTTGCACGACTCTGACTTTGAATGTTACAGTCATTGTGGCATTGAATTCCAGGGTGGAAACATCAGTTTAATTGTTTTAGTGACCAGAAAACAAATTTTGATATGCGTCGGCTTACCCAAAATGAAAGGTTACGTGCCCTTGGCATGCTACAGATCGGCACAACACAGGCGGTTGTGGCGCGGACGATGAATGTTTCTCAGTCTGTCATAAGCAGGCTATGGTCCAGATACCGTGATACACAATCTGTACAGGACAGACCACGCTCAGGTCGACCAAGGGCGACAACTCAAGCCCAGGATCGATTTATCCGTACCTTGGCCTTGAGAAATCGTGTCATCACAGCAAATCAGATCAGCGCTCGTCTTCAAACAGACACTGGTGTGAGAGTGAGTGGCCAGACGATTCGGAATCGACTGCATAGGGGTCACCTTCGTGCCCGACGTCCTCGCGTGATCCCTTGTTTGAGAGATCATCACATTCAGGCAAGACGTCGTTGGTGTAGGAATCGTCAACACTGGGATAATCGACGCTGGAGCAATGTGATGTTTTCAGATGAGTCAAGGTTCACTGTTGATTTTTTGGACAGACGTAGGAGGGTGTGGCGTCGTCGAAACGAGCGCTTCCAAGACGTTAACGTCATCGGACATGATCGATTTGGGGGTGGTTCTGTTATGGTGTGGTGAGGCATCACTGTTGCTGGAAGAACGGCTTTACATGTTGTTGCAGGGCGTGTTACAGGCCAGTACTACCGGGACAACATCTTGGCAGTCCATGTTGTGCCGTTCGCACGACGTCATGGCCACCGTTTCATCTTCCAGGATGACAACGCAAGATGTCACAGGGCCAGGATCGTTACAGGTTACCTCCAACAACAGAACATCACCACATTACCTTGGCCAGCACTGAGTCCCGACCTCTCCCCCATCGAGCATGTCTGGGACATGCTTGGACAGAGGTTACGTCAACGTGAACAACGTCCTGCCAATGTCCAAGAACTTGCTGCTGCGTTGCAACAGGAATGGGACAATCTGGACCAAAATGACCTTAGACGTCTCATTAGGAGTATGCCACGTCGGATCAATGCTTGTTTGGCAAACAGAGGAGGATTTACCCGTTACTGACTTGGTTGTGATGCTGTGGTAACTTTGCTGTTTGACCCCGGGTATCATTTTACCCTTATAATGGTCAGTCTGTGCCTTACTTAGTCTAACGATCATTTGGAATAAATCGATGAATGTGAACTTCATTTCATTTTGTCATTTGTTTCTTCGTCAGTTTCATTAGGTGACTTTAATAACACTTAAAAATCAAATATCCCCTACTTTTTTTGAATAGTATATTTACACATCAAATATCATCACAGAATTGCCAATTATCCAGTTTTCTTTAAATTTACGCTTTGCGTGTACAATAGGCCCATTGTTATTTTCAGCTATTCGATTTGTTTCCGACCCATGGTGATAATATAATTTGAAATAATAATATCCGATTAGGCATGCTGGTATATTTGACCAATCTGATTAAAATACAGATCTATATTTCGTTTTGTTTTTTTATACTTTCGATGGCCTACACTACAGGAAGATCTGAGCAGTTGTAGTGGGAGGTTGCGTCTCGGGTCATACGATCGACTTTGACCGTGACAGACTGTTTCATTGGCTAATTCTCACATCAACTAGAATGCCTGTTATATAACAATTTTTCCAGATCATAATGTTTTTGAAGACACGTAAAACGAAATTTTGAAATATACGAAACAAAATGAAATATGATCTGTGTTTTAATCAGATTAATATTTGACATGCTGTATGAAGCTACAGTAAACAGAATTCAACTATCAAAATATTTTATTCTCTTGAAAAGAATTGTCAGTCATTTTGTTTATTTCCATTTATTTTTTCAAGATGAAACGAAACATCAGATAATCACCCCCTGAATTAATTATTAGGAGTAAATAATGACTTCAGATAGGCTTTAAATATATATATATCATTGGCAATTATCAATCACCTATAATCATTAATCCAAGAAATTTGATTCGTATTACTCAATGATACGGTCTGGGTTATTAGTTTATAGTATGTCGCCACGTGGTTGTGATTGACACTTAACGAACTGGTCAATCTAGGATATATATGATTAAAATATTAAGATTTTTTTGCCACATCTCAAAAAGAATCGCGAGTACCCCAAAACATTGTCTTCAAAATTATCAACAAAATTAAATTTGAATCGCAACTTGACTTTTTTAAATTGCTAATTGCGACTTTGGCAACTGACAATGTGAGCCCTGGATACTAGTTCATCAATGCCTGACATTTCCTTTGGTACAAATAAGACTTATTTCGAGGCCTGGCTACATTATACTGGAAAATAGGCACATGTCAGCATTTATTATGTAATCGTTTGTTCTCAGGTTATAATTATATTTGATGTTTTTTTCTATAGATGAATGGAAAGCTGTTACAGATAAGGTAGCCAATGTTGAGAAACAGAAATGTGAATTACAGGCAAAATTATCGGAGTTGCAGTCTAAAGATATCACACGAGATGTAAGTTACAGATGTTTAAAAAGAATTCCTAATTGTAGGGGTGTGCCCAATATGTTGATCATAGCGATAATAGGCATTGATGTATGATCAGCTCAATAATCCAATATTACATGCCAGAACTGATTATGATTCAAACTCATAACTAACAGTGACCTTTGTTTCATAATCATGTGCTAATATGGAAGATAAACAAGTGGTTTGACAATGGATATATGGGATGATAGATCAGGACAGGCATGTGATTTGTTAGTGATGATCATTTCTGAAAACTTCCCAGCCCTACCTAATATTGTCAATTATTGAATATAAAATGCATGTACTTTTAAACAAGATATATTTTTTTGTCCCCCGCCTTTCGAAAAAAGCAGGGGACTATTAAAATGGGTTCGTCCGTCTGTCTGTCCGTCTGTCTGTCCGTCACACTTTTTGGGACACAATAACTCTCTTCCTAATTGAGCTAGAATGTTCAAACTTGGTGTATGTGTTTATTAGGTCAATGCCTTGATGGAGTTCGAAGATGAGCATTTTCCGCTTAGGGTAAGCAGAGATAAGCAATTTGATTGGTTGATGCTTTGGGACACGATAACTCTCTTCCTAATTGGGCTAGAATGTTCAAACTTGGTGTATGTGTTGATTAGGTCAATGCCTTGATGGAGTTCGAAGATGAGCATTTTCCGCTTAGGGTAAGCAGAGATAAGCAATTTGATTGGTTGATGCTTTGGGACACGATAACTTTTAATTGAGCTAGAATGTTCAAACTTGGTGTATGTGTTTATTAGGTCAATGCCTTGATGGAGTTCGAAGATGAGCATTTTCCGCTTAGGGTAAGCAGAGATAAGCAATTTGATTGGTTGATACTTTGGGGCACGATAACTCTCTTCCTAATTGAGCTAGAATGTTCAAACTTGGTGTATGTGTTGATTAGGTCAATGCCTTGATGGAGTTCGAAGATGAGCATTTTCCGCTTAGGGTAAGCAGAGATAAGCAATTTGATTGGTTGATGCTTTGGGACACGATAACTTTAGTTCTAATTAAGTGAGATTGATGAAACTTGGTGTATAGTTTCATTACAGTAATACCTTGACTAAGTTTGATAATGAGCATTTTCTGCTCAGGGTAAGCAGAGCGATACGCAATTTGATTTTTATATGTGTCCTCTAATTATTTTCCTATTTCGGCGGGGGACATCAGCCTCACTGTTGGCTTGTTTTTCTTGGATGTTCTATAAATACATTGATGTGAATTCAAACAAATTAATTTTGTGTATAAATTGCAGTTTAAAGAAAAGAAATTGATACAAGAGAGAGATCAGTTAATGGAAAGAGTAGCTTGGCTAAATGACCAAGTTACAGAAAAATCCAATGCTTATATCAATGATCGGAAAGAAAAGGTATGGTGTACAATTACTAGTCTCTACAAAATGATTGCATGTATAACTCTTGATAATTCATGTATAATGGTTTAATGCAATATATATACTCTTCAAAAAAAAAGTAGGGGATATTGAAATTCAAATACCTATGCAGGTTGTGATATGATAAATAATCATGGACACTTGACTTGCTTTGAAATATGTTCACAGATGAAGAACTTATCGCCCCAACAGAACCACTGAGCTGCACATGCAAAACGCAATAGCGCAATACATGTGGGAGGGGTTCATTGTCAAATTTGACACTTTAAGGAAGGGTTGATGAAAACTGCTGCATGCTATTTTATCTATCCATGTTTGCTTTCCTATTGGTTCTTGCATAAGATTTACTGTTTAGCGTATCTTTGCTTTAGTGTGTTACGTTTAATTTGATGGTGAGACGTGTTCGTAACCAACAACACTGCAAGAATTGGCCGTGGCACTGCAAGAGGAGTGGGTCAGATTGCCCCAAATCGTGATTGGACGGTTGATTAGGAGCATGCCATGACAAATTGCTGAATGTCTGAGGATTGGTGGAACAATTACTCATTAAGACAAAAATCAAAAACGTCCATTTTTATACGTCCACATTCATAATGTGAACGTATTATGCCGTCGCCCCTGTCTGTGTGTGTGTGTGTGTGTATGTATGTATGTGTGTGTGTGTGTGTGTGTGTGTGTGTCTGTGGTTCGCCTACAGGGCGCAATTCTTCATGGATTTTCTTCAAACTTGGTATACTTATTCCTTATACCCCAAGGAAGATCCCTATTGTTTTTGGTGCATGCCCGACCCCCCGGGGCAGAGCCACGCCCATTTCTAGTATTTGTTTGTTTGTCGTCTACAGGCCACATTTCTTAACTAATAATCTTGAAACTTTGCATACACATTCTTTGTACCCTAAGGAACATCCCTATCGTTTGGGGTGCATGCCCAACCCCCAGGGGCAGAGCCACGCCCATTTTCTTTTCGTGTGTCTTTGTGTCGCCTACAGGGCGCAATTCTTACTGGATTTTCTTCAAACTTGGTATACTTATTCCTTATACCCCAAGGAAGATCCCTATTGTTTTTGGTGCATGCCCGACCCCCAGGGGCAGAGCCACGCCCATTTCTAGTTATTCTTTAAGTGGCATTTAGCGATCAGGGAACAAATTAACAGAACACAGTTTTTATGGGATACAATCACTAGTTTATTCTAAAAGCACAACGTTTCCACAAGTATTCTCTTATCGTTATCAATCAAGCAAAAAAAAACAAAAAAAAAACGTCATGCTTTTAGAATAAAGACATCGATTGTTTTAAAATAAAAATTGTGTTCTGTTAATGTGAACGAAATGTTATACTGATAGCAGTCCTACAACCCAGTTTTATTTCACAGACCCTCAATGCAAACTGGACCATATCAAACAAAACAGGAATGTGGACGTATATTGCTGCGTTAGCGATGCTCTTGTCACTTTTGACAGTGTATCTCTTTGTGAGTGCAATGGGGCCGTCAGATAAGTCGCTCATATGAACTGTTTATGTTCATGTGTAGGCAGTTGGCCTGTTATTAACATACACTGGTTACATCTAATAAAAACAGCAGTGCATTTCCGCAGTTTTGTATTGTTTCTGAATATCCCCTACTTTTTTTGAAGAGTATATATATACATATAGTTACCCTAGGAGATTTGGATAACTAGTCAATTGATTGCTAAAACCGATGATTATTTTATTTTCATTCAGAGTGTGAAACTACTTGAGCTTATGTCACAGATTGAATCTAAAACAGAAGAGGTAGGTATTTAGTTTTCTAATATAATTGTGGAATTAATTGAAATGAAATTATTTATTCTCAAAATGACTTCTAACAAGTCTTCTTTGCTATCTAAGAAAAGTCTATTTTTATTTCCTTTTCGTCTTTGTGGTTGTGATTTTCTACACTACATAAGTTCCTACTTCTATCATAATGTTTGATTGGCTGCTGTTACTTGGCGTGATTAGAACATCTGAATTTCATTGTTAATAATACACAACTAAGTTTATTTTAATTATATATTTTTTGCAGTTCAATCATACAAAAGATGTGGTTGATGGATTGAAAAAAAACAATAGTGATCAAGCTGCCAAGATAAATGAACTTTTACAAAAACTTAAAGATGTAAGTGTATTTTCAAAAATAGATACCATAAGCATTGTAGAAAATCTATTGTAAACTTTATTATTATTATGATTAATTATCCTATTTAATTACTAGATACATGATATTTAAACTTTTAGGTCATATAAATTCTGTCATGTTATATGTCATATTATTTTTCACAAAATAAAGATTGTTAATACTTGTTGTTTTAGGCCAGAGATTCTCAGATGCAGTCTGATGAACACTTCCACCAAGAAATCAAATCCCAAACGAAACTTCTTGACCTATATAAGGTAAAATAGTGTGAACATTGTATAAATTTGATGAATCTTCTCATTACATCTGTGTCAGGATGATACTGGAAATAAAACTACCCTTGATTTATTTAATTATTGCATCTCAGGGGTGGAGCATTAGATGTTAATGGGTGAGAATTGAGTGATTTTCATGTTTAATCTTATAAAGGACCACTAAGCCTCATTTCGATTTTATAATGCCAGCAGCATTGGGTTAAGACTAACCTTTTCCTGCACATCTAGGGATTCTATCGTAATTAGGATTTTTTTTCATAAACTACATGTAGTAATATATGATATACTATTCAAAAAAAGTAGGGGATATTTGATTTTGGGGGCATAATACTAAAATATGCAAATGACTACGAAAAAAGTCACTATAGAACCTAACAGAAGAAACATTTCCAGTTACATGTGACGCCCAAACGCACCAATAGCTACCGCATGGAATGCAGGTGATGCTTGGGATCATCATGGGGGTCCAACCCAAGATTTGCACGACTCTGACTTTGAATGTTACAGTCATTGTGGCATTGAATTCCAGGGTGGAAACATCAGTTTAATTGTTTTAGTGACCAGAAAACAAATTTTGATATGCGTCGGCTTACCCAAAATGAAAGGTTACGTGCCCTTGGCATGCTACAGATCAGCACAACACAGGCGGTTGTGGCGCGGACGATGAATGTTTCTCAGTCTGTCATAAGCAGGCTATGGTCCAGATACCGTGATACACAATCTGTACAGGACAGACCACGCTCAGGTCGACCAAGGGCGACAACTCAAGCCCAGGATCGATTTATCCGTACCTTGGCCTTGAGAAATCGTGTCATCACAGCAAATCAGATCAGCGCTCGTCTTCAAACAGACACTGGTGTGAGAGTGAGTGGCCAGACGATTCGGAATCGACTGCATAGGGGTCACCTTCGCGCCCGACGTCCTCGCGTGATCCCTTGTTTGAGAGATCATCACATTCAGGCAAGACGTCGTTGGTGTAGGGATCGTCAACACTGGGATAATCGACGCTGGAGCAATGTGATGTTTTCAGATGAGTCAAGGTTCACTGTTGATTTTTTGGACAGACGTAGGAGGGTGTGGCGTCGTCGAAACAAGCGCTTCCAAGACGTTAACGTCATCAGACATGATCGATTTGGGGGTGGTTCTATTATGGTGTGGGGAGGCATCACTGTTGCTGGAAGAACGGCTTTACATGTTGTTGCAGGGCGTGTTACAGGCCAGTACTACCGGGACAACATCTTGGCAGTCCATGTTGTGCCGTTCGCACGACGTCATGGCCGCCGTTTCATCTTCCAGTATGACAACGCAAGATGTCACAGGGCCAGGATCGTTACAGGTTACCTCCAACAACAGAACATCACCACATTACCTTGGCCAGCACTGAGTCCCGACCTCTCCCCCATCGAGCATGTCTGGGACATGCTTGGACAGAGGTTACGTCAACGTCAACAACGTCCTGCCAATGTCCAAGAACTTGCTGCTGCGTTGCAACAGGAATGGGACAATCTGGACCAAAATGACCTTAGACGTCTCATTAGGAGTATGCCACGTCGGATCAATGCTTGTTTGGCAAACAGAGGAGGATTTACCCGTTACTGACTTGGTTGTGATGCTGTGGTAACTTTGCTGTTTGACCCCGGGTATCATTTTACCCTTATAATGGTCAGTCTGTGCCTTACTTAGTCTAACGATCATTTGGAATAAATCGATGAATGTGAACTTCATTTCATTTTGTCATTTGTTTCTTCGTCAGTTTCATTAGGTGACTTTAATAACACTTAAAAATCAAATATCCCCTACTTTTTTTGAATAGTATATATATTCACATTTGATTCAGATAATTTGTGAATGTTCAGTTATGTTAATGTTCAGTTTTGTGAGTGTTCAGTTGATGCTTGGCCAAAGCAAAGGTACTTGGATCCCCAATAGTAGACTTTGGTGTCAGATGCTCTAGATGTGGGTTTGACTTCAAGCCTGTATGTGATAATGAATATGGTCGTTTGTCTAACTGTATGGGTTTTCTGCAGATACTTCGACCTCTTCCACTTCTCAACATCACTTCTAAACATTAAAGATACATTGTCCCAAAAGTATTTATCGGGTGCTTATTTCCAATAAAGGTATGGCAAATTTTGTATATATGGAAAGTATAGACACCCAATCTTACTAGAAAAATACTGGATCCCCCGAAAAACACCCATGGGGCAAGCACTGGGCAAAAATGTCAGGGTGTTTTTAACTGGCAACCCAACTGTTGTCTGCCAGCTTATTGTGTGCTAGCTTGACTGCGGGAGCAGTTGTTATTTCTTGATGAAATGGTTAGGAGGTTTTGGGAACCTCGAAGGAGTGTCAACATACAAAAGACTTTGGAATTGAATGGCAGAAAGATAAGTTGACAGAAAATAATTACGAATTTAATTAGACCTCAATGTGTATGATATATGGACAGTAAGTTATGAAGAATACATTCTGAAAAAATGGACCCTCCCACAATGAATTGAGGTCTAATATGGCGTCTAATAACAGTTTTTTTTATAGCTTGAGGTATCTTCCCACGAAAACAAAGTTTTGAGAGGGATTTGAAGCAAATTTTTGCTAGATTAATTAGTTTGAATATTGTTTTAGTCCAAATATATCATCAAATCACACAGTTTGTTCACGGGAAAGTATCTTTAATTCAATAAGAAGCATAGTCTTAGTGCCAACCTGATCTAGTTAGTGTTGAGTGAATGTTAAACATTCCCATCTCCCCCTCTCTCAGTCTGATACTAGCTAGTATATAATTATTCTTTATTTTTGAAGCACATAATTTGGGGGTCACAGTAGATATATTTGCAAATTGGTTTTCAGGAATCGGCTCTTGAAAATGAAAAGAAAATGAAAGAAACGACAAAGGCTTTTGAAGACATGCAGAAATTATTGAAAGAAGCTGCTGATGGTAGGTTAAAATAACATCCATCAACCCAGATAACAGCTAAAGTTATCAATTGATTACTGGTGCATGCTTTGTTATGCACCCACATTTGCATGTGGACGTATTATGCCGCCGCCCCTGTCAGTCCGGACGTTCGTGGACACTCTACAGGTCACAGTGGTTATCGATTTTGATGAAACTTGAAATATAGGTCTATCTCCCAAAGATATCAGTTCATTTCGATATTGGCATGTATCGGACCATGGATTATGGCCCCTGATTTAACGAAAAATCAGGTTTTAAGCTTGTGCACACTCTTGAGGTCACAATTTTCACCCGATTTTGATGAAACTTGAAATGCGCATATCGGATCGTAACTTCCTGAATTATGACCCCTGATTGTTCAAAAAATCGCGTTTTGCTTGTGGTCCCTCTAGAGGTCAAAATTATTAATGGCAGCCCCTCGTACTCAAATAGCGTAAAAATAAGGTATATGAATGTTGTGGACCCTCTAGAGGTCACAATTTTCTTTCGATTTTGTGAAAACTTGAAATATAAGTTTATAACCCAAAGATCTTGATTCCTTTCGATATTCCCGCATATCGGATTGTAACTTCCTGAATTATGGCCCCTGATTGTATGAAAAATCACGTTTTTAGCTTGAGGTCCCTCTAGTGGTCACAATTATTATCCGATTTAAAAAAAAGTTCGAAGATATCACCGTTACGCCCTAATATTGATTGGGTTCGAATTTCTGGAAAATCAGGCCAAAACTGCCGGACAAAATGGCCTCCCCTCGTACGCAAGCAGTGTAAACATCTGGTATATCAAGGTTGTTCACCCTCTAGAGGTCTCAATTTTGATCTGATTTTGATGAAACTTGAAATACATATTTATTACCAAAATATCTTGGCTCCTTTCGATATTCGCGCATATCAGATCGTAACTTCCTGAATTATGGCCTTTGATTGTACAAAAAATCATGTTTTTTAGCTTGTGGTCCCCAGAGAGGTCACAATTTTTATGCGATTTAAAAAAACGTGTGAATATGTCGCCGTTGCACACTAATGATGGCAGAGTTCGAATTTCGTGAAAATCAAAACTGCTGGACAAAATGTTCGAATTCCATAAGGGGGGGTTGGATGACTGAATGGTTAGCGTGTATCATAAAGTCTGTCAAGGAGTAGGGTCACCTGCCCAACCTCGTGGGTTTTCTCCAGGTCCTCTGGTTTCCTCCCACTGCTAAAGACCCCTACCCGCAAGTGAATTATTGAAATAAAATAAACCATACGTTAGAATATGGTATATCAAGGTTGTGGACCCTCTAGAGGCCACAATTTTTATCCGATTTTGATGAAACTTTAAGTTTATTTTTATATCACAACGGTCTTGGTTCCTTTTGATAATTGCTCATATCCGAACGCTACTTCCTGGATTATGGCCCTGATTGTTTGAAAAATCACATTTTTAGCTTGTTGTTTCTCTAGAGGTCAAATTTTTTTATCCGATTTAAAAAAAATATATTACCATTCCACCATAATGAAGGTTGAATTTGAATTTTGGAAAAATCGAAAGAAAACTGCCTAACATAAATCTGATTTTTAGCTTTTGGATTCTCTAGAGGTCACAGTTTTTTTATCCGATTTTAAAAAAACGTTTAAATATATCACGATTCCACCAACATGAAGGTTGAATTTGAATTTCGGGAAAATCGAAATAAAACCGCCCAACAAAATGGCCGCTCTTTGTAGTCAAATTGGGTAACCAGATAAATGGTTGCGGGTTTATGCTCTGCGTAACCATTTTCTTTGGTTAAGCCAGATGATCATTGCGGAACCAATTGGTTACATATAATGGTTGCGCTGTTTTCATGTTTTATCCAGATTTAAATGGTGCTATTATTCATTTTCACTTGCAGTAAATGTATTTTTTAAAGAAATAACTTGACTAACTTTATTCTTTTATATTTAATATTATATTAGGTTAAGTGTTAATAACTTTAATCCCACAGTGTCCCCATTTAAACAATATAACATTAGAAAAAAAATGTTCCACTTCACTAAATCCCTACATTTTAATAATGAGGGGAATCGGTTCCAAAAATTACTAATGGATTTTCGTTTTTATATCATATCTGACCTTCAAAAACCAGGAATGGTAGCTACCACATTGTTTTCGGTCACTGAAGACTACATGCGTACTTCATATTACACTTGTCACTTGCAATCATTCATCCAAGCACGTAGCATGCGATAGCCTCACTCATAGGTATAGCGACTGATTGACAAACAGTATTTATTATAAACCTCGGCACTCTATACACAAAGTCGCAAAAGGAAACAGAATAGTTTGATGTCATGAAATAATATTAAAATAGACAGGAGAGTAAAATCGTTTACATTATCACTCGAGCGATGCCGGGGGGGGGGGGGGTCAAAGTTGACGACATACATACGGGTCATTGGTACTATAGCATGGCTATAGTGAAAACTGAAAGGAACACATGTAGTAAATTCTTTGGAAATATAGCCGACATGTTAAATAGTCAAACTCATTTCACATTTTGTGTTTGAAAATCCAAAGGTACGCTTTCAAAATTTATGGCATAACTAATCATTTAAAGAATTAGGAGTGAGGGGCATTTTTAAATCAACGTGCTTGCAACTGGTCAATAGCCTACGTGGTGTCAAAATACGTGATCTGTCAAAGTACCGGTAAAATGGAGAAATGAAATGCCAAGAATGAATGAATGGAGTTTGTGCTATAATACAAATAATTTAGACCCGTGTCACAAAGTCATCCTGTATAAAAATTGATCAAATCTGTTAATGATATTTGTTAACGTAAACGATATTTCAATTTGCGTAACCAGGAAATCGGTCGCTTGTTTTTGAGCTAGCGCGACCGCACGTAACCGATTGGTATCGTTCGCCTCAAATTTCGTGGCCTGTTAATCTGTCTTTTAATTTTTTTTCAAACATTATGTTTGATTACAGCTAGTAGGGATCAGAAAGAACAGAGCACAGCAGAGATTGAACAATGTATAGAACAACTCAAAGAAAAAGGTAACGAATATTATGAATGGTTTGTATCCTGATAAGACTATATTTACCAATGAAAATATTATATTCTTAAGGGTCATTAAGAGATGCTAGTTATTATCATTGTGCAGTACTTGTTCTTTCAACTCTGTACTTGTATTAAGAACTTGTTATTATATTTTAGCAAGTAGTTTACTGGGAGCCTCAGATTCCCCTCGTCACTGATGCAGGTCAAGGGGCTTGGTAAGAAACTGTCTAGTCGTTTGGTTGTGGTTGGGGCAAAAAACTGTGTTTTCAGAATGCATGTAAAGGAACCCTTGACTTTTCCTTAAGCCAAATGGAAAATAATTTGCCGTCCATTCACCCGTTCTCTGTCCTATCAAATGCCTTCTCAAATCCCTCAAAAGGATTGTAAGTAAACTGCTACCCGGCAAAAACAATCAGCGGCTTTATGTAATGTCCTGCAGCACTCATCACAGCCAGAATGAGAAACCAAAACAGTTATTTGAGTTTTGTCTGAAGACGTAAACTTGTAGATATTTTTTTGGGCCTCATTCTGCCAGAACATTGCATGATTTAGAGCAAAGAGGGAATCCGGATTCGTCCTCGGTCTACCACCTGCAATGGCAGCCTTCCTGACATGATTTTATTGTTTACCATCTGCATTGCCAGGTGCATCTCCGGATATTTTTGTTTATGATCTAGAAGCAATTTATGTTTGTTGACGAATGAAATAATAGCTTGCCAACAGCTGATGAATTTTCTCTGATGGGGAAGGTCACAAGTAAGAAAGATTGCACGTGATGGACCCTTATTGTCTAATCGGAATTGATTTAGGATTTACAGAGGATACTCGACCCCGCTCTAACGATTGGTTAAAAATGTCTATTTCAAATTTTAGAAGCAAAAATAGAAGATCTAGAAGAAGAATTAAGGAATGCCAATGATCTGATTGTAAGAATTAAAGGTGAAGGTAAGTAGTATTAACTTTTTTATGTTTATTTTACTCGCAGTCATATTCACAAGAATAGACAATTGATTTTAACTGACCTTGACTACAAAAATGAAACAGATCATTCTAATATACACTTAACCTTCTAATACTAATATTCATTCGACCCATTTAGTGATTAAAAGAAAAACAACTCAGAATTGATATAATCATTATAAAGCAGATTATATAAAAAGGTGAAAATTTCACAAATCATGTAGGTAGACATGTTAATTCAATTTATGAAAACATTGAAAGATAATTTTTCTTTCGTTCGTTCCTGGAGTTTTACGTCCACTTTCACCAAACTGATATCGTGTGTGTGTCTGTGGGTCGCCTACCGGCCGCAATTCTGGATGGATTGTCTTGAAACTTTGCATACTTATTCCTTATTCCCTAAGAATGAATGCCTGTCCCCCAGGGGCTGAGCCACACCCATTTCTTCTTTCTGTGTCGGTGTGTTGCCTACAGGCCACAATTTTTAATGGATTGTCTTGGAACTTGATATAAGTATTCCTTATAGCCTAAGGACTGCATGTTCCAATTCCCTAGTGGCAGAACCACGCCCAATTTTTGTGTTTATTGTATACTGGCCCCAATTCTGAATGGATCATCTTCAAATTTAGCATATGTATTCCTTATACCCTAAGGGCAGCAACTATTGATTTTGGTGCATGTCCCGACCCCAGTGGCAGAGCCACACTCATTTTTTTATGTTTAGGGTTTGAAGGCCACAACTATGAATGGATTATCTTGGAACTTGGTATACTTATTCCTTATACCCCAAGGATGGCAACTATTGATTTTGGTACATGATCTGCCCCCCTTGGGCGATGCCACTCTTACGTTTTATTAATATTTTGTCTGTAAATAATCTACAGGTTGCAATTATTAACATATTAGGATCCAATTCAGTATGATCCGTCAAAGGGTTGTACCTATTTATATTGGTCCGTGTCCAATCCCCAGATGCAGAGCCACGCCCAAATTTTGCGTTTTTTGTCTACAGGCTGGAATTCTGAATGGATAATCTTGGAACTTGGCATATTTATTCCTTAAACTGTAAGAATAGCAACTATTTATATTGGTGCATGCCCCGACCCCCAGAGGCAGTGTCACACCCACTTTTTGTTAATATTTAGTCTGTAAATTTGGCAAAACAAACCCAACACCTAGGCTTCTTTGCCTCTTGTCATATTATAGTCATTGCAGCCATTTCATATTTCATGCTCATTATTTTAAAAAGTACCACATATCAATCAAAGCAGGAATGTGGACGTATATTGCAGTGGTAGCGATGCTCTTGTTATACCTGTAGGAAAAATAAAAATATTTATGTTTTGCAGGGAATATGAGTTTATCAGCTTTAGAAACACTTTATCCTACAGCTGCAGCTACCAGTAAAATACTTAAAACGGGAATGACTCTAACTGAGGTGGGTATTTTTTATTCAAACCTTAAAATGTTAAAAAAAGGGAATGGTGTCACATCCCCGGTGAGTTACCGGCAGGGTATTAAAAAAAAGGACACGGGTATTGAACATTATACAGGGAAAGTACACCCATTACGCATCAAAATTATCAAAAAATGAAAATCACCTATAGAGGGCTTTTTCCATGGTGAGGCAATAACTATTTTTATACGCCCACATTTTCGGGAAAATTGAAATGAAACTGGTCGCTCTTTGTACGCAAATTGTGTAAGAGTATGCAATACGAAGGTTGTGGACCCTCTAGAGGTTACAATTTTTATCTGATTCTGATGAAACTTAAAACATATCTTTATATCCCAAAGATCTCAGTCCCTTTTGATATTTGCGCATTTCTGGATTATTGCCCAAGATTGTACAAAAAATCCTGTTTGTTTTTAGCTTGTTCTCTATCCATCTCTTGCAAAATGTGGGCGTATCCTACCTGGCAGCCGCTGGTTTTAATTTTTACAAGGCTAGCACATGAAACACTCTTGATATTTTTGTCGCAACCGGATTGAATGAAATGAAATGGGGTTTAATGTCCTACTGTTCTGCTCCGACTGGGATAATTAAGACGGGCATACGCCATGCAGTGTGCTATGAGGGACATTTTGCCCAGTAAGTGGCACTATGGCCTACTCTTATGTCAAATTTCAACTGATCCTACGTGCACGCCAGTGTATACACGGATCTCGGTCTTACCCACTTAACCACTGCTGTCGCATTCTGCTCTGGGGAAGTCCGGTATCGAGATTTGGTTCAGGTGTTCATCTCTCCAGAAACTGGTAGATATGGTCAAACATAGCATGAACTTTTCCTTGTCACTGGAATTCCTAGCTCATTATATGAACTTTCGAAAGACTTTACCTCTTGTTTGTAACCACCATCCAACTTGTTGCCGAAACAAGTGCGCCAGACGTTGTTATCAAGAGAATACTGCATTGCATCTAGGTGATCCTACTGATGGTTGACTACTCCGAGAAGAATTAAGTCGATCACCTTTCGGATGAGACGCTGGTGATCGACTTCATTCCGATGATGGAACTGCATCTCCTCAGCGTAGACAACCGTTGGTATGATCACCTAGATGCAGTATTCTCTCGATCCCCACAGCACACGCTTGGGCTGATGCATTGACAGACCAGGGGCTACAAATTAAAACGAGACACGAAGTACTCAAAGTATGCAGTGAAACTACTAGCATGTACAAAAATAATTGTTTATTGCTCTCGTCATATTTGATATCAAAATGTTTACGAAATTGAATGAGTGACTTTTTATGAATGACGTCAGAATTGTTGAAAGAAATGGTCGTATAAATGACCTAATATAACTACAGTTGGAAAAAAATGATCATTTAACATGTTTTGCTCTGAAAACTTCATGTCTCTCAAATGCGACAAAAATAACGAGCATGTTTCATGTGCTAGCTTTGTAAAAATTTAAGAAAATAGTTATTGGCTCACCATGGAAAAAGCCCTCTATACGCGATTTTCATTTTTGATAATTTTGATGCCTAATGGGTGTACTTACATAATGTTCAATAACGGTGTACTTTTTTATACCCTGTCGGCAACTGTGGTGTGTTTTTCCTTAATCAAAATACATGTATATCAAATGAGAAATGACCCACAATCTTAATTGCCAACTCCAGTGGCCATAATTAATGTAAGATTTATGGTTGATGTTGATATGGTGTGTTAGATTGATGAGCAAGATGTAAATTGTTCAATTAATTTAAATTCTACCTCACCAAGTGCTGAATATTATAATTATCTTACAGATTTACAGTGAATATGTAAAAGTTACAGATAGTTTACAGGCAGAAAAAGCAGAGAACAGTCAACTTAAAATCTATCTGGATGAGATTGGAAAAGTAAGAATATGTCTTTGATATAATGCTTAGATTTCTTTTTTTTTTTTAGTTCAGTTAAAATGACAACACCATATATAATTGATAAATATTTGCATTGTGATTAAAATAATGAATAAATGTTTTGTATGATTTTTGCAGGAGTTGGAAGAAAAGGCCCCATTGTTGGTACGACAGCGTGAAGATTATGAAGCAGCTTTACAGAGTAACACTAGAATGGCAGAACAGTTAAACACAGCCATGGTGGTATGTACAAACAATGCTATTGCTATTGACACTGTTAATTGCATATCCTGCAGCTTAACCGAAATATCTGTCTTTAAGTGGATACAGAAAATTAGCACATCAAACCCTTTTTCATTTTAACCACAACACTGACTATTCCAACATTACACTTGGTATTCGAGTGGTTGGAAACTGGACGATCAATTAAAGTGTCTCAGAACCTTCAAGATTATTAATGCTCGATCTTCAATTGTTTGGTATGGCACAGATGGGTGAGACATGGACATGTAAGAACAATATAATTAATAATCACCATGTTATTCTCAAAATGATCAAGGTTTTCCATTCACTATAACTATAACACTGTTTGGAACCATGCTGAAATGATATATATAGTCTTCTTTGTGTATTTTTTTGACAGTTAAGTTGACATTAATTTGTAATATTTAGGAAAGGGAAGAATTATTAAAAGGTGTGTATTATTTTGACAATTTACATTAGTTGACATTAATTTGTAATATTTAGGAAAGGGAAGAATTGTTAAAAGATCGAGATCAACAGAAAAGAAAGTCAAACTTCTTGGAACGAGAGACACAGAGATTACAACAACAGACAGTAGATTTAGGCCGACAGGTAAATAATACTGTTATACTGAAATTTTGAGGTTATTTTGTTCAAATTTTGAAACATTTCTTATTTTAAGCAGATAAATAGATAAATTTTACAAAGATCACGGGGAAATAAAAATCAAATAAAATGTGGAATGAAAGTTTGTTTATAGAGTCTACCATCCTTGGTGCACATCGATGGTGTCTTTACATGCAAGACATAAAAAACAAAATAACTGTTTTGAAAAATAGGTGAAAAGATTAGTACAAGAAATATCAGAGATGAAAGGTGGACCAATTGTTAGAGAAACTTCACAGGTTTCATCTAGTCAAGATATTACAGCAAGTGATGTTGTTTCTGAAAACTTAGTTACATTTAGGTAAGTCAAGATGATGAATGAGGTTTTATTTTCCCGTTCATTGATAAATCTATAAGTTTCTAATTAATGACAAAAGTAGGAGTTGTTTGCAAATTAAATAACCAAGTAGAGGTAAGCCGATAAACATAGAAGTTCTGAGTAGGTTATTATTTAAGGAAATATCTCCCATAAAAACCCCATATACTACTTGCATGTTATTTAAGGGAATAAAATTTGTGATCTTTTTTGTGACTTTCAAGGAGTAGGGTCGCCTGTCCAACCTCGTGGGTTTTCTCCAGGTCCTCCAGTTTCCTCCCACTGCTAAAGACCCCTACGCGCAAGCGAATTATTGAAATAGACTTAAACCATATGTTAGTCCCGAAATGACCTAGTTTGTGTCAAGTCGACGTTAAACCCCATTTCTCTCTCTTGTGACTTTCAATGCAAAAATGATTATTTTCCTTGTTGGAACATAGCTGATTTTGGATAGCATCGCTCTGTCTGTCTGCTGATCCAAACTACGAGATACGCTTAAATTCATAAAAATATTATTTAATACAGTCATAAATCCAAATTCATGGGTGAATGTTGAGATATATAGATTATGAATAAAACACTATACTACATTTTAAACACAGATAACAACTTATGTATGCGTACTGGTTTTAATTGTTTAGCAGACAACTTCAGAGACAATGATCATAACGACTTTCTACTGAGACATGTTAACAATGAACAAATTAACCATGGGCTATGGTATAACAGATTAAATGAAATGGTTTACATATTGTGTAGACTTCTTGATATTAATAATAGTTTAATTGTACAGTAATTTATCTTAATGAATCATTTGATTTCATAGAAACTTAGAAGAATTACAAGAACAGAATCAAAAATTATTGACTTTAGTACGAGAATTAAGTGAAAAGAATGAACGAGAAGAACAAGAAGCTGTGAATAGTAGGTTAGTAATACATAATCTTTGTATCTTAATTTGAATTAAACTTTGAAAACTATTCGACATTTGTTATGGTTCTCCATTAGATAAGAGTAATTTAACAAGGGGCCTCTCCATCTGTGCTTCTGTTCTTTCAAGAATACGTTAACACACAACAACTGTGTCAAGAAAAGTTTAATTATAATGAGGCGTAGTGGATGGGTTGTTCTGAGGATTATCTTGGATGAATATGAAGGAAGGCAGATTTCATGTATATTTAAGTAGAGCAGTGCTCCATCCTAAAAAATATTTCCAAATGTAGTGATAGTTGTGCCACCATGTTTATATAATACGCCATACCTTGATCGTTATTTTATATTACAGAACTGAAGATTTACAACAACAATTAGAAACAGCTCTAACAGAGTTAAATCAATTACAATCGGCTAGACAAAGACAAGAAGAACTGGTATGTTCAATTTCATCCAGAATATGGAAGTTATAATCTTTCCATAAACACTATTGCGTTTATTTACTAGGTCTGAATTCATAATTAGAATATCTTGATTCCATGTCAAAGGGACCAGGGGTGGGAAATTGACCCCCTCAATTTTTGGCCGAAATCCCGAGAATTGGCTGAACCGTATCTCAAGAGCCGTTAGTCAGATCAAGCTAAAATTCGAAATTTGGAATATCAGCTTTTTCAGCCCTAATAAGCATATAAACCAAATTTCAGCAAAATCGAAGAGAGTATGGTTTAACTCATTGGGTGATAATTGACATGGAATGACCCAAGACACAGTTTTGAAAAAAATCGAAAAAATATCGAGATGGCATGGGACAAGAATGGTTTTAACATATGTTGAGACATAAGTACAAACTATAATTTCACCAAGTTTCAGATTTTTAGATGCTCATCTACCAATTTCTTTTCAAGCTACAGACCACAAATTTTGCACAGTTTCTAGTTTTTACGTGTACAATAACATATATTTTTTCCAGATTTCTGTGGTGCCAACAAGGAAATTGTTGTGTCAATAGTAGGTCATGGGAACACATTTGTAGTGCACTTTAAAAAAAAAAAGAAATTTAGAAAATCGAATTTCTCCAGCTATGAAAAAATTCTAGTTCATCACCTTGCACATTTACAATAGAAAATACAATTTACCATGTACATGGGTGGGTTGTAAACTCTGTTTAATACTTTCTGATAACTTATTCAATTTTATCCAGTATATTATTGTAAGTCATAAGCATTAATTATGCATTTGTTTTTAAGGTGAAGTCTATAGTTAGACAGCGTGACATGTATAAGGTTATGTTACAAAATACATCAGATACCACGGTAAATATCATTATATTTTTATATTCACTTGTTCGATAATGCTCAGTTAGCTTAGATTTGTATATTAGTGCCTTGTCAATTATTTACATGTAATGGACATATTTTGAGCAATCGCTGCAAGTTTTTGAAAACAATCTGACAAGAACTGTAATGTGTAGATCATTCTCAATCAAAGCTGAACTTACTGACCTACCCAGGTTGCTACAATGTACGTATAAAAATAGTGATGGTTTAGAAATAAGGTTAGATTTGTTCATTAAATGTGACTGTCTTCATTAGCCCTGTCGGAGCAGATCATTAGGACGTTAAACTCCATTTCATTTCGTTTTAAATTGTAGTCTTGTTTATCCTTTCCATTTGGCATTTCAACAGAGCTGGTACTTATCTATTGTTAGAACATAGAAATAGGTAGATCATCCCCTTTAATGAAACTTGTGTTGTTTTATGGTATTCTAGATTCCAGTATCGTCAGAATTCACATCTAGGAGTCCAGTTAGAAGTAAGACAACATCACAAGGTGCCGATATAGAAAAACAATTGAACGAAACTAAGGAGGCATTAAAAGAACTAAATGTACAGTTTACTACATATAGAAAAGAGAAAAATGAGAATGAAAAGTAAGTGTCCTATCATCGATTCATAAGGAAATAATATTTTAGATAGCAATTACAATATCATATGTTTAGAAATTCATTGAAAAATATTGAATATTCATTGAAATGTAATGTCTATAAATCTGTTCCAGGATGCTAAATGAGCAAATTGAGGCAGCTAGAAATAAAGAGTCACAACTACAAATTGAGAATGCAAAATTGTCTTCAAGGGTAAATATGTTACTGTAGTATATGTTATTCGACATTCAATATTGTTTACAAAAATAGATATCAGAATCAGTTGTAAGTAAGAGAGTTTCAAAGACCAGTATTGTTTATGATTATGTATGGATAATAATTGAGAATAAATGAAAGTATTAGCCTTTTATCAAATTATACATATTGGTTGGGAAATAAGACTACAGAACATCTTGAATTTCTAATGTGACTCTTCGCACTTATGACATGTTTTAATTTTACAGCTTGATTTTTCTGCTGAAAGGAATAAAGTACAGCAGTCCAATATAGATAGTTATAAGATAGAAATAACAGCATTAAGTAACAGATCTCAGAAATATTCTTCACAAGTAATGAAACTGGAACAAACTGTTAATACACTTAGAGATGTATGTAAATTTTGTTAGTCCTCACTCAACTAGTGAAACCGGAGGCCATTATAGGTTTTTTTGTTTTTTTTTATCTTCATCCAGTTTTTAAATTATGGCCCTTTGTTGACATTATATCTATGGAATTTCTATTTTCCAAAAATATTTCAGATTTAACTTTGAGTTATTTGATTGAAGGTTGGTACACTGTTGTATAAAGTAGAGTTACTGACCAATCTGATTAAAATACAGATCTATATTTCATTTCGGTTTTTTTATGCTTTTGATGGCCTACACTACATGAAGATCTGACCAGTTGTACTGGAAGGTTGTGTTAGGGGTCGTACCAGCGGCTTTTGACCCTATGACGTCAGACATTGATTAATCAATTGGCGTTGACGTTTCTAGTGGTTTACCCCCAGTTCCGTGCATGGCATGCCAAGAAGTCACCGTTAACAGATGATTTCATTGGCTAATCCCATACGCCATCCAGAACGCCTGTTATATAACAACTCTTCCAGATCCTAGTGTAGCACAGACAAATAAAACGAAATTTTGAACTATAAAAAATGAAATGAAATAGGATCGAGTTATTAATTTAGTGAAAATTCAGTTTTACAGAATTTATTCCATGTATACCTAATTCACCGAAATGTATTCACAGTATCAGCCTCTTATAGATACATGGATTATAAAATTTGTAGGGGGCTTTTTGGTGAAATTCCCTTGTCAGTAATGCAGGACAGAGGGCCTGACAAGGACAGCTGTCTAGTCGTTCAGTTGGGACGAAAAATCAAAGTCCTGTTCACACATTGGTGTGCCCGTAAAAGATCCCTTGGTAGTTGGAATTTGATATAAGAGTAGGTTGTAGCGCCGCTGTCCAGGCAAAATTTTCCTCATAGCACACTGTATGACGTATGCCCATGTTTATTAGCCCAGTCAGAGCAGAACAGTAGGACGTTAAACCCCATTTCATTTCATTTTCGTGAAATGCATTGACACATTAATCTGAGAATTTTTATGATTTAGTCCAATTTATTTAGATTTTAATTATGGATTTTATTATTCTATATTAAAGATGTGTTGAATTCACTGTATGTTGGTAAATTAACTCTGAATATTATAATTTATTTCTGAAGAACCAACCATACGTATATTTGCTTTTTAAGGATTTAATGGCTGCACAAGAAAATTTAACCCGCTTTGAAATACAGAATCAGAATTTACGAGCCGAGAAAGATCTACTAAAGGATTCAGAACGACATATGTTAGAAGAAATAGACCGAATAAGAAACGAAAATGGTTCTCAGAATCTAGTCATGTTAAACCTTCAGGCAATACAGGTGGGAATATATCGAGAGAAACTTTTCTATTAAAAGTTCTAATTATTGTACGCCTATATTTCAACCTTTTCAGTCCAGAGAAATGAACCCTATTGATTTTCAAATTTGGTGTGAAGCATTGGGATCGGAGAGGATGAACCCTGTTGATTTTCAGCATCTAGAAATTGCTGTTCCAGAGAGATATTTTGTGTCCAGAAAAGTTTAAGAACATGATAGATATCTGATTTCTTGAAGGCATAGGCATAAAACTAATCAAATTTGGTCATCATCCATATCCTCTTTTCAGATAAGCTGCTGCATATGGCTATCTGTTTTTCTAGACATAGTTGCTTTGGTGGTGTATTTCCACACTTTGTGAAGCTATCTGTTTTCTATTTTAAAATTCACGTCCTTAATATATTACTTGAATATTTTGAAATCTGTTGGTGATTTGTCTTTGCATAAATACAAGAATATTCTGTAGATTAAATGTGTCGTGTTAATGGGGGTTTTTATAAGATTTATTTTTGATATGTTTTCAGAATAATCTTGAAAGAGCTGACTTTGAAAATAAATCCCGTTTAGAACAACAGATAGAAAATAAAGATAAAGAAATTTCCAGTATTAGACGTAAATTAGAAAATATACAAGATGAACACCAGTCTACTATTAGATATTGGGAGGTCAGTTTTATACATAACATCCAATAATTGGTTTATAACTATATCTGTAGGAAATGGTCAATTTATAACTATTATTACATGCCCATATGCTCAAAGACTTATGTACAATGTTAAAATTAGTAAAACTAAAGAAACCTATTGAGTTTGAACAATTTCCGTTATAGCCTTTGTCAACTTCGCAGAATCTTGTGAATGGTGTACCAACAAAAGTTATCTTCCTTTTTGCTTGAAAGTTACATTTATTAATCTGATTATTGAGAAAAGATGGTATTTATAACGACCATCAAATTTGAATGAAATTTGTGTTGTTCTTTGTGAAATTTTCCCACAGTTTTGTCAAGATCTTCAACTTTGACTTCTGAAGAAATTCAACTTAAAATCATAGTTTATATTCTTGGTTGGTTGGTTTGGAGATAAGGCTCCATACAGCATACCCCCACTTTCAAAAATTGCAAATGATTAGGCATCATTGTACAACTAGCTCATTTTAAAAATATTTCCATTTAAACAGTTAGTTTGTTTTATAGAATTTGGTGAAGACACTACAAACTGAAGTTAGTAAAGAAAGAGAAAATATGAAGGCAGAAAAAAGTAAAATGGAGGATGCTAATACATTCATACAAAGTCTGAAACAAGACGTATGTATTAAGTTGTTATACTGTTTGGTTTGTCTATAATAATCTATGGAGAAAAAAAATTGTGTGTAAAATGTGTACATTAAAGCTTGAAATCCATATAATGCACTTTCATATGACTAAGATCTTGTTATTTAGCTACAACCATATGAATTTCTTCAATTTCAGTTATCAGCTACAGAAGCCAAGTTAGCTGCAGCAGAAATTAAACTGTCTAATTCTAACTTAGGAGATTCAGGTATTGCAATTGATATTGTTTATTACCATGATTCACATAGTGATTTTTCACCATAATTCTAAGGTGATACTTGATTGACTATTCCGTAATTGAATTATCTCAATCTCTTGAAAGGTGTCAGTCGAATAAACATGAGAATTTTGGTCGGCAAGGCATGCACAAACTGAATAAGGTACTATCTCAACCAGTCTCCATTGCCAAAATATTTGATTATTTAGCTATTCTGCTCACACCACATCAGTTTTCATGATTGGCAGTAGCATGATAAACTCAATTCAATTAATTTGGAACATTCTGGGAGTGGCCATCAAGCACCTCCTGAAAATGTGTGACAGGTTAATGGGAGAAAGATAGGTTGTTCAACAAATTTTTTCAGTATCTCCACAAAAAATCTTTGTTTAGTTATTGAGTTATTTCGACTTTATATGACAAGAATTACTGATAAATTATATTATATTGTTTCGTTATATATTTTTAGTTGCTGGTGGCAGTATGTCTATAACAGCTGTATCTATGTCTATTGATGAAATAAAAGATCTCAAGTCTCAGCTCGCACAAGCCAATGCCAAGGTTAAAAGTAGGTTTTAAAAACAAAGTTTACATATCTTTGTTACTTGAATCGACAAAATTTTGATTTTATATTCCAAGGGGAGTATTAAGGATTTTAAGATAATTTTAGTTGCCTATTTGTCAAATGGATATCATGCTGTATGTTCTGTTTCATTTTGTTGCATATTTTGTCATCATATAGATTTGGAGAAAACATGTGAAGATTCCAAACGTCAAATGGAACAATATAAACAGATAGCAAGTAATGTAGAAGAGAGTATTAAACAACAAAATCAAACCAGTGAAGAATTTCAGCAAGCTCTAGAAAAACGCATGGAAGAATCTACTGCAGGTACTATTTTAAAATTTTATTCTGTGGATGACAAAGGGCAAGAATTAAAAATGTCCTTTGTTGTGGAGTTTGGTTTGATACATGAGTTTATTGTATGTTGTACATGATATGAATGATTATAATGGATCTTATTTATGTTTCAGCCAAAGTAAATCTGGAGAAGAGAATTGAAATGTTGGAAAAAGAAAACCAGGAACTAAATAATCAAAATATTAAAACTCTGGAAGAAGCTCACAACTTGGTAATTATTTGATTTCATGCAAATTCCACTTCATTTAATTATTTTGCTATGAAAAAAATTAGTTTATGTTCAGACCCCCCCCCCCTTTTTTTCTTTTAACCAGTGGTACTAGACCTGATCTGTTTACAAACTTTTGTTTGTCTCATTATTTCAAGTGTTATTTTTTCTGTAAATTGTGATTCTCTTATTTTAGAATGCTGATTTACGTAAACAGTTATCAAGTTTACAGAATGAGTTATTAGATGCTGTAGAAAGAAGAGAGACAGCTATTGCGACTGAAACAGCAGCCAAGATTAAATGTGAACAACAAGTTCAAGTAGCAGCTGAGGTATGTTTATTGATTTTATTTATACAATGCATCTGTTATCATAGCATACAAATGATAAATGGGTATTTGAGTTTTCTTTTAAAAAAAACTTTTTGTAAAAATAATACCAAATATCATCTTCCACAATACATTGGTTTTTATATGTTTTGAAATGCATGTACTTGAAATATAAAACTATTTGCTGTATTTGCAGGCTCAAGATAAATATGAAAGAGAACTGATGCTTCATGCTGCTGATGTAGAGGCATTAACCTCTCTTAAAAGACAGGTATTTGATAACATTTAGATTTAATAGTAACTTGTGTGATTGTTTCCCAATGCTTTATATTGTTTTGATGTTCTGCATAGTTATTGATCTTTTTGCTTTTCTGTGTAACAGTTTGTGATTTTTTGAGAAGATAATCACAATCATAACACTAGTTAATGACCATAAATTATAGTTCGTGAAATAATGGTTTATCTATTTATGATATAATTTACCTTCATTTATTTCTACTTAAAAGTTAGCCGATAAAAATGAACCGCTAGCCAAATCCCAAGAAGAACTGAAAAAGTGTGAACTTGAACTTCTAGAATCAAAGGTAAATCCCTTCACTGTCAAAAAAAAAGAAAAAAACATACCCACTAGTTGTGAATCTGTATAAAGTAATACCAGAATTGATACCTTAGATAGATACGACTTGATCACCAAGATATATTACTGATACACAAGTCTAATTTGGTGGATTTTCTCTCAGTTTTAAGTGTTCTGCAGTCTTCTGCAAACATTGCTTGCTTTTGAAATAACAATATATACTAGAGTCAACGTTTAGGCATAAATGTCTGATTGATAATATTATGTTTTCAGACATCGTGGGCGGAACAAGAACGATTATTGCGTGAAGAATGTAAGATATTAGAAGATAGATGTGCTGAATTATCCAATCAAAATAAACTTCTACATGAACAGATGACCAAGGTAAAAAAATGATAATTTTGTTAACACAGATAATTCAAGAATTGTAATGTCTATTTTTAAATATCTAATATACACCTGGATATTGGAAAATACCAAATAGACAACAGATTCTAATTAAACATTCAAACTAAGTTCTTGTACAGCTTAAAGTGCATTGGATCACAAGGTCTGTCATTGAGTCAAGGGGCATGGGTTTGATTCCCCGCTTGTATGTGAGTAGGGTTGCCTGTCCAACCATGTGGGTTTTTTTCAGGGTTGTCCTGTTTTCTCCCACTGCTAAAGACCCCTACACGCAAGCAAATTATTGAAATAAAATTGAACCATATGTTAGTCCTGAAATGCCCTAGTTTCTCCTCTGTGTTCTATTTACTATTTGTTAATGATTGTAATAGTTTAGAACCTCATAAGTACTATGCTTGGTAACCTATTAGAGTCGATTAAAAACAAAACATGAACAGAGTTATGTTGAATGAAATAATGATATGTTTTATTTTAGTTAACTAGCCAAGTATCTACTATACAACATAAATCAAGTGGTTTAGATTCAGCCAATACTTCAATGACAGAAGAAACTGAGAAATCATCAGATCAGTTATTAGAGGTTATCAGGTACAGTGAATTACAGGCAATTCTTGTATTTAGAGGAATGTGACAGAAATCAAGTGACTTCAAAATGTTGTGTACATTGTGAATGTATTATGCCGTCGCCCCTGTCCGTTCGGACGTCCCCAATTTGTTTGTGGACACTGTACAGGTCACAATTTTGATCCGATTTTGAAAGACTTGAAATATAGCTCTACCTACCAAAAATCGCGGTTCCTTTCAATATTGGCATGTATCAGACCATAACTTCATGGATTATGCCCCCTGATTGTACGAAAAATCACATGGTTGTGGACCCTCAAGAGTTCACAATTTTGATGAAACTCGAAATACGTGTTTATAACCCAAAGATCTTGGTTCCTTTTGATATTCGCGCATTTATTATTATCCGATTTAAAAAAAACTTTCGAAAATATCCTTGTTACACCATAATGCCAGTTGAGTTCATATTTAGTAAAAATCAGACCAAAACTGCCACACAAAATGGCCCCTGATTGTACGAAAAATCACGTTTTTAGCTTGTGGTCCTTGTAGAGACCACAATTATTATCCGATTTAAAAAAAGGTTTGAATATATATCACTGTTACACTGTAATGTCGATCGAGTTTGACTTTCGTGAAAATCAGACCAAAACTGCAACACAAATGGCTGCCCCTTGTACGCAAATAGTGTAAACATATGGTGCATCAAGGTTGTGGACCCTCTAGAGGTCACAATTTTCATCCGATTTTGATGAAACTTTAAATACATTATTATCACCCAAAGATATTGGTTCCTTTCGATATAATTGTGCACATCGGATTATAACTTCTTGAATTATGGCCCTTGATTGTAAGAAAATGAAGGTTGAATTCAAATTTGGGGAAAATGGATACAAAACTACTCGACAAAATGGCGGCTCTTTGTACGCAAATTGTGTAAAGTATGTAATATGAAAGTTGTGGACCCTCTAAAGGTCACAATTTTTATCCGATTTTGATGAAACTTAAAGTATATGTATATGTCCCAAAGATCTGCCTCTTTCGATATTTGCGCACTTCAGACCATAACTTTCTGGATTATGGCCCCTGATTGTACGAAAAATTGCTTTTGTTTTTAGCTTGTTCTCTATCCATCTCTTGCAAAATGTGGGCTTATCTTTAAAAACCATTTAAATATATCACCATTCCTCCATAATGATGGTTGAATTTGAATTTCGGGAAAATCGAAACGAAACTGCCCAACAAATGGTCGCTCTTTGTACTCAAATCGTGTTAAAGTATGTAATGCGAAGGTTGTGGAACCTCTAGAGGTGACAGTTTTTATCTGAGTTTGATTAAACTTAAAATATATGTTTATGTCTCAAGGATCTCTAACCCTTTCGATATTTGCACACTTCAGACCATAACTTTCTAGATTATGACCCCTGATTGTGCGAAAAATCGCTTTTGATTTTAGCTTGTTCTGGATGCATCTCTTGCAAACTGTGCGTGTATCTTGCCTGGCAACCGCTGGTTCTTGATATTTGGCATCAAAAAAATCCATTTGAAAAAAAAATTCTTAAATGAGCCTTTCAGATTGTATGTAAAAAATGAAGTTCCATATTTGTATTGATAGTGCACTAGAAATTAAAATAAAAGTAGTTAGAACCAGAACCTTGCATTGTACTTATAATGATAGAAACTTACAATTAGTATATGTTTGTTTTAAAATACGATCCAAACAGTAAATATAGTAATTTCTGTGTAATTGTTACAGGTTCCTGAGAAGAGAAAAAGAAATAGCCGAAATGAAAATGGAAGTATCTGAAATAGAGTGTAATAGATTAAAACATAGATCTGAACATTTAAAGAAACAACTAGAAGATGCCAATAATATATTAACTAAAGAAAGAGAAGACTCACAGGTATTCTTTATTTTACAAAAACACAAATTATGTATGCATTCAGATTTCATTATTTGATAAATTTTATTTAAACTAAAATAACAGAAACTTTAAACAGTCAACTAAAAGAAAGAAAGCATCTAGATTTGAATCAGCCCTATTTTTTGTGATTTAAATAAACCATATTTTTTTGTGATTTAAATAAACCATATTTTTTGGGTGATTTGAATAAAACTTATTTATTTGTGGCTTCATTGTATAATGCAGCAGGACTATTAAAATAAGTTTAAAATGAGAAAGAAATTATAACCCGAAATTATTAAGTTTCTCTTTTGTTATAGGTGGCTCTTACCACAGTATCAGAACATGCTGATATATTGAAGAAGATACAAAATGTTAATATATTATCAGACAGTAATAAAATATTACGAGAAGAAAGAGATAGATTAAAACAAGATTATCTTACTCTAGAAGCCAAGGTATACCTTAGATCTATTGTTTTCAACCTTTTTTTGAACCATTTCCCCTTTTCAGTTCTGCTTTCCAACTATTCCCCCCACCTAGGACAATCTCATTCTCCCCCTTGAAGCGATCAAATTCCCCACCTTGGGAGGATTTTCCCTCGGGTTGAAAATCAGGACCTTAAATTGATATTAATTTCTATTAGTTATAGTTTCGAATTTGACTTAAAGTGTATAGTAGCAGATTTGACATCAATACAATTTTTGTTTTGTTTTGCAAATATGCCATAATGCAGTTCCAGGTGATAATTATAATGAACTGAATGTTTTAGGTTAAGAAAATGGAAGATAATATTAACCCACTTCAAGCTACAATACGTAATTTAGAAACACAGAAAGGTTTGTTAGCAGGAGAGAAACAGGCCTTAGAGAGTGAAGTTACTCGCTGGAAATCACGAACCAATCAATTAATAGAGAAATGTAACAAGACAGATCCTGAAGAACAAAAGAAATTAATGTATGCTCTTTTTATTATTTAATCTGAGCAAAGATTTTTAAGACCCAATAATGTAAATGATCCTCTTCTCCTATATAGTATGCCCACATTCTTCATGCCCATGTTTGTGTCCATCAATGGGCATTTCCATCAATCGTTTTTTAAAAAAAATCTAAAAACTTCCAAGGGGGTAAAATAAAAACTAGCAACATACCATTTTGGCTATTTTTCCTATATGATTAAAATTGATTACAGAATTGCTTTATTAATGTTTTGCACTATATTTTACAGTGTTTGTTTGTTTTGTTTCATTCAGGCTAGAAAAAGATAGCATGAAGCGACAATTAAGTTCGCTAAGTGAAGAAAATTTCAAACATAAGTATGTATATTAATTGTACAAAAATATCTCATTTCCTGTTACAGAATGAGTTTAAAATAACCAAGAAATATTATCCTACTGATAGAAAATGTATGTTAGCATTAATATGATTGATCTTGGAGGATAATTTTAATTCCATAAACTATAATTTTCAGAGAATGCAATCATTTGTTCTCCCTAAAATATATATTTCTGGACAGTGAGAAAGTGTCATAAATTTGATATTTCATTATTTTAGGGCAGAAATATCTAAACTAAACTCCACTATACAGTCATTACAGTAAGTAACTTGATTTTAATAATTTGATAAAAACAGAGGTATTGAATTTTACTGTTTTGTAAATATTCTTTTTTGGAACTATAGAATTGAATTTCATGGGATTTAAAGTACCATACAAGGGAAAAAAGAATACTTGAAACGAATAATTTAATGTTATTGTTCCTTCCAGAAATGAACTCAAGAATGTAAGACAAGAAAATGTTAAACTGACGTAAGTTTTCTGAAAATTAAATATAATCATACCCTAAGGATTGCAAGCAAATAAGGAAAGTTGACAATATTAAGTTGGTCTGCATGAAACGTACATTGTAAATTTACTTCAATTGACATGTATCTCAGAAATGAAAATAAAGAAGAAAATCCTTGATAGTTATCATCTAATAATAGTGCTCTCACCTATAGGTTTTCTGTTAGTATTTTTTTTTTTTTCAGTCAAGCAATGACAACATTGAAAGCTCAACAAGCAACTCAACAGGCAACAGATAGTGATGAAAAAGCCAAAACTATTAACCAGGTTAGTTAGTTAGCTCTTTATTAACCTAATCATATATCTATTATGATAGAAATTGGTCTGTCGTACAGAATAAATGATAATTCCACAATATGACATTTAATTTTCTTAAGTATAAGAGTTTTGCCAGGTTTTCATTACTTTTGCATAGATTTTCATGATATTTAGCGAGTATTAGTTCAGAAATGTGATTTTTGAAATAAATACATAAGCGTTCCAGAAAAATATATATACCTCTCCCAGAGATGATTTATGCTATGCTTGTATTTAGTTGAAGAAGATAGGAAGAAAATATAAAGAACAAGCTGAGAAAATTGCAAAGGAGTTTGAGGATTTTAAGTCTAAAGCTGCTAGTCAGACGCCAGCTGCAGGTGATAATACAGCAGCCATTGAACAGGTTAAAACAGAAATGACAGAGAAATTAACAACAGTTGAGAAAGAAAAAGCTGATTTTAAAACTAAAATTGATGAACAGATGCAAGAAATTAACACCCTGAAAGAACAGATTAATGAATTTAATAAGGTATTTTAATTGCATAATGTAGTTTAAATAGTTAAAGATACATTATGGGAGATTAGATAAAGAGCTGGCAAATCTCACTATAATAGTTAAAAACTAGATAATGTAAAGGCAATTTGCTGAAAGTTTCAGTCAAATTGATCCACTGTGAATCAAGATTTTAGCGATTGAATGTGGGGCTAGCCTCAATCATCATTACTAATGTCGGTAGGAAAAAAACCTAGTCTTGATTATCCATTTTTTGATTTAATTATGAATGGAAGTCGCAAAGCAAATTGAAACGTAATCCGATAAACATCGCAGGATAGCGATCCCATCAAGAAATGATTATGATCTGGATAAGTTAATTAATGTCTAATTAATAATTAAATAACATTTCAGGCCTAATGAAAGACCTGCAATAGGCAGATGTAGCTCTTGCATAATGTATGTTTAAACATACTTTATATAATTCACTTTTGATTCAGTTTGGTGGTAAAGCTTAATTTTAAATTTTTTATCACATATGCATATATGGGATAGGATAAATATCCAAAACCGCTGTATTATTTTAACATACTAACTCACTTAAAATTGCAAGAAATAGGGGAGAAGCTAATTGGTCAAAGGCAGATTATAAGTCTTTCTAAGAAAACCTATTGAGTTTTCTCTGGGTACACCAGATTCCCCAACTGCTTTAAGGATATAAAAATTTACTATATGCTTTGTTGAGTGGATGTTAAATTCCTTATCTTGCCCTCCAATTTTTCAGGAAAAAAACCAACTCGAAGAGACTTCTAGAAAATACCAAGATGATATTACAGAATATGAGAAAAAACAGACACAGTCTAAAAATGTATTATCAACAGCCAAATCTAAAATAACATCACAGAAAGAACATATAGAACGTTTAAATACAGAAAATACAGATTTAAGACAAAAACTAAATGAAACAGAACGTCAAAATAAAGGTAAACTATAGTGTGGCAAATAATAAGTCCTATAGGTTTGTCAGACAGTATTATTTTGTTATAGAATTTGTTGGCATATATACAATGAAAAATAGTTCTAAATGTTAGAATTCCCTTTTAACCCTTACATTGCGTGGGGTCCGCTCACCTGGTCATCCCACATGACCAGGCACTTCATAGACTAGATTAGTCTAGAATAACAACAAACTCAGTAAACAGAAACCACTGTTACCAAAAGCAATTCTTCATTACGTGAGGTTGGATCACTGGGTCATCACCCACTACTTATAGTTTCCTTTGGACCCGGTTATCATGTTTCAGTTTTATTATATACCAGAAAAAGGATCATTAAACCTGGTGACCATAAACAATATTGACACATTACAAAAGGGTTAACCTTTTCAATTCATTTATTTAATACAATTCATATTAAAGATTATATAATATTGTGTTATAGAAGAAAATGAAATGAGAGTTAATATGTTAAAGACACAATATGATGGTAGAATATCAAGATTAGAGAATGAATTGACAAACAGTAGAACATCCAATACTACAGCTGATAATACACAAATTGAACGGCTTATGAAAGAAAACTCAGAACTCCAGGCTAAGGTAATTGTACTTATATAAGTCATTATGGGATGGTATAGTCTTTTCTATTGGTAGATATTACCAATGTTTCTATTTAACCCCTCCTGAGCTAACCACTTCATACCCATAGAGGGCTTTGTAAATATTGAGTAAAAATCAAGCTTTAGACCCTGTTGTGAAAAACCATGCATACCTGTAAAATTGCAGATGTATATCCTTTATATATGACTTGTGATTTTTGCATATTTTTAGTTTAGCTTTTATGGTTACCATGGTTACCAGTGAGTTTCAAAATGGCTGCCATATTATTGTCATAAATGAAATATTGGATATTTTCTTGCCATTAAAAAAAAATTCAAGATGGGCAAGAATAAAGCTATATGGATTATTAGCATGATAGATATCTCTTTTGTAAGAATAGTATAGGTTTTTGTGGGAAAGACACTAAATTGTGATAATGGGTTTTTTTCTAAAAGTAATAAAATGCAAATGAGCAATATTGACATTTTTGCGGTAACACAAATATAAATATTTGGAAAAAAACAATAATATATACCAAAATATTCACATTAGGGTTGCCATGGTAACTAGTTTGACCATATAGTATACGTCTATATTGGCAGCAATCCTCTGGAGAAGTCTTTCTTTTTTGTGTCTTTTCTTTGTGACAAACATCTGAATTTTCATCAAAAGAAGAGTCCCCACTTATAGTATAGTCACTACCCGAATCCAAAATAGATGTGACGTCATCGGCATCTGGACTCACGACTAAATTCAGCCGAAGTCTTTTTGTTGTGAAGTACGCCATTCCTCGGCTGTTCTGACTATTGATGGTTGTTCCGTCAATAGATGAACCCCCCTCGTAATAGAAACTCGTGTTATACACCATCTAAAGTTAAAACCTTGCTTTTTACAGAGGAGTTAACCAAATTAAATAAACTTCCCGACTATTGTCAGGTGCCGCTCTGACAGACTATAAAATAATCGTTGGGATTAGCTCAGGAAGGGTTAAAATAAAGTCTATTTCATACAGTAAAATGTGTAAAAAAAATTGAAATAAAAACCAATGCTGTGCATTTTCTGACAAAGTAATAAATACTTTTTTCATAGTAAATATTTGTTATACTCAGATTCTGCAGTTACAAAAACAAGTTGAAAATATGTCAAAACAAGTTACACCACAACAACAAGTCACCCGTACTCCAGTTACTATGGCACCAAGGTGAGTTGTTCTAATATTTCCTGCTGTAGAATTGATACAAAATATGTATGTGGGTTTGCAGGGTACCTTCAGAGTGAGTTCTCTCACCAGTGCTTGATTGTGATTCCGGAACATACCAATTTTGACAGAAGCATGTTCTTTCATAGTTTTGAATCCTGATAACAAATTTGGTGTGAGTAGAACATTACAGAACTTTCAGTCGAATACAGCTAATTCTCTTATTTCTCTTTGATTACTTTAAAACTGTTTGATCATTATAGTGTATCAACATCAGATGCTCCTAAAACAGCAAATATTAGACCTATGGCAACATCCACAGCTCCTGTAAGACCTACAACTCCAATACAACATTCTTCAATGGCTGCTCGTGTTACAGCAAGCATACGGCCCATGGCTATAGCTCCATCTACGTCTACAGGGGGGATAACTCCTACTGCTACTGTCATGCCAACAACAGTGTCGCAACAAGAAACAAATGATGGTAAGGCATATTAATAATATTAGATGTTTGGTTGAACTTTGGATATATACATAGTACTAGAAGCTAAATTTATTACGGAGGAAACTAATAAGAGCAGAATATAAGACACATTATAACCCAAATGAAGAATTGTCACTGTTTAACAATGAGAAAATAATTTGCAAACTCTCTGAAAGACTTCTGTACATATCACAATTAATGAAGTAAACTATGATTCCTTCATAAAATTGAATATGTTTTCTTTGATTTGTTTGTTTATATTAAAGAACCAGCTACATCATCAACACCTAGTTCTATACCAGCAGCTAGTGTTACGCCACGTATATCAACACAAGTACAAATAGTAACACCTCAGATTGAAACACCTTCTGGTTAGTCTCATCTTGTATAAGGCAACACAAATAAAATAAGTTGTTTCTCGGGCACCGCCCGCACGCAAAATTGGTTGCGCGTGCGGCCTATTTATTAGTCTTGATGAAAAATAAAAAATATGTAACGCCCGCCCGAACATCGATAAGCAAGTCATAAAAAGAATATGCCGCATGTATCTACATGCCCCATACGTGAATATCCATTCAAATGTATTAAACTGATTCAGATGTAAACGCTCATTTACGGGTCTTTTTTATTGATATCGAAAGAACCTCCATTTTTGTATCACATGATTTTAATTACCTCCCCTTGTGAACTAGAATTTGATTCGTGTTAAACACCGAAAGTCATTGACAACAATGCAATGTATTTCAATCATTCGATCTTAATCGGCTCATTATTGCCGGCTTCAGTCGGTCCATGTTTGAAAAAGTCCTACTTATAAAACAATGAATCGTAGAACAGGTTAATTATTATAACTTGTGGCTACGAATACGATACGATGATAGTCACCATCCCTTAGTCAGAATCTGGGTCATTAGCACATTTAACGGTAGTTTTGATAATCCGGAAAATAATAATTGGATTACACATTTGATGGTTTTACTGATGAGTTGTTTGTTAAATTTAAATAGTCATTCGATATAAACCCCAGATAGAACACCGAATATCCTGAGAAACACACCGAATATCCTGAGAAACAGTCATTTCCCGAATCCCGATGACACGTGACATGCATTGGTTGGAATTAGGTCAATCATTATAAACCAGCGATACTAGATTTAGATCTAAGTGTCGTTTACCGTGATGATTATTTTTGATACACATGCTGACAGAGGCTTAGTCTTTAAAATATTGTCGTTATTATTGACGGCTATTAATAGTCGTACGGAATTTTATTTTAAACCAATTTCAATTATGGTTGTCACCATTACCATTAGTAAGCTACGAATTAAATGTGGAAAATTATTTTCCTTCTAGTCAGTGTTCAGTGTTTGAGTAGACTTGATTTTTGGGTTTATGTTCTAAGTATGTATAATATATAACTGAAAGCAAAACCGTAGACAAGTAATGACTTTCTCATTAAAAAAAAAAAAAAAAAATACAAGGCCGCCCTCCCGCCCCAACAATTTTCAACAATAGCCAAATTTTATTTTGCACCATCCTCTAGCCAGAAATGAGGTAAAAAAAAAATAAACCGCCCTCCCCCCCTACAGTTTCAGCTGTCAATTGCCCGAGAAACAAGACATTTATTTTGTGTAGCCTAATGTCAGATTGCACACATTTATTACTGAGTTTTTTTCAACCTTAGAGCTATTGGTAGTAATTTATTTAAAAAAACAGTGATGAGTATCAAATTATTTTAAACAATGTTTTGCCAATGTAGTAGGTTGCTACGAATGTTTTTTTTAAATCCTTCGACTTAATTTTAAAGACTTGCGCAATGATTTGATTCAGAGAACACATTAGTTTAAATATTGCGAAACACAAAATTAACCAGTAGATTTGTTTTGTTCTAGAAGTAAATGTGGAAACATCAGTACCTGAACCAACTCCAGTATCCCCTATATTATCTACTACTGGTCCTAGTACAGAAACTACATCACCAATAACACCACAAGCTAGTACTAGTACAGGTACTACACATGCTGTTACTCCACAACCTAGTGCATCATCATCTTCACAACTTGGTAAACGAGCTAGAGAAGATACAGATAGGTATGACTTATTTTTGATGGATTTTGTTTTTTTCCAATGAGCAAAACCAAAAAAGCAACTACATAATTTGCTTTTAAAGACTTTAAGAGGATCCTAGTGACTCAGTAATAAACAATAATTGTATCCCATACTTGTTATGTACCATGAAAATACAGTATATCTGATATAGGTCTGTATACATATAAAATTCATATAGGCTACATTAATCACATCCTTGATTTTAGAGAATTCTTTAAGAAATTTATTTGAGTGTTCATTAATTTGGTGCATAGAATTTCAGTCCAGATTGTTTGAAAGCTGAGTATACTTTTCATTACTAAGATATGTATTTCAGTCAAGAAGAAGGGGATACATTTAATAAGCGAACCAGAACATCCTCACAGGTAATCAATGTATAAGAAAACCATCTCTATATTTGTAAAATTTCTTGCTAATAATTAATATTCTTAAAAGAATTAAATGAATAAAAATTTCATCTGGATATTTTGGTCTAGTATTAAGAGGATTTATATATCAATAAATTCCATATGATTATATATATATATATATAGGAACAAGGGATACCTGCAATAACAGTAACAGATGAACATGCCCAGACTATAACACATCTTAGTCCACAAACTGGTAGTACATCAACTAGTCCAGCTGTAGAGGTTGCTCCATTAACATCTTCTACTGATCAGCTACAAGATGCTCGGGTATGTCTTAATACTACTAGGATATTATAACATTTGAATATAATAAAATACGTTTTAATACTTTCATTTAATTGTGATTCCTCGTGAAACCTACACAAAACATAATATCCCAAATGTTTACTGTTGAAAATGGTTGTTGAATGCTCACAGACATTTTTCCTGAAAATGTATTAGCATCATGCACTGTAATTGGTAAAATGTTTTATAGAGTGGATTTTTTTTTTATCCCGTCTGTATAATGGTTATATTAATTGTAATCAGAGTTATTTCTGTATCAATTTAACTTCAGACAGAAGAATTTTCACCATCAGTTCTGCAATCGAATATTCAGCAAGTGAGTACCATAGAATGAAACTGTGTTTTTAACTCTTATTTAAATAAACTTTGAGATTTTGTTATAGGGAATAATTATTAGCATTGTCTTTCTAAATATTTTCACATATTATTGATATAGTGTGTTTTCTTTAACAGACAATGGTTGAACCAATGATGTCATCCCATCCTAGACGTAGACAAGCTGTAGCACCTAGAAATCAACAACAAGAAGATGATGGTGATATTATAGTACTAGGCAGTGATGATGAAGATCAGGTAAAACATATAATATTCTACCAGCATAGATTTTGATATTCTACAATCATAGATTAAGTTTGACGTGTTTCCTTAAGTTAAATTATTATTACAGTATATCTTAAGCATGGTATATTTAATGAAAAGTAACAGATTTTTTAAAAATTTGATGTGAAACATTGTGGTCATGAGAAGACGTATTTGATCATACATGTTTTTTTGTTTTTTTTAGAGAATGTAATTAATTATATTTCCATTATTTATTACTTCAAAATCACCTATTACTCATTACATGATCTTTACTTCAAACATTCAATAACTATTACCCCAAAAATACCATTTATCCCAGCCCTACCTGTCATAATACATGGAAAAAATACCTTGTTGATCTCCAATACTTTAGATGAGACTGCAATGATATTCATTAACAGAGGCTAAGTTTTGATAGATATTTAATAATGTTGATTTGTATTTGTTGATTGATAGGGTTATCGTGAACAAATGGAAGATTATAGAGAAGGAGGTGAAGAAATGGGATTAAAGGAATATACAGTTAGTTTATATTATTTATTTTCAATTAGAGAAAATTTCATAATTACATTTTTAATAGAAGTCATCCTTATTCGAATTGTAATTATATTTCATCATTTCGTTCAGGAATCCATGGAGGAGGATGATTATGATGATGAATATGATGAGGATGATGATGAGGATGATGAAGATGATGACGAGGAGGATGATGAGGATGATGAGGATGATGAAGATTCTAATGATGTTGTGATCGTCGGTAATTATTCATAGTTAATTGCAAAAAGGTCTTATTTATAAATGTTGGGAACATGTGCAATAGAATCTTAGAGCCAAGCAGAAGGAAACAAAATCCATATACTATTACAGTTTTAACTTCTATCATTGTAACTCCATTTCTGACTTAGCCATTTTATCATAGACTGTCACAATCTAACAGAGATTGATCCTACCGCCCAGATTCCTGGCTAATGTCGTGACTATAGAAGCTACAAAATTAAAAAATTTCTCAAATCAGAAAAATCAAGATTAGGTCGTGATTTTTTTTGTAGTGCTGCGCAAAGAATTTTGCAGTTTCAATTAACAGTTAACAGTTTCGTTTCAGTTAACAGGATGTAAAAGTCGGAAATGGGACAAAGTGTTAATATTCAATTAAGGAGTACATTGTCTTGAGATATTGGCATTATCTATCAAATCTCTAACCTATTTGAGGGATTTTTAACCCCTTGTAAACACCATATTGTTTATAGTTAAATCTCTGAAAAGGGTGTGTCCAAAAATAGTTAATTACATTATTTACAAAGATATGATGAATTGATCAACTGCAGACGATATAAATGGGACATGGTCAAAACATGTCAGCGTCGGCTATAATCTTCACTGAAATGTTTTGATATGGCTCCGAGTTCACAAAGCATTCTCAGATTTAAGTTAAGAATTTACTCAACTGTTTATGAGAAATATCTTTATAAGGGCTATATTTTAGTTAGAATAAGGCGAATAATTTTGAGTAAATTCGTAACTTAAGTCTGAGAATGCTTTGTGAACTCGGTGCCTGATTGAATCTACGCTTGGTTATTTATCTATTGCCGATATTTTGATTTTGTTTTTGTAATTAAATGCTATTTAATCAATTTAGTGTAAATTAAGCAGTGAAAAATTAGATATTGTCTGATTCTAAGTTGCTATTGGTAACTAATTCTAGTATAGATTGTGAAAATATATTTTCTGATAATTTATTTTAGATAATGGTGCAGATGAAACAGAACAACAAGTAGTATCAATTCAACATCCTGTAACTGTGCCAGTAACTGATTTACCTAGACCACCTGCTAATTTACAATCTATGGGTAGATCACAATTAGCTCCTTTTACGTTGGGTGTAAGTAGAAATTATATATACGGTTGATTTTACAATGAATACAAGGTTGTAAACATAATCTATATGATATACAATCACTGGTTTGTTACACACATAGCACAATGATAAGTCAAAACATAACATCAGCTGTTTATATTAAGCCATTCATAAAACAGTATTTAAACATTACTTTTTGAGACATGTAATCCTTTGAATGAAAAACTATGTTGTATTTTATATTAGCCTGGTGTGTTTGATGAAGAGGATGGCTTAGTACCTAGTACACCTACATTATCTATACCTATACGTAGAGCTGATGGATTTGCAGAAGCTATCAAGTAAGTTATTGTTTATCATTTATCCAGTAATATTTACAAGACAGAGGCTGGGGAGCGGTTTCCTAAGTGGGGGGTCTGACAATTGAGGGACAAAGTCCTGAAAACTTGTCGCTGCAGGCGCTGCTGGTGCCGCATTCACGGTAAGTTTCAGGCATGGGGTTTGGGCCCGCTTTTGATTTGATTTTTGTCCCCCGCCTTTCGAAGAAAGCAGGGGACTATTAAAATGGGTCTGTCTGTCTGTAAGTGAGAGTGATGAAATTTGGTGTATAATTTTATTACATCAATACCTTGACTAAGTTTTTTTAATAAGCATTCTCTGCTCAGGGTAAGCAGAGCGATAAGCAATTTGATTGGTCGAGACTTTGGAACACAATAACTCTCCTTCTAATTGAGGTAGAATGTTCAAACTTGTTGTAGGTGTTCATTAGGTCAATGATAAACATTGTATGCTTACGGTAAGCAGAGATAAGCAATCTTATTAGTTGATACTTTGGGACACGATAACTTTGGTTATGATTAAATGAGAGTGATGAAACTCTGAGCATAGATTCATTAATATCATTACCTTGACTAAGTTCGATGATCAGACCCTTTTCTGCTTAGGCTAAGGAGCGATAAGCAATTTGATTGGTCAAGACTTTGAAACATAACAACTCTGCTTTTAATTGAGGTAGAATGTTTAAACTTGATGTAGATGTTCATTGATTAACATTTCGAGCTAAACTTAAGCAGAGCTAAGCAGTTTCAGTTTGGGACAAGATAACTTTGATTCTATGTAATAGTAAGTGATGAAACTTAGTTGATATAGTTGATAATCAGTTTGATTGCTTGATACTTTTGAGAAAAATAAATGTGCAATTAATTAATATGTGTCATCTATTTATTTTTGAGAGTTCGGCGGGGGACATGAGCCTCACTGTTGCATTTTGATTGACTTATTAACATATACGAAAACGCTGAGTTCAACCTTGCACAGTATAAGAAATTTGCTGGACAACCGTGACTGCAATGAAATCTCGTGATTGTTATGCACATTCGGCAATACTATATACCGGAAAACACCATTTTATACTGAATACCGGAAAACACCGGAAAAACACTAAATACCGGAAAACACACTAAATACCGGAAAATACCCTAAACAGGTAACCCGGAGACTGGGACCCTAAATAGGTAACATGAAGCCTGGTCCGGTGTTTTCCAGTATTCAGTATAACATGGTGTTTTCCGGTAGTTTTCTAGTTGTTTTCCGGTGTTTTCCGGTATATAGTATAGCCCATGCACATTGTCACATTTTTCTCTCTCTTCTAAAGTACATAATAATGAATGTGCCAGGAAATAACTGATTGATTCAAAGAACCACAGAAACATACTTTCCAGTGATGTATAACAGGATAACTGGAATTTTGTATTAAGACCTGTATTTTGACATTTTAAATACTTGTCAAGGTTTAGTAAATTTCTTATGTTGTGCCAGGTTGATTTTCTCTTGTCGTGTAGTGAATATCTTTATAGTGTGCTGGCATATAGTGTACCAGGTTGATCTCAACGTCGTTTTTGTGTATGTTAATAAGTCACGCGATATCCTAAATAGATTTGCATAATATCAAAGATAGCGCTGTGCATAAGAATGCTATGTAGAAAGAGTGAAGGACAACTGAGATGCAGCAGAGCGCAAATGTAAAATGTAATGAGAGAAATGTAAAATGTTGACATGTCAAAAAACAACATTTTCCAATAAGATATTTGTCATTTGACACATTACTTTTGATGTTTTACATTTAACTTTGGCCTTTGAGGTATTTTGACTTTATCATTTCCAATATTAGGACTTAGTACATTGTACTTTTACGCATAATCAATCGACAAGACATTGTAACAGCATTTAATATTGGCAGCGATACCCATTCATAGACCTGTGACTTGGAAACGATTTTTTTTTTTTTCAAAATAAAGTGTGGTGGCTGAAGCCCCCCTTCCTGGTTCTGCAGTCCCTGCAAGATACTGGTAATAATGTTACTGTGTATATATTGCATTATTTGCCTGTTTGCACACATTAGTAAACTCACAAATCTCAAATTGAAAAAAAACTTGATGTATACATTACAAATTTGATGGTGAGTAGTTTATGAATTCTTATGTCAGCATTGTGTAAAAACTTGTATTATTTTATATAGTTCACCAGCAGGACCACAGAGATTTGTTTTTGGAGCAGAAGGTTCTGTCAGTCAACCAGTATTGGCTCAACTAGAATCACAAAGAGGTAAATATTTTGTTGCAATTAAAATTGATCATTGAAATTACAGTATCTTTCATTCATTGATTTTGCATCCAGTATTAACATAATGAGTTCTGATTAACTACTGGTAGAAATATGTTGTCATCTTTTAATGAGGATATTTTGAAGAGGATATTTATTGTAGAAGATATTTAGAAGCATGAAATACATTGTAGAATGTAAATAATTGTGGTGCCTGTCCAACCTCGTGGGATTTCTCTTGGTCCTCTGGTTTACTTCCACTGCTACAGATGCCTATGCGTTAGCAAATTTTTAAATGTAGTTGTTAGTCCCAAAATGACCTAGTTTGTGTCAAGTGGACATTAAACCCCTTTTCTCTCTGTCTGTACTTACCAGTGATAATATTTTTAGCATTAGGTATGGATGATACAAGAATGGATTTATCACAGTTTGATGAAGGTAGAAGTCCTGTACCAGTATCACAGTTAGTTCCTAGATCAGGTATGCTGCAATTAGATGACTGTGACTTTATTGAGAAATAGATATATCGTTATAATTTATTTTGAAACTGTCTTCAAGATATTTTAAAAATACATACATTTGTTGCCTAAACCACCTTATTTTACGAAATACTTGACAATCTGCCAATTTTAACATAGTTATTGAGAAGTACTGCTAATGGATAGATGAGCATTGAGGACCTCCTCATAAAAAAAGTAATGGCACAAACGTTAGTTGACATTTTGTAATGATAGATTTAATTATTGTCAGCTTAATACTATGCAAGTTCAGGTATAATTTGGGGTTTTTTTTTCTCCAATTTATGACCTACTTGGGCTCTAAGGAATCTTTGTCACATCCGGCTTCTGAATACTACTGCATTCTCTAAAATCTGTTATCATTTTCATGTCCCGTTTTTTTTTCCTTATTACTTCAATCAAGAATGTTTTGCGTAATCCGTATTCTGAATATTACAAATTAAAACATCAATTAGCGGTTCCGTCACATGTTTTGCATTGAATTAACATTGTATTATCTGACCATAAGCTGTCGGTGTTCACCTAGAAAAGATTGACAAGCAATCACCAATCAATTATCTGTCTTTGTTGATTGCCTTAAAACATTCGGCACACCTCGGGCAAATTCTACAAATATAGAGTACCAGAGTACCAAAGTTTGTTGAATGAACCTTTAAAGTTAGTGGAGAATGTAGATCTTGGTACCATTGAAGAATTCTCCATGCATATACCGTGTATTTAGTATTATTGAAGGGTATTCTCCTGAAAACATTTTTAATTGTGATGAGACCGTTATGTTTTTTTAGAGCATTACCCAACTGATCAATGTGAGATGAAAATGCGAGCGCATGAGCAATGTAAATATTAAATTTTTGCCACCAAATACATACAACCGAAGAAGACTATACTTCCTATATTGGAAGGTATAATAATACTTCTGGTATTGAGTATTCCGTCATGTTGTCTAATCCAACATATTTAGATGATCCTGTGCTATGTCAGATGTGACAGAGTCCACTGTATATCTTTAACTTATGTCAGCTTTGAGTCTACATATATTTGAGAGGTGTAGGAGAAGTTCCTATGAATGTTGATTGATTATGTATTTATTTATACATGGTTGATATACATGTATGTCATAATGTTGAATAAATATGTTTTTTAATAGTAGTTTCTGTGACATGTGTAACATTGAAATTAATAATATGTACTAATTATTTATGATAGGATCTGCGAGTACTGATAGTACATCTGTAGTACCATCTACATCAGGTACAGTTCAATCTACAGAATCTAATGTTACAGAAGTAGCAGATGTTCCTGATGCAGACAAGTAAGAATTAAATATACATATCTCAATTTAAGGTGTTGAACATTATGTCAATCTAGCATTTTGAATCTTTTAGATATAGAAATTGTTTTATGACAAAAGAAATATGTGAATGAGTAAATTTTTATATTATAGTGAATTTGAAGATGATGATGAAGCCTTATTAGAAGGTTTACAAGGGGAAGAAGATACAACTGATGATGTTAAACCAGAAGAAGAAACCGGTATTTATTTTATACATGCATCTCAAGGGAAAAACATCTTTATTCTAGTAAAAGCTTTTCAGAAAGCTCTAAATTTAATTAGGAGCAGTGTTGACTCAGAAAGGAAATATGCTTGCTTGCTAACCAGGAGGTCTGAGATTTGATCACAGTGTGGATGGAACAAAAAGCTGATGTCTTGTGTGCACGTAAAAGAACCCTTGACAGTTGGAATTCGAAATAAGGGTAGGCCGTACTGGTACATGTGAGATGAAGTTATTGAAGAGAATTGTTTATATTATAGTTTGAGTAAAGCTTGTAATTGTTGTAATTGTTTCTAGGTGAAGTAGAAGGTGGTGAAGATATAGAAGGAGTACCTAGTACTAGTACAGGTGTAACACACGATGATGATAAAGCTACAGGTGATAATACAGGTATACTACATTTTGTTATGTACTTTATACAAAAGTGTTAAAGGCAAAGCATACTCCCAAAAAATAATGTCGAAAATTGAAATATAGGATTTATCTATCATTAATTTATCTATTTATTCATGGAGATATTTACATGAAAAACAATATCATGGTAAATTTGGGTCTTTCTGTTAACATTTTGGTTGTTAATTCTTGTGAACGTAATGCAGGACAAAGGGGTTCTCATTAGAATTTTATAAAATCCTATCAAAATTTAGAATTATTTGATTGTCAATCTAAGAGTTATCTCTTTGTTTATGATTAAATTTTTTAAATGGGTTTTGTACAGTTATCTTTCTGTTTACATTCTGGACTGTATAAGCCCACTGACTGGTCATTATATTAAAGATTTAGATTAAGAGCTGCCCATTCTTATCATAATAGTTTGAAAATAGATCATGAAAAATGAATTTATTGAAAATTTCATTTAAATTGCTCCATTGCAAGCAAAGATATTAGCTTTTGAAGGTTTGACAAGATATGTGCATTAGTTGCAACCACAGCACTGGTTGTTTGAAGTTTAGCCTCGCTTCATCATTATTAGATTGAATCAAAATATGATTGAATATCAAAGATATCCGATGACACCGAGAGTTGATTATGGTCTGGTCATGTTAATGAAAGTCTTAATATTTTACTTAACATTTCAGGCCTTAAGAAAGACCTGCAATAGGCAGATTTAGCTCTTGTATAATATATGTTTAATTCAACTTGATGGGCAGTTAAAGTCTGTCAAAACTCTCTTTGGTAACGTCTACAAACTGATGTGAACTGTCCGCCCATTCAGTAGGGGGGGTTGGATGGCTGAATGGTTAGCGTGCGCGCGCTGTATCATAAAGTCTGTCATTGAGTCGACTGGCGTGGTTTCGAATCCCTGGTTGTACGTGACAGGGAGTAGGGTCGCCTGTCCAACCTCGTGGGTTTTCTCCGGGTCCTTCCCACTGCTAAAGACCCCTACGCACAAGTGAATTATTGAAATAAAATTAAACCATATGTTAGTCCCGAAATGACCTAGTTTGTGTCGAGTGGACGTTAAACCCCATTTCTCTCTCTCTCCCCGCCCATTCAGTAGTAATTCAGATGAGATGGTAGACAGGTCCATTAGTGTACAAATGCACATGGCTAATCAAAACCTATGACATAATGTGATGAAGTGAAGGCGTTGAAAGTAGATGCTTTAGCTAAATCCTCCCTCTCATTGCGATATTAAAGAAAAATAAGGAGACTACATATACCCTAAATAAGTGTTAAACTGGCTGTAAATTTTTATATTGAAAACTACTTTGTTCATGGTTTATAATTTTGATGACTCTGTTTAAATTATAAGGTGCTGGTAGACGAAAAATACAGAAAATTGTTTGGAGTGAAGAACAAGCTTCCAATACACCAACTGCTCCACCTACAGCTCCTGTTGTTCAACATACACGTGGACGAACAGCTAGAAGAGGACGTGGAGGATTATGGAGAGGCCAACATTTTACTCCAGGGTCACGAGGAGGACCAAGAGGCGGATATAGACAATTTTAAATAATGTGCTTGTGGGAACTTTGTAAATTTCATAAAATGAAAGATTAAGCCCTGTATTTAATATCATATTATATAAACTGTTTGTACATACCTGTAATATGAATTATTTCAGCAGTGCTAATACATACTAATCATGTCATGAATAAAGTTATTATCATGTAATTTGTGTAGATTTTATACAATATGATTCTATATGCCTAATGTCAATGCCTGTGAATAGTATGGCGATCTATAATATTGTGGTTAGCTAGTCCTCTTGGAAAAAACTGAAACTATACAATTGATTTCTAAGTGATCAACAGATCATGGCTGGTAGTGTTCTGAATACAGATATATGTATTGTACAAGATCAAATTTGGAAAATGAATAAGAATTACAACTTTTTGCTAAATATCATCAGTTTAAACATAGCATTCAAGTTAATCTCAATCTGAGATTAGAATCTTGTGATGGCTCCAATGACCAAAGTTATTAAACAATATGAATGAAATTTAGATGCATTATTCAAATTGATGAAACAAAGAAGCCTCTTGAATTTCAATCATTTTATGAAATACATTTTCAATTATGGCTCTTGTTTCACGTTGTAGGATTTTGTAAATAGCAATAATTGTCAACTGATCTGTATGAAATTTATTTGCAATTTGCAAATTAGTGAAATTTCAACAATTTCTGTTCGTTAGTTTTAGAGTTGTGGCCCAGGTTTCACTTTGTAGAATGTTGTGAATGCTCTAAATGCAAACGTTATCATCCAATCTGTATGAAATTTGCTCACTTTGTAGAAAGCGAAAGTCATCAACGGATCTCCTTCCAAATTTATATTTTTTGTTTTGATTTCACTGAATAATAATTGCAACAATTTCTGATATTTATTTATACAATTCTTGCCCTTGATGTTATATAATCTTGTCAGTGCCCTAATGAGATAATACAATATAAACATTTTGAGTTTCATTTACCAGTACATAAAGATCCACAATGTGACAACCTTTATGCAACTTAGCAGCTGTAGGCATGGTTTGTTGACTGGAAACCTGTCTTAGTTTTAAGTTTACTGAATAAGGCCCCAAGTCTTCTTTTGGATGGTACAAAATTGAAATCATTAAGGACAACATGCAGACAGTTGAAAGTCAGAGAAAACGAAACAACATAAACAGTGCATTATATGAAAGACAAACTTAAGACTGGGATTTATAATATTTATTTTTCATAAATTATTTCTCTACATTCTGTGCAGCTTGATTCCCATTGATATATAAATAATATATTATTTACAATAATTTAATAATAGAACATTAATTAATATACAAAAGTTCACATGCATGGTAAATGGGAAGAATGCAGGTATATGTTAATTTAATATAGTAAAAGCTCTGTATAATAGGTCAGTACAATTAAACACAGAATATCTAGAAAACTATTCACACACAACATACACAGCCATGTTGTAAAGATTGTATAAATTTCTTTTTGAAAATTACTGTCGTGATCATTAATAATATGCAGCTGTAAAATTTATAAGCTAGATCTCTTGAATAATCATATTTTAATTCATTTATTCACAAGAAGAACAATCCTTTTATATTTTTTTTCAAATCCTTCCTTTTCTTTCCGATTTTAGGTGAAACTATTCTATAATGTGGTTATTGCAGTAGGTGATAGAAATGACAATCAATCTCGGTTTTGATCAAGGAAGTTCTTAGAAACACACCAGATCAAGCAAGTACTTTGGTTTTTTCTCGCTCAATGCCAGTTAGAGTGAGATTCCTCTCGACGGCAGTTTGTGGGCGAGGGTTCAGTTTTTGACGCACATCCATACTTCTTTTGTCCAACATAAGAGAGTTATTCTTTAAAGCCAAATCATCATTTATTCTGTGAAGATTCTTTTCAAGACCATCCAATGCATGTCTGAAAAATAAATCGAAATATATAATTTGCATAGATCACTTAATGCATTTGTACAAGGAAATTAGTAAATGACATCAGATTCAGTTTCCTTATTAGAAAGGTAGAGTGTCAAGTTGAAATGAACAAAGTCGAAGTGAAATGTTGGACAAAACATTTTAAAATCTCTTTGATTAAAGTTAAATTTGCAACATGGTTAAAGTTAGCTTATTCAAGTATATCAAGATTCAGTGTAAAGTCTACTTACTGGGCTTGCTTCAGTTTCTCTTCTAATGCTCGCTTTGTTGCTTCTAACTGCTTAACTTCATCTGTTAAACCATATTGAGGAGCATCTCTACATAACTCAACATTAGGTCTATATGTTCTATTCTCCAACCTAGTCTGGGCAAGTTTCATTGGATTGGTTTTAGCTCTGATAGCTTCAGCTAATCCTCGTATATCATTCTCTAATTCTGCAATTTCATCTTCAGTCTAAACAAGAATTTTATAAAAACAATAATTAAGTTAGGGAAGTTATAAAGATTGTGAGACAAAGTAAGATTTTTATATTTACCATAATTGTTTGAATAATTTTAGTGACATGACAAAACTTTTAAAAAAGTGCTTGCATTCTTGGTCTAGTCGAAATTGAAACTTTTATATCAGCTTTAAGTTGTTTCAGGCTAAGATTTTAGTCACAGAATAAATGGAGTGCTTACATTTTTCTTCTGCCATTCAAGTTCATCTTTGGCACGTTCAAATTCATGGATTCTCTTTCTAAAAGCAAATTCTGTGGCAATTTTTTGTGCCTCTAAATCGTTATCGGTTTGTTGAAGTGTGTGATGAATAGCTTCACGCAATCTATTTGAAGCCAACATCTCGGCATCGGCTCGTTCTTTGTTGTAGCGACTGAAGTCTTCCCATTGTTGCGGTGTTGTGCTTCTGTAAAGAAATATAAAATACTTTTCAATATTTGACTGCAAGACATAAATAACAATTTGAGGTGTGCTTGGAATCTCATCAAGCTTTCCAATTATTTTGTTGGATAAATAATTCAGTTTGGACATTGGCCTCTAGTCTTTATTTCTTCAAGTTGGTCTAAGATATGTTTTATGTTCTTTTTAGAAGACATAATAAATAATTAAATAGTAAAATAAAGCAGAAAGGACAAGAAAATCTTGTTACCAGAATTTCATGAACTACTGAACACTCAACTTATTATTAAATTGAAATAAACATTTTAACTTTAATTGAGAAATTTACACTTACCCTTTAGGTACTCTAAGACAATCTGGTTTATAACTTATATTTGGTGATCTATCAGTTAGATTATATTGATCTATATCAATACCAAGGGCTATATTTTTATCTTGTAAATCAGCCTGTACTTGTTGACGTGCCTCTTGTAATAAACATAGTTGTTCAAAGGAATCAGACACTCTTTGTTGTAACTGTTTTCTAATGCCTTCTATAACTTCTACTTCCTAAAATTACAAAAAAGAACTTGTTCAGTCAGATAGAGAGAGCATTTATCTTTATTTATAACCAATTTTTCATTATAACTTTATAATGATACTAAATTCGCTTTTTCATCAATACAAAATTGACACCACTATATATATAAAAGTATATTTTAAATTTACTGTTACTTTAAAACAGAAAGTTAGTGCTAGTGATTTTAAAATATTATCATACCTTGTGTAATTGGTTTTCGGGATCATCCTGAACTACATCAATTGATTGCCTTCCTTCACGGAGAGTAAGACATTCAATTGCAACATCTAAGGGAAGATTCTTGGCCTCTAATGCTTGTTCAGTCAATTCTTTAGCCTCAGAAAGATCTGCTATTTCTTTATCTAAATCAGCCAAGGATTTTTCCATTATCTCCTTCCATTTTCTAATATTATCAACACGATCAGCTAATCTAACATTATTTGAATGTTGGTCCCATTTAGTTTGATTATCTGTCTCATTTCTCAAGAATCTACCTTCCTGTCGAACTTGATGTGAAGCATCTCTCTGTCTTTCAGCATTAGTAGAAATAGTATAGTTATTGGTGAACCAATCTGGAGGTTGGAATCTAGTTGTTGGACGTACGTGGGTTGCCATCTGAAAATTATTAAACAAGGGTTCAAGATTATGTAACTTGAATCTGAATTTATAACTAATTGAAAAATTAACTTAATTGATATAAACAAATCCTGGTAAAGGCCTACTCATACACTGTTCATATGTTGGATTTGGAACTTTGGTAATTTAAATTAAAGATACTAGGCTTGGCAACATGCAAATAATATTTACATTAATAATGTAACACCAATCAATATCAGAACATTGCCATTGGCTTGCTGCTATAATAATGTAATTAATTATTCAGTAGTTAACAGGTTATGTTACACGTAGGCCTACCAGTAAACATTCTTTTTTAAATTATAAGTTGCTTATTTTAATAATATTATAATATCCACTCCGGTGAAAGAATATTTTGGATTTTGTTGAAAAATGATCCGTTATATTATTATTAGTTGAGTAGTAAGTAGATCTACCAGGCCTAAAGTAGACCTAGTACTAGGCTAGTATTAGAATAACTTTTGTAAAAAAAAAAATAATGTAAAAACGTCTTAAACAATTGAAATATCTAGGTTTGAGGTTAGAGTAATCATACCCTGCCTCGTGCAGTTCGTCGATATGTAGACAACACTAACAATACTAAGTAACTCGGTGACTTGGGGCCTCTATGATGACTTCTTGGCTTCAATTTCAATGAACTTATGAAGCTTTGACTTTACGGTATTCTTCAGGCTAGATCTATGGACATGTTAATAAATATAGATTTAACATTTTCCCATGACCAAGTTATTAATTATACAGAATATATGTGGCACAACGTATATAATAATTAGTGTCAACCTACCTTTTAACTGTTTCTTTGTCGTTCAACAACCTTGGAATATCTAATACTGCAGTACTGACTCTCTGTTGCTATACTAAACACTCTGACCCATGTCTTTTATAACGGTAAGATTCATTTGTTGTCCCTTATAATTAAAGCCAATCAAAACACATGATACATTTGGATTAGTAAACGGTAAATGTTTGTTGTTAGGGAGATGACCTATTTCGGGTCATTAAATGGTAATGGCCTTCACCCTCAAAATAAATGGTATATCAAAAACATAACATTGGATCAATACCAAATTTTTGCTGCAATACAGCTCTAATTAGCAGTCCTGAGATGAATTTGGATGACTAAAAAGATATTCATTAATATTGTACATAAGGATCAATTATTACTGGTTTATTAGGCATGTTACGAAAGCACAAAAGTATAGCAATCCACGTCACGAAATTGTTATATTCCATACATTAATAGATTATCCAGACATAATTTTTTTTTACCCGTTACCAAAGCATGACAATCTGGACTAATACAAAATGGAGTAAATATTAATCGGCTTCGAAGTTAAATAAGTAATAACATTTCTTTGTGCATTGGTTTTACGAGTTCTGATGTAGAATGGACTTCCCAATCCTAACGTTGAAAATATGTGTAGTTTTTTTGGCACTTACGCCTGCAGAAAATACACAAAGTTGGGATACAGCCAGGAAATTTAGTTCAGAAAATGTAATATTATTATTTTTTTCTCTCGATCTCACTCACTCATTACTGAATCTAACAAATTACAAACAAACCAGTTGCATGTTGTTTTTATCAAGCAAAATATGAGGGTTAAGGCCTATACAGTTGATTATTCCCGAATCGAGGCGATTCAGAGCTACCGACGTACAATGGATGCTCCGAATGAAAGTTGAAGTAGGCGTAATATGTAACAGGCATTGCCTGAGTAGAGCGAAGCTGATTATTGTCAAATACAAAACCTTCATAATTAATTTTCTCAAGTGATACAAAAAATGTTAAATAAGTTTTTCCAAATTGATTTTCATTTAGATCTAAATTGTATACATTAATTTTGTTTTTAAAAAAAGAACAAGAAAGTGTGAGAATTATTTTCATTGACATCAAAAATATGTGACGTCATTGATTAGATGCGTCATAGAAATAGTTCTATGAGGCGCGTAATCTCGCTTGGGCGAGATTTGGTAAGTTGACATGCGCATTGCCTGTTTTGCCCAGTGTATCCGGTTCCGGTCTGAATTTTTTTTTAATCAACAGTCTGTGGGTGACAATTTCAGTTACGCTCCTGTGTTACCGGAAAAGAGCTTTGCTCAAGCACCGCTCTATATTATACAAATTTAGGCTATAGTAAATCTATATTTGTTAAATTATGTCACTATTCTACTTCGTTTCTCAGGCCGGACTGAACAATAAGATTGAATTAATAAGGGTCAGTCGATTGCAATGCTATCAATTCGAAACATACCAATATAACATTCAAACATCCCCTTAGATGGAACTTGAAGCCTGACCCATTCTTATAGACAGTAAAACCCTACCTACTGCCTTAGCCATCCTTAGAAATAAACTGTTTATTGGTTGGCCAAGAAATTTCCCCAGTCTGATTTCACTGTGTTGATGGTGCAGGAGGGGGGGGGGGCCTGGCAAGGAATTGTGTCTTGTTGAGTTGTTGGATGTCCTATATGTAGGCTTAATGGCTGAATGGTTAGCGTGTGCGCAGTGTATCATAAAGTCTGTCATTGAGTCAACTGGTGTGGTTTCAATTTCCCGGTTGTACGTGACAAGGACTAGGGTCGCCTGTGACGTCCAACTTCGTGGGTTTTCTCCGGGTCCTCGGTTTCTTTTGATTAGAGCTAATCCCACTTAACACTGCTGTAATGGAAGCAAATATTTATTCCAAATTATGACTGGTCAATAGTTTGATTAACAACCAATAGTTAACTGCGTAACAATAACAGAGCTCCAAATAGACCAAATATGTTTACATAACGTTACGTCAGGACTCACGATTTTATTATTCCCAATTAACCAGTGCATAGCAGAGTATTGTATATACAATGTAAACAATACTGTTTGGAGACAAATAATACTTTCACCATTTTTAATACCTTAAATCACCGTCCAATGTTTTAGGGAAGAACCAGATTACATGAAGGGCTGTCATGTTGCTGTACTTGGGATAGATTTGATTGAATGGGAAGAATAGACATACTCCCTCAAAACCTCAAGTATCAGAAATCAGAAGCCAATCTGAACTTAGTGATTTTTATTTTATTTTTTGTCACAGGTTTGTAGTAGAATATGTAAAAATGAAAACGTTAGCTTTTTACAGTTATATTGTGTTGAAAATGATTTAGAGTTAGATGGTCATTGTTGTAAAAACAGAACTAAACCTGTAGCTTTAGATATTATTGGGTAAGTTAATGGATAACAGTAACTGTAGAAATTCAAATGTGCATGTAAATACAAGGTAACAGCTTTGTGAACACACCACAAAAACAGCCTCCTCACACAACTTGTACTTAAGTCTAAAACTGGTCTAAAAGCATTTTGAATACTTCATCCTAAATAAAATCACCAAATGATATCAATAATTATGCTACAATATGCCCTTTGTTAGAAACCTGCTGGATGATTGACAGGCATGGATTATCAAAACTGTTTTATAGAAATATTACAGAAAGGAAAAATAAAATACAGAAGCTTAAAGTCCCCAGAATCTGTACAGTTAATTGAAGTACATCCTTTTGAAAGCTGTGTTAAATATGGGACATGTATGCTTTAATATAAAAAAAAATTTATACGTCCACATTTTCATGTGGATGTATTATGCCGTCACCCCTGTTTGCCCGTCCGTCCACAAATTGTTTGTGGACACTCTACGGGTCATAATTTTTTTATCCAATTTTGACGAATCTTGAAATATAGGTCTATCTCCCAAAGATCTCGGTTGCTTTCGATATTGGCATGTATCGGAGCATAACTTCATGGATTATGGTCCCTGATTGTTCGAAAAATCACGTTTTTAGCTGGTAGACCCTCTAGAGGTGACAATTTTTTTTCTGATTTTAAAAATTGTTTAGATATATCACCATTCCACCATAATGAGGGTTGAATTGGAAAATTGAAATGAAACTGACCGACAAAATGGTCGTTCTTTGTACTCAAATTGTGTATAAGTATGTAATACAAAGGTTATGGACCCTCTAGAGGTCACAATTTTTATCTGATTTTGATCAAACTTAAAACATATCTTTATATTCCAAAAAACCTCAGTCCCTTTTGATGGATTATGGCCCCTGATTGTTCGAAAAATCAAGTTTTTAGCTTGTGGACACTCTAGAGGTCACAATTTTAATCCGATTTGTATGAAACTTGAAATACATGTTTATAATCCAAAGATCTTAGTTCCTTTCGATATTCTCGCATATCGGATTGTAACTTCCTGAATTATGGCCCTTGATTGTATGAAAAATCGCGTTTTAGACTTACGGTCCCTCAAGAGGTAACGATTTTTATCCAATTTAAGAAAAAACCATTTGAATATATCACTGTTAGCCCCTAATGATGTTTGAGTTCGAATTTCGTGAAAATCTGATCAAAACTGCCGGACAAAATGACTGCCCCTTGTATGCTAATAGTGTAAATGAAATGAAATGAAATGGAGTTTAACGTCCTACTGTTCTGCTCCTAACCTGGGCTAATGAAGACGGGCATACGCCATACAGTGTGCTATGAGGGAAATTTTGCCCGGACAGCGGCACTACGGCCTACTCTTATATCGAATTCCAACTGCCAAGGGATCTTTTACGTGCACGCCAATGTGTACACAGGACCTCGGTTTTTCGTCCCATCCGAACGACTAGACAGCTTTCCTTGTCAGCCCCTCCGTCCTGCATCACTGACAAGGGAGAACCACGCCGGAAAATCTGGATGAACTTTCTCGGCCAATGCAGGGATCGAACACCCGACCTCCAGGCTAGCGAGCTAGCGTCTTACCCACTTAGCCTTGTGATCCCCTGCTAATAGTGTAAAAATATGGTATATCAAGGTTGTGGACTCTCTAGAGGTCACAATTTGCATGTTTATAACCCAAAGATCTTGGTTCCTTTCGACATTTGTGCATATTAGATCATAACTTCCTGAATTATGGCCCCTGATTTTACAAAAAAATCACATTATTTTTTTAGCTCGTTCTCTTGCAAAATGTGGGTGTATACTATATTGCATGGCAACCGCTTGTTCTAACTGGTGGACAAATGAGCCTAACTGTATTGAATGCTATATTAAACTAAAAGAGAATACAGAAAGATTATACAAAATGGTTCCAATTATCACAACAAGTAATTTCTTTACTTGCTTTGATTGCAGACTTCAAAGTAAATATGTCCGATGTGTATCTAGTACAACTTTAATAAAACGAAACTGACGTATTTTATCAGCTTGAACAAAATGAGATGTGTAGTGTGTACACTATTGTGATTGGGTCTGGTATTTGGGTGGGTTAGTCAAGATGAAATTAAGACTTATGAATACATAGATAGTAGTTTTATTGTTTAAAGCATGACATCTCTACGGCATGGCTATAGCAAGTAAGAACGATGATCACTGGAAACATGTACATATTAATATATAGAACCCATGTATATAAATTACAGTTATAAAACTATGGAAGATAATTGATGAAATAATAATAATAATTTGTAAAGACATCACATACACTATGTGAAATTTATTCGAATGACATACAATACTTTAAATGTACTTTTCGTGAAACCATACTAATCACAAACACAACAATTTTCCACTTGATTTGTGTGTGTTAATAATGCATTATTCTTTGTTTTTCAGCATTGATCTCAGAGGGTGTAATCTTTCAGATATAAAAGAGCCTATAAGTAGTATGCTGTCGACATTAATTATTTTGTAAGTTAAACATACATTATGCAAGAGCAAATCTGCCTATTCCAAGTCTTTATTTAGGCTTCAGATGTTATAGAAATTATTAATTAGACCTTTATTTACATGACAAGCTCAAAATCAACTCTGTAAGACCCTTGGATGGATTGGATTTAAACAGTCGTCCATTTAAAATTAAATCAATAAATGGCCGACCAAGCTAACGTTTACCGTTAGTCACTACCGGAGACTTCCGATGAAAAACCTGCTAAACGAAGGTACCATTGCCATTGAAAATGTTACTTGATAATCGAGAATATGTGGGTGGAGTTATCATCTGTCAATCAAACGATTGGCAATTCTCATAGACAGTGTGGACACAGTTGATGCCTATTTCTAGTCCAAACTTCCAACAGTGACAACTCTGTTCAGAATAAAGTAATTTTTTATCATCTATTTTTGAATTATTATAATAAACAGGTCAGCCTACTGTTTAGCCATTAATCAATCCATTAGATCAATTATGTAACATTTACTATAAATTCTTTAATCACATATTAATTTAGTAATTATTTTTATTTCATAATTTATATGTGATAATGGAATTTATATTTCATTACTGAATATAATTCATTTTACTAATTCAAAGGGGCTTCTATAATTTGTTAATTTGATTATCTTTTCAGATCAATTGAAGAAAATCCTTTAAATCAATTGAAGGATTCAGATTTTCATGGGTTGACAGAAATGAGATATTTGTATGTATCAAATTATTTGAAATTTCAAATAGGTTTAATCAATGTTAATAAGCATCTTTGTGAGTTATGAGCCACAATCAAGGTTCTAAAATACAGGGGTTAATCTATAATAGATATTTTCAACCTAACTGATATCATATAAATGATGTTCCTATTGTTTTATTTATTGTCTGTTCTATTGGCCTGACTTAAGAACATTGATCAAACATCTGTTCACAATAAAACAAGGAAACTGAAAACAGTTAACAGATTAATGGGACAATTTGATGCTTGAAATATTTTTAATTATGTCGTTGACAAAAGGGAACAGACTTTGTCCACACTCCTTTGTAGTCTAATTAAAATATATCTGGGGTTTTTTTTGTAGATCATTACCTCCTACATTCCAGTGTCCAGGTGGATCCGAAGCCTGGTCTTATATAAACAAAACAAATATGTCTATTATATGTAACAATCAAGTAGATCTATGCTCAGTTCACAATGGTAATTACTGGTGTGTTTTTTGGGGTTTTTTTTAAAGATTGACTTTCCACAAAAAAATGCTGCAAGTGTCTGTGTAAAGTGTTGCACAATTATTGGCCAAACTTTATTTCTTGATAATTTTTCCGTTATTATCAATAACATTTATATTTCTTTTTTGTTTACCCCTTTAAAATATAACCCATGTAACAAAATATGCATTTTGTCATGGGAGCTGAGGTAGTTCAATCCCTCTGTTTGCTGAGAAAGTTCCTGAGAATTTTCTGTCTTGGTTTCCCTTTGTCTGTGGTGCAGGATTGAGGGCCTAGCAACGAAAAGTATGCAGTCATTTGTGCAAAATTTCCCTCATATCACACTTAATAAGAGTAGGCCATAGTGCCACTTTCCCTCATATTGCACTGTCTTCAGTAGCTCCGTCAGTAAATATAATTTGGATGGTAAATTTCATTTCAATGTGTATTGACGTATTGTCATTTCCCATGTCAGTTCACATTTCTTGTCAAATTTAGATTTTTTACGTTTATTTTTCATATTTTCTGGGATTATTCAGCTCAGCTTATTGAGAAACCTATCTAAATCCAGAAACTGTGTTAATGCTTTGAGAACATTTTTACATAACTACATACTATGATGCACTAGCCTTACTTCAAAATGCTGGTGGTAGGCTTATATTTATTTCTTAATAATGTTATATTTTACATGGAATTCAATGTGGTTTTTTTTTCAGTTACCTGCCCTTCCAATTCATTTTGCAACAATACAGCACCAGGATTATATGAATGTGATTGTAAACCAGGCTATTATGGATATAAATGTTTAAGAAAGGTAAAATATACAATTTACTTTTAAAATAATAAACCAATTAGGGCCTTTAATATCCCCCCCCCCTTTATTGTCTCTCTAACCAGTGCTTCATCCTATTTCATGTAATCACTGACACTGTGTAGGTCAACTGTTTAAAAATCAGGAAATCTGTCAAGACATAAACAGTGTATATATTTTTGACCCCATAATTTCATATTTAAGTACTGGTAGTATATATAGGTAGTGGGGATTTAGATCTGTTCATATGAATGATTTCTGTACCCCTGTGGCAGAGCATGGGCACTTGAAAGGGTGAAAATTGATCAATTTTTAAAAATCATCTTGTAAAGAAACACTGAATCATTTGAAATCATCATAAATCTTTTTCTAAAACAATCAGTGTTGACCTTTGTTTGTAATTGTCAATACACATACTGTGACCCTATTATCTCTATGTACATGTAGTATCACAGCAAGTGACCTTTAGTACTTTTACTCCATATTGACATTATATAACTTTTGTGATTGTTATTATCATTTAAGTTAATTTTAGATTATCTTAAGTAGGATCAGTTATTCTAATTTATTAAAGGAAATTGCAATGATTAAACTATTTGAATATTATTGTAGGCATTACCATAGAATTTGTTGGATAGATGTTTCTCACCACCAATTAAAATTTAGCATTTCCTATTTTGAAACGGTTCATTAATCTATTTTGCACTTGCCCTCAACTTATCCAAAATGTCAACGGTTGTTTTGACACTAATGAAATACAGATTTGTTGAAACTGCATAATTATTAGCGACGTACATGTTTTGTAGAGGGTTTGGATGGCCGAAGGGTTTAACGCATGCACGTTGGATCATTAGGTCTGTGATTGAGTCAACTAGCACGGTTTAAATTCTCCGCTTGTATGTGATGCTCTAGGGGCTAAAGTTATCATCCAACTGACTTCAAATTTATACACACTGTTTATGCGCATGAGATGATTTCTGATAATTAGTCAAATTATGTCCCTTGGGGGGGGGGGGGGCCTTGATCAATTTGAAAAAAAAAACCCAAAAAACCTTGTAGGCACTTTAAAGGCTAGAGTTACAAACCATTTGACTTGACATTTTTACATAATTGTGTGTCAGTTATTTGCAGAGTTATTGCCTCTGTCATTTAAAGTAGCTTAGTCTCTAACTCAATATCATCCAAAATCTTCGACATTGAAAACACGATTTATTTGTCAATTTAAATCAACATTGAGGTTGTTATCTTACCGGGAAAAGATGGCCTTCTGATATCCAATATTTAAGACAAAATAAACATTTTACAATTGGTACACGAATCATGTACCATAATGCATTTAAGCGCTATGTGTAATAAGGGACTCGAAAAACGAGGCTAGGCTATTTCGCAAGTCATGTCAAACGGTGATGCTATATTCTTGTCTGGAGAGCATGCCCAGTAAATACTATAGGCGTAGACTGGAATAACCAGAAGCTAGAGATTGAAATTCGATTGAGAATACTGGCGTATGTCGTCGAACCTAACTATTAGAAATTACAGAAACGATTGAATGCAAATCAATTTATATACATTCATATTACATTATTGTATGCGTTGCGACCCATTTGTGTCAATTTCTAGGTCCCAAATATTAGCGACTTAGCTCCTTTAAGTGTGTTCTTTTTGAAACTGGCTTTAAAAGTGGTCATGCAGCAACTTTAAAGTCATTTTGTCATGAAAATATGTAACCATGCTAAAGGTCAAAGTTTTAATTAGTTCAAGTGATAGAGGAAATCATTGTAAATATTCTTCTGGTCAAAGGTTTTATTATGTAAAGATATAGAGAAAAATTGGTTAATATTCCTCTGGTCAAAGTTTTTATTATGTTAAGTTATAGAGAACAATTGGTAAACATTCTTCTGGTCAAAACATTTATTACATGGAGTTACATAAAACTCTTTAACATGAATGACTGTGTATGCAAACTAGTAATACCAACAATACTCCCAAAATAATTTATTGCAGTGATAAATAATCATGAAAATTATGATATCTATTTGCAGGGAAATTTTCCAACAGTCCAATTCAGTATTGGGTTAGCAGTGTCAACTGTAGTTATTAGTATATTCTTGTGGATATTTCAAAGACGACATGTAAAGAAGAATTTATAGTACTATACAACATCTTGACATTTTAACTTGTAATTATGTAAAATGAAATTTGTTTTATTCATCTTTATTTACACTTTCATATCATTTTATTTAATAAACATATGCTATATTTGTTAAGTTTTTCTTAATTATTACTTAAAGATGCATTGTGTAAGAGCTGACCATTCTTGCTGTAATAGTTTAAACATAGATAATGAGAAATGAGTATGTTGAAAATTTCAGTCAAATTACTTTATTCTGAGTGCTTGAAGTTTTATCAACATGGTTCTTCCTCACTATTAATGAACAAGATATGGCAATATGGTAACCATCACCCAAGGCTTTATATGTATTTGTTTTAAAGAATATAATTTTTCTAACATTGTCTTAAAATATTGAGGAGCCACATCCCATTTGAGGTAATTTAATGTTCATTTAGAACATCATAATCCCAGGCAGTAATTTTGCTCTTTATCAAGAAAGTGACTTAAGTAGGAAGAAAACTTGTTGGGGAGCAATCTATTTTGTTGTCCCCTGACTTCCAAACAAAGCAAGTGATTTTTAAATTGGATTCGTCCATCACACTTTTGGTACACAATAACCCTGCTTCTGAGGTAGCTGTGTAGACTGTTCAACCTTTTGTTGAATGTGTCATCTTGAGTTTGATGAACATTTTTCTGCTTGGGCTAAACTGTTGTTCATGACACATTGACTCTGCTTCTAATAGAGCAGGCTCTGATCCAGCCCTCTCTCCCCATTGCTCAGGCTCATTTTAGAGGGTCCAGGTTCTGAAATAGCATCTACAGTGTTCATGTTCACCTTCAACACTCACAAATCTAGATGATAACTGTTTGTATGAACCATTTCAAAGTGCTTATAAACAATTTTACAGTACCGAAACAGCTTTAACCCAGGTTTCAAATGATATTTTAATGGAAATTGATAATAGAAAATGTACATTTTTAATTTTATTAGATTTATCTGCTGCTTTCGACACGGTGGACCCTTCCATTCTTCTACGTAGACTTCAATTTAAATTCGGTATTTGTGGCTCTGCATTAAATCTTTTAAAGAGCTATCTTGTGGGTAGAAAACAGTGTATTTTAGTTAATTGCAAATCGTCGTCTGAATCTGTTTTGTCATCTGGGGTTCCCCAAGGTTCTGTTCTAGGTCCGATTTTATTTACCCTCTATACGTCACCATTAGGAGATATTGTCAGAAAATATGGTCTCAGCTTTCATTTGTATGCCGATGATACTCAATTATATATTTCATTTACACCTAATTGTCCATCTTCTTTCAATTTATCAAAATTGCAACTTGAGAACTGTATTAGTGAAATTAGAAAATGGATGTCAAAGAACTTTCTAAAATTGAATGATGATAAAACCGAATATTTGTTATTAGGCTCAAGGCATCGATTAAGTAAATCTGCACAAGATAACCCCCCTGTTGTACTTGGTAATTGTGATATATTTTCATCTTATTCTGCTCGTAATATTGGCGCTATCTTTGATAGTTTTATGATTATGGGAGCTTAAGCAAATAATATTTGTAAATTGTGCTATTTTAATATTAGAAATATAGGTAAAATACCTAAATGTGTAACTGTAGAGGCCACTAAGTCACTTGTTAATTCTCTGGTCACTTCTCGATTAGATAACTTTAATTCACTTTTAGTTGGTTTACCTTTAAAGCTTATAGATAAATTACAAAAAGTACAGAATACTGCGGCTAGACTTGTTACTTTAACTAAGAAATGTGACCACATAACTCCTGTTTTATATAATTTACACTGGTTACCTGTTAAATATTGAATTGATTTTAAGATTTTATTACTTACTTTTAAATGTTTAAATAATTTAGCTCCTGTTTACCTCTCAGATCTTTTAGAACTTTATACACCTGGCCGAACATTACGTTAATCAGATAAACTACTTTTAAAGCCCAAAACTGTTCAACTAGTCTATGGTCAGCGCTCTTTTAGTTATCAAGCACCTGTTTTATGGAATAATCTACCATTTAGTTTAAGATGTTGTACATCTCTGTATTCTTTTAAAAAACAACTTAAAACACATTTATTTAATCAGGCTTTTAACTGACTCTGTATACAATCGTTAACATGCCCATAATCTTGTTGTTTATGTGATTTACATTGTCACTTTGTAAAGTGCCTCTGAACATGTTATATGAAAGGGTGCACTATAAATATGCTGTAATAATAATAATAATAATAATAAATAATAATTACAATACTTCAATATGGAAATCTGGATCTGCCCCTGTTGAGCTAAATGTTCATTACATAAATGTCTTGACCACTGTTAATGAAGTGCCTTTTATGCTAAGCAATTTGATTAGCCCAAACTTCAGGGCATAATTGCTTCTAAAGTAGAATGTTCAAACGAGTTGTAGAACAAATCAGCATTTACATCTACAAACACGTCCATGGTGAAATTTGCTACACTTCTTACCTACTTTGAGGCGAAAAAGTCGATCAAAGGTTAAATTACTTACATTGACAATAGAGGATGTTTTCATTGTTATCAAAAGGAATGTTAGGTAAGTTTGTAGGTACATGTACAATCAAAATGGCTGCCATCTTGTTTGATCATTAACTAATGGGAAATGAAAAGTACACTTGTTCAATGAATATTTTCCTGATGGTGAATAGCATGGGGTTATCTAATGATAATAAACTTTTGGTTTTGGCTGGATGTATTCCTCTTCATTAACCCAGAAAACAAATAGCATATTATGTATATAGCTCTTTATTATTACACTTTTACCATGACTTAACAATACTTATGGAATGAATTGATTTTTGCATCATTTCAATAGACTGATATAAAATAAAATAATCTCTTACAAAAACACACTTATACAATAAATACATTCAACCTATTACAAGGGGACATGTTAAATATTTACCATATGAATTAGTTATCATTGATGAGAAAAAGCATAATAATCACTTAGTATTTAATCCTGATATAGTTCTAACATGTCCCAAGGAAATCTCATTTGCACATATTATCACAGTAAAGTCTTATGAAAATGATTAATGACCGAATATTAAAGTTTTATTACACAAGTCTTCCATAATATTCACATTTCGGATATTTAGATTGTAATTCAGGCCACTGCACAATAATGTTATCTGCAAATTTATACACAAGTCTTGCCGTCATAGATAGTTTATCCACACGACATATACTTTCAACGTAGATAATCTTGGTCTGCACAATACCAAAGCACTGAAATGAAAAGTATTTAAATGTCTGAAAGAGTCTTTTTTGAGTCAATTCCAAGCTTTTACGTGACAGGGAGTAGCAGTGTCACCAGCCCAACCTTGTGGGTTTTCTCAGGACTTCTGGTTTCTTCCCACTTTTATAGACTCCTACACTCAAGCTATTTTTTAAAATAAAATTGCACCATGTTAGTCCCTTTGTATAACATTCTATTCCACACTGAATGTTTTAAAGACATTCTTCAATTTTTATACAAAAAAACAAAACCCATTTTTTACCTTTCATTTAGTAACATAAATAGGGTTAAACGATTTGATGCTTACCTTTATAATCCATCCAACTAAACATACTGGTATACAGGTTCCTGGTCCGTTACATAATATCTGTTGAAAATAAAATACCTATACATGTAAATTGAGTTTTGAATATCACACAAAAAAAGTCTAAATACTGCAACCACATAATAGGGAGTGTTTATTTTAATATAATGGTAACAGACATGTTCGTCGATGAATCCACACATCAATTTAAGTGTGATGCTGAATAAAACTTTTAAATTTATTAGTTTCATACATGTGGACATGATGACATATTTACCAGTATAGAAAATGATGGGATATTAACTCTTCCCCAATCTTTGATTTACAGGTAAGTTTAAAGTAATACTTACTATTTCTGGTCTACAAATAACCATCAGTGGAATACAATAGAATATACTATATATTGTATAAGCTACTGTGGTAAACCAGGACTGATTAACTTCCCGACATCTTGGTATCTTGTGAATTAAATACTAAAAAAGTATTTAAATAAAAATCAATAATATTCCAAAATAATTAAAACTTTCATGCATGTTAGATCATTTTTAGTGACATTGAAAATTTGGTAATACTCTAATATTTGCATCTAGGTTTTCAATGTTCCATATACACATAATTATAATTGGTTATGTTGATAATCCATTACCTCGGTCTTAAAATTCTTTTTTTTCCGCAGATCATCTTCCATAGCGTGTACTTTACTTTCACTAATACTGTCAGTATTTGCTAGAATATAATGCCGAGGTGAATAATTACCACTTAATGCACCCATCAATCGAAGCATTTCTCGTGTATGTCCACCTGTGATAAGAAAATGAATTACCATATGCTAAAATAAGCACAGCAATAACTTACCAAGTATTGAATTATTTACTTGGGGTCTCCAAAAGAGACCAGAAATATCTCTAGATTTTCTTTTGTTTTTAAATTAATAATCATAATGCCTCTAATAGGACCCATTAGGGGCAAAATATAAATCATTGTCTAAAATAAGAATTTGCTGTTAGTATCTGGTATCAAATATAGAGTTATAATATAACACATACTGACATTAGCTATCAGAAGATATCATACCTGATCCAATAACTGACACAATGGATGCTGGCTTGGTTCTTACTTCAGTAAACTTGGTTGTTTGTGATTGACCCTGAAACCATCTGTAGGCTACATACAACAATGTAAATGTTGGTACAAGATAGTATATTGGTGAAAAATAACTTTTCTCTAGATTAGAATCCATTCTCACTATGACAGCTCGTATTAGTACTGTATGTTTCTCAATTAACAAGGACTTTTCTTGCAATTATTATCAATCTTCATATATGTTGAATCGATGCTAAGTTTATAATGCTAAAGGCTGGATAACATCTAAAATTAAAGAACAAACTAAATTAAAGATTCATTTTCAATGCCCAATATATTGGCTAGCATAATATATTAATAATTACCTTCATATTGTAAGTACAAGATGCATTATGTAAGATTAAGATAAAGAGCTGACAGTGCTCACTATAATAGTCAAATCAGCGGCTGCCAGGCAGAATACGCCCACATTTTCGAGAGATGGATAGAGAACAAGCTAAAAAGAAAGTGATTTTTCCTACAATCAACGGCCATAATTCAGGAAATTACAATTCGATATGCGCAAATATCGAAAGGAACTGAAATCTTTGGGTTATAAACTTACATTTCAAGTTTCAACAAAATCGGATAAAAATTGTGACCTCTATAGGGTCCACAACCTTGATATACCATATTTTTAAGCTATTTGAGAACGAGGGGCGGCCATTTTGTCTGTCAGTTTTGGGCCGATTTTCACGAAATTCGAACTTAGCCGTCCTTAGGGTGTAACGGTGATATAATAATACGTTTTTTTAAATCGGATAAAATTATGACCTCTATAGGGTCCACAAGCTAAAAACGCGATTTTTCGTACAATCAGGGGCCATAATTCAGGAAGTTACGATCCGATATGCGCGAATATCGAAAGGAACCGAGATCTTTGGGTTATAAACTTACATTTCAAGTTTCAACAAAATCGGATAAAAATTGTGACCTCTATAGGGTCCACAAGCCAAAAACGTGATTTTTCGTACAAACAGGGGCCATAACCCATGAAGTTTTGATCCGATACATGCCAATATCAAAAGCAGCCGAGATCTTTTGGAGATACACCTATATTTCAAGTTTCGTTAAAATTGGATAAAAATTGTGACCTGTAGAGTGTCCACAAACAAATTGTGGACGGACGTCTGGAAGGACAGGGGCGACGGCATAATACGTCCACATGAAAATGTGGGCGTATAAAAATGGATAATAAAAAGGGAATATGTTGAAAATTTCTTCATTCAAAGCAGAATTCTCGTTGTTTGAAGAACAGTGTAGTCTCATTTATCATTGCTACCATTGTTTAGATAATAAACAAAGTCTCAATCATCCAATTTTAAATTAAATCATTTACTGCCAATTGTATTTAAATCTGTTGAAAATCAAAACCATCCGAAGTTCTAGAGAATTGATTATGGGCCTGGCATGAAAATAAATGTCTAATTAATGATTTATATAACATTTGAGACAAACGAAAGATCTGCATTAGGCAGATTTAGCTCTTGAATAATGCATCATTAACCAATTAGGTACGAAATCGTCTGTTACTTTGATGTCACATATGATACATTAGCGAACAACTCTGACTCAAGTCGTTTTTGTCATAATGTATATACCTTGGCCAGTTTAATTTTTATGGCATAGTTGATTAAATGATGAATAACCTCTAAAATGTATCTTATCAAAATTATTATCAAAATGTAATAACATAACTGTTAATTTCATTGCAAACAGTTAAATACAGTAAACTTTGCATAAGTTGGATTCGTATAAAGTCGAATCTTCACTCAACTCAACTTTGGACCCTTTCATCCTGCACGTTTTTCTTATTAAATTTCTGCATGTAAGAAGGATTCCTAAGTCAGGATCTTTTCTCAACTCGAATCAAAATATTCGGTCCATTTGATCTAATTCCAGATTTTTTCCTTCATCTAAGTTGGATCGGCAGTATGTTTAGAATTTGACTAAGTCAGTTTCGTCCCGATGGTCTAAAACGTGGTTAGGTATTCCATGCACAGAGCCCGAAAATACTATTCCCTATCACTTTGACTCAAATCAGCCTATTTGACGCAACCCAATAATAGAATTTTTCCGGAAAATCTGATATTCGCTGTCTGCTGTACGAGACACTTTCCGGGAAAATTTAGGAAATGTTTGCCCATACAAACAAAAGCTTGAAATGTGCCTTTGAATCAATTATTATCCAGCTCTTGCAGTTTATTTCTAATCGAGCCAAGAATGAATTTCGGTCTTCGGCTAACTCGGATCTTGGCTTAACTCGGATAAAATTGGTCAGTCCACTTAGATCCAACTTATGCAAAGTTTACTGTAGTTACAAAATAAATAAGCCATATTAATAATATTGGAGCACAAGTCCTTGAACAACCCAACCTTTTCAACACAAGAGGTATCGAAACTGTGCAAAATTTACACTGTATTTAGAATGGGAAAAATGCAGGATAACTTACAAAATGGAAATTATTTTAACAGAAACATTTACAATTTATTATATATTATGTGAATGTGAAAGTGCTTTCATGTTTAAAAAAATAAACATAACACGTTTGATATAAAACTGCTTATATAAGTTAGCCTATGAGCCCTAAAATATATATAATTATTCACAGTAAAGAAACTTTGACCGTAATTTGACATTTGGAGTCCCGTACCTAAATTGTTATACCATAACAGTTTATTTCAGGATGGTAGACTAATTTTTGTGTAAACTTATGCCCTTTAATAATGGTTTGCATGTCATTCCAGAATTGCATGTCATTCCAGAATCATATTTCAATAAATGAAATCATTCTACTTGGCTATTTTCTACACTTAGTCCAACACATTGTTCTTTTTTTTACATCCGGATTTTCTGGTGTTGTTTCCCCTTGTCGGTGGTGCAGGACGGAGGGCCACTGAATGGTGTATGCCCGTCTTCATTAGCCCAGTCAGAGTAGGACGTTAGTGTTAAACACTTGTTTCATTTCTATTCTTTTACCTGAACTAAATATATAGACATACTGTAGGTCAATTGGCACAAAATTCTGTAATTATAAATTACACTCTAGTTGAGGGGAATCATATGTAGGCCTATAATAGTATAATGTTCAGTAAACTAATAACTAATGTGACTCCACAACCACAATAGTATACACATGATATAATATACATACTATACTAGGCAATTTTAATTTATACAGAATAGTGATGAAAGTAAAACCATACTGAATTGACAGAAGGCCCCTTTTTCTATTCGCACTTTCCAGTTTCAATGAGTAATTTTACGTCTATGAACAAACCTTAATTAACTGTGTTGGTAATCAATATAACAATAGTCTCTTCTGTTAATACATCATGTCGCGAACTAATTACAGGACTATTCACTTAACTTAATTCTCTGTCAGCTTAGGAAGTTTCTTGAAGTGTTTTAAATGACACGTGCCCAGCTGATATTTGAGGCGATTACCGAGGGCGATCTACTAAATAGGTCGGTTGGTACAAAATTGTCGACCTGAAAAATATGATAAACGAAAAACTATTAGTTTAAGTCAAACAGACGTCATTGAGTCAGACCCGCGGTGCAATTTACTCGAAGAATCACCATGATATAATTTCTATACATTTGAATTTTTAACTGTTAATAATTAAACGAGGTAGTACCAAATGCAGTATTTGTAAAGTTGAATAATATTTCAGAAACTGTTTAGATAACCTGGACAGTATAATTGTTTCATTGATAACCCAGGTTACCGAATAAATCGAAGGTCAATTCGTTTGTTATCTTGCAATGATCAAATATACAGATATCGGTTCATAACTTATTAAGATAACCCCATTAATAATTTATTAATATAACTGTATGCATGATGTTCATCTTTAAGTCCCGTGTCCTATTTATTGTCCTCTAGTTGATCTGTCGTTCAACAACATTGGACATGCAACACCTCAACAAATGTCCAGCCCTGCGTGCAGGTTAACTTACTGAAATGAAATGGATTTAACGTCCTACTGTTCTGGGCTAATGAAGACGGGCACCAGGGCCGTAACTAGCTCAGAGCAACCTGAGCAACAAAGGGGGGGGGGGGGGGTGTTCTCTGGGGTGTTGTAATATTGACGGACAATGTATGTATATCTATTTTTTTGTGGTCAAAAATTTTTTCACAGGGGGGGGGGGGGGGCGAAACTTTTTTGCTTTTTGCTTTGTCCCCCACCTACGCCCCCCTGGTTACGGGCCTGACGGGCATACGCCATACAGTGTGCTATGGGGAAATTTAAACTGTTGGCTTGTTAAATCGAAGCATTAAAAGCTGGCTATGCGCGACATTTTAACACGGTAGAGGTTTGACATCTTAACGTCATGAAGGCGGGTCTAAATATATGTCGTGTACAACAGCCAATCAAAATGCGCGACATAGACAAAGGGAAAATCGCAAGTAGAGAACCTATACGGATCACGCGTGCATAATGCACCGTAATTATAAATGGCCTTGAGGATGATGCCCCCCCCCCCCGCCGAAATCCCGAAATAAATAGATGACACATATAAATTAATTGCACATTTATCTCTCTCAAAAGTATCGATTAATCAAACAGATTACTTAATTAGAACTAAAGCTATCGTGTCCCAAAGCACCAACCAATCAAATTGCTTATCGCTCTGCTTACCGATTATCGAACTAAATCAAGGTATTGATGTGATTCATCACTATCACTTAATTATAACCAAAGTTATCGTGTCCCGAAGTATCAATCAATGAAATTGCTTATCTCTGCTTACCTTAAGCGGACAATTTTCATCTTCAAACTCCATCAAGGCACTGACCTAATGAACGCCTACACCTAGTTTGAACATTCATACCTCAATTAGAAGGAAAGTTATTGTGTTCCAAAGTCCCGACAAATCAAATTGCTTATCGCTCTGCATACCCTCAGCAGAAAATGTTCATTATCGAAATTAGTCATGGTATTGATGCGATGAAACTATACACCAAGTTTCATCACTCTCACTTAATTAAAACTAAAGTTATCGCGTCCCAAAGCATCAACCAATCAATTTGCTTATCTCTGCTTACCCTTAGCAGAAAATTCTCATCTTCGAACTCCATCAAGACATTCACCTATAATAAACACCTACAACAAGTGTGAACATTCTAGCTCAGTTAGGAGAGTTCTTGTTTTCCAATCGACCAATCAAATTGCTTATCGCTCTGCTTACCCGGAGCAGAAAATGCTCATTATCCAACTTAGTCAAGGTATTGATGTAATGAAACTATACACCACGTTTCATTACTCTCACTTAATTAGAACTAAAGTTATCGTGACCCAAAGCATCAACTAATAAAATTGCTCATCGCTGCTTACCCAAAGCAAAAAATGCCCATTTTCGAACTCCATCGAGGCATTGACCTAATAAACACCTACACCAAGTTTGAACATTCTAGCTCAATTAAAAGGAGAGTTATTGTATCCCAAAATGTGTGACGGACAGACCCATTTTAAAAGTCCCCTGCTTGTAGGGATGTTTGCTTAAAGATGCATTATTCAAGAGCTAAATCTGCCTAATGCATCTTCAGTTTGGCCCCAATTAATTAAACATTTATTTACATGTCAGATCCATAATCAACTCTCTGCTACTTCTTGTGGTTTTGATTTTCAATAGATTTAAATACGATTGGTAGTTAATGGTTTGATTTAAAAGTGGATAATCGAGATTTTGTTTTTTATCGTGACAACGGCAGCAATGATAATCGAGACTACTTTGTTTTGCAAACGACGATAACTCCGCTCAGAATGAACTAATATGACTGAATTTCAAAAAATATTCCCTTTTCATTATCAATTTTTAACTATTATAACGAGAACTGTCAACCTTTTATCTAAATCTTACATAGTGCATCTTTAATTGTAGTTGGATGTGGCAGAAATGTAATTTATCACCCAATGACACATTCTACTGTAGATATCGCTAGTGTGATAACTTTCATAATCTACAAAGGAGATATCGCTTTACATGAAAAAAAAATATGCCAAAGAATTATATACTCTTCCAAAAAAGTAGGGGACATTGAAACGAAAATACCTATGCAGGTTGTGATATGATAGTCATGGGCACTTGACATGCTTTGAGAGTATGTTCACAGATAAAGAACTTATAGCGCCAACAGAACCACTGAGCTGGGGAGGGGTTCATTGTCAAATTTGACACTTCAAGGAAGGGTTGATGAAAACTGCCGCGTGCTGGTTTATCCTATCCATGTTTGCTTTCCTATCGGTTCTTGCATAAGATTTACTGTTTACGTAAATTTGCTTTAGTGTGTTACGTTTAATTTGCAATGAGACGTCTTCAACATGATGAACGTCTACGTGCTATTGGCATGCTTCAAATGGGTTCTACACGCGAGCAGTAGCCAACATACTTAATGTGTCAGACTGTGGAACCGGTACCAACAAACACACAATGTTGAGGATAGACCTCGTTCGGGTCGTCCTAGAGACACTACACAAGCCCAAGATCGATACATTCGTACACAGGTCCTACGAAATCGAGGACAAACGGCCAATCAGCTTTCTGTAAACTTGTACCAAGTTAGAGGAGTTCGAGTTACATCCCCAAACGATAAGAAATCGACTACATGCAGCCCAATTGCATGCGCGACGACCGCCTGTTGTGCCTCCATTAACTCGCCAGCACATGGCAAACAGGCGTCATTGTGTAGGCAGCGTAGAAATTGGGGCAATCGTCGATGGTCGCGTGTAATGTTCTCAGATGAGTCCAGATTTACTCTGGATTTCACCGATAGACATTCTGGCGTTTGGAGACGTGTAAATGGGCTTCATGCTAACATTAACGTCAGACAGCATGACAGATTCGGGCGTGGGTCTGCTATGGTGTAGGGAGGAATCGCCATGACTGGCAGAACGGACTTGCATATTGTTCAAGGAAGGGTCACTGGTGTGACCACATCCTGGTACCGATAGTTCTGCCCTTTGCTCAACGTGCAGGTCGACGTTTCATCATTCAAGATGAGAATGCCCGTGCACACCGCGCTCGTGTCGTAAATGACTACCTCCAGCGTCACCATATTGTCCATATGCCTTGGCAAGCCATGAGTCCTGACCTTTCCCATAAAGAGCATGTCTGGGACATGATCAAGAGACGTGTTCGTCGACGTCAACTTCAACGGACAACACTGCAAGAATTGGCCGTGGCACTGCAAGAGGAGTGGGTCAGATTGCCCCAAATCGTAATTGGACGGTTGATTAGGAGCATGCAACGACGAATTGCTGAATGTCAATCAAAACCGTCCATTTTCACTTTTGACAGTGTATCTCTTTGCGAGTGAAATGGGACCGTCAGATAAGCCGCCCATGAATTGTTTATATTCATGAATCATGTGTAGGCCTGTTATTAACCTACACTGGTTACCTCCAATAAAACAGCAGTGCATTTCCGCAGTTTTGTATTGTTTCTGAATAACCCCTACTTTTTTTGATATCAAAGAGACTCGCAGTGGATTTTCTATAGTATATATATATAGGCCTACATGTACTGAACAGAAAAAAACCCCAAAAAAACGTCAGTACGATTAGTGATTAATTCATCACAATTCCAGGACATTACGAGAAGGTTTAGAGTCTGTACACAGTCTATAAATCAGTATCTCGTGTGTCCACCGAGAGTGTTAATAACAGCAGCGCAGCGTCTGTACATGGAGCGGACCAGACGATTGACGAACGCCATTGGCACCCAAAACCACACTCTCAGAAGAGCCTGGCGCAATCCATGAGCTGTGTTTAGTCTCGGTACGACGTTATTAAGTCTCCTCTGAATTTCATCCCAACGATGTTCAATCGGGTTTAAGTTCGGACTAAGGGCTGGCCAATGCAACAAATGTATTGTAAAATTTTGATAGGTTTCACTAATCTCAACAATATGATTTTGAGCTTCAAGTAATTCGATTAAGTTTTGTCCCTAGGATTGGGGCCAGCTACATTGTTTTTGTTTCAGTCTCAATCCCCTAACTTTTAAAATAGCCATTACGGGCCTGTTACTACATTGTGTACTCCGGTTAATAGAAGTCTTTATAATCGTACTTAACTTTCAGATACCTCCCATATGTCACTTAAAGTTAAGTGAATTTTTCTCACTTAAACTGGACTTTAAATACCGATACTAGGCTAAACAATAAACATCGCAGGCTAGAGATGCCATCGAGAGTTGATTATGGTCTGGATAAGTTAAACATACATTATGCAAGAGCTAAATCTTTCTATTGCAGATCTTTCTTAGGCCTGAAATGTTTTCTAAATTATTAATTAGACATTAATTAACTTATCCAGGCCATAATCAACTCTCGATAGCATCGGATTTCTCCGATATTAAATAGATTACAACAGTTCAGCCATATTTTGATTTAAGCTAAAAATGGAGGAGCGAGACTTGGCTTCGAACAACCAGTACGGTGGTTAAAATTATTGCACACGTCCTGTTAAACCTCCAAAGGCTAATATCTTCGATCGCAATAGAGTAATTTGAATGAAATTTTCAAATTATTCATTTTATATTATCTATTTCCGAACTATTATAGCAAGAATGGCTAGCTCTTTATCTAAATCTTAAATAATGTATATCTTTAATCTCTAATAAATAATTTAGATAACATTTCAGGCCTAAAGAAAGACCTGCAAATAGGCAGATTTAGCTCTTGCATAATTTTTTAAACATTGCCTTTGAATACCATTTACCCTTAACTTAGATGGAGTTAGGTATATTTAAACATACATTATGCAAGAGCAAAATCGGCCTATTGTAGGTCTTTCTTTAGGCCTGAAATTTTATAAAAACTATTAATTAGACATTAATTAACTTATCCAGACCATAATCAGCTCTCGATGTCAAGGATTGCCTGCGATATTTGTTGGATTACAGCCCGATTTGCTGCAAAACTTTCCTTCGTGATTAACGATTAAATGGATAATCAAGACTATTAGTTTTGTCTTATCGACTTCAGTAATGATGATCGAGGCTAAGCGGAACTTTCATCCGCTTAGTTCTCGCTTCATAGTGGATCAATTTGACTGAAATTTTCAGCAAGTTGCCTTTACATTATGTAGTTTTTAACTATTATAGTGAGAACTGCCAACTCGTTATCTAATCTCCCATAATGTATCTTTAAGTAAAATCTAGTAGTTAAGTGACTATCTTAGACTTAAGACATCCTTTGATGACGGACCCTTGAATAAAAACAATAGCCTTTAAAAAGCCAATTGTTGAATTTTCTATCTTTATTTATTCAATAAATATTTATAATACTGGTTCTTTCTCTCAATAATGAAATTAAGATACCCGTGGCAAGTTCAACGAAATTTAAATTCGTTTCGATTCTTTCCCCGCGATTAAATTTAACTGATATCTACTGACTTGTGCATCTCCATCTGTTTCACAGATTATTACGAGTCTATATGGTAATATCTCTGTCAAAGATGACTGCCTTAACACGCGCTGTCACAGCACGCGGCGTGCATTGTTTACATAAGACGTTACTGCTTCGGAGAGAATGCTGACTTTTAGTCATTTTAATTAATAGCCATTTACACTAATTAGGAAATAATTTTTACCTAGAAATACGTCAAACGCCTTTATTTATTTTTCCAATACATAAAAAAAAATGTTTTAGAATTTAATTTGTTGCAGGAAAAAAGTTAATATTTCTGGCTCATTAAGTCGCATCTATGTCATCCTTATCAGTGATTGAAGCGGCCTAGCGAAAATTCACTGCTGATCAGTGTGGGGCATTCTCTTAAAACTCCTGCCACCTGATATTTGATATTTCGCTTCTGCGTCGACCCTCTTTCCAATCCGGTCACGCTCGATGTCTTTGATAACGTTTTAAGCGACCTTACTTTTTACTCGCAACTATTTCATAGTTACAATACAGTATGTCCCAATGTCCAACGTTGTTTATCATTATAGTCCGGTGGCTGAAGGGGGGGGGGGGGGGAATCACCACCCGAGCTGTGAATTTATTAGACCAAGTTTTTCTAGACCAGTTTTTTGCGTAGATTCCGAATCTGGGTGGTGATCAGGCATTTGAGGGAGCGTTTTCGAGATATAGGGGGTCAAATGTCTACAATGGGGGGAGGGGGGAGGTCATTATGTTGACATAATTATAATATATTAATAAAACATAAATTTCTAGGACTGCCCATCTATAAATAAGTGTTTATGATGCCCCTGGACAACTGTTTTGATTTATGGGGTGGGGGTAGCAGGTGTGCGCGTGTGGAGGGGTGGGGTGGGGATAAATTGGCGGGGAAATGAGTTCACGTTGATTTAAATGATTATTTTCTAAGAGCTTGATGAAACATCTCTAAATATGTTTATAAAATTCCTATTGTATGGGGGTGGACGCCGGGGTGAGTGCCCGCCGTGGGGGGGGGGGGGGGTTCGGGTGATGCTGGGTGGCAAGATGAATTTTTGTGGACAGTTATCTTTTCGTTCATAATTGAGCTTAAAGTGGTATCTCGTTAGCGTTTTCATTCAAAATATTAAATTATAATGGTACTTTTCAAGAGATCTGGAAATGTAAATCAAAAACACATTAACTCAGAGATATGTTAAGTTGTTAGTTTATTCTTTGTCTTGATCAGGCTGATAGGGTGGCCCACGCACCTACAGAAATACAGTCCACCGCTGATAGTTCGAGACTACCACTGAAGCGTGCACATTCGCCGTGTCGAGGCCAACTTTCTGACAGTATGATACTATAAATAGCCATGGCACGTGCAATTCTCTACAAATCTATCAACTATTACAGCCGTAAAAAAATTATTGTTGACGATTTTGAATAGCAGTGAAATTAAGCTTCTTGGTTATTACAGCAGATTTAGAAATTACGTTCGTTTCATTTTTTAAATCGCTTTATCATTAACTGTACCGTTAAGAGCGGCATCTTTTGGTTTAGTACAAATAATATCTCAGAAACACTCGGGTTAGACAGGAACATGATACTAGCAGTAGTTTCATTTTACTTTTACAAGCTTCTTAAAACAATTGTTGAGCTAGCTAACGTGCTCATTTCTAAATTCAATTTCTTGTTCTAGCTTTCTGTTATGTTTCGTAAAAAAGTAGTCTTGATTATCCCGACCTGTCAATCAGCCCTAGAATGGTCGATAGACTGGTTAAGCGAGACTAATTTCAAAACAAGGGCACGTAACCTATCTTTTACTCAAAAGTGTCTGGATGTTATGGACGACACATGGAACCAGTTTTCAGTCTATTATTTATAGATGATTAATGGTCATAGCTTATTAAGTACAACATGATCGTTTATTTAGTGACTATAATTGTGTGAAACTGATTTGAGGCTTGGCATATATATAAATATTGTGGCGAAATTGTCGAGATATATGGAGATATCTATTTATGGTGGGTCACCCTACTGTCAGAAGATTCAAAATCAAAAGTTCATAGAGGAGCGAGATAAATATTTTCTTGGTTGCTGGCCAACAGCTCGAATATCCTTTGGATAAGTTTCAGAAACCAATTCACATTGTAAATCTTCATTCCAGCCATGCAGCAAAAGACCACGTATACGGCAAGGTGGTAATAAAGAAAGGTCTGTTATTTTTTCACCCAGAAAATCTTTTTTCTAGCGTCATCTAGTGATGTAAGTCGTCTTTCGCGATATTTTCTACCTTTACCCGTCTCATTATCGATAAAAATTTGTATATTTGGATCATCGTTTGCGAAGAGAATGTTTGGGATGTCTATTTCGCCCGAGCAAGAACGCAAAATACAATTTGTTTCAGCATCTCCATTAATTTGCAATGCGAAGAGGAGTAGCTAAGATATTTTGGTGTCCTCGTGGTTGTTTGTCAGTTCTAGGATATTCTCGACACTTTTAATACTAATCTTGATATTTTTTGATCCAATCAAGATTAGTATTGAAAGTGTCGAGAATATCTCGGCCTACATGCTTTCAGTGGTATAATGACCATCTGTCTTTCTTTTTCAAGATAATATGGAGACAGGTTGCAAAATTAATGATTGGCCAAAATGGCTCTGCGATACAAGGCTGGAATGAAGATTTACAATGTGAATGGGTATCTGAAGCATATCAAAAGGATATACGCATATCAAGAAGATATCTATACCACTCATATTATTAGAATAAACTAATATCTAAACATGTGTTTTTTATGTACATTTCCAGATCTCTCTAAAAGTGCAATTATAATTTAATATTTTGAATGACGATATTGGCACTGAACGAAAACTCGAGAAAACACTTTTCAGGTCAATTTTGAACCAAGTGGTTTCTTTCACCCAAAATACATTTACCCTCTCCCATACAATGGTAATCGTATACACATATTTAGAGATGTGCAGTGGAACTAAAAAAGTAATGTTTTTACCAAGCTCTAAGAAAATCATCAACATGAACTCACTTCCCGCCAATTGTACCCCCCCCCATCCATACACGCACACCTGCTACCCCAACCCCACCTCTACCACAAATCAAAATAGTTGTCCAGGGGCATCATAGACACATATTTCAAGATGGGCATTCCTAGAAATTTATGTTTTATTAATATATTATGTCAACATAATGACCCCCCCCCCCACACACACACACACCTGCTATCCCCACCCCACCTCCCCACAAATCAAAACAGTTGTCCATGAGCATCATAAACACTTATTTATAGATGGGCAGTCTTAGAAATTTATGTTTTATTAATATATTAAATCAACATGACATCTCCCCCTCCCCCCATTGTAGACATTTGACCCCCTATATCTCGAAAACGCCCCCTCAAACGCCTGATCACCACCCAGATTCGGAATCTACGCAAAAAACTGGTCTAGAAAAACTTGGTCTCATAAATTCACAGCTCGGGTGGCGATTCCCCCCCTTCAGCCACCGGACTACATTGGTTAATTTCGAAAATAAAGAGAAATGTGGCTAATGTCGTCACTTCTGTTTTGATGTCACGTGATTGCTTAAAAAGTTTAGGTCTACATCAAAACAAATTGACCCCATGCGATAGAGATCTTGATAGGGTCACTTTGGGTCACGTACGTTAGGCCTGTGCTATGTTACTACTAGTAGTAGGCCTAGTAATAGTATGCAGATAGTCTCTATATTTAAATAAATTTACCTGACCTCTATAGGAGAAGGGCAGTTTGGCCTTTACTAATACTAACACGGACTGAATAATCGAGCTCTGATAGTGATAGCTCCTGTTCACACATATGTCGTCTACCAGACTTAAGCCAGTAGCCTATTTGGACATACACCAGTAGGCCTATATGAAAAATAAATGTTTTGACAATATCAAAATTTCTTTGTTGCAGGCCTATAATAATATGTAATTAATCTACATCTACCTTGAACATTCCCCCCCCCCCCACCTCATTATTTTTAAATTGTGCTACGCTGGAGGAGGGTTTTCTAGCATGCCCTTTCAAATTGATAGGCTAATGCTATTAGAAAAATAGGTTAAAGGCTCAATACCACTCTTGTTGTAACTGAATAATATGTCCCAATCTTTATTCTGGTCAACAAATTGTACTATTTTAGAATACTTCAATTAATTGATGATACAAATTTCATCTTAACACACCTTATTTAAAAATTTTGAAAAATTCAACATAATGGTTTGAAACGTCTAACGTAAACCTTTTAAAATGAAACTTCGATTTAAAAATATTTTCGAACCCTCTGGACAAGTAAAATAGGATGTAATGGATAATTTACACAACAGGTAGGACACTTAAACATCTAGTACTTAGAGATATTATTTATTTTCTGGAGCTTTCAAGCCAGCAAGAGTGTTATTGTCCCTTTAACAAAAAAATAACAATGAAATCAAAACTTGTTAAAATCCAAGGTAGTGCGATGTTAAGACACAGAGGTGGGTAAAATTCACTCAGAATCAAAGTTATGTGTTCTAAGCATTGACTAATCAAACTGCTATCTCTGCTAACCTAAGCACAAAATGCTCACCATCAAACCCAGCCAATACATTCACCTAATGAACATCTTCACCAAGTTTGAACATTCCAACTCAATTAAAAGCAGAGTTTCTTTGCTGCAAAAAGGGGGACATATATGAACCCAAATAATAATAATGCTTTATTACACAACTGCATGATATATACACGAGTATGGTAAAGCATACAATACAAAGTATAATAAAATAATAAACATCAAGAGCACAGAATAACGTTTACAGAGGTTTCTAAAAGTATATTAAATTATATTACTAATGCTTGTAAGGTATATATTAGGCCTTACATAGCAAATGGTATTTAATGTCTGTTCTTAAACATTTCATATACGAATGTTGCAACATCTTATATACTTTTATCATCGTTCATTATATATGCATTATTGAATCATTCAAACTAGTTTTAATGTGATGACTTAAAAACTTTTCCTAAGATTATTGTGGGCGGAGCAATGGAGAAGAACGTGCATTTCATCTTCTACTTCTCCGCTAGTACAATTTTTACAGGTCCTCTTATCCCTGTGGACAAGAGGTTTTTTTTATGCCTTCCTGTCTCTATTTCAAGCTTATGTGCAGAATCTAAACTGGCTCAGTGCCTGGCGTTTTTGTTCATCTGGTAGATCCAGGTATTTCTCAGTATCATAATTTGTCTTAATTTTATAATAAAAATCATTTTTTGTGTTAGTTTTAAGGCAATTATTTAAGTTCTTAACAGTTTGTCCTTTTTCAATATATTTCCAAGACTGAACATAAATATCCCTCAATCTTTGTTTGAACATCTGTAGAAAAGCGTCTGTATTGAAAGACTGAGGATAGGTTGTTCATACAATCCACCCAGTCCAGTCTCCTCTAAAACATATCTAATTTGATTACTCCATTTACTGCTGACATTTTTCATTCGTCCAGAGCAGACTGAAGTAGGGGGTTGGCTTGTTTTGATTTTGATTCGATCCATGTCTTGACCATCCTGTATTTAACATCAAGAAGAATTGGGAACCGACCAACTACAGCTAATACAGCAGACATGAAATGTTGTTAAGATTTTTATTGCTATAATGATGAAACTGCAAAACTTTATAAATATTGTTCTGTATGAAAATCAATACTCATGTCAACTAACTATTATACCTATTTTATGATCTAACTTTAAACAAGTTATTCCGATTGTACTTAAAGGAGCTAACATTTGGGTCCTAGAAATTGACAAAAGTGGGTCGCAACGCATATAATACTGTAATATGAATGTATATAAACTGATTTACATTCAATGGTTTCGGTTTTTACTCCAATTTCAAATCAGTTGTGTTCGGCGAAATATGCCAGCAGTCTCAAGCGAGTGCAAATTTCTAGCGTCTGGTTATTCCAGTCTACATACGCTGTTTGATTTGGTGCAATGTGTCTAGCCTCGTCCCTCGAGTCTCTTGATACAACTGGGGCTGAAGCGCATTATGGTACACGATTCGTGTACCAATGGTAAAATGTTTATTTTGTCTTAAATATTGGATATCAAAAGCCCATCTTTTTTCGGTAAGATCACAACATGAATGTTGATTTAATTTGACAAATAAATCGTGTTTTCAATGTTGAAGATTTTGAATGATATTGAGTTAGAGACTTAGCTACTTTAAAGGGCTCTATGTCACACAAATATAAATAATGTATATAAATTTTAATTAGAGCTACGACTACCTAACCTGATTGAATTCAGATGTATTTCAATTCGTATTTTTATTTTTATATTTGATACTTTAATGGACTCAAGTTCATGTGGTGGTATCAGGTTATATATATATATACCAGTAGATGATTTCATATTGATGTAAAATGAATTGATTTTGGTGGTACTAAAGTGATAGATACATTTGTTTGATAAAGACTACAAAATTCTACTCGACATGTAACTCAGTAATAAATAATATTCTGTCCTGTATATTGCTTGTAGGCATGACTAGAATACTGATGGAGCATGACTAAATGTGGTAGTAGAATGACTTGATGGTAATGGATTCTGATTAGAGATGGATAGTAGAATGACTTGATGGTAATGGACTCCGACAAGAGATGGTAGTAGAATGACTTTGGTAATGGACACTGACAAGAGATGGCAGTAGAATGTTAAACCACAATTGGTACTTTATTCAATATTTATGGAACTTGTTTCTACAGAACAATCCATATGAGTGTAACCCAATCTGTGAAAAGATTGACAGGCCAATTTATTTGAAGTGATCATGTCTATTAAATGGGTTTCCTGCTAATAGTAACCAAATACTCTGAAATTAAAAGAAATATTACGATTTTTATTTTAATATACTACCGGTATGCTTTACAACCAATACTTGATTATGAAAATTGGAGGTTGTCAACTCAGTGTAATTAGATTCAATTTCTAAATGTTTACATTAAACAAAAGTCAGGATGACTAACTCTGGAATAAATGATTTAATCACATATTATGATCTCAATCAACAGAACACTTCTACAGGGTTCCCGCGGCTTCGTCAAACATTTTTTCAAGGATAAATATACGTCAAATTCAAGGATTTTCAAGGACTTTTTTTAGCTTAAAGTTACAATTTTTCATCTTAAAAATAACCAAAACATTACCAACTATCGTTATAATCTCATATTTAAAAGGAATTGAAGACATTTGAAACAAAATTAAGGATCTCAACTGAAATTCAAGGATATTTTCCTATTTCCGCGAAATTCAAGGATATTCAAGACCTTGAAAATGAAATTTTAAATTTAAGGATATTTAAGGACCGCAGGCACCCTGTTCTCCGGTGGCTGATTTAGGACACGCAAAAAATAATAATATCTCAAGTACTCAAGATACTAAGTCGAGAGCTCGAGATACTAAGACAAGTGCTTGAGATACTAAGTCGAGCGCTTGAGATAATTAAGTCAAGCGCTGGAGATACTAAGTCCAGCACTTGAGATAATACAATCGAACATGTCTCAGCCGATGTTTTAAGCTGTAAAATAATATCTCGAGCATTCGAGATATATTTTTTTTTTTTGCATGTCCTAAATCAGCCACCTACACTTCACTAGAATCTTCGTAAGAATCTTTCATGAACTTACAGCATTGTGGATGGTTACATCCTGGTCTTACTAACTGTTGCCTGTTTGCTCAGCCTCTCCCAAGGTTTAAAGTCTCTATTATACATATACTTTCTGGAATAAAAAATAATATAAATCAACATGTATTAAATCATGATTTTGAGAAGCTATTACACCCATGTACTTTTTTTTATATTATTTTTAATTTACTGGTCATTTATAGATATTTTTAATGTGTTCATATCAGTAGTGAGCTATCCAGAAATAATTGCTAGATTTGCTTAACAGGGTTATGTTATCATGTAAAGAATTTCACTCTTCAATTGTTAAGTGACATGATAATCAAGACAATCACTTGCACTGTCCTGGCAACTGTACATATTTGGTTATCCAGCATGGAATTTAGGGCCTTAGATAGTTGCACTGTACTATGATTAAGGTTTGGAAGAATGTTTCACTCCAATTTAACCGGTTTTATTCACTAATATATATGTTGGACTGCTCCTAGGCAAAAGTCAAAATATGACTGTTTCATATTTAGAAGAATGGAGAAATAAATGATATATAACCTCTCCTTTGAAGTGGTTTCTATGATCATCTTCTGCTGGTAGAAATATTATATACTGATGTTCTATTTTTGTTGTTAAAAAGTCTGAATCAATAACACTCCTCACATCCCGACTAAGATTGTCTCTGCTTCTCTTGGTATTCTTGGAAAGCTGAAAATATACATTATGTTAACACAGGTAAGAAAAGACATGTTTTGTCTTTAAATGCTATAAAGAAAGACATCTTGAGAACTGTAGCGCCAGCTAGAGAGAGGAAGTACACATTGGATACAGCAGGATGATCAATGTCACCAGATAAAAAGTAAAAATATTTTTCATTTTGGTGACAGAATTTTCCAAGTGTAACATTGTAAACTTCATAATTGCAAGAGAGACCTCAACTTGCACAAATTTGAAATGTATGTAAGTAATAATCCTGTGTGTAACTGGGGCATATCTGTTGAAAATTGCGATCATTTTATCTGTCACTGTCTTAAGGTATTGATTGAATGTAATAATGTATCTGACATTCTGCTATTACCAATAACAAACCCCATTCCTTCACTCCCTCAAAGACTTAGGCAAATTTTGTGATCAACAAACTCACATTTTAAATACAGTTCACCCTCCATTACTGATGACCTGTCAACTCACTTTCATTTTTTCTCTTCTTTATTGTTTTAGTTCCTATTACAAGTATTATTTAGCACAAATGTTCAACCTAACATACTATCACTTTCACTGATTAAAAATAACTACCATATCAGGAAGCAATCGGCTGAATCAATTGGCGTTGAAATTCGCCTAGTGTGTCCACGGTCATTCGGCCAAATCAAACATGTTTGATATATTCGCCTAGTGTGTCTGCTTCGCCGAAGCATTCGCCTGATTGTAGAATTCATTAGACAATCACCACTCATCATCTACTCATATTGAGAAGTCACATGATTGTTTGAAGACATGGTCGCAGACATGTTCAATCATGTGACATGAAAGGTGATGCAATCGACTGGTGAATCTGGCAAAGGATTCGGCTAATGTGTCCACCAAAGCTCAGACTTCTCCATCACATCTTGTCTCAAAGTCCTAGTTATGAGATATAAAGAGGTAAAGACATATCATTAATGCAGATGCTTAGTCACATACACATCATAGGTGACTCAAGTTTGTTTTTATGATGAAAAGCCAGAGTTTCAGTTCTGAATGAAGTAAAATCAAATGCTGCAAAGCAATACAGTAGGCTATACATATTGAAGCATAAATTGCCACATTAGAGAGAGAGAGAAATGGGGTTTAACGTCCACTCGACACAAACTAGGTCATTTCGGGACTATGCCACATTTGAGAATTAGCCCCCCCAAATCAAAATAAAATCTATTAATTTACCCTAAAAAATGGCTAATTTTTTACACTCACTTTAAAGTCAGGAAATTTTACAATATGACGAATTTTAATTTGTACTGGACACATCTTCTTTTTGCTATCCTGGACCTTCCGCTTTTTAATCGCAAAACTGTGGTCTGTATTCTAAAAGACAGAAATAAAAATGAAATTAAAAATGAAATAAATGGGACTTTTGTCTGTTTAGCCATCTCAAAACATGAGTTTATTTTCATCTCTAGACTACTCACACTCAAATCTTCAATTTTCTTCCTTCTCTCCTCTTTCTTTTTTTTATCACGATCAATTCCCAGATGGCATTCCATTATTTTCTTGCCAGCAATTACAAATGGAATTCTATCATAAATAATTTTCGGGACTGCATTTGGTTGTGTGTCCTCAAACCGTATCATTTGTTTTTCCATATCTACAAATATTAAAACCATAGTAAGAACATAACCACTAAAGATTTATATGACTTTTAAATGGAGAGTGAAAATGTTTATATGATCTCAGTGATGGCTTGGTAGACTTGTCTCAAATTTAACAATGTTTATATCTCAGTGATGGCTTGGTAGACTTGTCTCAAATTTAATAAACAATGTTTATATCCCAGTGGTGGCTTGTTAGACTTGTCTCAAATTTTACAATGTTAATATGATCTCAGTGATGGCTTGGTAGATTTGTCTCAAATTTAACAAACAATGTTTATATCTCAGTGATGGCTTGTTAGACTTGTCTCATATTTTACAATGTTTACATGTTCTCAGTGATGGCTTGGTAGACTTGTCTCAAATTTTACATACAATCTAATTTGAACAACTACAATGTAACTGTATTGTGAAATTATGTTGTCAAATTGAAAATAATTCTTTTACCTACTGACCAAGACTTCAAAAGTGTTAACTGGTAAGTTCACCGAGTACATGATTTACTAGATTAGCCATGGTTGGCATAATTCTTTTACCTACTGACCAAGACTTCAAAAGTGTTAACTGCTAAGTTCACCAAGTACATGATTTACTAGATTAGTAATTTTTGTATTTTGTTTCATTTCTTACTTCTTGTATTTTCTGAATTTTCTTTTAACCCAATTCATATTAATACCAGACTAGCTATATTCTGGCACTGGGCGTCACTCAAGACAACCACCTTTTGTCCACAAATAGACAGCACTGATTGTTTGTGAAAAGATTGCTAAATATCTGTCAATTGGAAATGACAGTGTTTCTAGACGGTAACAGGCCACATAAAAAAGAATTTGGACAAAAACTTACCATCAACAATATTTTCATTACCAAAGCATTTTTCTTTCTTTTTCGTAATAAACTTTGATGATGTATTTACTTCATAGTGTTTGATTATACAGTCAACTTCATCAAGACTATGTGCTATTTTAACCACATTTGAACATCTTTCTTCCTTATCATAATCACTGTATACATCAAAAGGACATTTATTATAACCTCAAAGCACTTTAATACTACATGCTGACAGTTAGAAATTTATAGGATGGTTTGATATAAAAATGCATGAAAGCAGCACGGATCTAGCAGATTGACCAGGGTGGAAACTTGTCATAGGGCTTTAAAGAATCGCTAAATTTTCATGAAATTTACTTTGTATTGTCATTTGAATAAGGTCACAGTAATGGAGAAGCCTCACAGAATTACCTGTCAATTTCTGCTAAGAACAGATGATATAAACAGATAATTTAGGTAATGCACAGACTTTCAAGTCTGTTATGGATCAAGAATAGCCTTGATCTCTATGATAAAATTATATTTGGAATGTGTAAAATTGGTAGACACCAACAACATCCTTTAATCATAAATTACACTGCTCACATTAACTCCAAACTCACTTATTACTTTTTAACAGTATTTTACCTTTGTTACCAGTAAAATGCAACATGATAATCAATTCTAGCTTCATTGAATTTATTATGATACATTTTCTAAAATTTGTTGCCATCATTCACTACAAGAATATATTTCTAGCTTTAAAGAAACCTTCCCACATACAAACTGGGTGATTTGATGATATATTTAGACTAAAAACATATTCAAACTAATTAATCTATCAAAATTTTGCTTCAAATCCTGGGAGCCACGGTGCACACTGTATGGCATATGCCCGTCTTTATTAGCCAAGTCTGAGCAGAACAGTAGGACGTTAAACCCCATTTCATTTCATTTCTGCTTCAGATCCTTCTCAAAACATTATATTCGCCAGGCAATATCCCTGCTATAAAAAATATATTAAAAGAAGCGATGTTTTTGTCACATGACTTGGCTGATGCGATACCTAGCAACGGACGCGAAGCCAGAGGAGAATTCAAGACGATGTTGTCTTTAATTGCTGTCTATTTATCATAAAAATCTAAGCCTAACTAATTCTAGGATTATCCACTGCAACCTTTAACGTCACTCGAGCAGACATCCTGTATGCGCTCCATGGGTGTTTTTTAAGGAATCCAGTATTTTTCTACTTTCCACATATACCAAAATTGCCATACTTTTATTGGAAACAACCACCCGATAAATACTTTTGTGGGAAAGTATCTTTAAGAAGGACAACTGTCAGTGAATCTTACTTTTTATATGGGATTGTCATGTCTGTTATATTTGAATTCTGGACTTCCCCATTGTGATAAATATTTAGGTTCTTGGATTCCCTGTTAATTATAAATTACATTACTACCAGGTACAACAATCTATCCACTTCAATCAATCTCTATAAAACAACACAATGCAAATGAGAATTTTGTTAACTTGAACAAGCCAACAGTGAAGGTGATGTCCTCCGCCGACATCCCAAAATAAATAGATGACATATATTAATTAATTGCACTTTTATCTTTTACAGAAGTATTCAGCAATCAAACTGATTATCTATGCTTAGTCTAAGCAAAATGTTCACTATTAAGTTTTATCACTCTCCATCAGTTAGAATCAAAGTTAGCTTGTCCAAAACATTGACCAATGAAATTCCTTAGCTCTGCTTAGCTTTAGCGGGAAATGTTAATCATTGAACTCAGTCAAGACATTCACCTAATGAACATCTACATCAAGTTTAAACATTCTACCTCAATTAAAAGCATAGTTGTTATGTTCCAAAGTCTTGACAAAACAAATTGCTTATCAAGCAAAAAATTCTCATCATCAAACTTAATCAAGGTATTGACCTAATGAACGCCTACACCAAGTTTGAACATTCAACCTCAATTAGAAGGAGAGTTATTGTGTTCCAAAGTCTCAAATTGCTTACATCTGCTAAACCTAAGCAGAAAATGTTCATCGTCAAACTCCATCAAGGCATTAACCTAATAAACACCTACACCAGGTTTGAACATTCTAGCTCAATTAAAAGGAGAGTTATTGTGTCCCAAAAAGTGTGACAGACAGATGGACAGACCCATTTTAATAGTCCCCTGCTTTCTTTGAAAGGCGGGGGACAAAAAGACAAACATAGCTCTGAATAACATAATTGCTTTCCATAGATCCGTTGTGATTATATCAATAGAAGCGATTTTCTTCTTTCAATTTAAGCCTAAATTTCATAATGATTCAAAGATAATTGTGGCCTCTTGAGTATTAACAACAAAGGGGTATAATTCTTGGATGCATCATCAAAAATTGTTGAACATATACAGGGTGCTTACTTTTAATAAGCTAAAGACACATACGTTACAGAAATCATAGGTCAGAAATTATCTAATGCAGGCATATAAAAAGTGCAAAACTTACCAAAACTCAATCAAAAACAGTGTTAGATCACCATCATCAATAAATTTCAGTTGTGTTTTTAATCGATTCCATCTGTCAAAAACTGAAGAAGTCACAGTCACACTGATAGTCTGCATCTTGTAGGAAGTCCAAGTTAACCAACAAGCTGCTAGAATTGACTATAGATTTTGAAACATTTCTTTCAGGATTCCTACGAACAGTAAAGTGAATAATAACATCACAACTGAACAATATACAGATGCTTCGTAAATCACTAGAGTTACAGACAGACATTGATCAAATTTCATAAATCATGCCGAGCATGTAATTTGTGGAGCGGCAGAACTGCAACTCAAATGATGGGTTACCATGCAACAGAACATGTAGCATACCAAAACTGAATGACGAATGACAGGAAATAATAACTTGTCCCTTTAGGCTAACACTATTTATATTTATAGGTAATGAATAATGTTTGTATGAGAATGCATTGGGATTATACTGAATAGTCGCCTCAAGTTAAAATTAAGAAAGAATTTAGGAATGTCAGAGGCTCAATAGACGAAAAACAGGTTCACTAGATGAATGATACGAGAATGACAGAGGCTCAATGGATGAATGACAAAGAGAATGACAGAGGCTAACTGTATGAATGACAAAGAATGACAGGCTCACTAGCTGGGTGAAGAGTGACAAAGGAAATGTCAGGTTCACCAGACGAATGACAAAAGGGAATGACAGATGTTCAATAGAAGAAAGACAAACATAAAAAAGTCCCAGTAAATGAATGACATGGTCATTCTCCTTGTCATTAGCCTGGTGAACCTCTGCCATTCGTCTAATGAATCTCTGTGACTGTCATTCTTTTTGTCAATTGCCTGATGAACCACTGTCATTATCTTTGTCATTCATCTCATGAACCTGTTATTCTTTTGGTCATTAGCTTGGTTAACCGGTTATTCGTTTGACAAACCTGTGTCATCCTGTTTGTCATTTGCCTGGTGAACCTGTGCCATTCTCTTTGTCATTCGTCTAGTGTCTTTGTCATTCTCTTGGTCATTCGTCTGGTGTACTTGTCATTCTTCTGGTGAACCATGTCATTCCTTTTGTCATTCCTATGGTTATTCTCTTTCTCATTCTGGAGAACCTCAGCCATTCTGCTTGTCATTTGCCTGGTGGTCCTGTACCATTAGCTTTGTCATTCGTCAACTGAACCTTTGTCATTCTACTTGTAATTCCTCTTCTGAGGCTCTATCATTATTTTGTCATTCGTCTGGGGAACCTCTGTCATTCGCCTGATGAACATGCCATTTTCTTGGTCATTTGCCTGGTGAACCTATCAGCCTCTTTGTCATTCGTTTGGTGAAGCTGTCATTCTCTTTCCCTTTGTCATTTGTCCAGTGAACCTAGGTAATTCTTGTTGTCATTCGTTGGTGAACCTCTGTCATTCTCTTTCTCATTTGCCTGGCAAACCTCTGTCATTCTACCTGTCATTTGCCTGGTGAACCTCTGTCATTCTCTCGGTCATATGCCTGGCAAACCCCTGTCATTCTACTAGTCATTTGCCTAGTAAACCCCTGTCATCCTCTTTGTTATTTGCTGGTTATCCTGTACCATTAGTTTTGTCATTTGTCAATTGAACCTTTGTCATTCTACTTGTCATTCCTCTTCTGAGGCACTATCATTATATTTGTCATTTGTCCAGTGAACTTCTTGAAATCACCCTGTGCACTCCTGTCAATCACCCTGTGAACTCCTGTCATTCGTCGTCCAGTGAACTCCTGTCATTCTTTTTGTCATTCGTAAATTGAACCTTGTCTGGTTTTTTTTTCATTCCACAGCAATAAAACCCAGGCTTATTATAAACGAGGCTGACTGACAGCGATCAGTGCCCCTGGGCAAAAAGGGACGTTAGCACCACAAACCACTATATCAACGACCCATTCCATACACAAAGCTAGGTGAGAGAGGGAGGGAAATGGGGTTTTACGTCCACTCGACACAAACTAGGTCATTTCGGGACTAACATATGGTTTAATTTTATTTCAATAATTCGCTTGTGCGTAGGGATCTTTAGCAGTGGGAGGAAACCGGAGGACCCTGAGAAACACAAAGCTAGGAACTATTCCATAATTCATTTCCTACAAATTAAAGTTAACAAAGTTATGTAATCATACCGGTACTACTTGACTTTATTTTTATATGACAAACAATATTAATAATAATATTGATTATTACAAGAACAGTTATTTAGACAAAGTCGGTTTATCATTTCGCAGTCTCAAGATCCTCAATATCCTCAATATAAATTCCTTTGGGGGAGGGGCAGATTGCTTGAGGCCACAACTGGTAATTCCATATTCTAAACCCATTCCGTGAAATGATCTAATAATTGTGTTGTCATAAGGATAAGGGGGGAGGTTATTGTTTAGAAATTTCTTGCCATTCGCCATTCGGTTGTCATTTGTCTTTCAGATTATAAATTAGGGAGCTCTATAATTTTGTGCAAAATACTGAGTTAGAGGTTTCTTTTGAGGGAGTTATTGGCCCTTAACTTTTTTGTAATCAGTAGTGGAACCATTTCTTATATTTATGTAAAAGCAGGCCCCTAAAGGCTAAAGGTGAAAATAAAAGTAGGCCTATCCGTACGTACAAAAAAAATTATACACACACGGGCACAAATTCACGACTATGTGCAGGCCTAAAATTACATAAAATTAATTATTCTAAAAATCATGTACATACCCTATTCTACAGTCGACTAAACCGATTGACGGCTGTATCTATAGGACAAGTGTCGAAAAACTAATTTATTTATTTATTTTCAACAAAATCGAGTCACAAAATCTGAGCAGTCTCGTTCGAGTCGGGTCCCTTATAACATTACCAAAGACAACAGGCGTGACAAGATTCGAAATAATATTACACATGCGCACTAAAAGTCTATGTATTCCAGAAAAATTTTAGAACGAAAAATATAGCGAAATACGAAGAATAATGATATTATTTAAATTTCTTTACAATTATCTAAGTTGAAAAAGATCGCTTTCAGTAAAAACAATTTGGGTAGCAAATTTGGAACAAAATATACGATTCCTCATAAAATATATTGGCTTATTGGTCTATGTCAGTTAAAGTGGAGCCCACCGATATAGTGGACCAAATGGGGGTCCAAAAATGACCTTCATATTTTCAAATCTAAATTAGAATCTATCGGTTGCTCTTGTACTCAACCCAAAATGTTGAAATGCTGAAATGTTGAAATAATACATAAAAAACCGAAGTCTCTGTCACGTTCACAATGTTTTCGGGAGAAGGGGTGTAACTCCGGGGTAAATATTCTCATGACCTCTATCTGTGGGATATGTTTAGCCTCGTTCATCGAGTTGCTTCATTACAAATGGCACTCGAAAGTATTCTGGCATGTGATTCGTTTGCCAATGTTAAAATTTTCATTGTTTCTTAAATATTGGATGTCAGAAGCCCATCTTTTCACGGTAAGATAAAAACATCAATGTTGATTTAAATTAAGTCGTGTTTGCAATGTCGAAAACTGTGGGTGGTATTGAGTTAAAGACGTGACATGCGTTCTTCAAACTGTTTCCTTTTTTTCACATATTCACTATTATATATAGATACATTTTATTCCATAAAAAATCAATTTTGCCTCTGCGAGGGAACCATAAAGGTATTTCCTTTGTAGCGGCTTCAAATTCGTCAGGGGGTATAATAAAGAATATCAAAAACTGTTTCAAAACTACTTTTATATAAGGGCTAACTTCAAATGTAAATCAGACACCGTTTTTACCTCGCTGAAAATGTATTTGACTAAGTATCATTTCTAAGTCTTAATTTCTTTTGTATAACAATCCCTGCTAAATTCCTCAAATATTTGAATGTCGCTTTAGATGCTAAAGAATAAAGTTCAAAGTTGCTTAGAAATATTTAAAATATATTTTATGTAATAAAGTTTTCTTCTTTTGTGGCAGTATAAATATTTCCCACATTCCTGTTTCCAGTAATATAATTTGTAGACCATTTAGTAAACACCACGGTTCTCCTGAACACCACATGCCAAAACAAACAGTTAAATGAAAACACAACACCATTATGCAATATAAATTACAAAATATCATTTACACATTTATAACAAAAGCCTGTGACAATAACGTATTTAATACAAAAACAGTTCTTCCTCTACTTACATGTACGTGTAGGCCTATAAAGTCATCAACATCAATTCTTAAAGTATAATTATAGAGCTACATTAATTCTTTCATAATACTAAATCTTTGGTTACCTATATATTCTATCTCTGGAATATAAGCTTTTGATTATTATTAAATTTCTTTTTTTTAAAATCACGTGCATTCAAGACGATGTTTGTAGCGCAGAATGATTAATTTGTACTCCACAACATTCACCAGCGCCATGGACCATTGCCGGTCCAGTTTGGTAAAAAACAGGAGAAAATAATTCATTGTCTAATTCATAAATTGAAACGACATGAAATCTAACTGCCTGAGTGGGTAAGGCCATGGACCTTAAGGCGCGTACTCAATAACCAGGGCAGGAAATTCTGGGTTCGAAAATATTCCTCTTGATTTTACAACATGGTTTCCCCCTTGTTAATCGGGTGGGACGATTAAACTAATGTCAACACGTTAAAGTTCCACTTAACAGTTGGAAATCGTCAGGACAAAATTTCTCTCATTAGCCGGGGGATGTAGAAAAGTAAGAGGTTAAATCCCATTTCAATTCGTATGCTGTGCGGTTTGCTTTCGTTTCGTTACTATTTCGCCAATAGTCAAAATTTGTATTTATCGCTTGGCTGATTTTTAAGAACCTCTCATTGTGTCAAACAGTAACGCATCTGATTGGCGTATTGAACTTATGGGAGCAGAATGGCTATTCTGAGTATTCAATAACTATCATATTTTTATGATTATCGATGAATATCGAAAACAATGTGGACTTTAATTGGTTTATCTTCCCTTCTAAGTTCCAGATTAGAATGAACTCCTAGACAGCTTTGTTTGTAAGTTAATAGTGTGTTAATTGTTTAGATCTACATCATTTATATTAGGTTTACATCTGTCTGGGAAAGAATGGAAAACGTTGTCTTCAGACCTGTGAAATGGACAAACCATTTTCAGCCAGGACAGTTAACCTAATATTATTTAATTATCAGGATGTTCAGTTCAATATTAAACTATGTATGTAAGTTTGGGACATATTTTACTCACTGTGTCTATATACTGTCAATTTTAGCCTATTTTTATTGGGATGTGAGGGTGATTTACTTTTCTTTTCATTTAGGCTTGGTCAGGTGATGGGCCATGGATCATGTGTCCAATTGATAAATTAATAGTATAGGCCCATTGGTCAGTTGGATAATATAGTTGGCATGCTTGGTACAAAGGTTTGAAATGACCACTTGATAGCTCACAGACACAGCAGTTATTCCTCCCAATGTTTATCCATTATGTAAATTTTCTGAAGCATTGTTTATAAATTCAGCTAAATTCAATCAAATAATGGCCTGATTTACGTCAGCATAATATTCTTATCACTAGTTTTATCAATTACAAGGCTTATCTCCTAGTTCATTTAACACTTGTGCTCTGAACAATAGATTTGCCAGTAGCCTATTAGTTGAATGGTTAACATCCTGGCAGAGGTGTGTATGATATGATATTGGTTAAAGAAGGAAGGGTTGATAAAAGTATAATAATACTGTAGTAGGAAGTGGAAAGGATTAACAAAATGTGCAAGAAACTTGCGTGTATTCTTTATTTAATCATAAGGTTAACCTCTTGTATGGTAGGCCTACATGTGTCAGCTGAGCAAAGTCTATAATTTGTGAAGTAATTTTTAAAATCAAGTTTGTAAATACCTTTATGGATTTTATTAAAACAAAATAGTTGAAGATTTCCAGATCATAAGTTTATTTAATTTTAAATTAAGGTTATTATTTATTTGTTTTATAGATGTATATCTGATGTAATTGTGTGATTTATGACCATTATAGGCCAGGGAGACAGCATGACATTAAGCTTAAATAGAAGTTGAGAAAGACACATGTGGCCCATTTGAGTTCACATATGACTCACCCAACAAACGAAATGTGAATGTAAACAATGCAGTTTAACTTCTATGTCTATAATAATAATATAGAGGAGATTTTACGAAGAAAATGAAGTTTTAGATTTAAATTTGATTTCAGTTTGACTAGAAAGTAGAAACCAGAGTCTGTCCACCACATGTATCACCTGTATTATTAGTGAACAAGGGTTTTAGTTTAGGTTATGAGGAAAAAAATTGATGTGACCTAAGGGGATATGTATTATAAGAAATAGTTAAAAAGAATCAGACAGATTTTTAGCTCACAGCAGACAAAGACTGATGATTAGCAGTCCTGGAAATAAGAAACTTGTCAAGCATCACTAGTCGTTTAGATGGGACAAAAAAACGAGGTCCTGTGTACACATTGGCTTGCACGTAAAAGATCCCTTGGCAGTTGGAATTCGAGTAGGCAGTAGCGCCACTGTCCATCTTCATTAGCCCAGTCGGAGCAGAACAGGCCGACGTAATACCCCATTTCATTTCATTTTTTCAGACACTATGTTTCTAATTTTATTGATATTATTAATAGATGCTGGCTCTCACTTCATACATTTTTAGATGTAACAGTACAGTGCTTCCAAGCATCTGTAGCCACACCTCACTGCACATGTTTCTTTATCAGAGGGTTGGGATTGGGATTTTTTTAAACAGTTTTTTTTAGCAGAATAATGTATTCAATGTAATCATATTTATCTCTACTTACATGTATTGGATACAGTTAGATGGGCCATCTCGTTTAAATTCATGTCTACTTACTGAATTATGCAATAATTGGTTAAATGTAATCTACATAGGACATTATCTTATCAGTCTGTTACCAATTTCAAATCAATATCACCCCACTTTGTATTATTTTTATCATATTGTACTTATTAGGCTTTATTTGATTCTGGTTATATTTTTCCAGGTGAAAGATGATACAAAATGGGAAAGACTATTGAATCTGTGACCTTTGACCCCTCCTATTATCCAGCTGCTGTAGTGAGTTGTGCTGTGTTTTTATATTTATATAAGTATGCTGGTCCAAATATATCCTCAAAACTCAGCCCAAAATATAGTTCCTTGACTGAAGCAGATAGAATTGATTGGAATACAAGGTAGGTAATATTATTCTACAGGGGATATAATAAAGAATATCAGAAAACTGTTTCAAAACTACGTTTACATAAGGGCTAATTAAGGAGATTAATACTAAAACTGTACCGGTAACTCAGACACCATCTTGAATTGAACTCAATGTTCTGTTGTAGAAATGAATTATAGTTCTGCTATCGCTGAAAATTATTTGACTTAAAGGGGCATTATGTAAAATTTAGATAAAGAGCTGGCCGGTCTTGCTATCATATTTTAAAAAAAATAATGCAAAATGAATATTATGAAAATTTCATTCAAATTAGGCCTACCTTTTTTGGATCGAAGTTATCAGTGGTTGTAGCTTTGACAAGATGTGTGCATTGATCATAACCACCATACTGGTCATTCGAATCTTAGCCTCAGTTCTCCATTTTTAAATCCAATCATTAAATGACCGAACCGTTCTAATCCACTTAAAACCAGAGCCATCCGATGGCATCAAGAGTTGATTATGGTCTTGTCATGTTAATAAATGTCTAACATTTAAGGCCCAAAGAAAGACCTACATTAGGCAGATTTAGCTCTTACATAATGCCTGTTTAACTTTTTAAGTATCCTTTCTTAACAGTCTTAATTTCTTTATAATAATCCCTGCTAATCCCTCGAATTTTTTAATGTTGTTTTAGATGCTAAAGAATAAAGTTAAAAGTTATTTAGAAATATTTAAAAATATAATTTCATCTTTTGTGGCAGTATAAATATTTCGCCCATTGGTAGGAACCATGGTTCTCCTAAACACCACATACATGTACCTAAACAAATAATTAAATGAAAACACAAACACCATTATGCAGTCATCGCCTGATATAATCTACAAAATATCATTTACACATAACAAAATCCTGTGACAATAACATGTTTGATACAAAAACAATTCTTCTATTTACATGTATAAAGTCATCAACATCAATTCTTAAAGGATTATAGAGCTACAATAATTCTCCGAAAATACTATGTCTTTGGTTAACTATATCTGTCTCTGGAATATAAGCTAATGATTATTATTACGTTTCATTTTTTATACGCTCATATTTTCATTTGGACGTATATTGTCGTCGCCCCTGTCTGTTCACATTTTGTTTGTGCACACTCTACAAGTCACAATTTCGATATTGGCATGTATCGGACCGTAACTTCATGGATTAAGACCCCTGACTATACAAAGAAATTGTGTCGTTAGCTTGGGACACTCTACAGAGGTCACAATTTTGATCCAATTTTGATAAAACTTAAAATATATGTTTATATCCCAAAGATCTCGGTTCCTTTTGATATTGATGTGTGTCTAACTATAACAACCTGGATTATGGCCCTTTATTGTACAAAAATCGCTTCTTTTTTAGCTTTTTCTGTGTCCATCTCGTGCAAAATGTGGGCGTACATGTATCTTGCATAACAACTGCTTGTTTTTTTAATTCAGGACGATGTCTGTAGCTCTGAATAGGCACACCCCTTAACATTCAATTTCGCCATTGCTGGTCTAGTTTAGTCACAAATAGGAGAACATAATTCATGTCTAATTCAGAAATTCCTTAACAACATGAATTTAATTGCATGTGAGTAAGGCACTGACTCAATAACCAGGTTCTGGATTCAAGAATGTTCCTCTTGATTTTCCAACACGGTTTCCCGTTATCGAACGGGATGGACGAAAAACCAATGGCAGCACGTTAAAGATCCACTAACATTTACAGATTCAAGCCCCCAAAATGCATTATACACCATTAATCGGGTACATTACATAAAACTGCACAAGGCTGTAGTACCGGTACTCTATACAACAATGACCTTTTCACCATAACTTGAATGGAAACAATTTGTTTAATGCATATTCATTATAGAGATCTATATTTCTCTGTAAATGTAATTCTTGGTTTCTATCTTTTCATTATACAGTGATTCATTTTTAACTGACAAAAATGTTAAGTGAATGTACAGGAAGTGAAACAATAGCTATAATTAAATATTCTACGCCTGAACTTATTTTGAATTAAGTTTGATGGGCGTAATTTGGATTAAATTGTCTTTTATAGGTTCAACTCCAGCCTTCATTCAACATTTGTTAGTTGTATGTGTGTATATTCACTTATATATGATGAGGATATAAGTAATGAACCAATATGGTAAGTACTTGATGTTTTCTTCATGGGTGTGGTTAATCATTCAAGATAAGAGGTACATTGTCAGAGAGTTCTCAAATTTACCTGGATTAAGAGGTACATTGTCAGAGAGTTCTCAAATTTACCTGGATTATCTCTAGGGAGTAGGGCCATGTTCATATTGAGTAATCACTTCTGATTTCTAGCTTAGACATTAACAGGGACAACAAATATGATTTGCTAACCCATATGGGGATATTATAATGGCATTTCATTTTCAGTCTGCATAACAATTTCTATACATTGTTATGTAATATCCCCAATACCCTGTGTCCTGACTCCTGAATCTGCTTCTATTTGGATTTGGTTGGGCAATAACTTTAATAGTATGCCAGGCCTCGACAGATATTAACATAAACAGTGACTTGTCAGGAACCCTAATGCAGTCACAAGCAGCAAATATGTCCATGTTAACTCAAAAATCAGTGAGAATGGAGCATGTTTAATGTTGAGCCCTGTGATATCCTCTTTTGTATTTATGTCGATCTACAGTAGTGGTGGCTCTATTAAAACTCATGCAAGTTATAATTTTTTTGTTTTTTTTATCAGGGCTAATTCCCCCATGGTTCGTACAAGTTGTGCAATAGTAGTAGGCTATATGACATGTGGTAAGTATCTTAAATTAAAAATATGACTGGTACACAAATATAAAATATTTCTTGCTAGAAATAACTCAATTAAGGGAAGGTAAATCTGTCATTGCTGATAAATAGTGCTATGGCAACTGTCTCAGTCAATGTTATAATCTGAACAGATTATTTATCCAGCCTTTCATCAGAAAAATGTCAAATATTCATATATATATATATAAAAAACAACTCGTCATTTAAACACTAATCTATTACCAACTACACAAATCTATATAAAACAGTATTATACAAGTTAATTATCCCTATTACAGATGTGTTGATAATGACTATTCATTATAAAAAAATTGGAGAAGTATTTTACTTTTTTCACCATGGTGCATCAATTTATGCTTATTTTTATGTGATGGTAAGTACAATATACATGCATGTAGAGAAATAATAATTGTAATTAAATGAAGGAATGGATTAAGAATATATAAACTATATAAATACTACAAGTCTGGTTACTAGATGACTGATGACAGTAGCAAATTCTAGCAGTAGTATATAATTTCTAGAAACTAATAGTACCAGTAATAATTTTTATGAAGGCTTAAGAATGCATTTATACTAGAGTTTAGAATTAACTTGAATTTTAATCTGGTATAATGCCAACACTTTTCAACAAACAGCTTGAGTAATTTTTCATGTTATTTTTATTTCATTTTAATAAAATTTCTAAATATTTTTCCTTCTATTCCAGACATATGGTGTATTACCATATTTTGCAAATTTCCGTCTAATGGCTGAATTTTCAACTCCATTTGTAAATCAAAGGTAGGGTCTACTTTATAATAACCTGTATAAAGGTAAATTGCAGTAGCACAGGCTTAGTTTTATAATTTCAGCTGATAATTATATCACATTTTAATTTTATGTCCCTCTTACATGTACTTGAGAAAGAATTAAATCCAGTCTATTTTTTATACGCCCACATTTTCATGTGGTCATATTATGTCGTCGCCCCTGTCCGTCCGGACATCCGTCTGTCCGTCCACAATTGTTTGTGGACTCTCTACAGGTCACAATTCTTATCCGATTTTGACGAAACTGGAAATATAGGTTTATCTCCAAAAGATCTCGGCTGCTTTCGATATTGGCATGTATCGGATCGAAACTTCATGGATTATGGCCCCTGTTTGTACGAAAAATCACGTTTTTAGCTTGTGGACCCTATAGAGGTCACAATTTTTATCCGATTTTGTTGAAACTTGAAATGTAGGTTTATAACCCAAAGATCTCAGTTCCTTTCGATATTCACGCATATTGGACCGTAACTTCCAGAATTATGGCCCCTGATTGTACGAAAAATCACGTTTTTAGCTTGTGGACCCTATAGAGGTCATAATTTTTATCCGATTTAAAGAACTGTATTATTATATCACCGTTACAACCTAAGGACGACTGAGTTCGAATTTCGTGAAAATCGGCCCAAAATTGACAGACAAAATTGACGCCGTTCGTTCTCAAATAGCGTAAAAATATGGTATATCAAGGTTGTGGACCCTATAGAGGTCACAATTTTAATCCGATTTTGTTGAAACTTGAAATGTAAGTTTATAACACGAAGATCTTGGTTCCTTTCGATATTCGCGCATATCGGATCGTAACTTCCTGAATTATGGCCCCTGATTTATGCAAAATCACGTTTTTAGCTTGTGGACCCTATAGAGGTCATAATTTTTATCCAATTTTGTTGAAACTTGAAATGTAAGTTTATAACCCAAAGATCTCTGTTCCTTTCGATATTCGCGAATATCGGACCGTAACTTCCTGAATTATGGCCACTGATTGTATGAAAAATCGCGTTTTTAGCTTGTGGACCCTATAGAGATCATAATTTTTATCCGATTTAAAAAAATATATTAATATATCACCGTTGCACCCTAAGGACGACTGAGTTTGAATTTCGTGAAAATCGGCCCAAAATTGACAGACAAAATGGCTGCGTTCGTTCTCAAATAGCGAAAAAATCAAGTTTGTGGACCCTATAGAGGTCACAATTTCTATCCGATTTTGTTGAAACTTGAACTGTAAGTTTATAACCCAAAGATCTTGGTTCCTTTCGATATTCGCGTATATCGAATTGTAATTTCCTGAATTATGGCCCTTGATTGTAGGAAAAATCACTTTCTTCTTAGCTCGTTCTCTATCCATCTCTCAAAAATGTAGGCGTATCCTGCCTGGCAGTCGCTGGTTGTTTTATGTTCCTATCAATGAATCTATTAAACTAATGCACTGTTTTATTGCATATTCACACAGAATTCAAATAGTGCAAAATTTTTTAAAGCATAGTCTTTAATATTTTGAAACTCATTAAATGATATAAAATCTATATTTTCAGGTGGTTTTTAGACAAATTGAAATATCCACGAACAAGTACAGTCTTCATGTTAAATGGTTTAGCTATGACCATAACCTTTTTCTTTGTAAGAATAGCAGTAATGCCTACATATTGGAGGAGAGTGTATAGTGTGATTGGTACTGAACCTTTTAAAAGACTGGGACATATTTCACTTGTATTAGTTATAACCTGTTTTATATTGGACAGTATTAACATATTTTGGTTCTATAAAATGTGTCATGGAGTTAGAAAGGTTTTGACCATTTATTCAAATAAAACCCCTGTTCCTGTGTTAAATCATGTTGATAAAGAAGAGTAATATTTTTAAAATGTTTCTCCTGTCAGTTAATTTAGTTTACATGTGTACTAAGCATATTTGCATTATTTCATTTTTAAAATTTGTATATTCTACTAGTCACCTAGTACCTTTTGCGTTTATCGGTACACCCAGTGTTTTTGACAATGTAATTATAAATTAATTTAAAATCATTGTAGTGGTCATTGAAATACTTAAGACCCTTTTTATTATCTATTGTAATTTGTTCTAAGAATTTCTGTTGTTGTTGTTATGATTGACTTGTTTTGCTATTTTTTGCCCCTTTAAAGCCGCTGATCGTCATTTATGCATTTTGAATCCCTTGAAGACAAATTGTGAAATTTGCGTCTCTAAAAAAAATATCAATCCAAAAATTGGATCGGTTCTTATTTAAAAAGATATGATGAATTAAAAGTATTTTGTAACATTCGGCATCCTCTGAGTACAATACAAACAAACCAGCACCACCAATAAGTGTTAAGTAAAATCTTGACGGACCTCTTTTAATCTGACTGAATCCAAGCTTGTCGATTATTTACCACTGATGTATATCTTTGTTCTTAATTAAATGTTAAATAATCAATTTGAGTACAAGTTAGTGCAGATTAAAATGCAAATGATGGTCAGCGGCTTTGAACCTATTTTTTTTTATGTTTTTGGTTTCAAATAATGAATGCACCAGAAATCCAAGGTTCTTTGTAGAAACTTTGTATTGAGGAAAGCTCATGACCATTGAAATATTTTATTGCCAGTTTCATCCAATGTCTAGCGGGTACAATCTGGTCACAAAAAAAAGGAATTTATCCCTAGGGCATTATCCCATCCTTATAAAATTTATGATATGTAACCAAGTCAAAACATGGAATGTAATATTAAGTATGTCATTGTTAATTTTCATACATAAATGGTGATTTGAATTAGTGCTGGCACGATATATCATTGGATCGATGTACTGTGATTCACCTTCTCACGATACGTGTATTGAATCGTGAGACGCTGAATCGATATATCTTGATTCTTTTTTTTTGTCGCTTCAGTAACCAACCTGTCACTCTTAAAGATGGGTTCCCAGAAAAGTATTTATCGGGTGGTTATTTCCAATAAAAATATGGTAATTTTGGTATATATGGAAAGTAGAGATATCTAATCTTACTAGAAAAATACTGGATTTCCCGAAAAACACTCATGGAGCGTATACAGGACAAAAATGTAAGGGTTACCCTAATCAACAGCCCGACGATTAGAAATTTCTGCACGCGTGATGTCAAAGGTCACACGCGAACATTGAGCGCTTGATGTACAAGTTGATAAACTTTATGAAGAGTTAGACGTACAACACTTTCTGAGATAAAAATGACGGAAAGAGACTCGGGTAGTGGCTAATCCGAGAATTTAATTAGGATTCGATATTTGTAATAGTAAGCGATTAAAGACAACATCGTCTTATGTATGCAATGAATTCTCCTCTGACTTCCAAGAGAGGTAAGTCACGTGACGTAAACGTGACCTGGTTTGATCAAATTTTTATAGCAGGACATTCCTTCGCAATTACAATGTTTGAGAAGGATTTGAAGCAAAATTATGACAAATTAATTAGTTTGAATATGTTTTTAGTCCATATATACCATTAAATCACCCAGTTTGTACGCGGGAACCCATCTTTAAAGGACAATATTGGTGCCAGTCATTATCACATATGTGATAAAGCTGGTTAAACACATTCCAAATATAATTTTAACACAGATCATTGCTACGATTGCTGAATAATACAGGTTTCCTGAATCAGAAGTGACCAACGCCAAAGGAAAACACAAGTCATACCTCTATATAACTGATTGATGTGACGAGTGATAACAGATACACGGCCGAATTTTTGCTAACTAATAATTCCTTCGAAGACCAAAAGTTGTTATGGGACTGTAAGAGGATACCTGACAATTCAATAAAGTAATTGAATGTCATTAGATAAGAGAACACGAGAAAAAGAAATAATCCAAACATTCCCTTGTTTATATTCATTCTATACCGTATAAAAACATGGTAATGCACAGACTTTTTCTGTTTTTCTTTCGTGTTCTCTTATCTAGTGGCAGTCAATTCTTTTTATGAATTGTCAGATATCCTCTCACAGTCTCACACAACAATGATCTCTGTGTTGAAATTATATTTGGAATGTGTTTAATTAGTTCTATCACATATTTGATAATGACTGACACCAATATTGTCCTTTAATTATCCACTTAACACATTATCCATAGGTACACAAACACTCTTAAATTGTTTTGGTCCTTATTTTGATCCACATCAATATTGTGATTAAAAATATTAATTTAATTCATTTATCCTGTTGTTTTCTTTGTCAATATTGACCTGGTTATGAATCGTGATACGTGATACAAATCGTATCGTAGCACCTGAATCACAATATGTATCATATCATGACTGCAGTGGCAATACCCAGTACAAATTTGAATTACTGAAAATCAAAATAAACAACCAAAGACATTACTCCATCCTTATAAAAAGTGGCTCTTTTTATGATATGCAACCAAGTCAAAACATGGAATGCAACATTAAATATGTTATTGTTAATTTTCATACATAAATGGTGATTTGAATTAATGACCATCAAAATAAACAGCCAGGTGTCAAATTTTCATTTTATTCTCCAGGCTGTAAATCATGCAAACAATACAATAAGAATTAAGTATACATGACAGAAGGCTAATATACATTTTAATTATGGGTTATACACTATTTTATTTATTTGTATTGTTTTTAAGATGATTAGAACATATAGGTAGATTAGACTGTATGTACTCGACAACATAATCTAGATTGACTTTATAATCAAATATTTCCAAAATGTGTGATTTTGAGTTTGAATGAGCAGATTTTAGAATAAATTAAGACTATTTTATATTAGTTGTAACGGGTATAGTATATGAGATAAAGTATGATACACATCAAAACAAAGGCTTTCAATTATTGTACTTTTGTATGTATTCTTTTATTAACTTATTAACTATTATACTCTAAGGACACATGGGGAAATTACTTTGAGAAATAGGGTACCAAAGTTAAATTCTCCTTAGTTTCCTTTTTTAATTATCCACATATTTGTCTTTGCCACTTAAATATCAGAACTTATGATTTCTGCAATAAAAAGCGTCACCTCGGTGGAAGCGGACGTAAAATACAACTAACCCATCATCATATTAGTAGGCCTGTAAGCTCCCACTGCACTGCAGATAATTAATTCATCCAAAAATAGACCCTACTCATGAAATAATTACTATCTTTTAATTGCTATTAAATTCTACAACTGTGCAGTATTTGTAATATAAGGCACTTGTTTCATTTAAGTACTTGAATGTAAAGGAACAGCAGCCATATGTTATTGAATTAACCACAAATTGTTTATACTTTAACTATAAGATTACTACAAAAAAGTCAAAGTACATATTGCAAACTGTCAAATGTGAATAAATACACTGTAACATATAAGTGCAATATGTTCTTTTTTTGTGTCTTAACTGAAACATTTGATTGATGAAGCTATTATGTGCACACTTGCATTTAGTATGTTCTTTTTCTAGTCGTTTGGTAACTTTATTATATGGCACTGTAGTCATAGGTGAATAAGCTTTTCATGTAAAGATTGCCAAATCATCATGGTAATATCTGTTTGGTCTGAATTCTTAAAATATTTTATTTTTATTATACATTACTCTGAAATGGATTGATTAGTCATTAAATCTGTTTTGGAATGAGTTTATAATACATTCCAATCTTTGTCAACTTGCTGTTTATTTGTGCTACATCAATCGCAGGTCAAAGTTTAATTACGAAATAATACGGCCGGTATGTATGCCAGATCTAAAATTTGCGCATTCAAAATAAGTAGTAATGAGTCCCCTTGTATACCTGTAAAATTCTCCATCTCTGAATTTTTATTTTACTATGTACAGAATGAATAATTTGTGAACATATTATTGAGACACTCCATTGCCATTGATGCTATTTTATTACACAAAACAGTATTGGGATTTTTTAATGTTTTAAAATCATAATGTATGTTTTTTCTGGAAAAGATCTTGTACCAATATGACATTGTTGATATAATTTGTCAAAAAAGTGTTTTTGACAAAACCACGACAATCGATTCAAGATCTTGTTTGCCAGTCGATAATATGCATTTCCAAATTCTTGTTTTAAACAAAAAGGCATCATTGTGTTTTATTCGCACTTTTCAGCTGTATGTATGATATCATAATAAAGAGCTTTTCAAATTACAACACTCTATTATTCTTGAGAACTGGGATAAAGCTGGAAATCTTCATGGTCAGTCAAATGTCTATAGCCATGTACAATCATGGGATAAAATTTGTGATTGCATAGATGACTAAATTGTAATCCGCAGTAGGTAATTTTGGGACTAATAAATGGTACAACTTTATTTCAATAATTTGCCCAGGGGTCTTTAGCAAGTGAGAGGTAACCCACAAAGTTTATATCAACAGTACTGCACCCTAGAACTGTTTCTTGGCTCATCAAGTATTTTGAGTGATGCAGTTTAAATCAAGATTTTTTTTTAGACCATGTACAACTAAAAATTAAAATCTACATCAAGTTTAGGCCAAAAAAAAAAAATGTTCTGTTTTCGGTAACCCGACCGACCCATTACAAAACCTAGACTCTGATACATTTTAAACAATTATCCAAGAATTCCATCCACCTATCTATTCGTGCTTCATGTTCCTCAGCGCCGACTCAACCTAACATAAAATTGAAGATTTATTTCGCACAGAATATTATGCTAGTTGCTACGGTAGATCTACTACTAGATCTAACAATGTAGCATTAAAAAAAAGAGAAAAAAAACAAAAAAACCTACCTACCGACACTACACTATTTTCCATTCGTTACAGGAAACCGAACCCTTTTTTTGGGTGGGAGTGCATCCAAAATAATGTTTTTAAAATATTGATTACAGATTTTAATTCAGGTCAAACTATCGATCACCCTCGGGATATTTTAAGCAGAAAAATGGCTGTTATTTTCCTTCACCTCTCGACATACTAAACTACAGTCTTGAGCAAAAAATAATTTATATGTTTTAAATTTTTAATGATCTTAAACAAGCAATTAAGTTAAGACTACAATATAATTTAAGGATGGAATGTTGATTTATGTACATGATATTTACTATTGCTTCACATGCCTTTCTTTCCTGCTAATTTGTCTTGTAATATTTGATTGTACTCATCCATCATAGAATAAAATTGTTTACTCAGTGGTCTGTAATCACATTCCATAGTACGAGTTGCAATGACTGGGTTCTACATTAAGGAAAACATATAAAGTAAATACATCCACCAGCAGCTGTGTCGTCCATGCTGTTCTACACTTTTTTGCCTGGCAATAAATCAGTGAGCCCAGAAATTGTAAAAAGAGAGAAATGGGCTTTAATGTCATTCAACTCATTTTGGGACTAACATATGGTACATTTTTATTTCAATAAGTTGCATGCACGTAAGGGTCTTTTAGCAGTGGGAGGAAACCGGAGGACTTGAGGTTATCCAGGCAACCCTGCTCCTTGTCTACTCAATGACAGTCTTCATGATCTAAAGCACATGTTCAGCCAATCAACCCTCCAACAATCATAAAAAGTCTGGCCAGCTCAACTTAATAATATAAAATGTTTTTGGATCAAGAGTATTAATATCAGTAATCATTTATCATATATTATCAAGAACTGCCACATGACTTTCTTCGTGTCACATTCAACAAAACATTCAAAATAAACAATAAACATTCCAGTATTTTGTATTGTTCAGTATATTTTGAAACTATAATATTCTTAAGGATACATTCTTTCATTGAAAAGTTGTTCTGTTCATGGTGCTGCCATTTTCTCTCCAAATTAGCCAACTGTAAAAATGAATATGTTTACATAATAATATGTATTAATACAGTACAGCTATTTAAATTTATATGGCCAAATATATCTGTAAAAACGTTTCTCCGAAACATCAAAATAGGCATTGAAGTTGCAGTGACTGCCCCAGTAAACAGTATCTGCAAAGCTGTGCTTTTTATGCAAACACGCCAACAGTAAAACTGACGTCCCTGTCTTAATTCGAAATAAATAAATTGTTGTCGTTAATTATGTATGCATTTATGGTTTGGCAAAACATCAAGCAATCAAATTGCTTATCCCTATGCTTAACTTGTGCAGGATATGCTCATTAAAGAACCCCCACTCAATAAAAAGTTATGTTCCAAAGCATTGAAAAATCAAATTGCATATCATTCTGCTTGATCTATCCCGAAAATGCTCATTATCGCACTTTTTCACCTCACTCAATTTGAACCAAAGTTATTGACGAATTTTATTGCTTATCTCTGTTTAGCCTAAGTGGAAAACCCTCATCATCGAAATCAGGCAAAACATTCACCTACTGAAATCCTACACCAAAAAAGTGTGACAGATAAACAAACCTATTTCTTCAAAGGTGGGGCACAGTGAATTATATTCCATAGCATCAAATGCTAACAATGAGAGTGCAACAGATTTAAACTTACTTGTGTATATGTTTCGTTATCATTTAACTGAGATTTCAATCCTTCATATTTAGCAGTCATCTGTTGAATATGCTTTTTGAAGGCTTCTCTACGTTTTTGTAGAATAACTCGATCATCTTGTAATTTCTGAAATTTTAATGCAAGATTGCATAGCTCAGTGGTGGCCAAACTTTTTAGATGGAGGGCCAAACACAAAGTTTGGAAACGAAGCAAGGGCCAACAAGGATTATGAAATGTCATTTTGTTGGATAAAGTAATACGGAACAAAGCACCTTTTCTGCGCTTTTTATTTGGTTCCATAGTTATATTCAGCGAAAAATCAAAGTAGGCCCAAGTCAAGTGGCGTCAATTAGGCAACTATGTCACTGAGTGACAGTGTAAGCTATAAATAGACCTACAAAGATTATTGATCCTACAGAGAGTAAGCCTCTTTAGAGTTTGGGCCCAACAATAAGCAATTTCGATTTTCTATTTCATTTAGAGTTTGCCCACCACTGGCATAGTTAATAGTGGTTTTCAGAATAAATATAAGGTTCTTCTGAATATATTACATGAAATTAATCACATAATCTAAATATTGTCTCCCAATAATTACATATCAATCATTATTGCTTTTGACCAATTTTTTAACATTTCAAAATAACCAGAAAATGTTTCAACAAACGCACATTGTGACAAAACTAATTTTTTTTTTACATATAATGGAAATGAGACTAATGACATTTTCTGCAATGGCCCTGATAGTATTTTAAAGAAGCCCACAGTGAGGCTGATATCCCCTGCCACAACCCAAAATAAATAGACCACACAATTAATTAATTGAACATGTATCTTTTTGAAAAGAATCAAGCAATTAAACTGATTATCTATACTTAGTCTAAGCAGAAAATGTTCACGATCAAACTCAGTCAAGGTTTTGGAGTACATGTACTTGGTAATGAAACTCTACACTAAGTTTCATCACTCTCCATAAGTCAGACTCAAAGTCATCTTGTCCCAAAGCATCGACCAAAGAAATTAGTTCAATTTAAAGTAGAATTGTTATGTTCCAAAGTTATGACAAATCAAACTGCTTATCGCTACTTAGTCTAAGCAGAAAATTCTCATCATCGAACTTAAACAAGGTATAGACTATTGATGTAATGAATCTATACTCAGAGTTTCATAACTCTCACCCAATCAGAACCAAAGTAATCGTAGAGTTGTTATGTTCCTAAGTTTTGACCAATCAAATTGCTTATCGCTACATTCTCATCATCACTCTCATCCAATTACAACCACAGTTATAGTGTTCCAAAGTCCCAACCAATCAAATTGTTTATCCCTGCTTAGCCTTAGTGGAAAATACGCATAATCAAACACTGTCAAGGCATTCACCTAATAAACACCTACACCAAGTTTGAATATTCTACCTCAATAAGGAGAGTTATTGTGTTCCAAAGTCGTCACGACTAATCAGATTGAAGTCGCTACTTAGCCAAGCAGAAAATTCTCATGACTGAACTTAGTGAAGGTATTGATGTAATGAAACTACAAAGTTTCACCACTCTCACTCAATTAAAATCAAAGTTATCTAGCCCCAATGATCAACCAATCAAATTGCTTATCGCTCTGCTCACCCTGAGCAGAAAATGCTTATTATCAAACTTAGTCAAGGTAATGCTGTAATGAAACTATAAGTTTCATTGCTCTCGCTTAATTAGAACTAAATTTATCATGTTCCAAAGCATCAACCAATCAAATTGCTTATCTCTGCAAAAAATGTTCATCAAATCATTCTCCTTATAAACACCTACACCAAGTTTGAACATTCTACTTCAATTAGAACGTGAGCTATTGTGTCCCAAAGACTTGACCAATCAAATTGCTTATCACTCTGCTTACGCTGAGCAGAAAATACTCATTATCGAACTTATTCAAGGTATTGATGTTATGAAAATATACACCAAGTTTCATCACTCTCACTTAACTAGAACTAAAGTTATCGTGTCCCAAAGCACCAACCAATCAAATTGCTTATCTCCGCTTCAAACTGCATCAAGGCATTAACATAATAAACACGTACACCAATTTCTAACATTGTAGCTCTTTGGTTCCCAACCTTAGGGTCCTGACCCCAGCTTGAGTCACAGAGCACTTTTTGTGGGGTTGTGGTGGACAACTCATGAAAAGCATATAAATCTCAGAGTGATCTATTCACTTCTTGCCACATTGCCAATCGTCTTTCCTCTCTCAACCTCATGATTTGTTTCCTCAGTCACTCATTACAATATTTTGATCGGTAAATGATATGTTTCATTGTAAAAGGTGACTTTGTTCTTTGAGGGGTCGCGATCAGATGATGGTTTCTGGAATGGGGTCGCAACCAACAAATACTTGGGAACCACTGTTCTGGCTTAACGGACTGACGAACGGAACCATATTTACAGTCCCCTGCTTTCTTCGAATAGCAAGGGACAATAATGTCAACCATTTTAGGGTTTCTAACTTCATTTAATCTGACCAGTACTTTATCTAGTTTCATATACCTGTTTCTTTTCTTCTGCTTGCTCTTTCAACTTGTCCAAATCAGAATATATAACTATATCTCTCTGCATTGTGACTGATTTTTCTTTTAAAACACTCAACTCGGCATGCAATTTCTCTTCCATTACATCCAATTTCTTTAAGTCTTGTTCAAGCTTGTCTCTCTCTGAAAATCATATTGTGTACATTCAAATATAATATTGCTGTTATAGAAAATAGCTTTATGATAACATATATACTTACTTTTGAAAATTTGAATGAATGAAATGGGGGTTAGCATCCTACTATTCTGTACCAACAAGGCTAATGAAGACTGGCATATGACATACAGTGTGCTATAAGGGAAATTTGTCCAGACAGCAATTGAATTCCAACTGTAAAGGATTCTTTTATGTGCACCTCAGTTTCTCGGGCCAACACCAAGATCTAACTAGCGAGCCAGTGCCTTATTCAATGAAACATCGTGGTTGGTTTTAATTGAGTGAAATTGAAATCCTGTCTATATATATATAAATCTGTTGGGTGTATACAATATATCACAGTTAAAGTAAGAGAGTTTTAACTTAAAAGTACCAAATCACTTAGATTTAGTTTTATGGTATAATGTATTCGATACAATGTTGTGTGTAATTATACAGCATATTTTGGTAATATGATATTCCATAGTTGAACTGAATTAAAAATGAATTGAATCTGAAGCTTGATGTAGATGTGTATAACAATGTACCTGAAGCCAATCCAATAGTTGTTGTTTCTGATTTCTTCATCTCATCTTCTTTAAAAGCCAAATCATCCTTCATTGTAGCAAGTTCTCCTGGTGTAGGCAAACTTCCAAATCTTCCCATGTTCTATAATTTACATGTTTATCATAAATTAAGCTGAACATGTATACTTATTAATTATTTTTGACTTATTTCGATTAATTTCGTTCAACATATGGTGGGTGAGAATAAAGGAGCTAGCTAGATTTGTAAAACATCTATAATGGTAGTTAAAAGCCATGTTTAGACTTCCGGTATGGAGATTCATGAATGAAAACATACTAAAACTTCTTATTATTGCTGACCATGATTGATATCAGACATTTCTTAATTCTTTTCATAGACTAAGATAAAACATAATGGAATAAGCAGAGATGTTCATGGAAATGCACCTCAGTTAACACCTTACTTTTTACTCTAAAATGGATAATGTTTGAATCAGATGGTGAATGGAACATTATCTCATTAAATACACATTACACTAATGACTTACCCTACTGACATGTTCTAGAGAGTTAACAATGGCTCCTTGTAGTTCAGTCATTCTTTTCTGTAAAAAAAACAAAATATGTACATGTATTATAATGGTGTAGCAGTTTACTTCTCCCTAGACATCACCACTGTCTAGTTTCTAGAGAAGTTTCCTTTTGATTTTTTTTTATATCCTGTATTGTGGCACAATCCTTAAAGTGTGAAATCGTAAATAAGGGTGGGAGTTTTGCAATTTTGTAAATTTCAGATTTTTGACAAGTTCTTCCTTTGATCACCTAATCAAAATTCACTGCAAATTTGTTCCAAACTCACCTCTGTAGAATGCTGACAAGCAAAGTGAATGAATGTATGGATGAATAGAGAGAGAGAGCGAGAGAGAGAAATGGGGTTTAACGTCCACACAACACAAACTAGGTCATTTCGGGACTAACATATGGTTTAATTTTATTTTAATAATTCGCTTGCGCATAGGGGTCTTTAGTAGTGGGAGGAAACCGGAGGACCCGGAGAAAACCCAGGAGGTTGGACAGGCGACCCTACTCCTTGTCAATGGATGAATAGAGAAGACGGCAGTATACTTATAAATTAAAATAAACCACATAGACATTATCAAATCAACAATATATTTTACAACATTAATAAACAAAGAAAGTTTGACCTTTCAGAAATATTACTTGGTCAATACCTTCTTACATGAAAAGTAAACTACTTACAAGTTCTTGAGCTTTGGTATCTTCGAAAGTATCCAAAAACTCTGAAAACATATGCAAGAATGGATGAAATGTATACATCCACTTTTTTTGTATTTTCAGTAGAGTAACATAATAAAATATCTGATGCCAATGGCAACTAGATGATTTGATTATGTTTTATGAATATTTTCAGCTGAATAATTTTGGATTTCCATAAATAATCATCAACCAAAATATATATTCAACACATACCATCCATTGTTTCTTCTCTTTTCCTTAACTCTTTATATTTTTGATTTTTTTCTCCTGAAAAAAAACATTTTTTTAGTAATTATGTTTACATTAAGAATGATTTTCTACCATTCCATACCGATTTCTAAATAAAACAACAGTCAATATTCATACATGTAACAGATTAATTATTAATACTTTACAATCAGCTGATTTGAAAGGTTACCGATGAGGTGTACCGGGGAATAGATATTTTTTTTAGGGAAGATATTACTAAATATTTACCTTGATTTTCTTCAATATCCATATCATACTGGTTAATGTCATCCTGTAAACTTTCTATTTTCTCATTTATTTCTTTTATTCTACAAATATAAAAACATATACTTTAAAAGAAAACACAAAACTTGACAAGACATCAGAAAAACCTCCAGTGAAATATGGACAGATAGACAAATTGTAAAGTGATCAGAAAATATTGAGTCAAGTGTATTTTCTAAGATCTACTGACCTGTTCTACAAAAAGTGTACTTGTATCTAGTAGTACTACTACTGGTAGTAAAATCATTGTCAACTAGAATGACAAACTACTACTGGTAGTCAAATCATTGTCAACTAGAATGACAAATTTCTCATAAGCTTTGTGTATTTTTAGAGACATTAATTTGCACCAATTTTCATTAAACAAATATAAATTCCTGAAAATTATTCTTTTCCTGTGTCCAACTAAAAACAAATTGTGTCCAGCTTTATTTTAAAGAATTCAACCATAAACTGTTCTTACTGTCGCTCCATACTAGCAATTTCCTGATTATCTTCTTTAACTTGTTTTAATAATTTCTCTCTTTCTTCAGCAGGTGAACCACGTTGTTTAGACTCTTCTATTAAACTGTCTCTCTTTGATGTCAACTCATGTATTTGTTCATATAATCTTACTATAAACACAAAACATAGTAATGTATACAGTAGTAATTATAATTAATAATAATATATAGATATCAGGACCAATTTGTCACAAATGTTTGTCCTTGTGTTAAATTGTTATGATTATATTATGTAAGTATTTTTATATTTTAAGAGGTGTGATTATCTAGTACTACCGTCTTTATACAGGTTTGTCAAAGTATGGGAAAAACGATTAGTGAGTGGTGTCCTGAGTATATTGAAGAGTATGGGCATGACAAGGCTACCACAATAAGATGAGTAGAGTATAATATTACTAAAATATACAATTACCAGCTTCTTGTTTCACTTGAGACATGGACAAATCCTGAAAACATAAAAATTTGTATGAAATAAATATAGAAATCTTGGGTCTATTTTTTCTAAAAAGATAGGTTGCCAGGCAACGAAACATATGCCCACAGCAGCTAAATCATCTGAGCAGTCCACAAGGGTTGTCGTATATCTATTTTTTTGCAGATAATTGGGGGCATTTATAAGAAAATTTCACAAGGTATTACAAACTAAAACAAGGGCTGAAAGTAATTTACAGAAATTGTTGAAATTCAACAGGCTTCTTTGTTTCACTGATTTAAATGATGCATATAAATTTCATACAGATTGCATGAAAACTTTTGTTTTTGGAGAGTTCACAAGGTTCAACCAAGTAAAGCAAGGGCCATAACTCTTGACGTAATTAAGGAAATGGCTGAAATTCACTAGGCTTCTTTGTTTCACTAATTTAAATGACTCATGAATTTCAGACAAATTGTCGTTAGAGCATTCACTAGGTTCAACGAAGTGAAACAAGGGCCATAACTCTAGATGTAATAAAAGGAAATTGCTAAAATTCAGTAGGCTTCTTCGTTTCACTAATTTAAATGACGCATATAAATTTCATACAGATAGATTGATAACTTTTGTCGTGGGAGTGTTCACAAGGTTCAACAAAGTGAAACAAGGGCCATAACTGCAGACGTAATTAACGAAAACTGCTGAAATTCAATAGGCTTCTTTGTTTCACTAATTTAAATGACATATTTATTTCAGACCAATTGGATGTTAACATTTGTCGTTGGAGTGTTCACAAGGTTCAACAAAGCAACACAAGGGCCATAACTCTAGACATAATAAACCGAAATTGATGAAGTTCAATAGGGTTCTTTGTTTCGCTAATTTAAATGATGCATATATAAAATTTCGTACAGATCGGATGATAACTGGTGTCGTTAGAGCATTCACAAGGTTCAAGAAAGCAAAACAAGGGCCATAACTCTAGATGTAATAAACGGAAATTGATAAAACTCAATAGGCTTCTTCTTTTCACTAATTTAAATAATGCATATAAATTTCATACAGATCGAATGATAACTGGCGTCGTTAGAGCATTCACAAGGTTCAACAACGTGAAGCAAGGTTCATAACTCTAGACGTAATAAACGGAAATGGATGAAATTCAATAGGCTTCTTCGTTTTTCTAATTTAAATGATGCGTATAAATTTCATACAGATCGGATGATAACTTTTGTTGTTAGAGCGTTCACAAAGTGAAACAAGGACCATAACTCCATAAGAAATTAACGGAAAATGCTGAAATTAAATTTGCTTCCTCATTTTACCAAGTTAAACAATGCATATAAATTTGATACAGATCGGATGATAAATATAGTCTGTAGAGTTTTCACAAGAACACGGACGTATAAAAATGTAGACTATCAATTAGAATAAATAGCATAATAATAATAATAATAATAATAATACATTCTTATATAGCGCATTCTAAAACATAACAATTTACACAGTAAAAAGCATGGCACATTTTCAACGCGTTTTATAAAATATAAAAATTAAAATAATGTTGTTACAGATAATAAAACTACATAAGAGGAAAATTTCAGCAAAATTGCAATAAGCTACACGCTTTACAAAATATAAAAATTAAAATAAGATTGTTACAGATAATAAAACTACATTATGCGGAAATTTCAGTAAAACTGTAAAAAGATATGTTTAAGAAAAATATAAAAAAATTAACATCCGAAATGGCGTCGGAAAAGACAGGTTTTGATTAGTTTTTTGAAAGTTTCAATGTTCATCACAGCTTTAATTTCGCATGGCAGTCCATTCCATAAGATAGGGGCATATCATGAGAAGATTTGGTCACCGTAAAATTTAAAATATAAAAATTAAAATAAGATTGTTACAGATAATAAAACTACATTAAGAGGAAATTTCAGTAAAATTGTAAAAAGATATGTTAAAAAAAAAAAAAATTAACATTCGAAATGGTGTCGGAAAAAACGGGTTTTGATTAGTTTTTTGAAAGTTTCAATGTTTATCATGGCTCTAATTTCGCATGGCAGTCCATTCCATAAGATAGGGGCATATCATGAGAAGATTCGGTCACCGTAAAATTTAATGTTTTGCTCGACCTTTGGTGTAGGCAAGTGATTGTGCTTGGGTAAAATGGATGGCTTTTTCTGGGCGCCTGACGTCGACGAGTTTGCAGAGATATGACGGTGCTAGAACGTTCACAATCTTAAATATAGTAAATAACACTTTGAACTCAACATGTTCAACTACTGGAAACCAATGTAGCTTTATGAATAAAATAGAGAAGGCATATTGTATGTGCACTACAAATTTATAAACAGAACCTTGGTTCTACTTGCACCGGAATTTCAGTTTACCTCTTAAAACCCAACAATGTTTTGAAATGAACATGAAGTGAAATGGGGGTTTTCTGCACCGATTGGGCTAATGATGACAGGAATATGCCATACAGTATGTTTTGAAGGAAATTTTGCCCGGACAGCGGCACTACTTCCTCCTCTTATTCCAAATTACAACTGTCGAGGGTTAGTGAGCCAATGTTTTGAACAGGAGTCTAGTAAACTAATCACATGACTAGCTAAGCCCAATGTAGTTTATGTAACAATTTCCTTCGTTTACTGTATTTTGTACACAGCTAAACAGATTAGATGTGTCTTTTAAAAGTTCACATACCTCTTGTAAAGTTTCAATTTTAGAATTAAGCTGATCAAGTTCTTGTTGACCTATTTCTGTTTGTTTCAGCAAGTGATCATTTAATGTCTTCAGTTTCTGATATTTCTGTCTCAGTTTAGGATCCTATAAAAAAAACATAGATATTATTGATACCTCAAATCAAGCTATATATATGATTTTCAGTTAATCATTTACATAAACAATAGGGTCATTCCATATCAACTGGACCAATGCTGGGAACATGACCCCCTCGAAAAAAATTATACAAAATATATGTTATAGTAACTTTGTAATCTGAGACAGCTTTTGGTTTAGATTATGAATTTAGCATCACACTCATTGTCCAATGCATACTGTTCATGTCACCAGGTGGCAAAATGTGGAACAAATGAACAATTCACTTTATTTTTCAGGATTGTGTATGCAATAGTGACTTTGCCAGAGGCTGTGGAAATCCTGAAAATGTTGTCTTAGATTACAAAGTTAGAGAGTTCTACTCCTATTAGAAATGTGCATTTAAAGCACTCGAAAACCTGAAAATATTTTACTGAATTTAAGATATGTTTCAGTACCTTAATTTCAAATGGCCATATCTCAGCCAATTTTTGACCAAGAGAGGAATAATTTTGGATTTGTTAGCTTAAGTCCATGTACTATAACATATATTTTTTATAAATTTTTTGGAGGGGGTCATGTTCCCAACTTTCCAAAATTTGGTCCACTTGACATGGAATGACCCAATACTTCTTCTACCTAAAGGTTTATGTCATCCAAGACTACCCGAAAGATGAACTAGACTTAAAAAAGCACAGATTAGATATTATTTACAAATCTTCTACTTCTGATTACAGTCAGGAATAAACATTTCATTTTCAGTGCTTACCATGTCATTAACCAAATTATCAGCCATACGTTTTTCTTGGTCTATTTCCATTTCCAACTGAGCTATATATTCTTCTTTCCTTTAATTAAGCAATAGAGTAGCAAATGAAGTTTTGATGATTATTATCACTTTAAGCAGTTGAAAGGAGCTAAATCGCTAATATTTAAGACCTAGAAATTGAACCAAATGGGTCACAAAGCATATAATAATGTAATCTGATTGTGTATAAACTGATTTACATTCAATTGTTTCCGTTTCGACTCTTAATTTCAAATCAGTTATGTCCAGTGAAATACGGCATGAGTCTCAACCGTATAGCAATTTCTAGCGTCTGGTTATTCCAATCTATTGCGCATGCTCTCCAGATAAGATATGACGTCACCTTTTGACATGAGTTGTGGAATATGCCTAGCCTTGTTCTTTCTGACACTGACACTGGAACATACTATGGTACACAATTCGTGTACCAATGGTTAAATGTTTATTTTATCTTAAATACTGGATATGAGAAGCCTACCTTTTCCAGGTAAGATCACAACATCAATGTTGATTTGAATTGACAACGTATTTTCAACGTGTAAGACTTTGGATGATTACTGAGTTAGACTTAGCTACTTTAAGACGGAAATTCTTAGTTAATATGAAGTATAGCTTCTAAAGAAATTACGTATGCAAAACTCATAATATAAGTGTCTCAATATCCCTCAACAGAGATCACACAATCAATTGACAGACAGCACTGAGTATTCTACAGAATGTCCATCGAGAGTGTAAAATCATTTATTCAAATCACTTAAAAGAACTTCAGGCAACATTTAAAATCAGAAAAATTTTGTTTTTCAGGAATTGATGAAATAGTCATAATAACTTACTGTTTTTTTACTTCAAACATTTCTTCTATTTTCTTAGAATCCCGATCATTTTGAGCTTTCAACTAAATAGAAAAGATAGAACCAGCATAATGCTAACATTGAAATTGTCTAAAATAGATTGGTTTTTCTTTGTATTCTTTATATGTGTTTTACCCGGGGTAATCAAAATCAGTAATCGTAATTAAAAATTAAAAAATTTCAAGTAATCAAATGTAATCTGTAATCAGACATTTTCTGATTACATGTAATTGTAATTTAATCGATTATTGTTCAAATTATACTGTAATCATGGTTACTTTCTGATTACTTTTATGATTATTTTTGAATTTGCATATATCCTTCTGTTAATAAAAATATAAGCTTGTTTTGATAGACATTATTAAACAATATTGATTCAGCTGGAAGATAACACTTCCTGTTTCATATTTAGAGGGGGTTTATTGTCCATTTAACCATGCTTAAAGCACAAAAACATCGAAGCAGACGAAATATATGTCACTTGCAAGCTGTCAATCAAACCATGTGATGTAAACAATTAGCCATGTGGTGTGAATTGAGGCACAGCGCACTGTTCAGTATGAGTGAAGTTACGCGACGGCTTTGTGTACTAAACGTTAAAAAAACATAAATTCGTGTTTACAATATCCTAATAAACAGCCCATTTGATCAGATTTTTGGCCAAAGGACGACGCGTGAACACAATACAGCAGTAAACTTATGCCAAATCTGCATGCTTACTATAGAGCCCTGTGAGCGTGTTGAACCAACTATGTCACTTCCGGTTTTCATAAAAATTAATTTCTCGCTTACAAAAACTTTTTTGCTTGTGCTACAGAGGGGATTATTTATTTTAAGTTTTATGGAAACCTTGTTGAAAATCGTTGGTCTTCCCCTTTAAGATTCTAGTGGTTGCTATGTATACTGTTCTGACGTGTTGTCAACAAATGTCAATTTTGGCCTATATTTCAGCTGCTATTTTTGACTTCCACATTATATTTTCAAGCGATTTATTGTGACAAATGACTTATTATTAGGTAGATCATGCTAGTCAGACTTTGATCAAAGCATGATTTAAAAAAAAATTCACCGATTAAGTAGAAATTGGTGAGTGAAGGTAGCCTACCAAAAAAGAAAACAAATTTTTCAACACTGTCACTGCCTAGTTACGAATATATTTGGATACCTGAAAACAGTTTATTTCAATTTATGACTGATTTTCTACTTTTTTTTATGTATTTCAGAAATGTGTTTTCATAAAAGATGATGTTTGAAAATGTTGTGATAGTCATGTGTGCAAAATTTCTTGAAGATGTTTCCAAATAAAGATTTGAGTTGAGGAAGATCATTGAGCACAAAAATTTAAAAAAGTACACCGTAATATTTATACGCAGTAATTTGCCTTGATAATTTAGAGGGGGTTTATTGTCCATTCGACCACACTTTTCGACCAATCAGAATCGAGGAAATTTCTAATTTGTGCTACAATATGATATAACAACTCAAATAAGAGACATTATAGAATGTGCACACTGCCAAACCCACAAGTAAGCCCCTCATCAACAAACTTACATTATTACAATCAAATTCCACATCTTGAATATCTTCATCAATTGTCAACTTGTCTACCAGCTGGAAAATCATATATAAATATACAAATTACTTTTATTAAAATAATGATATTTAATTTGTCACGTGAATATCCCTACCAATTGTATGTGTATGTAAGTAATTAGCCTATACAAGTAAAAGAAAGCCACAAAAATTAAATTAAAAAATCCTATTCCATCTTTGTTCTTGGAAGAATAACAGTGTTACGGTACTGGCTATATTGTCATACTTACAATATTATAATCTCCCAATTCAGCCTGTAAATCTCTTATTTCTCCAGCCAAAACTTCAGCTCTAAAAAACAATGTTCAACATTCACTCAATTTTCTATATATTTTAATTTAATTAATCAAATGAACAACTAGATTAATAACAATGTTGAACACTACCATTAATAAATTATTCTGATTTTAAATACTTTTCATTATAATAGAGGATTTTATAAGATTGTGTAGCTCACCTTTTGTCATATGTAAGAAAACTAGAGTTTTCATCATTGGTATTTTCAATGTCTTTGTTAAGATTATTTATTTCTCCATTAAGATCATTGAGTTTACTCCTGTAGAGAAATCAACATTAAATATGAAGGAAGCTAAAAATTTAAACAGTAACCATAAGGTATAGATCATATATATTGTAACTGCTGCTAATGGGTAAAGACAAGATTTACAATTTTATGTTTGAATAATTTTACTTCTTCAGATTATAATTTCTATTTGGAAATACATGTAAAATTAATAATAGAAGAAGGTAATAACCTTCTAGTAAGAAAATAAGCCAATCTAAATTAACTTCAATCATTTTAATGATTATTAAAATTATCAAAACTGTTCCTAATTTAGGCTATAAATTACTATTGTTCTATAAGCGTTACTATGAATTGAAAATTTCACTGGAGCATAGTTGTCTCAAGAAACTCTGGCCAGTATTGGCTCCATAGCTACAGGTTGCGATGGTGTCTTAAATATAATAAACAAGGCAAGGTATGTTTACTCTTTTTGGAACATCTGATTCCACTTGCTGCTAGCCTTATCTCAGGATGCACTGGATGATGTCACGCGGCAACTTCAATTGTTTTATATCCATCTCAACAGTCAACTTACAATTTACTGTTCAATTTTGTCATTGTGGATGGTTTTGCCATTAGCTGTTTCATTGTATTGAGAGCTTTGTATTCTTTTTTTTTTCATTCTCATTTTGTTTGTTGGACTGTTATGTATTTCTAAACTGTAAAATATATAAATACACTAAATATTTACCTCAATAAACCCAAGAAATAGGTTTTGTCCATAACTTGTCTTCTACCCCTTGCTGCCGTTTTCATTCCTCCTAGACCTTGCTGGGTTGTAGGACGGTCTACTACATTAACTTGTGAATTTAAAGCCACACCTCCTGCTACTGCTCCTCCCCTTGTACCCGGTCGAGCAGTTCCTGGATTCATGGCAGTTGTTAATCTTGTAGCTGTCCCAGCAGGACGACCAGCAGATGTTCCCAACTGACCCCGTGCACCAGTCATTGGCCTAGCACCACTACTACTTGGTGGTCTGTTACTCCTGAAAAGTAATAATAGTATAGTATATAGAAGTACATGTAGTAGTGAAATGGATACCATTTACATTACATGTACTGAACCTGATTTACATACTGATACTAAGCTAAGCTTACTGTCTCTGTGTCATGAACTAAAGATATATTTCCTTGACAGTCTACAGCCTAAAAATATAAGGTACGCTACCAATTGTCAACAAATTCAAACTTCTGGAGAATATTTCATGCCAAAAACAGTATTTACATGTATATTGTACAAGATATTTCAAACCAATCTTAAATAATATTAATACAGCTATCAATGATAACTAGATGAATGGGTGAGAGCATTAGATGAGCTTCTAATTCATTATGTTTGTAAGTAATGCAATGCATGTCTATAATTTAATTTCTATGGTTCATTAAAAATATACAACTATCACTATCAGATAGAAACAAATTCGGTGGGTCGAAATGATGACCTAATCGTGCTACAATTACAATAAGGAACATGTCTTTTGTAGTATTGCTTGTACAATTTACAATACCTGTATCAGTATCTTTAAATTTAATGATTACAAAACTGTTGGTAACATAATCTTGAATTAGTTGATGGAGTGGGGGGGAATGACCATGACTATGCAAATAATAGTCAGCCGAGCTGCCCCACCCCACCAACGTGTGCCAAAGGCACAACCTGAATATTATCTAGCAGTGGTGCAATGTGCTCTGTCTATTGGTGGTCAAATCGTCAAAGATACAGTGAATTTAGATAGTTTAGGCAGTTGCCGTGATGTGACAGAGAGAGAGAGAGAGAGAGAGAAATGGGGTTTAACGTGCACTCGACACAAACTAGGTCATTTCGAGACTAACATATGGTTTAATTTTATTTCAATAATTCGCTTGCGTATAGGGGTCTTCAGCAGTGGGAGGAAACCGGAGAACACAGAGAAAACCCACGAGGTTGGACAGGCAACCCTACTCCTTGTCACGTACAACCAGGGATTCGAAACCACGCCAGGTTGACTCAATGACAAGCCTTATGATACAGCGCGCACATGCTAACCATTCGGACATCCAACCCCTAGCTAGCCAGAGAAGAGAGGCGAGAGAGTGTTAATAATGTCATATGACATAAATACACATCTCAATACCATATTTGTATCATTATAAATTATGGAGAATAATATAACAGTTATAACCAGGCCCGTAAATTGTCAACCATAAAAAAAATCGCCCTCTGTGAAACCGGCAACCCCACCACCCAGATATATTGTCTTCAATTTTACAGTTACTTACGGTAGTTACAGTTACAGCACCCAGGACATGGCCATGAGAACACTTCGGTGACTCCCCCCCTCCCCCTTTACACCTATTTATTTAATTCGATATTATTGTACTTACATTGTTCCCGTTTATCTTAATTAAAACAATTCAACAAGTTTCTGTTATTTTACATCCGTATCTAACGTCAACTTCTTTGATCTGAAAAGGAATGTGTTGCTTTTCTTTGAGAGTTACCCCCCTTGACAAAACCAAAGACAAGTTCATACAAGACGGTCGTCATTGAAAGAATAACTAGACTGGACGACCTGCTCTAAATGACGTCAGGCTGGTTCCTACGTCACTGCGCTATTCTTACTTATTTATTATTATTAGGGTAAGAAATTAGGCCAGGCCTTTTTACAATTCTGCCCTTGGCTTGAAACATAACAAAACAATATAAGAACAACAATGAGATCAAATAAATTTTTTTGCACCTGTATATTTTGTATATGTTGTCCTCAAGGGAGGTTCCGATGCAATATTGTGTCTTGTGTAATAATTGTCATATCGTTATAATCTTTATGTACACGTTTATATTGTATGCTGTTCTAAATGGATGTTTCGATGCAATAAAATCTTATCTTATCTTATCTAATAAAGAGATAAAAAACATTAAAATTAAAATATAAAAAAAAAAATGCAGTAAGGTTAACTACCTTCTCTGTTATGAATTAAAATTATGTACATAAGTTTTACTAAGGTTAGGAATGTATCTTTAAAAGAATATTCGCTTTAAAGTTTGATAATAGTAATACAGGTGTGTTTTTAATTGAGGTAGGTAGATTATTCCAGAGACAAGGTCCAATGTATTTTAATATATATTGATTTATTAGGTTGAGGAATATTAAATCGGAGATAATATTGGTATAAGGTGTATTTTTAAAAATGAGAATATTAGTTAAAGATACATTATGGGAGATAAGATAAAGAGATGGCAGTTCTCGCTATAATAGTTAAAAACTAGATAGTGTAAAGGTAATTTGCTGAAAATCTCAGTCAAATTGATCCACTATGAGCCGAGAAAGAAGCGGGTGAAATTTTTGCATAGTCTCGGCCATCATTACTAAAATCATTAATATAAACAGCATAGTCTCGATTATCCACTTTTTCTGATTTAATTATCAACGGCCGTTAGCGGCATATAGGAATCTAATCCAGCCAACATCGAAGGCTAGCCTTGACATCGAGAGTTTATTATGGTCTGGATAAGTTAATTAAAGGACAATATTGGTGCCAGTCATTATCACATATGTGATAGAGCTGGTTAAACACGTTCCAAATATAATTTTATCTCAGAGATCATTACTACGAAAGCTGAGTAATACAGTTTTTCTCACAGTCTCACACAACAACTTTTGGTCTTCGAAGGAATTATTAGTGAGCAGAAATTCGCCCGTATACCCGTTATCATTCGTCACACCAGTCAGTTATGTAGAGAGGTGTCTCGCGTTTTCCGTTGGCGTTCGTCACTTCCGATTCAGGAAACCTGTATTACTCGGCTATCGTAGCAATGATCTCTGAGATAAATTATATTTGGAATGTGTTTAACCAGCTCTATCACATATGTGATAATGACTGGCACCAAAATTGTCCTTTAGTGTCTAATTGATAATTTAGATAACATTTCAGGCCTAAAGAAAGACTTGTAATAAGCAGATTTTGCTCTTGCATAATGCATGTTTAAGTAGTTTGGGCATTTTTTATGAACTAATTTAGGTGAACCGATTTTGAATGGTTAAAATATTTAGTGATTTAGCTAGGGTTTCATAAGTAGATAAGGTTGAATTTTTCGGTAGTGGTTTATCATTAATTAATTTAAAAGCCAATTTTGGCACACGCTGTAAGTAATTTAAAGATGTTTTACTACAGGTGTCCCAGATGGTGGAGCAATAATCTAGATGTGACTGAAAATGGCCAAAATAGAATAATTTTAACAAGTTTGACGGAAGAAGTGATTTTATCTCTTTCAGTTGATACAATTTTTTATTTAGTGTTTTACAAATGTATTCAGTATGTTTATTCCAAGAAAAATTTCTATCAATGATTACACCTAAAAGTTTAAATTCAGAAATATTTTCAATTTGATTATTATTGATTTGAATGTCAAGTTTATTTAATGGATTTTTAAGTTGATAGTTTGTAGCTATTAACATTGATTTAGTTTTTGATTCATTGATAATCATAGCATTATTTTGGCACCATTGTATTATTTTATTGGTTTCCAATTGGAGGTTATTATTTCCGGAGAAGAGGTATAAGATAAGATTAAGATAAGATTTTATCCAGCAAGGACAGCATACGTACACAGCTTAAACAAAAGTTGATTATACAATTATAACATAACATCTGGGCTGATCGTTTATGGAATGTGATTTAAGTGGTTTGCATTAGTGGCGTGGACTAGAGGGGGGGGGGGCACGGCCCCCTGGATCCGGGCCTGTAGTGAAGTTGAAATTCATTGATTTAGAGGAGTAATAGAAATCGATGGTCGTAACAATAGCCACAGGACTATTTTTACGACTATTCAGTTTTTAACTTCGCCGATGGAGGGCTCTGAAAGCATTGTCGTAACAATAGGCTAGCCTGGGGACTATTTTTACAACTCGTCGTAACAATATAGCCACTGCCTGACATGAAAGTGGCTTCATGTCCAAAGGCGTTTCTGCCATCTCTTCGTGGAGTTCAACTATCATGGATCCTGCACCACTGACAAGGAGCAACCACGCTGAGAAAATCACGAGGGACACAGGCGAAATAAAATTGGCTGGGGCTATTTATTTGCCACACGTGGTACTAAGTAAGGCAATTCGGAGACTATTTGCCGCAATTATGAACCGATATCCATGAAACTTACAGAATTTGATAACATTTGTGTTATCTATCCAAGCACAATACTGGATCTTCAAAACCGTGCGAAATATTTTGACACCAACTGTTATCCAGTACCGCCTAGATTATGCTCCCAGGGTTAGGGTTAGGGCTAGCCCTGTTTACATCTCGAGACTTTGACGAACTCTGCAGGTCCTAGCCTTTACCCTAACCCTAAACCACAATCCTTATATCAAAATATTTCGCACGAATTTGAAGATCCAGTATTGTGCCTAAGAGAAGCCAAAATTTCGACCACTTCCGGTCAGCAGTTTCCGCGACATCGGATTACCATATCTCGGAAACCGCGTACCGGAAGTGGCCGACAGTTTGGCTACTCAGTCAGAGCCTCGTCTAAGGATGTGGTCGTGCGCGGTAACATCGGGCGAAGCACGACCCGCGAGCACCGTAGGTGCGAGTTGCGCGATCATGAGAGCCCGCGCGGGGGGTCTGGGGGGTCCTCCCCCCGAAAATTTTGAAAATTGACTCCCTTAGACTCGATTTCTGAGCACTTAAAAAATAGTTTCGGAGATTTGATACACGATTAGTTTTGGCATCTTGTTAAACCATGGATTGATTAATACCCTGTAAAATCGAGATCAAAACACCGCAGACAGAAATATACACATAAAACAATCAGAAAGACGATTTTGTAAACCTTGTCAGTGATTTTCAAAACGTATGTATATATGTTGCCGCCCAGTCTTCAACTTTTGGGCTCAGTAGGCGGCACAGTTTGGCCGCCTAGTCACCATGTTAAACGAGGTTCTGTACTCAGTGATATTATCAGTGTTCACATAATCTGTAACTTTATTGAAATTTGGTAATAATTGCGATCTGTAGTCGTAAGGTTATTTTGAAATATAACCCGTCTTTGCTCTAAATTGACGGATAGGTAATCCAGCTTCCGTTTTGTTGGGGTTTTTTGGTTCCACATATGCAGGCTATTTAATAATTTTGTTATAAAATAAAATATTCATTTTGTTGTTTTTACATACTGAATGTAATAAATAAGTATCATTTGTTATATGAGACAGTGAGAAGATATCTGACAATTCATAAATGTCACTAGACAAGAGAAAACGAGAAAAATAGAAATAGCCCGTACATTCCCTGTTCTTTTTCAGGTCAGGTGTTTGCAAGATGGGGGTCCTGGTAAAGAACAGCCTCTAGTTGTTCAGATGGGACGAAAAACTGCTGTCATGTGTACATATACCTTGACTGTTGGAATTCGATGAAGAGTAGGCAGAAATGCAGCTGTCCGGTAAATTATCCTTCACAGCACACTCAGGGGCGTACATAACGATTTTGTTTTTTGGAGGGGGGGGGGGGTGTTTAGTCAAAATGCGACCGACTGATGCCCATACCCCTAGTACGAGTTACGCAGTCAGGAGCCGAGCACCACAGGTGCGAGTTTTGTAGGGACCATGTGCAGTATAGCGGATCTAGATAGGGGTAAGGGGGGGGGGGCAAATCTAGGGCGCCACCCCAGCCACAATCCCACCCCACAATGACTTTCAACAAAATACTGGCTATAACATGAAGCGTCCCGGTAGAACATAGATGGTATTGTATAATTATATAGTTGTTTGCCGATCGTTGTCTCGCTGGAAAGCAGTTTTATTTAAGTTGACATAAAGTTTATGTCATATATGATTGTGCCTATAACACTGAGAAAATTTTGAAAAATTGAGTCAATATCTTGGCATTTGAGGTCATTGCTGGGAGAAATTCTTGTGGACGAGAGGACCAGAAATGTGAGTCAATTAGACAAAATCTCGAGATCTGCCCCTGTCAATTCCGCCTGTTTTGCAAGAGTTGACAGAACTTTTGTATATTCTGACGCCCCACGACCCACACACCAGACTGGCAGTGCCAGTGGTACTACTAACATAACTAGGCAGTTCAGTATAACCGTGAATACGATTGTGCCGAGGCAGTATAAGACAACAGAGGAGTGGAAGAAGGATGTTATAATGGAATCGAGCGCCGCAGGCGCGAAAAAATTTCAGATGTGTAACCGAGCTTTTAATTTTTGGGACTGGGCCTAACAATTTTAGTCAATGTCATGGCAAATGGATCCAAATTCTCGTTAACGAAAGGATAAGAAATGAGACAGAATCTTGAGGCCTATCTGTCAATGTCGCCTGTTTTGTGAGAGTAGAACTAACAATTCTACAGCCTTTTGACCCACGACTCACTCACAAGTGGTACTATATACTAACTGGGCGATTCTCTGTAACTGTGAATATTATAGTGATGAGATAGAGAAGGAGTTGAAGAATGATGGCATAATGGAATTGAGCGCTGATATGTAACTGAGCTTTTAATTTTTGAGGACTGGGTCTGAGGGCACTTTACCTCAATGGGGCGCTTACTTGGTCTCTGAAATGCCCTGGACTTTGGGGAGAGATTTTGCAGAATTCTGATGGTCAGAAAACACCCCATTAATTCATTTAGTCTGAGACCGACTGCGGTGAGCACTTTTTTTTTGAGACCGACTATTTTTTTGCCATGGGGTGAAAACATTTTTTTCAAACATGATAAGTCGACAAGGTTATTTTATACTAAAGTTTTGTGTGAGTAGAGTGACGTGTGCAGTGAGCACTTATTTTGATACCGACTGCTCATATCTTACGACCGACTGCACTGATTTTGCGACCGACTAGTATTTGGGATCTATTCTGGCATTATTTGTTTACCTCATTAATTCATTAAGACGGCGATGCATAATTTTGAGACCGACTGCAGTGACTGCACTTATTTTGAGACCGACTATTTTTCTCCCTGGGGGAAATTTTGTTCTTAGACCTACATACTCACAACAGAATAAGAGTGAAACCCATCATTTTTTCAAACATGATAAGTTGACAAGGTTATTTTATACTAAAGTTTTGCGTGAGTAGCGTGACGTGTGCAGTGAGACTTATTTTGATACCGACTGCTCTTATTTTCCGACCGACTGCACTGATTTTGCGACCGACTATTTTTTTTTCCTGGGACCCCCCCCCCCCCCCACACACACACACATTTACGCCCCTGAGCACACTGTACATATTCCTGAAGCAATGGCCCGAGAAATCCCTCTCTGACCATTGCTGTATTAGCTTTTGAGGGAGTGTGTCTATTCTTCCCGTTCAATCAAATATATCCCCAAGCACAGCAACACGACAGCCCTTCGTTTAATCTGGGGTCTTCCCTAAAAGTTTAGACAGTGATTTAAGGTATTAACCAGCGGCTGCCAGGCAGGATACACCCACATTTTGCAAGACATGGATAGAGAACAAGCTAAAAACAAACGCGATTTTTTGTACAATAATCCAGAAAGTTATGACCTGAAATGTGCAAATATCAAAAGGGACTGAGATCTTTGGGATATAAACACGTTTTAAGTTTCATCAAAATCAGATAACAATTGTGACCTCTAGAGGGTCCACAACCTTCGTATTACACACTTCTACACAATTTCCGTGATATATCCACACGTTGTTTTGTTTTTTTTAAATTGGATAAAAATTGTGACCTCTACAGGGACCACAAGCTAGAAACGTGATTTTTTTTTTGTTCAATCAAGGGCCATAATTCAGGAAGTTACACTCCGATATGTGCGAATATCGAAAGGAACCAATATCTTTGGGTTATAAACATGAATTGCAAGTTTCATCGAAATCGGATCAAAATTGTGACCTCTAGAGGGTCAACAAACAACATTGATTTACCAGATGTTTACATTATTTGCGTACGAGGGGCGGCCGTTTTGTCCGGCAGTTTTGGCCCGATTTTAACGAAATTCGAACGCAACAAACATTACGGTGTAACGGTGATATATTCTAATTTTTTTTAAATCGGATAATAATTGTGATTTGTGACTTCTAGAGGGACCACAAGCTAAAAACACGATTTTTCGTACAATCAGAGGCCACAATTCAGGAAGTTACGACCCGGTATCAGCGAATATTGACAGGAACCGAGATCTTTGGGTGATCTACTTGCATTTTGTCTGGCAGTTTTGGTCCGATTTTCATGAAATTCGAACTCAGACAAGCTATATACGCGATTTTTTGTACAATCAGGGGCCATAATTCAGGAAGTTACGATTCGATATGTTCGAAAATCGAAAGGCACCAAGATATTTGGGTTATAAACATGCATTTCAAGTTTCGTCAAAATCAGATGAAAATTGTGACCTCCAGAGAGTCCACAACCCTGATACACTATTTTGACACTATTTGCGAACGAGGGGCGGCCATTTTGTCCGTCAGGATCGGTCCGGCTACAGATCGACAACCGGAAGTGGTCGATATTTTGGATACTCTGATATTATTAAAGTAATTATAATCTGCAAGTTTCATTGAAATCGGATGATAATTGTGGTCTGTAGCCTTGCCACATGAAATTTGTGGTAACCTGATATCGCGGAAACCGCTAACCGGAAGTGGTCGACATTTTGGCTACTCTGAGATATTATTAATGTTATCGTTATCTGTAAGTTTCATTGAAATCGGTTGATAATTGTGGTACAGAGTCTTGCCACATGTGGCAAATAGTCTCCGGATTGTCTTACCACATGTGGCAAATGGCCCCAGCCCTACTATTCCCAAGCATTTAATTTACGAAGTTTAATATACTTCCACCTTATTACCCGGGAGAACGAATCCTATTCAGCTTTCGCGGGCAATGAAAATATGGACTATGAATTGCCTACTTACCTCCTGCGCTTGGAAAATTGAGATGAAAACAAGAAAACCCAAGAGTTCCAAGATGTGGACAATTTTAGCTACAAACTCATCCATAATGGCAAGATTCAACAATGGAATCATGGGGGCAGGGCCCTAGCCAGAGGGGGGGGGGGGGCAAGCCCCCCCCCGGAAAAAAAAATTGCCGACCATAGCTCTAAAATACCTACTGTAGACTGCCAGGTTTGCCCCCCCTAAAAACTCCACTGCCCCTCCGAAGCTAGCTACGGGCCTGCATGGGGGTTAATTGTAATTAAGGAAACCCCAAATTTAGTTACATACAACTTCACAAGTTTCGACTGCGTAATCACTTCAGTGCCAATATTGAGGGAATTATGCATGCAGGTTTCGATTTAATAACGTGTAATTTCTGTGTTGTACAGACATGTACATGTAGTTACATTCAGTTTTTAACTGATATGGGGTCAATTGTTCAAAGCTCCGTTACTTTTAACGACTCGTTAACATGGCATAATCAGCGCCAACATTGATGGAATTATGCCTGCGGGTTTCGATTTGATACTGTGTTGTAAATAGTTTTTAAGTGATATGGGGTTGATTGTTCAAAGCTCCGTTAACTTTTAACGACTCGTTAACATGGCGTTAACGGATCGTTATCTTTACGGGAGAGAAAGTCTGTTGCTGGAAGTCCCGTCAACTTTAACTGGTTATATTTAACGAAGGTGTTGGGCTCCGGTATCTGTTTAATGATGGCATTATCATGAATTGGCTGTCAGGCTAAGTATATCCTTAGCAAAAATGCCTACCTATGGATTACCAGTGTAACATTTTCTCTAGGATGGAATTCTATAGTATCCTACAATTTTTTTTTTTTTTTGGGGGGGGGGGGGGGGGGAGGTATATTCCTGTTAAAATTTCTATAGGAAAGTACTATAGCATTCTATAGTGTTTTCTGTAGTGACTTCTACAGTTATCTTTTTGTCTTTAATCAAGTTTTGCGAACAGGCTGCACAGCTGTCCCATTTTCTTCATTTTTTTTTTGTTGATACTAACTTCTATGTACATTCTGAACCTCGTGATTTTATTACAATGATCTACATGGCATTAACACCTTCCAGGACTGCCTAACCTTGCTGCCTCATGGTTAATTCAACAAACATTGGCTTTCTATGAGATTTCATTGCAATTTTTGAAATGGGAAGATTCCAATGATTGTGTTTTCTTCACTTTTATACAGTTTTATACAGTTATATGGGACAACAATCACTGGTTTATTATACACAAGCACGACGTTTCGATAAGTATTCTCTTATCGTTATCAAGCAGCTTGATAACGATAAGAGAATACTTATCGAAACGTCGTGCTTGTGTATAATAAACCAGTGATTGTTGTCCCATATAACTGTATAGTTTTGTTATGTTTCCAATTGCTAAATGCCACTAAAGGATTATTTATACAGTTTTCTTCACAGAATAAGTAAATCATAGCAAACATTATCATTTTACTGGTAAATGTTACTCATACAATGACCAATTCAATAATCCCAACATTTGCACTTCTTCACATTCTTGGGGAGCTATTTCACAAGGTAATTACAGTAATGGCCACTGCTTTTCTAAAATTATCACTGGCAGTTAAAATTTTCAAACATGGCAACAACAATTAAAGTATAATGAAAATAACAATTTCCAGGACTGGGACATATACAGAAAGCTATACAGTGGTATACATAATGTAATGAATAGTATACACACATAGCCTGACTTATTGAGCGTAAATACTGATAATGAATATTGCAATGTAGTCTGATGAAATAGCTTTGTCTACAAATTGGAACACAGAAGACCTGGACTTCATAAGCGGACATGATTATATTTATGCATAATTTTGTGTTCATAATCTGCCTAAATGAACAAAATAAATAGACAAGTTAACAATTGATCCAATATTTCCTTTGGATTGAATAATAACCAGACTACTTTTGATACAGGGCCCTACACCACATCTAAAGAACTTGGTGTTAATCTTTAAGGCACTATTTCAGAATATAGTACTCTAATTCATACCATGTACAACATCGCATGTCCAGCAAACCGTGGTTTATACATAATTATGATTAGAGAATTCAGTTATTCTTAATCATTCCTTTTTGGTCCCAAGCTTCATTTATGCAATATTATTTATTTAAAGTCAATAGTAGTCCAAGTTTTCCAAAGTTTGGAAGGTCCATGTCATCTCCCAATATATAAATGGTTAATAAATATATGCATATCTGGGGGGAATATATAAAATTAACTTTAAAAGCTGGTATAGTTCCCATTTATCCACTCATAAAACATTAAACTGATGAAAAAAAAAAAAGTCTTTTCGAGATAGCACTTCATACAAATTACATTATTCATTTTTCAATCATTTCTTTTTTTTTTATTTCAATGTGTTTAGGAAAAGAAAAAATCAACAAATATGCAATTATCTTCACAAGTGAATTGGAAGAAAATGTTGAAAATAATTATTAGTTTTATTCAAAGTATGCACTGATAGAAAACGGTCGTCTAATGAATATGTTGACTTCTTTGTATTTTCACTGACTCGGTCATTTTTTATATATTTTTTTTTTACAAAACCATTACCAACGTTCACTGAAAAGCTGGAAATCACTTGAATATCAATTAATGCTTTTCACATAAAATAAGAAAGTGCAAAATTTCCCCCCTTATGGAATAACACCAACACTTCACAATAATTTAGTCTTTTAGCTGGAATGATATGGTAAGTCCAGCTACAATGTTCATTTATATATATTTATGTGTATATAAATATTAGGTTTTTAATAATTCTATCTTTTTTTCTACAGCAAGTCAATAATATTGCTTTTTCAAACCACTATTTCCAGAGAATAGGAAGGCAGCCGAAAATTAAGCACTTTTTGAGCTAGCACTTTGTTCAGTACAGTCCATGAGTACTGTCAACTGTGGGACCACTGATTGGCAATTGGTAACATCCTTTCACGAACAGTTTTCAATTAACACAGTGTCTCGGAGTGAACAATGAGATCCCAAGCACACCTCCAAATCCAAATGGTTAATGAAAAAATGGAGGTATTAAAAAAAAATGCATTCAGGATGATACTTCAGACAAAAGTGTTTTTCAAACATACAAAATTTCAGACATCATTATAAACAGGCCTTGATGAAAACTACAGAATCGACATTATCCATTATACTTGAATTTAATAATAGAGGTGCATTAAAATGCACTATTTATGCAACACTTTTCACAAGACTTGGGAAGTCCTTTTCATCATCTACCCTTGGTGCTGCCTCACGGTACTTTCTGTCGCCACCTCTTCCTCCTCCACCTCGTGGGGAACCTCCACGGTAAAATCCACGTCCAGGTCCTCTACCCCTCCTTCCACCACGTCCACCTCTTCGGTTGTTATCATTGAAGGTTATCTCAATATTTAGTGTGTTCTTGTTTTTCTTTTTACGTTCTTCATGCTTCAAATATATTTAAATAATTTTAATAAATTACAATATAACATACTACTATAACACATGATCATATGAAAAGCAATGTGACAAAACGCCTACCTCCATTAAACTGACAATTTTCTGGCAGTATGATATATTATAGCTTCACATTAAACATCAGCGTATTGTATGGTCTTGGATAAAATATTCAATTAGTCAATGAAAATGAAATGGGGTTTAATTTTAATGTCCTACATGTACTTTTGTGCACCGATAGTGCTCATGTAGACTATATAGTGTGATGATGGATATTTTGCCAGGACCTCTGCTTTTCTGCCTACTTTTCAAATTCCAAGGGGTATTTATTAGCAGCCTTCAATGTGTAAACAGGGCCTCAGTTTTGTTTTCCCCAACTGAACAACTAGATGCTGTTTCGAGCCATTGACAAGGAGAAAACGCTGGAAAATCGTGAACTATCCCACCCAACACCAGGATTGAACACGATTTGTGAGCCAGCGATTTACCGAGTGATTAAGAGAGAATCTACAGTATGCTTAACCAGTGGCTGCCAGGCAGACAAGCCCACATTTTGCAAGAGATGGATAGAGAACAAGCTAAACAAATATTTTTCGTACAATCAAGGGCCATAATTCAGGAACCAAGATGTCTGGGTTATATATTTCAAGTTTCATCATCAAAATCGGATCAAAATTGTGACTTCTAGAGGGCCCACAACCTTGATATACCATATATTTACACTATTTGCATACAAGGGGCTGCCACTTATCCGTCAGTTTTGGTCCCATTTTCACGAAACTTAAACTCAGCCATTATTAGGGTGTAACGGTGATATATTCAAACATTTTTTCCAATCAGATAAAAATAGTGATCTACAGAGGAACTATAAGCTAAAAACGTGATTTTTCGTATCAAAGGCCATAATTCATTAAGTTACTATCCGATATGTGCGAATATCGAAAGGAACCAGGATCTTTGGGATATAAACGTGTATTTCAAGTTTCATCAAAATTGTGGCCTCTATGGGGTCCACAACCGTAATATACCACAAGGGCGATGACAATATACGTTCACATGAAAATGTTGGCGTATAAAATCTAAATGATAGCTCACATGAAAATGTTGGCGTATAAAATCTAAATGATAGCTAACTGATGAAAATCAATTGAAACGCAAGTGAAAGATGAAAAATATGCTGGACTTACATCTTCATGTTCATCGCCACTTTCTTCCTCTTCTGACTCAGAGGCCCTTCTCCTGCGTTCCTGTTTAGGTGCACTTACAACAGGCTTATTAATACATTTAGTGCCTGTTTTCCATTGTGAGCCATCAACGCCTTCTCCAGCTTTCCTAATCTGAAACTGACTCTTCAAACGACTCTTTCCTTGTGTAGCTCTATATTCCTTCAAAGTCATTTGTTTTGGTGCAGCATCTTCTTCATTTACTATCTCCGGAGCACCTGGAGTGGTCTCACTGGAAAATTAACACACAATAAAGGATAGGAAACAATCTTAGATTCGGCCAACCAGGTATGTTATTTGACATCAAAGGCCTAATTTGTTGACAAAGTGCCAAATGAAGTACTACAATAGACTTACTGCAGGTCATCAATGTTATGATTTTGCATGTTTTGATTTCACAACATTAAAGTTCAATTTGGGTTAAGTGGCAACACTGCCTTGCTAAATTCGTATAAAATACTATTCCTAAATAAAAATTATTAATTCTTGTGCCATTAACATCAACCATGTACAGTGGTGGTCCATGAATGCATGTAATCACAATCAGAACTAAATGACATTTAACTAGTTCACAGAGTACTGTGTAGTCAGTCTTGAACCAATTTCTTCAGAACTATAACCTTGTATGAAAGATCCAATTCCTTACACACCATAGTGGCATTTTAAAAATTGAACATCGATTGACCTTCGACATTGTAACGAAAGACATGAATGTTGTTAACTAGCAAAATGCCCCTATTCAACAATACATAATTAGGGTTAATACGTAATCAGTATTATAACTGAAAAATTTCAAGCAATTTCCAGAAAAGCTGGAATCTAGTGCCTTTATTTCCTTGTTCAGCCACGTAATAAGCCAACTCTGAGAAAGATAGGTTGCCAGACAACAAAACATACGCCCACAGCAGTTAAATCATCCGAGCAGTCGACATGGGTTGTCGCATATTTCTTTTGTAGGTAATTAGGGGAATTTAATAGACAATTTCATACAAATGACATAATTTTCGTCGTTTGAGGGTTCACAAGGGTCTAATAACAAGGGCCGTAACTCTGGAAGTAATCTACAGAAACTGTTGAAATTCGACAAGTTTTTTCGTTTTACTAATTCAAATAATGCATATAAATTTCATACAGATCGGATGATAACTTTTGTCGTTCGAATGTTCACACGGTTCAACAAAGTAAAACAAAGTAGAAGTAATTGACGGAAATTGCTAACATTTAATAGGCATCTTCATTTCAGTAATTTAAATGATGGATAAGAATTCCATACAGATTAAGTGATAAATTTTGTTGTCAAGCGTTCACAAGATTCAACAAAGTTAAACAAGGGCCATAGTCAATCACTCTAGATGTTATAAACGGAAATTTGCTGAAACTCAATAGGCTTGTTCGTTTTTCTAATTTAAACGATACATATAAATTTCATACAGATCGGATAATAACTTTTGTCGTTAGAGCATTCACAAGGTACAACAAAGTGAAACAAGGGCCATAACTCATGGCATAATTAACAGAAATTGCTGAAATTCAATAGGCTACTTTGTTGCACTAATTTAAATGATGCATATCAATTTCAAACAGATTGGATGATAACTGTTGTTATTAGAGTGTTCACAAGATTCAACAAAGTGAAACAAGGGCCATAACTCGAGATGTAAAAACGGAAATTGCTGAAATTCAATAGGCTTCTATGTTTTACTAATGTAAATGATGCATATAAACTTCATACAGATCTGATAATAACTTTTGTCGCTAGAGCATTCACAGGGTACAACAAAGTGAAACAAGGGCCATAACTCCCGGCGTAATTAACGGAAATTGCTGAAATTCAATAGGCTTCTTTTCACTAATTTAAATGATGCATATCAATTTCAAACAGATCGGAAGATAACTTGTCATTAGAGCATTCACAAGATTCAACAAAGTGAAACAAGGGCCATAACTCTAGATGTAATTAACAGAAATAACTGCAATTCAATAGGCTTCTTTGTTTTACAAATTTAAATGATGCAAATAGGCTTCTTCTTTTCACTATTTAAATGATGCATATCAATTTCAAACAGATCGGAAGATAACTTGTCAGAGCGTTCACAAGATTCAACAAAGTGAAACAAGGGCTATAACTCTAGATGTAATGAACAGAAATTGCTGAAATTCAATAGGCTTCTTTGTTTTACTAATTTAAATGATGCAAATAAATTTCATACAGATCGGATAATAACTTTTGTCGTTCACAGGGTACAACAAAGAGAAACAAGGGCCATAACTCACGATGTAATTAACGGAAATTGCTGAAATTCAATAGGCTTCTTCGTTTCACTAATTTAAATGATGCATATCAATTTCAAACAGAACGGATGATAACTGTTGTCTAATTATTAGAGCGTTCACAAGATTCAACAAAGTGAAACAAGGGCCATAACTCTAGATGTAATTAACGGAAAGTGCTGAAATTCAATAGACTTCTTTGTTTTGCTAAATCAAATGATGCATAAAAATTTAATGCAGATCAGCTGATAACTTTTGTTGTAAGAGCGTTCACTAGGTTCAACATAGCGAAACAAGGGTCATAACTCTAGAAGTTATTATCCAAAATTGTTGAAATTTAATAGGCTTCTTCGTCCCACTAATTTAAACATATATAAATTTGAAAAAAATCTAATGATAAATGCAGCCTGTAGTGTTCACAAGAAATGGTGGACGGACGCGACAACAATATAGCCACATTTCCATGTGGGCGTATAAAAATCGTTGTTTTAGTTCTAAATCATATGTCACCAAATGAATATTAAACAGGAAAGTTTAATCAGAAACAAATTGTACCTATTTTCTTGAGGCTCTACATTATCTTCATTTTGATTCCAATTCTCTGCTGGCTCTGTACTTTCCATGCTTGGTTGTACACTGAAAATTTAAAAACAAAGTAATCAACTGGAACAAACAAGTTCTTGGATCAGTTACAAATGTTTAGCAGTAAATGCCTGGAATGCATGTACTTGTCCAGCTAGAAATTGTTCTGAAAGCTCAAAATTAAGGATTTAATTCAATAATTGTACTTGTAAATAGGTTTACTTCAAATTTATGACATACAGAACTTATTGTGTTATAATATTTTTAAATGTTCCAGCTTTTATACAAACACTTTCAATGGTATGAATAACATGTTCATTAAGTTTGGACCATCACCATTAAGAAAATTTTATACAAGTGATGGTTATCAAAGAAACTAAGATTCAAGAAGACAACCACGTGCAATAAAAATTTATTTCCAGGTCATGCTTCAGCATTCACTTTAAGAACAGAAATATACATCCACATGAAAATGTGGGTGTATAAAAATGATCTATTCTTTAAAGTCTTAATATGCCTAACCTTTCTTCAATATTCTTTATATCATCCTTGAATGATCCCCAGTTGCGTCTACCACCTCCCTCTCGCTTATCAACAGCCTTGACACCACTGAAACAATTGAATGATTAAAGCACTCTTACACCAGGGTATGTTAAGGCAGGGCAAAAACTAAATAAAACTAAAAGTGTTATAAAGATAAGATTTCTACTGACAGCATGTTCTTCTAAATTCCAAGCAAAATGCGATGGCATTCACTTTTGTTCATTTGCCCCAATTTTTCATTCATACAAATCAACAAAGGTTGTGGTCAATTTGATACTGTCTTTAGTAATATCAAAATGCTTACAAAGAAAGACAACAGACCAGAAATTTTGGGGTAAAATCCTGTTCTGATTCCTCGTTTCTATAAAGCTTTAACAGCACATGCAACCAGTTTCTAGAAAAGGCTTACCATATGAAGTTTAGCGAGCAAATGAATAATTATTACTTAAAGGGGCATTACATCAGATTTAGATAAAGAGCTGGCCATTCTCGCTATAGTATTTCAAAAAAAGATAATGTAAAATGAATATATTGAAAATTTCATTCAAATCACTTTATTTTGAGCGAAGTTATCAATGGTTGTACTGGTCATTTGAGTCTTGGACTTTCTTCATTTTTAAATTAAATCATTAAATAGCCAAAATGTTCTAATCTACTGAAAATCGAAGCCATCTGATAGCATCAATTGATTATGGTCTTATGTTAATAAATGTCTAATAATTTATATAACATTTAAGGCCCAAAGAAAAACCTGCAATAGGCAGATTTAGCTCTCACATAATGCCTGTCTAAACATACATTATGCAAGAGCTAAATCTGCCAATTGCAGGTCTTTCTTTAGGCCTAAAATGTTATCTTAATTATTAATTAGACATTAATTAACTTATCCAGACCATAATGAACTCTTGATGGCATCGCTAGCCTGCAATATTAAATAAAAAAAATGAATACCGACTTTAGTAATGATGATCGAGGCTAGGCCCAAAATTCAATCGCTAAATACTCGGTTCAGGGTGGATCAATTTGACTTAAAATTTCAGCAAATTCCCTTTACATTATCTAGTTTTTAACAATTATAGTAAGAACTACCAGCTCTTTATCTAATATCCCATAATGTATCTTTAACTAGTCTTAAAATATAACAAAAAACCTGTTTTAGGTCATGAGCCACATGGTGAAGGCCTACATAAGAATTACTTTGAAAAATCAGGCTCTGCAATACATGAAATTGTTACAGAGCTGACAACCCAAGAGGAAAGTGGTTAGATGACATGGGAGTTATTTCCTTAAATGAAATTCCTGATGTAATCGCTTAATCATTTTTGCAACAAAAGAAAACACCATATTTCAACAATTAATTATGCCAAGAACAAAACCTCATTAAGATTTGGAATCACTTGTTGACATCTCAAAGTTGTGGGATGATAAAAAAAAAAAAAAGAAGAAAAAAAGTTGATTCTTCGGCTAACTACCCCTTTGTACAATATATTTGGTTGCAGGTTTATTGAAATAGGTTACATATAGGCAATAACAGAACACAATTTTTATGGGAAACAATCACTGGTTTTATTCTAATAGCACGACGTTTCGACAAGTATCCTCTTATCGTTATCAAGCACAAGGATACTTGTCGAAACGTCGTGCTATTAGAATAAAACCAGTGATTGTTTCCCATAAAAATTGTGTTCTGTTATTGTGTACCCCAATCACTATATGCCACTTAAAGATTACATATAGGCATTAATTTCCTGCTTGTGATGACTTTTTGTATTCATCAGTCTCTAATTCGTAATTTTCTTCCTTTTTTTTTTTTTGATACACTGACTACAACTGTAAGACAAAATTTCTTTGTGCATTGTAAGGATTAGGAAAATACATGAGTGATGATGACAATATGACCACATTAAATGGGGTGTATAAAAATGAAAAATATTGCATTTAAGGCTGTATGCATGCAGAAAAAAAAATTATAAAAAGGAATAAGTGAAAAGAATATTACGTTTTGTCACTTCCACTGTGTCTATCAAAATCTCGTTTTCCACGGCTTTCAAAAGGTTGGCCAAATCCCCCTCCTCTCTCACCACCACGGCCACCTCGTCCACGGAATCCACCACGACCTCGACCCCTTCCTCTCCCTCTCTCACCATCATCAAATCTATTGAAGCGACTACCACCTTCTGGTTTCTCTCTGTTGGGACAAAACACAAATTCATAAAACATTGATCTCAGATCTGAATGGGAAAAGATTGAAATATCAACCCAATAAAATTGGTCCGATTTTCACCCGACAACTTACCTGTTTCTGAAACTTAGCAATTTAAATGTAAAAACCAGGGGCTGCCAGGCAAGATACCCCCACATTTTGCAAGAAATGGATAGAGAACAAGCTAAAAACAAAAGCGATTTTTCGTACAATCAGGAGCCATTAATCCAGAAAGTTATGGTCTGAAATGCACAAATATCAAAAGAAACCATGATCTTTGGATTATAGACATACATGTCTAGTTTCATCAAAATAGGATAACCAGCGGCTGCCAGGCAGGATACGCCCACATTTGAGAGATGGATAGAGAACAAGCTAAAAAGAAAGTGATTTTTCTTACAATCAATGGCCATAATTCAAGAAATTACAATTCGATATGTGCAAATATCGCAAGAAAACGAGATCTTTGGGTTATAAACTTACATTTCAAGTTTCAACAAAATCGGATAAAAATTGTGACCTCTATAAGGTCCACAACCTTGATATACCATATTTTTACGCTATTTGAGAACGAACGGCGGCCATTTTGTCTGTCAGTTTTGGGCTGATTTTCACGAAATTCGAACTCAGCCGTCCTTAGGGTTTATCGGTGATATAATAATACGTTTTTTTAAATCAGATAATAATTATGACCTCTATAGGGTCCACAAGCTAAAAACGCGATTTTTCGTACAATCATGGGCCATAATTCAGGAAGTTACGGTCCGATATGCGCGAATATCGAAAGGATCCGAGATCTTTGTGTTATAAACTTACATTTCAAGTTTTAACAAAATCGGATAAAAATTGTGACCTCTATAGGGTCCACAACCTTGATATACCATATTTTTACGCTATTTGAGAACGAAGGGCAGCCATTTTGTCTGTCAGTTTTGGTCCGATTTTCACGAAATTGGAACTCAGTCGTCCTTGGGGTGTAACGGTGATATAATAATACAGTTTTTTTAAATCGGATAAAAATTATGACCTCTATAGGGTCCACAAGCTAAAAACGCGATTTTTCGTACAATCAGGGGCCATAATTCAGGAAGTAACGTTCTGATATGCGCGAATATCGAAAGGAACCGAGATCTTTGGGTTATAAGCATAGATTTCAAGTTTAAACCAAATCGGATAAAAATTGTGACCTCTACAGTGTTCACAAGCTAAAAACATGATTTTTCGTACAATCAGGGGTCATAATCCATGAAGTTACAGTCCAATACATGCCAATATCGAAAGGAACCGAGATCTTAGGGTGATAACCCTATATTTCAAGTTTCGTTGAAATCGGATAAAAATTGTGACCTGTAGACTGTTCACAAACAATTGTGGACGGACAGGGGCGACGACAAGATACGTCCACATGAAAATGTGGGCGTATAAAAAATGTGACTTCTAGAGGGCCCACAACCTTGATATACCATATATTTACACTATTTGCGTACAAGGGGCTGCCACTTTTTGGTCCCATTTTTACGAAATTCAAACTCCGCCATTATTTGGGTGTAACCGCAATATATTCAAACATTTTTTCCAATTGGATAAAAATTGTGATCTACTGAGGAACCACAAGCTAAAAACTTGATTTTTCGTACAATCCAGTGTCATATTCAGGAAGTTATGATCCGATAAAGAGAACCAAGATCTTTGGGTTATAAACATGTATTTCAAGTTTCATCAAAATTGCGACCTATAGAGGGTCCACCATCCTTAATACACACCGTATGTTTACATCTGTGTACGAGGGGCAGCCATTTCGTTCAGCTGTTTTGGTTTGATTTGAACGAAATTTGAACTCGGCAGACAATACAGTGTACATATAACGGTGATATATTCAAACAATTTTTTTTAAATCGGATAATAAATGTGACCACTAGCTAAAAACACGATTTTGCGTACAATCAGGGGCCATAATCAGGCATTATTTTGTCTCTTCCCAAAAATAACTGAAAAAAAATCGTCACGCAGTATACTCAAGTGGTACATCAAATGCCGGCGAGTCAAAGAAAAAAAGCAACAAATCAAGAAAAACTTTCCACCCCTGACTTCCGTAGTTACTTTCTTAAAACATACATTGCCGTAGCCTTTTTCCAGTTGACGTAATCTTCTAATGAATACGACTCCAAGCATTTAATGGAAATACAAAGAGTAGGACGTTCAACCCCATTTCATTTAATGGAAATCCAAAGGGTGGAGTTACATGAAATTCTTAATGATTTCTCCACATGACTTCGTAATTCAGCTTTGTTCATATGACATTTACCTAAATTCTGGAGGAACATTTTCATCACCACCTCTATTTTCTTGCTGCTCTCGTGGTGGTCTTCTGAAAGGCTTTCTTTCACCATCATTTTCTTTGTTATCTCTGGGTTCCCGATTCCCTCTTCCTCCTCGATTAGATCGTTCACTTTGTTGTGAATCTTTACCTTGAACTAAAAAAGTTATTTAAATTTAGTTTTCATCAATTTCTCAGTTCAATGTTACTTCCCGACTTCAGCAAAATAATTAATAAGCAAACAAAGTGATCGGGTCTTGTGCCATACTTCTGCAGACACGGATTATGAAAGTCTCATCATTCTTTAAGTATTATTAATCCCTTGCAAACTATCGTGAAAATTGAAGCTTCAAAAGGACTGCAACCAGTGACGTAAAACAAATTTTGAATCCACTAGCCCTGGGCTAATAGTCTAATGTCAGGCACTAGCCCGGCATTAATATCCACTAGTCTATAGTTCGACAAGGTACAGGATTTAATCTTCAATATTTGGGCTTATGTTTTGATGCCTGCCAACCTATCTTTTTTAATAAAGATTGTAGTCTTGATTGCATAATAATTAAGGATGTATAGGACTACTCAGTTAACCGGTACGGTATTTATTAACCTGGTCACTCTACACATGTATAAACAGTCTCCAAAGGAAATAAATCAGTTTGATGTGCTGATATATCAAAATAGACAGGAAAGTAAAATTGTTTATATTATCACTCGAGTGCCATGCTGTGTGGAGTGCCATGCTGTGTGCCGATAGGGTCCAAGTTGACGACATACGTGACACTGGAACCATTCAGCATGGAGTATGTGTAAGGAACATGTGTAGTAAATTCTTTGGAAAGACCAGACATGTTAAATAATCAAAATTATCTTGTATTTAAAAATACAAAGACATGCTTTCAAATGTCAGAACTAATCTAATATAAAGTTTTAGTGAGTCCTTTGTTTTTAACCTGATTTCGACTGGTTTATAGTGACCTGTCAAAGCGTGCAAGATGGAGAAATGAAATGTCAAGAATGAATGAATAGAAGGGATACAAAAAATGTCCATAGGGCTCTAAGTTTTACTACAGAAAATCTATTGTTATGATTGAGTTTTCCTTGGAATTTGAGAAATAAATGTGGGATGTTTTGCAGTTTATCTATATCGTCACTAGTTTAATTCACAAACAAGTGAAACGGCACTAGTCCAGGACTAGTACCACTAAATAGATCACTAGCCCGTAAAATATTTTTGGTAGCCCCAGGCGTCAGATTATTACAACAAAACAACTAAGTCCAAAAGCAGTTCAATTTTGTTCAATAAGACATGAAAGGAAAATTTTGCAACATTTGGCATCCTTTGCAGACAATATAAAGTGTAAGCATATACTTTATATAAACCCAAATTCACTTTAATTAAAATAAAAAAGATCAAATTTATCTAATCTTCCATAAATTTGTTATAGTCGTTATGAAAAATAAATGGTCATTCTGACTAAAAGGTATCCCTGTATTTTGAGATTTGGTTTAGGTTGCTTAATCTAAAATCTTGATCTTTTAAAGGAGCTAAATCGCTAATATTTGGATCTAGAAATTGACACAAATGCGTCACAAAACATAGAATAAGGTAATATGGATGTATATAAACTGATTTTACATTAAATACTCCATTAGTCTCAATCGAATGGTAATCTCTAGCGTCTGGTTATTCCAGTCTACATTGATAGTATTTATTGTGCATGCTCTCCAGATAAGATTGTGGCGTTAGCGTTTGACATGACTTGTGGAATATGTCTAGCATCGTTCTTCGAGTCCCTTCTTACAAATTGGACAGAGACACATTATGGTACACGATTCGTGTACCAATGGTAAAATGTTTATTTTGTCTGTAATATTGGATATCAGAAGCCCATCTTTTCCCGTTAAGATCACAACATCAATGTTGATTTAAATTGACAAATAATTGGTGTTTTCAATGTACCAATTTTTAAACTGAATGAATCCAATCTGGGAGATTATCTGTGCCCTTTTCTTTCATAGTTTACTGATAAATAAGGAAGTTGAATACATTTCAGTTAAGGGTGTGACGATTAGTCGGTTTAGTCGGAGTCGGTTTTACCTACAAACCGGTTCAAGTTTCGGGAAATCGATAGTCTAAAAAATACAGATTGATATAAACCAGTCGCCCGAATATTATAACATGTTTTTTTTTAAAAAGATACATGTATTAACGATCGACAATTATGGGGGCGAATAAGCAATAAGCTAGATCATTGATAAATGGTCGACAATAATAATAACGAGACAGTATATACTATATTCCGTAATCGGTCGTGGATATTCTCGCGATTACAAGCGAGTGTGTTTTTGCATACCTAATGAAGTTATTTTAAGAATACGTTATTTGATTGGTCGGTCGCTAAGGTCAATGGTTGAAGTGCCCAAACAGAAACAAGCAATCCTCCAGGTTAGGTCAATAGGCATGATCACTGAGCTGATGCCCAGATACGATTTCTCGTCGGTTTATCACTAATATTATTGATCAATACGTCATTGTTTGAATTTTTTTATATGTTGTATTTATTACTTTTATTAAAAAGGTTAAACAGGAGATTTGAACAAACTACATAGTACAAACAAAACCAAATTTTTTAATGTACTGGACACATAAAACATATTTCTGGAAAAAATGCAATTTATGACATTAGTATGTTCCCTAAATTTTGATTTACATCAGTTTTATGTAACAAGATGGACCATTATTAATGGAAATATTGTAATGAATAAGCACAAATCATTGTTCGAAGATTTGATTTAGCAGCAGCATTCATTTAATTTATAAATTGTTTTTTCAAATAAAAAAAAATAGTTGGTGATCGTTTTTTTTTTTTCAAAAAATGTGGGAGGGAGGTAGGTTTTTTTTTTTTTTTTTTAATGAATATACAGAATAAGCAATATACTTCAGGAATATTAACCTTTTATTTAATGTCAAAACACAACTCATCTGCATGATCGTCATTTGAATTGTTCAGATTAATTATTCAAACTTGAGATATTCCGCCTTGGATTCAATCAGATATAAAGAAATTTATAACTGAACACTTAAAGGTGGTGCCGACTGGTTTAATGTTGCAGGATATCAAATGTTGCAAAATTTTCAATTCATATCATGTCTTTGGACTGATATTCTTTTTAGACATTCAACTTTCATAATATTGTATTTTGAGAATAGTAAGACCAGAAGAGCCCGACCCCCCCCCCTCCAAAAAAAAAAACACACAAAAAAAACCATTTTGCATAACGACTTACGATCACTAATTAATAATCGGTTGATTTAGTTAATCATGCCCCCCATGGCCATTCCGAAAATCTGTTGTTGCATTTATTCGAGAGACTGTTTCATGTAATTCAGAATCAGCGAGACGTATTCCCATCTTAACATATAGTTCCAGGTTGTATATGTTGTATTCAAAATATAGTATTTGGTGCTGTACGCATGCAAACAAAACGTCAGCCATTGTTGCCGTTAACAGGTCGTAATTTGTTTATGTCATTCAGTCCTACGCATTTGAAGAGTATTGGAACACGTGCCAATAATTATATCCGCTTCATTAACTCTTGCGATTAGGAATTTCGTAGCCTGGCTACATTTTGGAACTTTTACCATTGGTTTTAAACATCGTAAGAAGGTAAATTTTGAAAATAAAAAATAAAAAAAAATTCTGGTCGGGTAGAATTTTCTGGGCGGGCGGGGACGATCACCAACTAATTTTTTTTATGTCGCCTAAACTTGACAATAAAATATTGTTGAAAATTTGTGTATATTTAGTAATACTAATACTGCTAATGTTTTTATAATTCTGAAAGCCTAAATGTCTTTTACGCGAGTCAGAAAAATCGAATCAACACACGGCCGCCATTATCGCCAATTGACAACTCACATTTTTCCTCATCCACTAAAGAACTGTAAGGTTTCTTTCGCATACTACTAATAACATAGGGATTATCGTTTAATCAGCTTTAATTATCCTACTTTGATCGTTGCCATTTCTAATATTTTCCAAAAAGAGTTTTCTTTGTACACACTAATGTATCGATTTTTACATGCTATGTTCTGTTCAACCTTTCCTTCCAAATTATTCCCAAGTCCGAACCGTCACCAACCCGAGTCCAAAACACCAAGGCCATATATTTTTGAGTCCGAAATGACATGTAATCAGAGGATCGTACTGACAAGTAGCAATGTTTTTTGTTTTTTTTGAAAAGCGAAAACAAAATGTCCAAAATCAAATCACATTCAAGATACTATCCTTAACACCATGAACTAAATGTATAATATTCTAAGGCCCATGCTAATGCTTACGCTACCCAATAAAAGGAAGATCGGTCAACCATGATCGCTAACAAGAGTATTCCACAATTGAGCCCCATCACTTCAATGTTTCATGTCATTTGACAATATTTGAACTATAGCTTGATTGAATTTTGAAATTTTAATAAAAAGGCCTAGATTTACTGAAGAAAAAGAAGTTTATTAATAAATGTTTAACATCGACCAAATTAAATTTTCGGTCAAGGTCAATCACGACTGTTGTTACTTTTTAACTCCGTAGGGCTGTCATAGATTAATTCAGCAAAACGAAATACGTCCCTTGTCAATGATAAATGCCAGATCTCAATGGTTAGACGTAATACATAACCTAAACTTGGAATAAACATTGGACAAATCATTGGTTATAACTGTTAATTTGTCACGATCAGCCAGTCTCTTTACCCTGAATTAATATTCTGTCGCGATATGGTTGGCTTTTCAATAATATGTTAATTTCGGCTTTGCCGTAGAATTTTCAGCTCTAAAAATTACCTTCTTTCTTGTTTATGTATTGATCATTCGGTTTCCCCTTGTTTTCTAAATGTGGTGTCGACTTCTTCGTGTTTTGCTTGTTGGAGCCCAGTTTAGGTTTATCCCCTTCCAGAGGTTTCTTAGTTTTCCTGACTTCATCCTTTTGTCGCGCCGCTTCGGCGGCATCATCGTTCAGACCGATGATATCGAATTTGTTGGACACATCTACGCCGTATCGGACATCCATTGTCCTCAGAATATAGAGGATTGCAATGGATTATAACCCACGGCTTTACCTACACACAAGTTCAATGCTTCAAAATGGCGTGCAAACAGCACATGGACAGCGCATGCTTCATAACCCCTAGAAAGGGTATCCTATGATGTCACAAAGCCATAAATGGACTGATGGCGGGAACGAGACATGGAGGTCGTAAAAATAAATAAAAATCTCGAAAAAACTACAATATAGTTATTTGAATATACATTTTTTTCTAATTAAACCTGAAACAAACAATTACCGAATTAATGAACACAGATTCAGAAACAAACGCACGGCAAAGTAAAATCGATAGGTTTAACATAATCTATGATGCGCGGCTTTGTAAAGTTATTTATAGCTACTTATGCAGGTACCAACATGAATTAGATATATTTACTTTATGTTAAAAGACGCGTAGGGACTGTGGGACATGCATACCTTTACTGGTGATCAGAAATTGAGTTAAATAGCCGAAGATGCATCCAGTTAATTGGAGTAATGAAATACACTTGGCGCACCTTTCACCTGATGAGGAAGGGGATTCCAATCATTCAGAAAGCGGGGATAGCCCAAGGGAGATTTCTCTGAATACCAAACGGGGGAGACCAAGATCTGATGCTATCTCAACTCTTATTTCGGAAGGATCTTCGTCCGTCAGCGATATTAGATGTAAAATTTGCAGTCGAGTATTTCCAAGAGAAAAATCACTCCAGGCGCATCTTAGAACACACACAGGTAGGCATTACACCTTTTGTAGCGTGGGACTAATGGGCTAGAGTAACTCGATACAGTTATTTTTGCCAGCTCAATATTTAACAAGAAGACACCCTAGACGCTGGTCTGTGTTATATTTTCTTAGAATGAAGTACATATTCTATTTACATTAACGTGTGAAACATTTAGATATTTTTTCAAAAGAAAAGGAGGTAGCCGACAGACAGAATAGCCTACAATTAAAAACCGCATCAACGTAAACAATGTAGCCCCTAAGATATAACTACTGCCTTTTTTTTTTTGAAAATATAAAAAAAAAACCACCCAAATTAATAAAACTAATTGATACAAATTGTTTCTTTTCAACCGACATAGGCCAGTGAATGAAAATAAAACAGTTTAAATGCCAACATTGGCATTGCTCCAACAATGTGTGCACGATACTTGATTATTGACTTTTAGTAAGCAATTTACGTAGCTATTGAAAATCGATGCTTGGTTAAATTATAGCAGATAGACAATGAACAGAATTTATCAATAGGGACATATTGATTTATGAGGTCGTAGTTGGGTTGAATATATTTTAGATATTATATCGTCTTTATCAAGGTCCAAACGATTCCGTTGTTTATTTCATATAAATGATAATTAGAAACAAACGTGTGTGTTTAACTTAGGCCTACATTAAAAAGTAGGACCATATTTATTATGTAGCATATATGCCTATAAATACAATATAGTGTTTTAATAGATAATTATTTAATATTTTGAAACGAACGCTGGTGTTTAAACTTAAATTTAAAAGTAGAGATATATTTAAATTATGTAGGCCTATATATACAATATAGTGTCAAGATTTAATAGATATTTTTTTTTTTTCAAAAAACATAAAACTGATTCTCTATAGTGAACAATTGTAATATGCAGATACTATTATGTATAAGGCTTGACATGTCAGTCTCAAGATTGGAAGTTTCCATGTTATCATTGTCTTTCTTTTTAAGTTCAGATTGCCCAATAAATATAAGGTTGATTTTCATATAGCCCTATTATAAAAGGGCATTTTCTTGAAAAGATGAACATTTGTTTAAAATGTTTGTTTCTATGATACCTGAACACTTTTATTGGAATGCCTTTTAAACGGAACGAGAACATAATATAATCTTTGTTGTAATTCACGTGCTTGAACATGTATCTGTACGGGTGAACACGATCGAAAAGGATCACAATAAAGTGTATATTTGCGATAAAGGGCTATACAGAGGCCACAGAATATATAATTAAATAGCGCTGAATAGATGTAGTGTATGAAAAACTTCAACAAAGACAAAAAGTCTACTCTACATGCCACAACTTGGCTCAGCTGTTCAGACTTGCGCGTGTGACTATCGGAGTGCTCGAGCTTCAACTGTCACATGACAAGGAAATATTCCCGTTATAATTTTTAAAGGAAACGGGTCATCATAGTAATCTAATAAATGATATATAGCCTGCTAAGATATTAGACCTTCAATGTAACTTGAATCAATCTATATTTCACTATTATATTGCCGTATATGTCTACAAGTTGATTATTTGACATTGATTTTCGTCTCAACGAATGTGACGCAATCTCAGCGTTGTCTATATTATTCGGTAATCTTATCTTGCGATATTTAATTATCACGTACATTTTAGTTCTAAAACGACTCTTCCGTAGGCCATAGGCTACAATAATTTAAAGGAAATGAAATTTTTACTTATAGGCCTACATCAATAACGACAAATTTGAAGTCCCACATATAACAAAAATCACACCAATGAAATAAACGCACCAGATAATCTGAAATATGAAAGGGACTTAAATCATTTTTCGAATAGGCCTACTCACGTGAGAAATGTTTTAGATAACAGAAAATGTACGCTAATCTAAATTCCGAGAGAGAAACTCTTTGGATACGTATGAGGGATCGAAACAACTTGAGTCTGGAAGTCACGTCTGTATGGAGCGGAATTATCGACATAATATAGAATGCCTGTGCTAATATACTTACCGGTACAGCAATGCATGCATGTAAAACTGCTAATTTATTTGACCAATTCCGTAAATGACAGTTTGAATTGGAATTTGTTTTTGGTAACAAATCTATTTTTCCTGATGGCTTATCTGCTGATAATTTGGCGTCATACACTCAAGCAGAGTTACGGTGGCTCAGTAAGTAATGTGCTGGCTTACAAACCTGAAAGTCCCAGGATCTGTCCTGGGCCCTTAATCACGAAAACTTAAACTAAGATACAATCGAAATTTTAAGAAATACTGCAATTCGATTGGCTGACCAGTAAAATCAATTTGCATATATCCAATGAAGTTGCAGTATTTCTTAAAATTTCGGTTGTAACTTAGTTTAAGTTTTCGTGAATAAGGGCCAGCTGGCGTTTGCCGAGAAAGGTGCTTGGGATTTCAGCATGGTTTCTCCTTGTCAGTGGAGCAGCATGGAAGGCCTGGCAAGGAACAGCATCTTGTTCTGATGGAATGAAAAACCGAGGTGCTATTTACACGTTGGCATGTATTTTAGTCATTAAAGATCTCTTGACAGTTGGAAAGCGAAGAGTAGGGAGAAACGTCATTATTCGGGCCAAATTTATTAGTTCAGTTGGTGTAGAAAATTAAGATTTTAAACCCCATTTCATTTCATTTCCAAACACTTTAAAACAATGACAGGTGTATAAGTAGTCAAGAAAATTACAACATCATACCTCTTAATAGAGCAAATTATTTAATGCTAACTGGAAATAAAAAATATCAATCATTTCTTGTCTCCAGGACATATATTGCCATATGAACTATAAGAATTAACAAGAGGTTATTTTTCTTTTAAGGTGAAAGACCATATAAATGCAATTTTTCTGGATGTGGAAAAGCGTTTTGTCAGAGTGGTCAACTGAAAACACATCAACGTCTTCACACAGGAGAAAAACCATTTAAATGTACAATAGAAGGTAACATAGGCATTTATATTCCCTAAATGATATTTGTCCATCACTTTGTCATTTAATTATGTGCGAATCCTATAAGTACTATTTTTTCTTATCTCTTTCGGACCTGGAAAGTAGTAAAGATTTTTCAAGACAATTTTTCACACGTATGCGCAGTTCATTGTGTGCAGCTCCATCCTATGTAATATAATATTATATTATGTTCTATTTTTTTACAGGATGCACAAGTCGTTTTACTCATGCTAACCGTCACTGTCCTGACCACCCATATGCTTCACTACAACGACAAAAGTCCTCATCATCACCCCCATCGTCACCCACTGAAGCTGAAAGTACGAGTCCAGTTAAACGGTGGCTTGCAAGGTGATTATTCCCAATATTCATTTGGTCAATTATTGTTATTTTTTTTTCAGACAGAATTTATTTGGCTCCATGAATTCTTGTACCAGTTAAACCCCCTCCCTCTGACCAATTAATGTTAAAAATCTACTGGGAAAAAAGCCAGTTGCATTTCTCATTGACAGATATTTAATGATTCGTCCTGTTGTTACTGCCACACAGTTCTGGTAAATTATTTTATACAAAATATGACATCTTCAGTATATATATACTGTTTTTTATGGTTTAAGTCAATCAGATTAAAACACAGATCCTATTTGACTCGTGGTTTATAGTTCAATATTCCATTTTACTTGTCTTTACTACACTAGGATCTGGAAGAGTTGTTATATTACTGGCTTTTTGGTTGAAGTGAGGTATTAACCAATGAAACGGTCTGTTACAGCGACTTTTTAGCGAGCCATGCACGGAACTTTGGGTAAACCACTAGAAACGTCAACGCTGATTGATTAATCAATGTCTGACGTCATAGGGTCAAAAGCCACTCGTACAACCCCTAATACGACCTTCCAGTACAACTTGTCAGATCTTCATGTAGTGTAGGCCATCGAAAATATAAAAAAAAAACAAAACGAAATATAGATCTGTATTTTAATCAGATTGGGTTTTAAAGATACATTATGGGAGATTCGGTAACAAGTTGGCAGTTCTCACTATAATAGTTAAAAACTAGATTAATGTAAAGGCAATTTGGTGAAAATTTCATTCAAATTGATCCACTATGAACCGAGAACTAAGCGACTGAAATTCCCATAAGCCTCGGTCCTCATTACTAAAGTCAGTACGATAAACAGCATAGTCTCGATTATCCATTTAATCGTTTAATAGAGAAGGAAAGTTATGCAGTAAATCGGCTTACAATCCACTAAAGATCGCAGGCTAGCGCTGCCATCTAGAGTTGATTATGGCCTGGATAGGTTAATTAATGTCTAATTAATAATTTAGATAACATTTCAGGCCTAAAGAAAGACCTGAAATAGGCAGATTTAGCTCTTGCATAATGCATGTTTAATGGAGTATTATATGTTCTTTTTAAGTGGAGATTATTAAAAATCCACCGGAAAGAGCTATTGCTACACAGTTCTGGATAACAGATTATTCTATATAAAATACAAATTTGACAAATTATGTGGAGAAATAGATGTCAATCAATAGAGATCCATCAATAATTTATCCCCCCAAAAAACTCTCAGCCTTGACTAATTAATAGACATTCTCTCTTTACTACTGTCATTGAATTAAACAATGGAACCACACAGATGTCTCTTTAAATAATTAAAGAGCTATTCTATTTACTATGTTATAAATACCTATTGCATTATTCATACTGATGATGATTAGAAATTTACACCAGCTGTTGTCTTTCATCAATGTCAGTCAATATAACTAGGACTTAGTCATGCTACTAGTATATAAACATAAATATTTATTTATTGCATAATCTAGATAATATTTAAAGAAGCTATTAAACTTAACTCAAAACAAAGTGTTGAATTAATCTGATCTAGTTGGGTAAATTTTGAGCAATTTATTTACTACCAGTAATTTTAGTTTGGGTTTGAATCTCTTATACCTGAATGTTGATTTTTTCTATTGAACTAAAACTTATCAAAAACATATAAACACATAAAATTGACAATTTTATTTTTGACCTAGATCACAGATGTAGTGCCATTTCAATTTTTATAAACAAAATTGATATAATACTTTGGTTTTATTTTCCATTAAATCCTGGATTTGTTTTGTTTTAATTTAGGCATGAAGCAATGCAAGGTGAAAAGACACCATTAAAAATCAACAATTCAGTTTCGAGAAAAAGACTGTTCGAAGATGGTTTGAGTGTTGAAGATACGGACAAAAAACGTGTTAAAGTGGCTAACAAACAACAGCAACCAGCAAATCATACAGAACAAAATGACAAAATGATTTCTGCCCTTGCACTCATCGAACTTGCAGAAGGGGGATTTCAAGCATCTGCCTAAATATTTTTACTGCCATAAAACCATTCAGAGATCTTTTTTTATAGTGCTAAATTTAAAAATGGATGTGTAAAAGCTTTGAGGTTGACCATAGTAATTGTTAAGAATGTGTTTCATATCTTAATTATGCTCTTTCAACATTAAGAACAAATGAAATTATCAAACAAGGAAGAATTCAACGAAAATAGTTTTACTCAAAAGTTTTACAATTTCAGTGTTCTGTAGTTTGAATAGAAAGCTGTTGTAATGAAACTTGAATTACAGATTTACATCGAAAGAAATTAGCCATTTGTTAAAAAAGAAACCTCTAAAATGCTTGCCATCATAATTAATATGTCAAAAAAGTCTTGTTTTTGCTCACTGAATGGTTAATATTTGTATTTGTTTTTATTTTTCAAGTTTATATTAAGCTTATATTTCCCTAATTTAGAGGTATATATTCTACTGCTGATGTGTTCAATTCAAACTAATATTATTATATGTATTTATGTATACAAGCTGCCGTCCATCCAGCATATTCCATACTTAGTAATTATTTATTAATTTTTTAAAAACATAATATTTATAATTCATAACTAATTATTGTTTTGTATGGTTGTATACAAATCATTGTTATTTCATCATCATGGGTATAATTCCAATTTGAATATTTGATAAAAATGCGAAAAAGTGTTACTGACATAAATTTCGTCTATGTGTTCACAGAATATTTTATTACTGCTCTAAAATATGGTGCAATTGATGTTTTATTTTTCGTGTGTAAGTTTCATAATATTAATAAAATGTATTTCAATACATACTTTTATATGTTAGTAGGAGAAAATTGTTAAAAGTATTATGTGTCATATTAACCCGTCCAATTATAAATTATTATTCATGTATTGATTTTGTGTGCTGTGAGTTATACCACATACATCTTGTATATTTATGATTCACACAATATATAGTTACAACATATAGATAGGATCTAATTGATTAACACCCACTGTTCACAGTCAGATAAGGGCTTATTTCAATCTGAAATGTTCATATTACTGTCCTAAGATAAATTGTATGACATACAGATAGAGCACACTATTCTATTTCTGTGCAAGATAAATTCTGATCTTTTTCCTAAAACCTGACAAACCCAAGATTAGAAATAGCCTGCTATCAGAGAAGAACACTTTATGTGTATATAAAAAATTCTCAAGCGACAATGAAATTATTAAAAGTACAATGATTAATTTTTTTATAGTAAATATAAGTTTCAACAAAATTCAATGAATAGGTAAGATTTGATTTTAAATAGAACTATATGTAACACAAGTATTGTAAATTCGTGATCATAATTAGATTAGATCTATATGTCATATTAGATATAATATATAGCATTGTTTAATGTGTTTTCAATTCTAAAACTTTATGAATGTTGTTATTATTGAATAGATTTTATTGATGTTTGTGTAGTCACATTCCACTCTCATGTCCAGTCTCACATAATAAACATTTATAATATCTGACACTAGATTCTTATAGATTATCAAGATTGTGCATGAATGAGACTAGTTTACTGATATCTGTAGTTACATAAATTATTATTATGCTTTTATTTATATGTGGTTGATTTTATTAAATGGCAATAATGATTGATGGGAAAAGATGTGTTGCACTTTAAACCGGCAGAACATATAGATTATATGACAAATATAGTGTAAAATGTATACTTAATTTTTTCTTCAGAGCTAACTCTAAATAGAACTCTGTTAAAAAATGTATATTACTAATAATAGAGTTTTCAAATCCAAAACTATTCCACATTGGGCAACTACCCTAAGAGCAATACATCTTTTTAGATGTTACACATTTTTATTAACTAAGAATGCTTGCCTGTATTTTAATACATTTCCATTACATCCCATCTATGATTTTAATTGATACATGTAGTAATAATATGATTGTTATGAACTGTTTGTAATCACCATTCATTCCATAATCATCATGTATCAACAAGATACATGTAAAAAAAAACTGTGCCTAAATTTTTTACGCTTGCAAAACACTGCCAAAATAGCAATAGTACATCTCCATAATATCAACATCATTAAAATCATTCATGGTCACTTTGGTAATGCAATCTATCTTGAAAATTTTAACAATCAATGGTTTATTTTAAAAGAGCTAAAATGCTTTGATTTAGGTTAAAATGTGTTCAATTCGGTTGATATGATGGGTTGCTTTTATTAATGATGGGGGATGCCCGAAAAAGCTCTATACAACAAAACTGTCTACTAATTTAAGTTTCTTTTTTGTTTTTCTGTGTCAACAGCAGACCACACAATTGATTTTATCAGCTCTACATTGGCTTTATCTGTGGATGTTAAACTTTGAACAAAGACAGATTGTCATCCCACTGAGTAAATCAACATAAAAATTACAATTTTATTTTTAACCTGTTCAAAAAGGTCTTGTCATTTTAATATGATTCTAGTGCTTCTTGGCCATTCCTTATTAAAGCACCCATTCAAAATTTTAAAACACACCTATTTTAAAATCACATTGCAGTCAGCAAGTATATTTGAGAAAGGGCCCAAGAGGAATATTTTTTCTTATGGTATCATATTCCCCCAATATAGTTTTGTTTAGTGCTTCAATACCAGTGCATGATGATGCTTAATATAATAAATAATTTTGACTTGTTTGAAGTGTGTTACTAATCTTAGTTGTTGTACCATATTTTCCATAAATGAACATGGAACATTCCATTATCATGCCTAACTGCTTTATCCAGTGCTAGCATTGTTCATTTACCGTCCAATTATTTCCATCCATTTTTATTAATTGGTCAACAAAGACAATAACATTTCCAAGGTTTTATATTTTTTACTTTTTTGTAAATATTTAATTTAATAAATATTATTTATGAATTTTATATGATTTTTTTTTTCTATTTTTTGTATATTGGCAATTTTAAAGTCTTAATATCAAGTTCTCTTGGGAACATTTACATCAGAGTTTATCTGACAGTGAGTCACAAACTATCATAATTTCTCTAACACATCGGTAATAATGGTTGCAGTGAAGCCGACACACAAAATTTCATAGTAGTTGCCTGGCAACATAAAATTTGATTGTTGTTAGGCGATATACATAAATATTCTGGTTCTCAGATACTCCTGCTGCCCTCATCACTTAAAAAAAAGCAGCATGACCTTAAATACAGTGTCATTAATTACCACAATATGATACGGGATAATCATAAAATCAATAGAGTGATGAGATAAATGTAGTGCCTTGAAATGTGAGGTTTATGAGAAGCCAATCAGACCAGTTGTGACACTTTCACAAAATAAAAACACAAAAACACCCCTGACCCCGCCCCCTCCCACCCCCAGACGAGGGATTGTCTGAGAACTTGAAAACTAGAATTTGTTTGTATGGCCTTACACATAAAATTAATTCCATATGCTAGATTTGCATCTTATAAAGTTTTGCATCTTATAAATAAAATTTTGCATCTTATAAAGATTTGCATCTTATAACGAGTCTTGAAGCTGAACTAAAGATCATGATCATCAGGATGATATAATTCACTGAGTAATCTGTAAACATAAGATGGAGCATTTCCGCCACTGAAAAACAAAATAATCAAGTGTTAAAACAAGAGATTAATCACCCATTAATGTCTCAATGACAAAATGACTACATTTGTCAAGCAATTTTATATTAAAAACATTTCTACTTATATTTACAAACATTTCTACAAAATGTTGTTCATGGTAAGAAGAAAAAGTAAAATTTGACAATACGGGGTCAAACAACTTTATTTTAAAAAGCCAAGATACCTCCAAAATGTTTTTCAAATGGAAAGAGGAAACTGTCGAAATCTGCTCCTACAAAGTGTCCCAACCCTACGCGTAAAGGGCATAGCAAAATAATTTCAATAAATCTAACTAACCACCAACACTTAATAAATCTGGTGAAGGACCCCCAAGCAGTTTATTGCAAGGAACATAAATGGGTTATCCATTTCAACTGAATATGCATTAATATGGGGAATGGCCTAGTGGTCTAGCTGGCCGGCACCTCTGGCTTGCGGTCATAGTTTTGATCCCTGAGGTGAGCACATGTGGCTTGGAGATCGGGGCGCTTTCTCAACCTTGTGTGTTTACTCACGGTACTCCAGTTTTGTCCCACAGGAAAGACTCCTGCGTGTGGTCTAAGTATAATATAATACCGGTAAGACAACTTGTCTGCTATATCACCCTCAGTGGTAGCAGACGGGAAACACTACGAACAACAACCAAAATAAAGCAACTAGATTCCAAAGGTTGAGGAAAGCTGAATATCGATAGGGTTCTTCCTCTCATGACCAAAATGCTTCACACTAAATTTGAAAAAAATCAGTCAAAAAATGTAGACTCTTATCGTGTTCACAAGCCAATTGTTGACTGACAGACAGTTTGATGACATAATATGTCCACACTGAAGTGTGAGAGTAAAAAAGCTTAAAACTCTACGATAAGTTAATAAGATTGTTTTACAGGCAGGTAACAAAGCATGCAGCAGCATTATTCTCCAGTCCATAATTGATACGTTTAATTGTAGCAATAATTGTAGTATATTGGATAAGCTTATATAATAATACTACCAATAAGTATGTTTAACCCTTTTTAAACATTGAGTCATTAAATGTTACAAGTTGGTGAAAATTCTTGTAATTTAATAGTCAAATTTATCATGAGGTATAACTTTCCAAAAATAAGAAGTGGTATAATGGGTTGTAGAAAGTCTGCATAGCCCACCTCATACATGACATCAGTATCAACAGGGTTTTTGCCTCAGTGATATTATTAAAGTGATAATAAGTTTGACAGAGCATCTACAAGAACTTGTTGACAACACAGACAGAACAATGCTACTGGGTAATACAAAAAAATGACTTTTTTATTTTATTTCTGTTTCAAATATTGAATGAAATTGAATCTAAATACTTGCAAGAAAATCCATTGTGATAATAGTACGGAACCCACTTTAAAAGAGCTGAAAATATCATGGCCTACATGAGGTGTTAGTTGCCTTGTCACTTGTGTCAAGAATGGATGGTTGTTTTGAAATTTAAGGAGCAAATGATGGATACCCCCAACCCCTCAATCCAATTTGAACTAATTTGATGTGAGCAGAAAACTCCATATGTATGACTAAACATTTTTCACTGAAAGAATTCATTCATAATTTGCCTTTGAAATTATACTCATTTACCAGTATTTGGATGTTTGTTATTTTTTAAAAAATGGAGTATGGTAAATCTTTTTATGGTAAGGTAATTCTCTGGGTTCTGAATGAAAAGTGAAACCCATAATACAAAATAAAGCATTCCAATACCTTCCATAAAATTAGCCCTAAAAAATATTTATTGAAAATTAATCTAAAGGGAGAGAGAGAGAAATGGGGTTTAAGGTCCACTCAACACAACCTAGGTCATTTCTGGACTAACACATGGTTCATTTTTTTTATTTCAATAATTCGCTTGCACATAGGGGTCTTTAGCAGTGGGAGGAAACCAGATGACCCGAAGTTGGATGTACAATAACATACCTTATGATACAGCACGCATGTGCTAACCATTCGGCCATCCACCCCCCCTAATCTAAATAGAATCCAGTGAGATTATAGTATTGAACCCACTTCAAAAGATTAGACAGCGAATAGAGTTATCCCTCATTTCATCTGAATTTCAAATTGAATTTGACTTGTTTGCCATTGATGATAAGAGTCATTGTGAGCTATTTTAAGGTTGGTGCTGCTTTGTTAGTCTACCTCTAAATTTAAATTAAATGAAAATTGAATTTGATTGAAATGTTTGTCATTGGTTTGGTTACCCCTTATTCTCTCTCCCCCATCAAATCAAATCAAACAAACTATACAAATATACACACAAAACAATATTCTTTTTGCCCAGCAATATTGAGAAAACAAGGTTGCGCCAAGAAACCCTGGCCTTCACTCCTACCATAGCCACTCATTTTCTGATGAAATTAGTAAGCAAGACCTACCTCATATTGAAAAAACGCACTTAATTCAAATCAATATATTTTCAAAAACCTATTAATAAATTTTCTGTTTTTAACAATATTTTAAAATGCCAATTTTACCAATGTCATTTTAAATTTACACTGCAGAGTCTTACAAAATATACATAACAATCATTACCCCATGGATTTACAAGTTGATGGTGTTTGAAATCCGGGGGAAGATTCCACGTATATGTTCAGTGAGTCGCATCTTAGGGATTCTGATCATTCAGTCATACCTCTAGAAGTAATTATCAGAAATTTTGAAAATCAATAGGCTTCATTGTCTCATGACCATAAACACTCTGTCAATTGGATGATCATTGTTTTTTTCTAGATCGACCACTAGATTTGTCAAAGTATCAAGGGTCATAACTCTGGCAGTCATTATCGGAAATTGATGAATATCAATATAATTTTTCATCTGATGACCTTAAACACTTGTATAAATATAAAGTTAATCGGATGATACATTTGGTCTTTAGAGTGTCCACAAGATTTTTTAAAGTGATCAAGGGCCATAACTCTGGTAGTAATAATCGGAAATCGCTTCATGTCCTTAACTGTGAACGACGGAACAAAATAAGTCTGAGTCCTTATTTTGGACAAAAATTATCGGATCTTCAACAAATTTGATAGGGATAATCTTCATAAAAATATTGTCACACAAAATAAATATGAGTGCATAAAAAACTAACTTACATATTAGATATAAAAAGAGTTACGAGTTCTGATGGTACATAATCAAACACTGGGTTATGTATCTGAGCTTTAGCTAATATTTCACCTTCAGAAAACTGAAGAACTTCATGTGGACTGACAAATTTATTAAATGCATCCTGAAAGAAAAACCAGTATTGATTAGAAACACTAATTTTCGCCTTGTTGTCTGTACTGTATGCTAACAAGCCAACAGTGAGGTTGATATCCCCCGCCGAAATCATGAAATAAATAGATGACACATATTAATTAAAGATACATTATGGGAGATTTTTATAGAGAGTTGGCCATTCTTGCTATAACAGTTCAAAAGTAGACGATGAAAGAAGAATTTATTGAAAATTTCAGTCCAATTACTTTATTCTGAACAAAGTTATTATCGTTGTAACATTTGACTAGAAATGGTAGTCAACTATATCTTCACCTTGGCCGATCGTTTGATTGACAGGCGTTAACTCCACCTACATAATCTCGATTATCAAGTAACGTTTTCAATGGCTTGAGACGGGGTTGCAGTTCAATTCGTATCCCATTTATTTTTACTACAAATTAAAAATAAGACTTTTATTATATAGATAAGAAGCGAAAGTTTGAAAGGAATGGACCAAATCAATGAGGCATAATTATAGCCGACTTCTGGTTAGCCTGCATGTACTCTTGTGCTGTAAGGTGACTACGTGACTCCCGAAGCAGACAAGAAATAGGAAACACTACAGTGATCCAATGGGGCTGCAATTCAACTGGGGTGATGTTAGCTGCGATGTTTATCAATTTTTCTGTAAACGTAAATGACAAAAGAGCGTATAATACCAATATCCAAACTCTCATTTTAACATCAACTGAACATAATATCAAGGCCGTATATATCGAACTTTCAATCAAATTGACTGACATGCGGCATCGCTCAACAGCGGCCTCGCTTCGTACACTCTATAATTTAGCCTCGATCTAACTGATGACGTCAACGTAACGGTTAATAATCTCCGCATGGGGCGCCATATTTGATTTAATCAATCAGTGAAATCCTATTTAAATCCAAGCTGTAGCCGAGCCATCCGTGGGTCTACAGAGTTGATTTTGGGCTTGTTGTTTAAATAAAGATCTAATTTATAATTTCTATAACATCTAAAGCCTAAATTAAGACTTGCAATAATCAGATTTAGCTCTTGCATAATGTATGTTTAATTGCATGTTTATCTTTTTAAAAATTATCGAATAATTAAACTGATTATCAAGTATAAAGAAATTGCTTGGCTCTTCGAAAGGCGGGGGACAATAAAATAATAATATGTACTCTGAAATCCAAACAAACAAGTGATATAAAAATATATTCAATGGAAATAATGAAACATGGTTGAAAAATCAACTCTTCCACATATTTGAAGCAAGGGCCATCAATTTATAATCAGCAAAACTCAGTAAGTCTTTTTCAGTTATGGGGGGGTTGGATGGTCGAATGGTTAGCATGTGCATGCTGTATCATAAGGCCTGTCATTGAGTCAACTGGCGTGGTTTCGAATCCCCGGTTGTACGTGGCAAGGAATAGGGTCGCCTGTCCAACCTTGTGGGTTTTATCCGGGTCCTCCGGTTTCCTCCCACTGCTAAAGACGCCTACGCGCAAGCGAATTATTGAAATAAAATTAAACCATGTTAGTCCCGAAATGACCTAGTTTGTGTCGAGTGGACGTTACACCAAATTTCTCTCTCTCTTTGTTCAGTTATGACAATAAAACACAACATGATATGAGCATATTACATAATACTTGTATCAAAATCTTATAATTTTAACTTACCTGATCATAAGAACACAAATACTGTGGTGATAGTTTAAACATGGCTGCACAAACAATCAGCTAAAAGATAATAAAAGTGTTTATTATCCTGAAGTTGATTTCTGAACATTTTCTCTAAATGGTATCATTTAGGAGATAAACACCGACTGTTTAGAATTTAGAGGACTGTTATTGTCCATTTGATACCGCTTAAATCATTAGAGGCCGAGATCGCGTAGCGATCGAGCGCCTCTAATGAAAAATTTAAGCGGTATCAAATGGACAATAACAGTCCGATAAATTCTAAACAGGAGGTGTTTATCGATATTGTAGCCTAAAATATTTAACATTTTTCTTGGAATTCTTTCTTTCGCGACAGTTGACGGTCGTTTTTTGGTTTTAATGACGTAAATACCAAGGAAAACAATTTTGACGTAATGAAAATATCTGTGACGTAATAAGATAAACACTCATTTCCATTCTATTTGGTTCACTAAGCGACTGGTTAATTGTGTCTGTTTGGAAAGGGAGGTCACTCTGCGATAATTTTAAAGATCGAAACAGAAATCGTAAGTGTATTTTATGTACTTTTTAAATGATTTTGAACTCCAGCAGTGACTAGGTTCGAAACAAATTGCATATCGTGTTTGATAAATGTCCATACACTCGTGTGACCGTGTAGATATATGCTGTGTATCGTACGCATGTGGTTGCTATGCTTGTTTACGTTGTCATTTCGACGCTGTGAATGTGATTGTTTTTCTTCGGAAAAAAACATGGCCTATGTATGAAAATTAGTCTCTGTCCTATTCATATCAGTATCAGCCCGACTTGTATATTTTTAAAAATATATTACGATCCATACGGAGTTCAATAAATTGTAGTATTTTTATTCACTTGTTGAAAATCTTCGATTTTGACCAGTCTGATTATGATAGAATGACCATAGCAACCATTATTGTCAGACCAGCCTTGAAATTAAATTTACTTATTATGCTTCAAATACACTCACTAACTTTGTTTTTTATGTGTTTCAGGTGAGTGTTTCAATAAGTCAATGGTTGAATTTCATTGTTGATGACATACAAGAAAAAATTCATGAAGATTTCCAAGAATAAAGTTTTGAGGTGTAGAATTTTTGGCCACTGCAAACAGAGTCTAGCACCCAGAAAATATTCATTTGCAGTGAGTCGCCCAGGAAATTTAGAGGACTGTTATACTCATTCGACGCCACTTTTCGACCAATCAGAATTCAAGAAATTTCCATTTTGGGCTACAATTGATTGTATCGATCTCCAATATCAGAGCTTTCATATTAAATGGCGAACCGTTCTAATCTTGTTAAAATCTTGAGTATCCAATGCCATAAAGAGTTGATTATGGTCTTGTTTTGTTAATAAATATAACATTTCAGGCCTAAAGAAAGACTTACAATAGGCAGATTTAGCTCTTGCATAATGTATGTTTAAGAAATAAGTCTACTTACTGGTGTAGAATAATGTTTGGCTGCTAAAGCTATTGCATGACTTCCATTTATAGCCTTTAAACTGAAAAGAAAACAATTTTTTAAAACGAACTTAAAGGGAAAATTTTAACAAACGTAAGATAAAATAGTTTACTACAGAGATCTATTGAACTTCTGTGGCAGTAACTATGGAGTTTCCCAATGATGTGAGTCTTCAAGTAAGTTTGTTTTGAACCTGTTGCTAACTACAATCTTGTGAGCGTTGAATCTTGGAAAGGAATATCAGTCTAAAAATGATTCAATTTCATTAAACATTTACAAATGCAAATGCAAATAATGATCAGCGGCTTTCAAAATATAAACCTTGACAATGAAATTTGAATAAATTATCAAATCCCCAAATTACTGTCAAACCAAGCGCTTTCCTTGTGTCAAAAATGAAATATCTCAACTTACCCTCCATTTGCCATGACAGTATGGGTACCAATAATAACTTTATTAACACGAGACATGATGGCAAATATAGCTGTATCATTTATTACCATGGTCTCTATGCCAGATTTAGCTAAACTTAATGCTAACTCTTGGCCCTGTTAATAAAAAACACAATATTTGCTATGAAAAGAATAATTTCTTAACTGTATCTCATAATTATCTTATTTTTGTGAAATGTGTCTGTACAAGAACGCATCATTCTTGTTGATGAACTAAAAAGATTCATTATTAATAAAACATGCCAGCAATTATTCTTCGCAACTTGTAACTGATAACTGATAGGTGTAACGTATGATGCTCATTTATTTTATCATTGGTCAATGATTAGGCACCATGATGTTCAAGATTAAACATATTCATCAACCAACAAATTATTATCAAATTTGACACTTATAATATGTTGTGTTCTGCAGTGCCTGTACACCTAACACTAGCTATTGCGACTAGTCAAAATGCAATATGTATTACAGTATATGTGCCATACTACGATTCAATCACAATACATATTCAGGTCAAAATCAACTTCTAATGTAAGTATAACTTCATAATTCTGAACCAGGAGAGAATGTTTCAATTCAATGTGACTTGTTTTGTACCAGAAATTGAATTAAAGATTTATAGAATTCAATACATTCATTGTATAGCAGAAATGTAAAATATATCAATTTAACAATATGCACAGGCATAATCAAACCTCTGTCGATTCACTCAGATATGTTTTTTCTTCAATCTAGCCATTTTGATTTGCATAAATACTCTCCACGAAACGAATCATAGCCACTCGTTTCCAATATTGACATTATTTACATTCGTTAACGTCTGTCACTGACTCCATGCGCTGACGTCACAGAAAAACCTAACCAACCTCTGAAGTCTCGTATCCTTCTGCCTCAAAATCATGAATATTCACCAAAACCTCGCAGAAAATGCATATTAAAACCTTCTCCTTCGATTCTACAACCAAAGGTCAACAAAAATCGCCATGCAAAAACAGGGAAAACAGAAAGGGAGAGAAAAACTAAAAATATCTTTGGCCCTTGTTTCAATCATCTTTTCACTGCGGATCGATTTTGTGTGACGTCAGCGCATGAAGTCGATGACAATAACAAACGAAAATAATGTAAATATTGGAAACAAGTGGCTATGATATCGTTTTGTGGGGAGTACTTATGCAAATCAAAACGGCTAGATTGAAAAAAAACATATCAGAGTGAATCGACAGAGGTTAGATTGCCTGACATTACGAACTGTTGGGAAAAAAACGAGGCGAAGCGAGAGCAGGTAAAATCGAGGCTTCAGCAGACATTGCATTCCTGTTCTTTTTTTATTATATATTGTCTAGTTGAGTATGATGTATGCATATATACGGATAGAAGGTCAGATTCCTGTGCAATATGTCATGCAAGTGCTAATAATCACCAACAAGTAATAAGTAACCACTAAGCAAGTGCTATACTTTTGCTAATTTATTCTCATGACACTACCCTAATAATAATTATACTGTAAAAACATATGTATAACAAAACATTAGTTGTCAATCATTGATAATCACAGCAGCATTTTCATTGATTTTATTAACTATGGAAAAGTTTCATGTAAAAAGACATACAGCAAGTTTGTGTTATAATATGTGGGTGTTTATGACATATGTACTTACATAATAAAATGGAGCACATTCTACAACAATAACTTGAAATTTTCTCTGTTTAGCAGCATTCTGTAAATTATAATATATATTTCATCTACTATTGTGATTTACTACCAATCAGGAGATGTTTGAGTTTAATATGTGATCCTTGAGAAGCTATGATTACTGTCAAAGATTTTATCTTTTGATTATTCATAACGGTATTGATTTTTTAAGATATATTAATAAAAAATAAAATATACTAACTTTTAAGAATTCTTCAACAGTTTTTGATTTACCACATGTCATTATAACTTCATTTGAGTGAATATGTTCTAAAGCTTGAGAAGCTATGTTTTCAGCACTAGAAAAACAAAATTTAGTTTTTTCCATGGCTGAATAATTTAATACAATACATTGAAATACCAAAAGAAATGTTTAAAATATTCAAAATGTATCAGTATTAAATGGTGTATGCAATGCTTTGATGTCCCATACTATGTTTTTCATTCTTGCAACTGAAAATTTGATCCGTTTGTTTGGGAAATCATAGCACTGAAAACTTTTTGAACATTACCATACTAATATTTTAATTTTCAGTTGGACACATCTATGTATAGTCAGATAAAACAGTGTCTAGTAATATTGGGGGAAAATATTGAAAAATTCTTGCGCTCGAAAATGTGTCCCACACACCTATGCATGTAGCTTACCTTGATAATATATACAGGCAAGACACACTGTGTAGGTATTTTACTTGAACATGTTTCCCCCCTCTCCCCAATACACATAGGCATGTCCCTTTATAGGATATATAGACAAGGCACACTGTAGATATCTTACTCGAATATGTCCCCCTCCCCTTTAACTCATACACCTTTCTATGTACCTTGATGGGTTATTTAGACAATCTATATAAGTTACGTATAATATAACACTACCTTGTTTCTAATTCTGACTGTAATTCTGATATAGCTTCTATTACAGACGCCTGCAAAAAAAATAAATAAAAAAATAAACCAAAAACAAATGGTGACCAATCAATTATTGTTCAAACAGTCAACATAGGATTCAATTTAAAAATTTTGACTGTCAGTTATTTTTCATAACAGAAAGAATCATTGAAAATTAAAATCATTTTTTAAGTTTCTATATTATGACATCACATGTCTATTTGTCAGTATGATGTACATAAAAATTTATATACTGGAATTATTCATTATTGAAATGTTTCTTTTTAACTAATAAAATAGCTATTATTATCGAAATTTGTTCTTTGGTTAAAGCAAAATAAGAGTTGAAATGGCTGTAAAAGACCGTTCACACATAGCCTATAATGTACAAGTCATGCCATGTGCTCTTGAAAACACACTGACCTTGAACACAGAATTGTAAGGTAATATATAAGTCTTAATAATTGACTTGTAATCCATTGAATGATAGACTAATTTCATAACTAATGATAGTTAAAATGTTGTGCTTTGATAAAGTAGTGATTGTATTCCATATAAATGGTGGATGTATTTTTTATATAATTCTCAGATGATGACAAAGTATGCTATTCTATAACACCATTCATAAGCTGACATGTCTATATGTGTGGATGTATTTTTAATTTATTTCTCAGATTATGACTATGTATACTATTCTATAACACCAATCATAAGCTGGCATGTCTATATGTGTGCACTATGCTATTAAATTATATAGTTAAGTCCATCGTAGCCATGTTTAAAAATGAAAAATATGCCAGCTTTATGGCATATGAGAGAGAGAGAGAGAGAGAGAGAGAGAGGGAGAGGGAGAGAGAGAAATGGGGTTTAACATACACTTGACACAAACTTGGTCATTTCGGGATTAACTCACGGTTCAATTTTATTTCAAGAATTCGCTTGCGCTTAGGGGTCTTTAGCAGTGGGAGCAAACTGGAGGACCCGGAGAAAACCCACAAGGTTGGACAAGCGACACTACTCCTTGTCACGTACAACCGGGGAATCAAAATAGATTGATTTGTCCCATCAACTTTGGGTCAATTTTAGGACAAGCAGTCACTAATAGCATATATGCTAAGTTGGAACCCATGACCTAATTATCTCCAGTACACATCTCATGGTAATGCTTCTGTAGAATAAACAGGATTTAAACTTACTTTTAAATTAGGTGTGTGAGAACTAAAGTCATCTGGATGTTTTTCTGCTAGAAGTAATTTCTGTAAAATACATAAACACATTTTCAACAGTGTTGTGAGAATTATTAGATAATATTAACAATATTCTAGACAATAATTAATTTTGCACTACTGCTACTATAATATGGGTTTATGTCTGCTACCACCAAGGGTTATATGGAAGACTTCTGGTAGTTTTTCCCAAAAAACATGCCAGGAAAGGCCAATCAATTTAATTGCCAGGTCCAGAATGATTGTGGCAAGAAAGGGAGGTCGAAAGTAAAATTTGCTATTCAGATCCAGATCAATCTGATTAAAATACAGATCTATATTTCGGGGTTTTTTTTATACTTTCGAAGGCCTACATTACATGAAGATCTAACCAGTTGTATTGGGAGGTCGTGTCAGACATTGATTAATCAATCAGCGTAGACGTTTCTAGTGGATTAACCACAGTTCTGTGCATCGCACGCCAAGAAGTCGCTGTAACAGACAGTTTCATTGGCCAATCCTTCACGCTATCCAGAATGCAGGTTATATAACAACTCTTCCCGATCTGAGTGTAGAACAGACAAATAAAAAAGAAATTTTGAAATATAAAAAAACAAAACAAAATAGGATCTGTGTTTTAATCAGATTGGATCAAGATAGACCTAATTACACAGTCTAGGAAAAAAACACTGATATTCAATATAACCTATTTTCAGGACCGGTGGAAGGAAGGTAGATGGATGATGACTGGCACACATTGCCAACTCTGCTTCAACCTAAAGCGAGGATGTGGGGTAAAATGTCTATAGGTTTGAGCACAATCTTGCCAAAATCCTTATACAACAGAAATGCCATGGTACATCCTGGGGCCACCAATGTGCTAAAGTGGGGGTCCCAGTCTGATTACCTCTTACATGTATCTCAACCTGCAAGTAGCTTGGGCTATGGAGACATGACCACCAACCTCACACATGAATTTGAAGATAAGTTGAATATATCAAGTCTATTTGATTCAAATTTTTGATGCAGATATTCTGAAATTAATAGGGACTATCTAATAAATCTGCAATAATAGTTTTGAAGTACGGTTGTTTACATGTAAGGAATCTTGAGATTCTTCCTCTTCTGTAGTACCTCGAGATGCACTGAAAAATAATGACATCTTTAATATGAATATAATATATAAGGTTAGACATGAGGTTAGACATGTTATTCAACAGACACTCTGAAATTTCTGGCATTACTTTGACTTTTTATCTTCTAAATTACCAACTGTGATCAGCTGCCCAGAGTGATATATTAAAGGGGTATTACCGTATTAAGGGAGATTAGATAAAGAGCTGGTAGTTCTCACTATAATAGTTAAAGATAGGTTGCCAGGCAATGAAACATACACCCACAGCAACTAAATCAAGAGGGCAGTCAACAAGCGTTGTCGCATATTTTTATTTTTGTCGGTAATGAAACATTTATAATACACTAAAATCTAATTAAGAGTAACACCTCATTAAGTAATTATCAGAAAATCATTAGAATTTGTTTGGCCCATGCTAACGTTTAGTATACAAAACATTTAATATCATGGATTTAACTGTTCAAGTTATCAAAATTCATTGAAAATAAATATACTTGTTTGTCTCAAGACCTTAAACTCTGTGTATCAACCTTAAGTCAATCGAAACGATTATATATAGGCGTAAACACGGTGTATAAATATAAAATCAATCAGATGATAATTATGGTCTCTAAAAAACATCCACAAAATTTTTCAAAGTGATCAAGGGCCATAACTCTAGCAGTTAATTATCGGAAATCGGTGAAAATCATGACCTTCCACACTGTGTATAAATTTAAAGTCAATCGGATATTAACAGGGGCGACGACAATATACGACCACATTTCAATGTGGGCGTATACAAACTAGATAAAGTAAAGGGAATTTGCTGAAATTGATCCACTCTGAACCAAGATTATAGCTTTTGAATTTTAGGCCTAACCTCGATCATCATTACTAAAGTCGGTACGATAAAAAAACATAGTCTTGATTATCCATTTTTGGATTTAATCATCAATGAGCATTGAGCAGCAGATTGGATTCAAATCCAGTATATATCGCAGGCTAGCAATGACATCGAGAGTTGATTATGGTCTGGATAAGTTAATTAATGTCTAATCAATAATTTAGATAACATTTCAGGCCTAAAGAAAGACCTGCAATAGGCAGATTTAGCTCTTGCATAATGTATGTTTAAACTAAATCACAATCTACCTGGCATATTCTTCTCTAATAATTTTCAACACTCTTCTCACCATATTACCTATTACAGTTTCTGATGGTTGGGATGCCATCAATCTCTTCCCCTCTGTCTTCAACACATTCATTAAATCACTGTCAAATATAATAATAGTAACATATTAATTATCCAATGTACAGTTACATGTATTTCTAACAATTTCATCGTATCTACTAAATGATCTTCCAAATAGTTACTGTAATTCAAAAGTTTTCTCTTGTTAGCAATCATTTTATTCTTGGTCAAATTTAAACTTGTTCTTGTATCATAGTCATAGCCATTTCCCCAGGCAAAAAAATAAAAATCAATGTATATCTCATATTTGAGAGAACTTTTATCATTCTGGGTGGGAATTGAATATGCCCAAGTCCATCAACAAAGACTATGTAATTCATAGTTTATATGGGTGTAAGCAAATTTCCAAACAGATTAGCTCACCATATAAATATTAACTCTAAATTACAGGACTTCCAATACAAGTACATTCATAAAATAATTTACACAAACAAATTACTTTGTAAATTAAGACTGACAGAATCAAATTTGTGTTCTTTCTGTCATTCAGATAATGAAACTGTAAATCATTTGTTAATATACTGTAATTACGCACAACGGATATGGAACGAAATGTATGAAATTCTTAAAACAAATATCAACATAACATTCGTAGGAATATTCACCTTGGATGCCTAGATAAAAAAGTATTTGACACTATCCACATATGGACTTTTGTTAATCAAATAATATTCTTAACAAAGTATTACATACATAAAACAAAACTAGAAGCAAATATTCCAACCTGTAAGAAGATACAAAGCTTTTTTACAAAGTAGGAAATCCTTAGAAACTAGAACTGGAAATTTTTAAAACTAACAAGAAAATACTCAATAAATAGAACTATTTATCTAAACAAAACTAAAATGACCAAATTATATTTTACGCTAGGTACGATTACTTAAAGATACATTATGGGAGATAAGATAAAGAGATGGCAGTTCTCACTATAAATAATAGTTAAAAACTAGATAGTGTAAAGGTAATTTGCTGAAAATTTCAGTCAAATTGATCCACTATGAGCCGAGAAAGAAGCAGGTGAAATTTTTGCATAGTCTCGGTCATCATTACTAAAATCATTAATATAAACAGCATAGTCTCGATTATCCACTTTTTCTGATTTAATTATCAACGGCCGTTAGCGGCATATAGGAATCTAATCCAGCCAACATCGAAGGCTAGCCTTGACATCGAGAGTTTATTATGGTCTGGATAAGTTAATTAATGTCTAATTGTTAATTTAGATAACATTTCAGGCCTAAAGAAAGACTTGTAATAAGCAGATTTTGCTCTTGCATAATGCATGTTTAAGTCCTTTCAATCTTTTTTCAGTCTAAATATAATTACATGTAACAATAAAATATCATCCCGTTGATATTTATTTCAATATACATTTTATTGAAAAAAAATCCAATCAATCTGTAATTGTCCAGTAGGAAAGGAAACCGTTATTACTATAAAAGATAAACTTACAGTGCATTGGTCCATTTCTTTTGTGCTATTATCCTTTTTAACAAGTTAACTGTATCATTTGCCACAGAATAAGATCCCGGGTGGTTTCTGCAATATTAATGAAACAAAATATGATATCGTCTAAATAATATTAAAGCTTTCGTCATTTAGCGACCAACATGTGGCATATATGATATAGAGCTCCATATGGTCGTGTTTTCAATGTGGGACTCAACCGAATAGTGAAAAGAGTGAAAAGTTAGTGTTCACAACCCCCCTCCGCACTACTGTGATTACTCTCCCATCTCGCAAATGATGAAGAAAGAAGAACAAATAAAACATTTTTTTTTTTTAAAAAACAACATTTATTTCTGTTCAGTTTGTCAGTGAGATACTGAAAATATGGATACCCTTGTCTCATTTCTTTCGTGAATGCTTCTATCCTTTCATTCAAATCTTCTAACTTTTCTGTGTCACCACCTGGCATTTCGTATTAATCTTTAATAAAGATAAGAATAATATTTCTCACGCAGTCTTGTATTATGAATTCAAGAAACAACAATTTCTAAAAAGTGATGAAAGAGTTTATCTGGAGTTAATCCCCTTTTAGAGTAGTCTTTAATGTCCAGCTATATACATTGTCCAGTCTATATTGACTCTATTGACAACAAGCTATTGGGTCATGTGATGCGAGTCTACAGAAAATAAAAATGTCTGCGCCCATAATCTAAAAAATAAACAGATAAACAAGGTAATTTCCACAATTCTGGATTCTTTGAGTTGACAATCTGTCATAAAAATCCAGTTAATGTAGTCATTTGACTCAGGTAAACAATTTCAATTAATATTTTGTATTGTAAACCTCGCCTTATAGGTCCTCTATATTTTTAAAGGCACAACAATTGCCAAATTTTATTATCGGCACTGAATGACTGACTTGTTCAGTTTGCTGATGATGTTATTGTTAATGGTTTTAAATACTCAAATAAATAGTAAGCAATTTGTTGTTTAATCCGTCAAATAAAGTGCCCGTGCCACCAAAGTAGTCACAATGAGTAATGACTCATTGCCGTTCTGAATTCTGAAACTAAATTTTTAATGACCAATCATTTATTATGGTAGTACGACATTTCGGTCCGGCGACTCAGTTTGATAATGGTTCGGACTAACTTGAGCACCTTTCGGACTCCGTCAGGTGTCTCGGATGAATAAATAAATGACTGTTTTATATTAGTAATAGCTGGGTTTTTTTTATCTATCAGACTATTGCAATAACCGCTAGTAAAAGATTGAAAACAAATTCAGACCGCTAATAAAAGATTAACACTAGTTGTCTTTTGTTTTGTTTAATCAGCGACTATTGAACTTAACAATAAAATATCTTTGAAAATTTGTGTACATGTATATTAAGTAATACGTCATTGTTTTTCATTTATCAAATAGTAAACAAGCTTGATTGACCGATCGATACTAATAAAGTTTTATATAATTGTGAAGGCCTAAATGTATTTTACGTGAAACAGATTAATTTCAATCAACACATGTCGGCAATTATCGATGATTGACAACTCACGTGTTTCCGCATCCACCAAAGAATCGGAAGGTATCTTTGCACATACCACAATAACATCCGGATTATGGGTTAATCAGCTTTAATTATCCTTTGATCTTTAATTATCATTTCTAATATTTTCCGAAAAGACTTTTCTTTGTAGGCACTAATTTATCGATTTGTACTGTCCTCTATGGCAAGCTTGTCGAGGAATGCATGTCAATGTGCAGCTTACAGATTATCGTTAAAAATTTCTAGGGACGTGTAAAAACAGTGCAGGTCATGTAAATATTTGCTTTTGTTTTCATGTAGGTCATTTTCAAATAAATTTATCAGCATATTAATTCTGTTTAAAAGCTATATTAGTTTTACGGGAAACTGATTATCAAAGAACCGTAAGTGCAATTTTAATGTTTCATCTTTTGGTGAGGCCTTTTGATAACCATGTGTTTCATGTTAATATTTTCTTTCGTGTCTTGAATTGGCCTATTTCAAATAAATTCATCAGCTACTTTTTCATATTAAATATACAAACATAGTACAGATATAAAGAAATAAAACATTTTTTTGTAAACATTCAACTTTGTAAATATTGCCATTCCTTTAGATCCACGTGCTGTACTTGCTGGCGAACGGTAAATTTTACCTGCATGTTATCTTTACAAAATCGTCCTACCAACTTTTACATGCACAGACACGCCAATGTGTAGACTACATGGGGTATCAGTTTTTAATCCAATCCAAATGACTATATTCCTGCACCACTGACAATAGGAACCATGCCGAAAAATCGCAATGAACGGTCTCAGCACTGGGATTGAACATGGGACCTCCAGCCAGGTTAATACGGCTGAGCCAATGTCTTACTGAGCCACAGTTAATCCTATGGCATGCTCTTTTCAAAGATTGTTCAAATTGCCTTTTATATTTGCATACATAAAGTCTTCTATTTAATAAAAAATGTTTGGAATCTCTTATATTGATACTTTCAAAAACATAATAATAAAAATAGTAAAAAGTACATGTTCAATTTTTCAGATTAATAAAACAAAACAGAATCTTCAATAGTTGTCATTCTTCAAAATGGCACTTGGAAGTGATGTACGAGATATACTGGATCTGGAAACACCAGATAAAGATCCTGTAACAAAGGAATCGCTTATGAATGATTCTAAGAAGGTAATTTGTTTGTGTAAATTCAAAATTTGCATCCTGTTAGAAATGATTTTAGTTATTTAAAAACTTCATTATTGTAGTGCGTGTAATAAAAGACTTACTCCTGTTCTTGTATTCTATGTTTGTAGAAAAAAGCTAGAAAATCAGATATTAATTCTAAAAGACCAGAAGGAATGCACAGAGAATTATGGGGTTTATTATGGACAGACAATAAGTAAGTATTTGTAAAGTTATATTTATAGCACAGCTTTCTTGAGTTAACAGGTTTAAACATTGAGGCCGTAGGCTGAGATGTTAAACCTTTTAATGAATAAAGCGTGCTATAAATGACTTGTAACATTGACACCTGCTCAAGATGCTTGTTGTTATTGAACAGAAACCCATCCCACTTCTCTATATGATTTCTATTAAAACTAGTGTAAACCAGCAAAAGAGTGCAATAACATTGAACATGTCTAGTTATTGCTCGGTTAAGCTCCACCCAATCTACTAGAGGGAAAACAATCTGCTTATTCAACGAAAAAAACAAAGGAAGATTTCCTGTCCATGTTACAGGCTGATTTATATTATGATTGTTGGTTTTTTGTTCTGAAAATATGATTCAAATAGAATGCATGACAGTAGTTTGTCCTGTCAAAATAATTTGACTTTCTGGAATATATTAGCTGTTTCATTACAACAATACTTTCACTAAAAAGTAATACTAATTTCTATAGTTAGCATCTTCTGCTCAGGTTAAGCTGATTTGATTTAATTCGATTGTTTGATGCTTTATAAAAAGATGCATGTCATTAATGGGTGTCATCTATTTTCTTTTGGATTGAGGCGTTGGACATCATCCTCAATGTTGGCTTGTTGAATTGATTATCAATTGTATCTGTATAATAACATCGTTTCGTTTAATTAAAGTATTTTATTTCAGAGATTCTCCACCTCTAGTACCATCAGATAATAGTCAAGGTTATAAACAGATGAAAGCTAAAATAGGTAGTAGTAAAGTTAGACCCTGGAAGTGGATGCCGTTTACCAATCCTGCTAGAAAGGTATCAAATTATTTATCTCAGGCCGGTAAAAGGAATATAAAAGAGGGATTTCTGGACATGTATCTTATCACAAAACCCTCTTTTTTTTTCAAATCAAATCCATAGCAATAGTTTCTCTGTTATTAATATTTTTTTCACAAAATTGCATCATTTACTTTGTAGATCTTCAGTCTGGTGCTAGAATTAGGGTGTACATCAAAAATTATTACATCTTCCAAAAGTATGAAGATTTGTATAAACAATAAGCTTATACTTAATTTTGTATCTTTGTTTGTTCACATAGGATGGTACTATATTTTATCACTATAGAAGAGTTGCTGATGAAGGAAAAGATTATCCGTTCTCAAGATTTAATAAGGTAAAGAATGGTAGTTTGAAATAAAATGTTTAAGCAAAACTGTAACTCATTTATCAGACAACATTTCAGAAAAGCATGTACTGGTAACATCTCATCTTCAATAATATACATGTACTAATACTTATTTTTTTAAGTCATACATTGTCAAATATCAAAACTTGGTTGTATCTAGAATTTATACTAATTATATTTATTATGTTGTTTTTATTGGTAGACTGTAGATGTTCCAGCCTATACAGATTTAGAATATCAACAACATTTACATGATGATAACTGGACTCGACTAGAAACTGATACTTTGTTTGATTTATGTAAACGATTTGATTTACGTTTTATTGTAATACAAGATAAATGGGATCGAGAGAAGTATAAAGAAAGAAGCGTAGAGGATCTAAAAGAGAGATACTATAATGTTTGTAATACTCTTAAAAAGGTAATTATTTGATTAATGTGAACTGGAAAGTCAGATACAGAGGGTGTTTTGGATAAGAGAGATACTGTAATGTTTGTAATACTACTTTTTTGATGTATTTACAACTGATGTAAACATGTAAATTCAGACAATGTTTTGGAAAACTCAATGATAGAAAGTCTTAGATTAGAACAGTTAAGATCTAACAGTTAATTTACAGTACTCCCAGGAATTTAAACAGATGAAACATAATTAACCTGTGTCAAAAGTTTAAAATTTGAAATGGACAAATTTTATATAAATTTGTGTTGTAAGACATTGATATATTTTAAATATTAAAATTATAGGTGAGAGCTCCACCAGGAACTGAACCCAAAATAAAAGTTTTTGATGCTGAACATGAAAGAAGAAGAAAAGCTCAGCTTACTAAATTATTTGAAAGAACACCAGAACAGGTATAATATACAAGATTCAATTTACACTTCATTTATGATCTTATTTTGTGTTTTTCCATTTGATATTAACTGGGTGTATTGGGAACGCCACTTTTTATAGACTTCCTGTGGCCCCAACCCCACCAGCAATGTATGAGCGTCTGTATATTTTTTCTACAAATTGCATACATGGAATTTTTTAAGACCCTCTTTAATACTAGAATTCAATGTTCCAATATCCCCTTAAAAAAGTAATGTTTTCTACAGAATGTCAACAAAAACATTCAAAAATGAATTATTCCCAAAAGAAATTGGCAGTGACATCTTGAATTGAAATTGGCAACATATATTCAGGAAAAAAGTATTTGTTACTTTCGCTTAAAATTTGCTCAATCCAGATGAATTATTTCTTGCTTTTTAGACACTTTTGTGTTTAATTTTAGCTTTGCATGATTATTACTTGAATAGTATGTTATTTTTCATTCTCTGGACAATGTATTGAAATGTACAGTAGTCCAAAAAGTTTAAAAGACTAAAACAATTAATTATTTTATTTACGTTAGGTTGAAGAAGAAGATAATTTGATAGCAGAGTTGAAGAAAATAGAACTTCGAAAGAAAGAAAGAGAAAAGAAGACACAGGATCTTCAGAAATTGATAACTGCTGCCGATAGTAATATAGATTCTAGACGTACAGATAGAAAAATTACAAAGAAGAAACTTCCACCACAAAAAACCAAAGAAGGACTGGTAACAAATTTTCAAAACCTTTTCGTGTTAACACCGAGTTATGATATTGTATGAATAGTATATTGTACAAATATATCCACCTTTCATCCATTTGGATATGAAACTTTCAATGTTATTCTTTCTTTTATTTTAGTCTAATCCTGAAACTTGTGGTATTAAGTTCCCCGATTTCAAACAGTCTGGTGTCTCATTAAGAAGTCAAAGAGTAAGTATCTTTGTCATTAACAAACCCCATTGTCTGTCTGCCCATCACACTTTTTGAGACACAATAACTCTCCTTCTAATTGAGCTATAATGTTCAAACTTGATGTAGATGTTTATTAGGTCGATGCCTTGATGGAGTTTAAAGAGTTTAGGGTAAGCAGAGATAAGCAATTTGATTGTTTGATGCTTTGGGACACAATAACTTCAGTTCTAATTTAGTGAGAGTGATCAAACTTGGTGTATAGTTTCATCACATCAATACCTTGACTAAATTTGATGATCGAGACTTTGAAACACAATAACTCTCGTTCTAATTGAGGTAGAATGTTCAAACTTGGTGTAGGCGTTCATTAGGTGAATGCCTTGATGGAGTTCAATGATGAACATTGTCTGCTTACGGTAAGCGGAGATAAGCAATTTGATTGGTTGATGGTTTTGGGCACAATAACATTGGTTATAATTAAGTGAAAGCTCCGAAATTCCGAGTATAGATTCATTATATTATATTGACTAAGTTTGATGAGAATTTTCTGCTTAGGCTAAGGAGCGATAAGCAATTTGATTGGACAAGACATTAGAACATAACAACTATGCTTTTAACTGAGGTAGAATGTTGAAACTTGATGTTGATGTTCATTAGGTGAATGTCTTGACTGAGTTCAATAATTAACATTTCCCACTAAAGATAAGCAGAGCTAAGCAATTTCTTTGACTTTGAATCTATCTGATAGAGAGTGATGCAACTTAGTGTATAGTTTATAATCAGTTTGATTGCTCGATACTTTTGAAAAAGATACATGTGCAATTAATTAATATGTGTCATCTATTTATTTCGGGATTTCGGCGTGGGCCATCAGCCTCGCTGTTGGCTTGTTATAACATATTATTATGTTAGATAATACTATTTATTAATCAATAAAGTATGCTTTTATGTATTTTAGATGAAATTACCAGCATCTATTGGTCAGAAAAAGATGAAAGCCATTGAACAAGTTCTAGAAGAATTATCTATTGGTAGGTTCCTCATGTATTTAATTTTCTCAGTAATAAAAAAAAGACCCTTCAAATAATATGTAAAAAATCAGAAATAGGCTTAATAATAGAACTTGCAACAATTTCTAGTTTCACTTTTAGACAATCTATCATTTGACATTCAGCTTTTCTAGTGACAGTGGATTATTTTAGCTGTTTTAATTTTTATATGCCCACATTTTCATGTATCCAAATAAATATAAAGAGAGAGGAATCCAAAACCATTTGAATAACATAAACTTAGATGGGATCCAAGTCAAAATAAACTTGATACTGCGACACCAGTAGTAGGAGTGGTTAAAAACAAAGTCATGGGTATCACAAAACCATCTTTTATAGCATCTCATCATGAGTATCACAAAACCATCTTCTATAGCATCTAGAGATCTAGAGATGCTATAAAAGATGGTTTTGTAATACCCATGACTTTTTAACCACATTGTCATGTAGACGTACGATGTCGTCACCCCTGTCCGTCCAGACTTCCACAATTTTTTTTGTGGACACTCTACAGGTCACAATTTTTATCCGATTTTCATGAAACTTGAAATATAAGTATATTTCCCAAAGATCTCAGTTTTGTTCGATATTGGCATGTATCGGATCATAATTTCATGGATTATGGCCCCTGATTGTACGAAACATCACGTTTTTAGCTTGTGGACATTCTAGAGGTCACAATTTTCATCTGATTTTGATGAAACTTGAAATGCATGTTTAAAACCCAAAGATCTTGGTTCCTTTCGATATTCGTACATATCAGATCACAACTTACTGAGTGATGGCCCCAGATTGTACGAAAAATCCTGTTTTTAGATTGTGGTCCCTCTAGTGGTCACAATTTTTATCTGATTTAAAAAAAAACCGTTCAAATATATTAAAGTTACACCATAATGTCAGATGGATTTGAATTTCGTGAAATTTTAAGCTTGTTCTCTATCCATCTCTTGCAAAATGTGGCCTGAAAGTTATTAACTTTCTGGTATCTTCAGAAATTCTGATTCAATATTACTACTAACACTAACTATTAAATATATACCATAATTTTTCCAGAGTTCAATCCAATGCCATGTGAAGAGATAGTACAGAATTTTAATGAATTACGTCAGGATATAGTACTATTGTATGAGTTGAAGTTAGCTCTAGCTAATTGTGAATATGAACAGCAAACAATGAAACACAGATATGATACTCTGCGTGGTATAAAGGTAAGTATATTTGCGATGGAGATGATTAATGTATTCATTTGTCATTGTTAAATTTGACCCATTCTCCCATTCAACTTTTCTTTCCTTGTCCTCTTTTGTTGTCACTGAGTAGTATTAATGGCAAATGGTTTCTAGCATTTCAGTCATAATGCTATAAAACTATTAGTTAATGGGTTAAATGCAACCTATTGTATGTCGCATTAATGTTTTCTAACATTTGAACAAGGGTTGTATTACCTGAAACATTGTGATTAAAACACCACTCTATTCTAATTAGTCTGTTTGTTTGTACTTATGTGGAAGTTTTTAAATTATCTATTCTCTGACATAAAATACAGAACAGAGTAGATCAGTGGCATTGCGAAACATAACATCTCTCTTTAAAAATACAATAATCAACAGAGATTAATAGATGATGGGCTAATCAATCAAAGTCATTGATAACTTTACAATGATGTTGTTATCTGGTAAATGTCTTACTTATTGGTTAAATACAAGAAGTCACTCATTAATTTCAGGTTTGTAGTTAATTATAAATTATACAAATACAGGTGACATGTAGGCCTATATTTTGATGTATTACTTCCCTGATATGCCTGAATTCTACCTTTAATCAAGCAATTTATATTTTAGACTGAGGTGAATATGGATGTGACACCGTCATCTTTACCATCAACACCAATACCTGGAGAGACCAGTGTTTCTTTATTAAGTGGAACACCAATAGGAGTTAGTTCTACACCCAATACACCTCTAATACAGGTGACAGAATCACAAGATGATTCACCAACATTAAAGAAAGGAGGAGAAGCTGTAGATGTTGTAGGCAACGCTGATTCTCTTACTACACCTAATGTACGTAATAAACAATTAAATTGTAGCAGATTTTTGTCTTCACTCAGAAAAGAAATGATTTTTCCACTCAAATGGAAGGTTTTACTTGCCCCAACTATCTGTCCTTCACACTTTTTGGGATATAATAACTCTTGTTTTAATTAGTATATGCATTTATTAGATTTACATTCCTTGACTGAGGTCTAATAAGCATGCTTTGGGACACGATAACTTCCATTCTATTTCTAATTAAGTGACAGTGATGAAACTCAATGTATAGTTTCATTGCATCAGTACCAGTACTTTTTGATTTTAATGAGACTGGTGAAACTTGGTGTTTGATCAGTACCATGACTCAGATTGATCATGAGCATTTTCTGCTTGCCAAATAGAGATTTCAATTTGATTTATATTCTCTGTAGTTTTGTAGTCTATGGTTCTCTGTTACCTGTCTATGCCAACCCTGTCTGTGATTCTGTATTATTACTAATAGATTGTATACCTTTGTTGCCCAATTTGATCGACCAACTAAATCTATACTCTACATTTGATATGTTTGTTTCGGTAATCTATTATCACCTTACATAATAATTTTATCCAATATTTCAAACGTTATACAGAATATATAATAGTAAGAGGTAGTTTGCCACATGAATTTTTAAGATGGTGCTCTGCAGGATTTGTTGATGACTTTTTGGCTGGTGGGCATATAAGTGGGAGTGATAAGTCCATGTCTATGTTTGCAATAAATAATTTTACTTTTCTGTATTTTCAGAGAAAAAGGAAAGCTGCTATAGAACAAAGTAACTTGTTAAAGAAGATAAAACAGAAATCCTAAATCTATTGTTGTTGTTATATCATGTTGTATATCATCATATCATTATGTATATAAAATCATCATCATATAATTACTTTGTTCTGTATTTGTTGTCACTATGCCTGCTGAAATTCCTGTCAGTGCCAACAATAGCATCAGACTCAGCAATAATTCATCTGTTTTATTTTATCTTTGCTTGATAATGACTAGAGACGCCTAGTCGAAACGTGGCTCAGTAATAAGCAGTAATTGTATTCCATAGAATTGTGACCTGTATATTATTTATCAGTAAAACAAAGTCAACTGTATTAAGATAAAACTTCATATCAAAATTTTAGATCACTGAGGATCAAATAAGCCAGGTTTTGAAAGATCCCTGTAATTGACCTGATTAAGTGTGAATGTTGGAATTAATCAACCGAAGCAGTTTTGAAAAAAAATGTTTAAAAGAAGGGTTTCCGATTATACTTCTAATCATTGATTATAAAGATTGAAACAAACTGGACCTCTTTGATTTGGGTCAAAAATAAAATAATTGAGTTTTAAATTAAATCATATACTCAGCCAAATTAAAAACTTGACATTCAGGATTTTTGGGACTAGATTTTTAATATTTGGTTTGAGGCAACTATTTTAGTGTTATGTTGTGCACAGACGACCTTGACATCAACAGAAAGCAAGAATACGTCTCGCCGAAAGTCCTTGACATTGATAACGTTCGTGATGTCACAGTACCCCCAAAATGAAATTCACAGACTTTGAGAACAATCGGAATAAAGTGTTTAGTAATGGTTGTGGCCTCCTCTAGCGTCTCGTACTGCCACACAATGTCTTCTCATGGATCTCAGAACATTAGTAAACACTACCCGAGGAAGACGTCGCCACTGCTCAGCAAGAGCATGTTGAAGGTCCTGCAAAGTCAGTGGTGGATTCACTTGCTGACGAACACGTCGACCCAGTTCATCCCAGATGTGTTCAATAGGATTAAGGTCGGGGCTAAGCGACGGCCAATCCAGGACTTGGACACCGGCATTTCTTTAAAAATTCTGGGTAGCAATTGCTGTATGGGGTCGAGCATTGTCTTGTTGAAGCGTTAGTCCAGGCCCATGTCTCTGCATAAACGGAAGAAGAACAGGTTGCAAAATCTGATCCCTGTACTGGACAGCATTTAAGTTCCCTTGGACAACAACAAGAGGAGAACGTCCATGTGCACAAAAAGAACCCCAAACCATGACGCTGCTGCCACCAAATCGGTCAACTTCTCTGACGCATACTTGAGCGTAACGTTCACCTCGTCTGCGGTACACTTGGACCCTGCCATCGGCAAATCTCAAAGTGAATCGAGATTCGACACTAAAGACAACCGATTTCCACTGTCTTTGAGTAAATCTTATGTGTCTTGTGGCCCACACAAGTCGGTTACGGCGATGAAGTGGTGTCAATATTGGTCCATTATAGGGCCTCCGAGCTCGAAGACCAGCAGCCTGCAAGCTTGTGCAGTTACCCTTCCACCAAACATCTCTCTACTTGTGGAGGTTGCAGTGACAAATCTGTTTCTAAGATGACATAATCGTATTGCTTGATCCTCCTGGAGTGACGTCACATGTGGCGCTCCCGCCCTTGGGCGGTCGGCAATAGTACCAGTTTGAAGCACTCTCATTCTAAGATTAATTATTGTCTGGCGTGAACAATTAAAGGCTCTTGCAACAGTGACCACAGACTGACCAGCATAGAGCCTACCTATAGCACGTAGACGTTCTACATTTGAAAGGCGCGGCATTTTCTAACAAATATGAAAATAACAATTTTAATTTGTTTTTCCAGTTCAAGTTACGTGTGCGTGTTCAGTTTAAGCAAACTTGCATCGATTGACCTCACGAGTTTGTGTTTGCACGTGTTTTTCAGGTTTTCTCATCTTTATGTGCTCAAAAGTCACGTGATCAACGTGACTTTACAATTTTATGAAATTAAAGGCTTCTTACTACTTACTATCGTTAGAAACACTTTAAAATTTGTTTGAGTTACCAGAAAAATTTTTTTAGTTGAAATTCATCAGTGTCAAGTTTTTAATTTGGCTGAGTATATAAAGTTTGCTTATCACTAATTGAAATAACACTTCAGATAAACCCAATTCAATTAGAGGATTAGATTGTAAATGGTGTGTTGGTCATTTATGTTCAATCTGGCAATGAAGTTTATTGGTAGATTCAGCCATCTGATCTACGAGTGGCCATATGGTTTCTATATTTATACAATGTACAAGACAAGAAGTTGACATAAAAACTATATTTTAATTTTCACATACAATAAATTATTCAACAAACCATACATATGTACGTGATATATTTTTGATACACATTTGAATCATTGTATGAAGAAACGGAGACAAGAGGAGATTATCTTTAAAGATAAAGCAACTATTATCTACAAATATTATTAACATACCAGAATAAACGTTAAATATAAAGTTAAAAGTCATACACAATCAATAGTACATAGAAAAAAAAGAAAAAAGAATTCTGGTCAAAATATAAGTCACGACTCAAATCAATTAATTCTAATTAAATTATGGACATTTTAAGTTTACAAAGGTTTTATTTGATTTCACACCACCATCTTTATCTCTCTTAGACAAAATAGTAAAAATAATTGTGCTATCTTTCTCTGTACAAGCCAGTCCATTCTTGATGAAGGTCTTATAAACTCTGGCCTGCTTAAGTATATATACATGTAATAATAGTCTTAACATTAAAATAGTACATTTCTTTTACTTTTGAAATACATGTGAACAATCTAGATTATTGTGCCTTTAAAATTTGACCTATTTACTGTATATGTAGTATTTTATTTCACTACAAAATTTTTTAATTTATAAATAGTTAAGAAATTTGACAGAAAAACTAATGTTGGTTTGTTAAGACATAACACATAGATAACCAACAGAATATTAATACAGTACATTAAAACATTAATACAATGTGATTTTAAATTCTGATGACAAAATGATAGTTCTTTCAATAGTCTGAATATATAAATATTGACACTGATACACCACAATACAAAATATATAACAAATTATTGGATATATTCATGTGTATAAAAATTATATACAAATAATTATCAACATGGAAGGGTTGCACAATCACCATAAAGTTGAACCATTTATAAGTTATATTGGCAAATTTTATGAATTAATTGTCAAATACATTTTCTGTATTCTATACTGCATTATTTTTAACACAGAATAACAACATATTTACTACAAGTAGTCCATTTGTAAGAAATAAAATATAATGCTTATTGAAGTCTGTATTTTACGTTAATGAAACATTTATTCATTTTTCTCTGTGTCTTTATGGATTTTTACAAGTTTTATCATGTATTCAGTTGATTGTCCTTCAATGTACTTTTGCTGAAGAAACTGAAACATAACATTTCCACTTATTATATAAATTCCCATTTCACTTGAACTGATTCAGTTCCACATGAGAATTAACACAATACAAAACGTTAACAAAATCATCAATATTGATGTCTATATCACCATAAATTGTGTCTTAGTTATCACACAAATGTTGAATATCAACTTGGTTGTTTTCTTTTTATTTTATGAAACACTGCACACCATTAAAATATGTCTGAAATAATTCTGCCCGTTTGACTTTTGTCAACATTTACATTTAAATATACTAGTTTGTCAGGGATACTTTTCAAATGTTGACAAATCATAACTTCTGTTTTCACAAATATCATATTCAGGATTTTGAAACATTTCCTTCTTCATATAATTTATATACCAACTGAAATAGAAAGAATTAACATTACAGGTAATAAATGACTGCTGTACATTCAAATGAAGCCGTTTAATTAAGGAAACAGAATCGAAATAAAGGTTCTGCTGACATTTGTTTTATTATATTATCTGCAGAGATTGCCTAATGTTGCAAAATTTCTTATTCATCATATATTTTATAAATACTGACTGGAATCGAACCTTTTTCTTCCTCATGTCGGAGACAAAGCTCAATAAAGTGATAACATTTTTGATATTGATTAAATATTTGATTCCATAGAATAATTTTATTCATTTTCAAAAATATATAATTTTGCATAAAATTTTACTTACACTCTTAAATTTGATGGCTAAATTCTCGACAAATTGTTCTGAAGATTTTCCTTGAGGAACGAGAGAACCTAAAGCTCTACCAGGTTTTTCACGACCATACTTTTCTTCTAAACCACGAGGTATATAATCAGTATTCACACCAACCTTCACAATAAAAGATAATTAATTTAGATTTCATTATTTTTTTTTTTAAAGTTATTATAAAAATCATGATACATATATATACAGTAACACCACATTCTACATATCTCATGTTCTGTTCATGATCTGCTCATCCTCCGAATATCAGTAGAGGATAATTTGTTCCATTATCTAATTATATGGACAAAAACATTTTAATTGGAAAACAAAGTATAGGTTAAACAGATCAAAAAAAATTTCAGTGTTTTTTTTTTTTTTATTTTTCTATATAAAAGCAGAAAACTACAGAGGATCAGGCACAGATTTCTGTGGTGTTAATATTTCATTAAAATATAGAAAACTATTTACCAATCTATTCATAGGTACATCTGTAACTAGTTCATCTTCTCTGCGACCATCACAGATTCTCATATAAAGAGATGCACCTTCTAATAACTTTATCTACAAAATACCAAATACAATATTCAATATACACACATAATGCCTGTTGTTACCTGAATTAACTTGACAATAGATAAAGGTAGATAGACACTTTTGTAAACATATCCAACAGATCTTTAGCTTTGAAGTTGGTGCACAGTGGCACACTGGTCTTAATATTAAATAAGAAAAAAAAGTAACTGAAAATTACTAAAACAAACAGACTCCACAGCAACCAAACATTGCTATTAAGTTTTGTCCTTTGAGCTTGGGGAATTAAAAAAAAAAATTATGTTTGAAGACAAAATTTTAGTAAGACATGAGAAAAGATAATTACATTTTTACTTCTAATATTTCTCTCCATCCATTCTTTACTTGGTTCTCTAGCTAGTTGTTTTAAGAACTGTTGATTAGGTGAACCTTGAAATAATGGTAGTTGAAAAGCTGATGTATAGGCATAATTCTCTTTAAATATCTGCACTACTGTCCAAGCCTGAAATTAAAAACATTTTAGACAAAAAGAATACTGAAGGTCATAGAGGGAAATCTGAAAAACTTCAGGCCACAACAATTTAGCAGTACCCCAAAATTGGGCAGAGGACTTAATGTTATTTAATCATTTATCTGAAGCAATTTACTTAGAGCCTGTTGAAAAGTGAAATAAATGCTTGAAAATGATAAAGTTTTGAAACCCCAAGTAATAAGTGGGCTTTTCCAATTGCTCTTTTTCACAGAACTAGAAATTATAAATGTGTATACATACCTGTTCTAAGAGACCATATTTATAATTTTCTTTGGAGGCAGACACAAATATTTCTTGTAAATGTATCACTGCTGTCAAGAAACGATGATAGGATCGACGGGGATAATGCTGAAATTTGAATATAATTAAAGATGATGGTTTTAATTCTACATACACTATTTTTTTCTTAATATTTAGAAGTGAAGCATTATCAATTACCATGTTGAATTAATTTTATAAGACGCACATTTTGATGGGATTATCTGTAATACTAAAGGGGTTAATTTTGTTCTATGAAAGGTGCTCTGTTTAATATATTGAAGTGGTTAAACAAATGGGTGACAACGAGCAATAGGCTAAGTAGGTATTTTGCAAGATTCTATTTTCTTAGACTAACAGACAGTTCCTACCACCATCAATTGCTGAAAGTAGGGTATTATCGTCTAGTCATCTTGTGCACAGATTAGTCCAATTAAATAGAATAATGTTGACGTAAAACGGTGCCCATATGAAACACTTACCAAAAATGGTAATTGCCTCACCCCCATATAGGTGATGCATCTATACAAGAAAGAGCGGAGTTAAATTTCTCTTCACACATCATGTGGGCTTCCTAGTGAGACATACCGTTAGCCACCGTTAGCTTACAGGCTGGGATACCGACATCATGTGGGGTTCTTAGAAGAAATAGAGACAACATGCAGTGTTCCTAGAGGGACATACCTTTAGTCGCCTTGGCTTAGGGACCTAAGGAAGATCACCATGTAGACTTAAAAAGAAGAGTGTACCGGCGCAAGACACAAGCTAGGGGAGGGAATTTATATTTAGCTTATATTTAATGGCATAGCTGTGTGTGTAGTTCCCTGTATATAACCGTTGTATTATGGATGTTATAAAGAACCAACAAAGTTTTCCAGAGTTAATTGATCATATACACAACATATATATTTAAAAACACCGTAGTGTCACATATCCAGCTAGTCCTAAGGAAGCACCCTATTGAAATTTAGATAAGTAACCCTGTTTTTTTTTAGATTTTTTAAAAACTTGTTGGGATTATTGAATGAATATTGAACTTCAGAGATGTACATCATTTTCACAGTTGTTGCACTAACCACCAAATCTGTTATTTAAGCACCCAAACATCAATAATTCACAAATTCACAACTTTTGAGTGAACCCACCTTAAAACCATCTCTCCAAGCTGGTGAAGTATTTGTACTTCTTAAATCAACAGCTTCCGTAAATACTAATTTATCATAAGTGGCATGTGGTGCTCCCTTGAGAAGAAATCAAATACATGTTATAACATATAGGAAATCAGTGTGTATCATGCTAAATAAATACACTAATACAGAAATTAATATCTTATTCAAAAGATATACGGCATCAACACACAGTTTGACAATCAAAGGCATTTATATCAGCCAATGATTAGCCGATTTGATTTGCATTCAATCAAATTTTCATTTTAACGACCATCTAACTCCAACTGATTACCTTAATCAAAAAATTTATTGACACCTATTTCCAAAGTGATTACCACAAATCACTAAATCAGCTCTAGGTGCAATCTGATGATTTGATTAGGTGATCAAGTTTGTTTTTTTCAACTATGTCCAGCCACAAGGTGCATTTAACGAACTCGTCAAGTACTTTGAAATCAACTATACTGTCATATGACATCTCCACTAAATTCAAATTGATTTGGCTTTGGCAAGTCGATAAAAAAAGCCTATAATATGCAACCATCTTGATTATTCATATATACTGTACATATATACACAAAAAGTGTAAAATATAACTTACCAGATAAAAGGCTCCTGGTGGATTAATACAGATATGTCCATGTGTGAAGTTAGACCAGGGTACATTAACAGCACTATCAATAGATATCTACAAACAAAAACATTATAATTAATAACTGTAAAATCTGATTGTAATGTCCACTTCCATCATTAAGTAACAATTCAGACAAAAAAGTGAAAAATTACAAGATGGCTATTTTCACCGGGGAGTAAAAAGGTCGTATCTGGCATATTTTAAAACAATTAACCTTTTGCTACTTCAGAATCAGTATTTTGCACATCTTTTCATCTAGTTATTGCATTTCTAAGTCAATAAAAATAGGTTTAATAGATATTGTGTCTATATTCTTTGTATGAAATATAAATATTAAGCATACCCAGAATGAAGCCCAACTTGTTTTATGATCAGTTACTTATTGGTTAGAATTACTGATAAGCATGTACTGCGTCATATCTATGAAATTCAAGCTGTGTAAAGCTATAAGTTATCAACTTTAAGCCCATTATAGTCCAATATGTAAAGATGGCAAAAATTTGTGTACGACATTTTAATTCCAGGGTTTGGTACCATGTCATATCTGTTAGCTGTGTACCCTTTTCTGCTCCATAGTAAAATCATACGTACTGTTTCCAAATTTTTATTAATAGAAAAAATCATTTATCTGCGATGTTATTATATTTTAAGTATATAAAGAAACAAACCTTGAAACCATGTTTAGGATTATACTGACATATAAAGTTAAGATCTTGTTCTAATGGTTTAGAATCTACAGTTTTGGTCAGTTGGTTCTGTAAAATTTAAAAAGGTACATTATTGATTCCTATATCTGACCACTAATTATAAATATTTTCAAAAAAAATTACCAGGTATATACTAATCTGGGTTCCAATAATTTACAAGGTGTGGTATGTTCTCTAGTTTTATGCATGTCTTTCTACTTAAAAATGAATTAAATAAATAGACAGAATTATATTTAAGACAATAATATACCTTTATATATTGTTCCATATTCTTATCACTTCTCATAAAACCTTCTTTAGCTTGAGCATGTGTAGCTACAGCATCACGAGTTGGTATTTTAGGTCGTTTCATCATGCCATGTAACATCTTATTCTCTCCTTTTAATGGTACACATTTCATGGAATAATAAACTCTATCAGAATATTTTGGCCGTGGTTGCCACAAACCCAATCTAAGCCAATCACTTTGAGGTACTTTATTTGACTGTAATTAAATAAGGTGTTTCACATAAAATTATAATTAATGACATTGAGCACAAAAACTATACAGTGCTTAACCACAATATCTGTAAGTCTTAGAAACAAATCCCTTTCTCTTTGAATAAGATACTTTATCCCCATATTGATAACGTCAGATGCAAAGTAAATCAAATTTCATTTTCCCACAAAACAAAAGAGTAATGCTTTGTCACAGACTAAGATTGTGACTTTTCAACCATAAAATGATGATGGATAATCGAAAAAGTTTGCCCAAATATTAGTATAATTTATACCTCTAATGGTTTTCCATTTGGTCCTTTAGGAACTTTAACAATTCTGACCAGTACTGATGCACAAGGTATGAGTCTAATATTAGCATTTCGTAAAGATCCTTCACTTAATGGATCAACCCCATTAGGTCCTTGACTATATAATCGTAACTGATGGGCGCCTGTATTTAATGATATCTGAAATATAAACATAGTACATCAAATTAAAGTTTTAATAATGAAAAATGTGAGAGAATCCCCTCATTGCTCAATACAGTTTGCACTATGCAGAGACAAACCTTTACCAATTTACATATCGACAATCTGTAAACACAGCTGACAAGATTAAAGGTCATATAAAAATCATATTCTGGTCCTCAGATATTCTCAAGAAGAGCTGCATTACCTGTTTTCATTTCAAAAAATAAAAACGATCTCATTAATTACCGCATGTAAATGTTTTCCCTGGGTTACAGAAAGTAACTCTACAATATGACAAGTTAAATGTAGTGCCTTTAAACGCATTAGAATTTTAGGAAGGATTGCCACCATTACACTTTTATCAAAACCTGTATTTTTTTCTCTTCCACAGATTACAAAATTCACAATCAAAAATTGAGAGACTTCATCTCCATTACCTCCATAGCATTTTTATCAACATTTGGCTGTCTTTCTGTTCCCGTTTCAACAAATATATTCATTGTAGCATAACCAACCACAGTTAACTTCTTGTAAAAACTATCAACAGTATAAATCTGTAACAAACACATTGAAACATGGGTAATTTGTTAATTTTATATTCTATGGTGAACCATAAAAATGAGAATTTTGCCATGGCTGTGACATATCAAATTACTATAAATGACTGTTAATGTCAAGCCAAGTACCTTTAATCTGACATGTCTATACCTGTATCATTCAAATAATAAGGAACTTTTTTTTCTCAATACATCACTTTAGGGAATGTGGTACACACACAGCCCTCTCCACTCACCCTCCTATCACCACACTTTCCTGTTCCATAAGTTTTTCGCCACAAGATAGAACACATAATAAACTATTTAACACATACATATGGATGAATAACTACTAATATTTTTTGATGACATTTCGAAGAGTATTCTCTCAAAGTTTTCAATTCATATGTATGTGTTATAGTTTATTTCTCTATCCAGTTAACAAATGTGTCTAAAGGATTACAGAAAATGCACCAACCTTAAGTAGAAGAGTACTTGATGGTGGTATATTTGGTTCTCTAAATTCTTCTTTATGTTCATATATAGGATTATATATATCACTGTCTAGTTTTACACTAGTTAATATATCTTTACCATATACTTCATACTTTCTATCTAATACACGACCAGCAACCTGAATTATCAAATTAAAATATTCCAATTATCTAATTACACTTTTGTTTGATAATTGATGGATATTGAACCATTGCTATCTTAAAAGTTATGCTGGGGTAATTTACTGTAAAATTATTTTCAAACAACAAACATAAACGTTTACATGTGCTTGTCCATAGCCCGATACAAACCAAAAGTAAGTTTTGGCAAATTTATAAATAAGTTTTCTGTCATAAGTATTTACAAGGTTTCTGAGTCAGAATTAATATTTTATAAAAATTACCATTGTAAAAAAGTATTATGAATCAGCATTCAGCAAGCACCACAGCACATATGCCCACATATGACCATAAATGGCTACAGAATTTCTTTTTTATCAAGGGCAATAATACCAAAAAATAAATAAATCTTGTTCAAATTCAAACAAGTTACCTCACTAAGGTCCTGTTGACCCATTGCTTTTACTGAGCAACTCATTTTGAACAAATCAGAATAAACAATGCCCATGCAAAATACACCTATCAAATTTGGTTGGAACCAAAGAGTGGTTTAGGAGAAATTGTTAAAAAAGTCCACAATTGGCAACACCTAAGCAACATCCCTTAAACAAATGTGAATAAAATCCTCCAGGAAGTTTTTGAGAAGTGGTAAAATTGATAAACCTACCTTAGTAAATGTAACAGAATCAGGTAAAAATCTACAACCATCAATATAAACATCAAAACCATCACCTGATATATAAGGTTCACTGGGTGGTCGTTTTCTATCTAAAGGTAACCATGCAAACTAAAATAAACACAGATTTGGAGATTATGGATCAATATAAAATGCTAGATGATATACAGGTTTTAATGTATCACAGAATAGTAATTAATTAATGGACATCTTTTTATAATTAAAATCACTTAATACAAAGAAAGCGATTTATGATTCTTCGTGAAAGACATAATAACATGAAATTTTCATGAACACTTCTTACCTCAGGTATGGTGTCCTCTCCATCACTAGATAGTTCACTAGGTGTTAATGAACCAGGTCTGGCCACACCCTGGAATATATGTATACGTAATGTTGATTTTCCATATGGCTTCCACTCTCTATTGTATGCCACATCTTCAAATGGTATGCGTGATGCCTCAGGTGTTGGAGGTTGAAATAGTTTTAACGTGTGAGTTCCAGTATTAATTCTCATGTGGGACGGATCATATTCCATCCGACTTCTGGCAGTTAAATCTGGATGGAAAGAGAATAAAACAGCATTGATATAACTTTATTGAACATGATAAATATATATAAATTGTATATCTAAAGATTCATATCCACCTTTCTTATAACTGTGTTATATTATACATATAGGTCATTTTGAGAATTCTACTTCATTAGCTTGGTTGGAGCAGGATAGACTAAGACTTCTTTATTATTAATAATGGGGGGTGGGGAATGGGTTTTGCTCTATATTCGAATTTATATTCCTATATTTACAATCAATATTTTCTTTTTTCAGAATACTCAGATTTTTTGTATTGGACTCCAGTCTGGTATTTTATATTTACAAAGTGAAAAATGAGGGGTGGAATTTCAAATTCAACCTGAAATAAAACTGACCTGGAATTAATTGAAAAAGATTGGTTTCAGTCAATGTTTTACAGCTATAAAAGATATAATGTAGGAAATGAATTACCTCTTAAATGCGTCTGAACTAATGGTAAAGCTGTCCAAGCTACTAAAGTTTCATCTTCGTATGGTGATGCTTCAGGATTATCAAAATGTACATCTTCAGGTCCTGGAGTTTTCTTCTTTAAATAAAATCTAGCAATGAGCATCATATCACCTTGCAGTTGTACATCTGAGAATGATGCTTCTTGTTGTCCGAATACATGATAACCTTGTTTAAAGTTTGATCTAACAGCTGTAGTACTACATGTTACAGGTCCTATGCCTGATTGTGCAACCTGGAAAAATATGTATTAGTCAAACATGTTCAGATTTTATAAACTATTTTTGCTGACGTCTCGTTTCAGAAATTACAATTATCATAGCATATTCTTCGTGTAATTATAATTTACTGGAACCACTACTTCACTCTTACTAGAAAGTGAAGGTTCTCAATGTTTTCTTTTAAAACTAGTGTGATTGATCAAAATCATTTGCTGATGCTTATTATAATATCAGGCACATATATTTGGACTTATCAAAACCATGACATACCTTTCCAGTAGAAGAATAATAAACGCTTAATCTAACTTTTCCTTCTCCTGGTTCAGCATTTTTAACTCTATCGACTTGAAACCCTACCAGTGGCTCCATGTTCGGATTGCCCCTCACGGGATAGTTGTCTAGGCGACTAAGAAGAAAATAATAAAGAAAAATTGATTTACACATCTCACATCAATATGTAAAGTTTAGTCCAACTTCCAGTCTGTGTCAATTACTAGTTATCTCATCAATGTATTAATTATAATTTGATCGGGTTTATTTGATCTAATTTTTCCATAGACTTGGGGAAGAAGAAATCAGACCTTGATTATTAATTTCCCACCTCCTCTAATTCTAGTATATGTACATGTTGAAAATGTAAAATATCAAAGAAAGTTAACCAAAGGGGTAAAAAAAGAATTCAAAATTCATGAACTTTCTAAGTAGTATCAAATGTTTTGAAAGATTGATCATGTTACAGAGGTGGAAGATCTAAATATCTGTCTAATAAAATAAAAGTAGAATATGTAATTGTACCTGTGATATGGCGAATGTGGAGGACTAGTTGAAGGAGGAGGTGGGATCATTACAGGTGATATAGTTGTCTGGTGTAATACTATTCCTCCCTGTAATTCAGTTGATACAAATGTTTCATACATATGTTTGAAAATATACAAATTTAGCCTACCTCGGATGTCACGTTGCCAATTTTAGAGTGATTACATGTGACATAAATAATACATTTTTCAAACAGAAAGATTATCTTCAATCAAATTACTAGTGAATATTATGAGTAAGTTACCTGTGGTGCTAACTGATAAGTAACACTATTAGTATCAGCTATAGTAGATGTAGCATGTATACCAGCTTCATTCATGTGCACAATACGATAATATATTTCAGATTCTCCGTACTGTCAAAAATAAATTATCGCTAGTATTACAAGTTAAAAAAACAAATTGTGTTTTTATCATGCTCAATCACTTAATGCCACTCAAGGATTTTATTATAAGTTAAAATCAATCAGAAGTATATTAATCCTGGGTACATATAAGTATGGATTGAATATTTATATATTTTGTTGGGGGTTTTTTTTAATCATAATCTAAAAATGTTGAATAACCAATTTGAGCATATTTTAGGGTTGATAGTGACATAATTATATACTGTCCGAAAAATTCAATTATACAAGACAAACCTACGGACAGGGCACAATATACACAGACATCTCAAACAACAAATGTACATATCAGATTAAGTGAATAGAACCAGTACTAGCCATAAGCCTCCACTGTGCTGCAAAGGACTTTGTATTGTTTTACATACCTGTGGAATCTGAGACAGATCATTACTGGAAACAAATGGTTTAATTGGCACCATTCTCAAAGGTAACTTAAATCTTCCTGCCAACAGCATATTATTATCATCAAATAGTGGTATTTTAGTCCAGGCTCGTGTTATAAGACGAGTTTCATCATGTTCTGACCCTGGTCCACCAGCACATTGTAACTCTACTACAATACCTAGATCGGGCTGAGGTGGACATCTGCAAATAATAAATATAAATATACAGAAAGTATCAAATAATAACTAGTAAAATGAACCATTGCAAAACTTTAATCTTGCTTGCAATCTAAGAATGGAATGGGGTTTAACAATCCTCAAAAACAATACTTTGGTCCTCCTGTGCAATGAGGAGGAGGGGAAATTGCCCAGAGATTGGCATTTCACCCTTCCCTTCTTCAATTCCAGTTGTCAGTGTTTCTTTCACATTCATGTTCTTCACTGGCATTGCCCTGATTTGCAAACTTCTCCTGTAGAAGGAGCCATGTTGGTTCAGTGAGTAAGGTGCTAGATCACTAACCTGGTGTTAGTTCCCTGAGATTTTTTAGCATGGTTTTCTCTTGTCAGTGTTGTAGGAGAGACTGGCAAGGAACAACATCTAATCATTTGGATTGGATGAAAAACTCAGGTTCAGTGTACATGTTGGCATGCACATACAAGAACCCTTGACAGTTCGAATTCAATTGCTGTCAGGGTAAAATTTGACTCGTAGCACACTGTAGCATGGTGGAGAAAAGTAGGATGTTTTAAAACCTATTCATTCATTCATTCATTTATTCATTCTACTGTAGAAAGAAAATCTCACCTTGGAACAGGTTGTCTTGCACCAATCAGTGCACTGTTGGTATTGTAAGCTTGAGGCCGGGTTGATGGTTCAGCATAAACCATTGGTAGTACAGATGGATCACCCATTTTGGAAATAGTGTTATGTAAACCAGCAATAAGTCGAACAGCTGTTACTCGAGGATCAAGATTTAGCACAAAATCATAGAAAATAACAAACCCAGCACTGAAATTAAGTTAAAGCAGCATTATATTCAGACTTAAAATTGATCAAATATTTCTTTAAAATTCAAATTATTATTCACTTTTTATTTAAATATTACCAAATTATTTCTCAAATGAATAAATATTCTTAAAATGTTCAAAGAATTTAACTCACCAAAGTCGAAATCATAAGACAGAACTTTTCAACAAAATAGACAAGTTTACTGTAGATGTGTGGAGATGAGTTTTACAGCCAGTATTATGGAAATTATCAAAATAAATCAGTCAATAGAACAAATGATCGGATGGAATTAAGAATTATCATTTTACATGAAGCTCAAGGCATCATTCAGTAAAGTGGAAGAAATGGTGATTTGTCTAAGGTCAAGTATAATAATGGGGTAAAAATAGTGTGTCTTATACTGAATATACGCTATACATGACATATTTATCAAAAAAAAAAGTTCAATATTTTCCAGAATTCTTTTATTTACTAAATATAATTTTAAGACAATATAAACAACATAGACAGTATACATACAAATCATTTCAAAAGTCTGTCAAAATTTATATTATAATTATATTTCAGAATATTTGAAAGAACATGTTTTGAAATTTAAAAATAATGCTTGCTTTAAGAACTTTTATCTTTGGAAAAGTTCCTAGTATGTATTTAATAAACAACAGATGAACAGAAACCTTAACTTCAATAAATTCATTTCACTGCCGGATTTTCTCTAAACCTATTTATTACAATGGAAATTGAATGTAATACTTTAAATACAAGATAATTCTATACAATGTTTATATAATTTTAGAGAAAGATCATGTGTATTCAAAATGAAAGAAAAGTGTTCATTTCATAATTTATTATAAAGACATCTTAAAAATGTACATTTGAACAGAACAGAAAAGAATATATATAAAGTAATCATTAAAATAACCTATTTTAATACCCAATAACGACCACCCACTAATTTGTTGCATATAATATATCAAAGTTTATTTTCCATTTCTTCATTTAGCACCATTAATTTCTTTTTTCAAATGTTGTAATGTACAGACATTTGCAGAGTGATGTAGCTTCAGTCAAATCTCTTTTTGAGTAATTTTAATCTCATACTGAGTAATTTTAATCTCATTTTGAGTAATTTCAATCTCCATATTTCACAGGAAAAGTTCTTAAAATTCAGCGATGATCAAAAGTAACACCCTCATCGACTCCAGGTATAGGTTCATTCCATATAGAATTATCATTATAGTAATTATAACCATTTATTGGACGTGGTCTAAATTGAGTGGGTGGACGATAGTAAGGTGCTCCTCCCCCTCCCATAGGCATCCCTCCCCCTCCCATAGGCATCCCTCCCCCTCCCATAGGCATCCCTCCCCCTCTTCCCATTCCTATAGGTCTACCCCTCCCTATCCCACTAACATTTAATGGTGGTCCTCCATCTATAGGTTCCCCATTTGGACCAAAACGTCTTTCTATTCTATAGGCTTCTGTTGGTTCTTTGCCTTCTTCTACAAGTTGAGGAGGGATATATTCTTCTACATACCAACTATACCCTCCTCCACCCCTGCCCGCCGCCCCTCCCCTCCCTCCTGCTGGGGGGAGCCTGAAATAATAATAAGATAAATTACTTATAAAAAAAGGTATTTTGTATTCTATTTAAATTATCTTAATTAATTTATGTTACTTTTCAATCTATTGACACATTTATTTTTATATGAACACATCAAAAATTAGTTATCTTAACCATTAGTTTTAACAGAAAAATGAAATTATAGTTCCTTACAAAAATTATAAATCCTTTACAAAAACTATAAATTATAAATCCTTTACAAAAACTATAAATTATAAATCCTTTACAAAAATCAGAAATCTTTGGAATTAATCAATATTTTCTTGAAGACCAATAAATGTGTTAATGTTAATAGCTCATTATTTATGCAATCTCTTCATAAAAGATTTTAATGATTAGTATATTTGTAATGTCTACCATCTACAACTTATTAGTTTTATATTATTTAAATTAAACAATAACCAAGATTAATTTGTCAGAATAAATTAGAAAAAAAAAATATGTATAAGTATTCTACAGTTATACAGAAATAATACAAAATATTTGGCTGTAAGCATAATAATCTTTTTGTCAAATACTAACAATACCATGCCAAAACTTGGGAAAACTTTTAATTATACTAACAGTTTCAAATAATTTTCCACTACTAGACATAATAGTATGAGATGGGGAAATTAGGACATGTACCATTTGCATGTCTCAAATGATAGTCAAGCCTTGGCCAATCAGGGGCCAAACATGTGGAAACCTTTTTGGTTGAGATTGACATAACTTAAAATAGAAACATATCTGTACAGATAAGAGTAATTTAAGCTTGTTACAGTCTGTAAACTTTCTACCTGTGTAGAACAAATGTTTCCAATTGAATGATCTGCTTACGACTCACCAATGATCATAAGATGATATGCCAATGATTTATCAATTGTGTACAGATAACATGGCATCTAGAATACTGTATCTAAATGTAATTTTCATTTCTGTTCAGTTTATTTCAAAAGATCTTTCAGTGAAAATATTAAATCTGTCATGTTATATTGCTGTATTCTTTTATAACTATAAGACTTAACCCAATGTTCTTTATTTAGTAATATGGCAATTAAAACAAAACAGAAAGATTAGATGCCATTTTAAGCTCATTGTTCAAGGATAGAAATCAATTATAAATATGGCGCATGAAATCAATATACAGTAATGTGAATTTTAGAATTGACCGATTCTATTAATATCTGCATTTTAGTCTGAAATATTATGGATTCAATTAATTTGTATACTTTGGAATGGTGTACTGCACAATAAATTTTATGCAAAATTTGAATTTAGACTCAAAGACTTCAACAATTTAACATGATCGTGATTAGATTAATTAGTAAGAAAATAATATCTACTTTTCTAAGATATTCATCATGACCATAATCATCATAATATCTATCATCATAATAGTTATCAGCATAATTGTTATCAGCATAATTGTTATCATCATAGTCTAATACAAACTCTTGAACTTGTATTGGTGGTGGGGGTGGTAATTGTAGAGGTATATAAGGTGGCGGAGGTGGTGTTGGTGGGGGCTTAGGAGGAGGACAAGGACGGCATTGACATCGTCTTGTAATAAAAATGATAGAGATAGAAAGAAACCCATTAGTTAATTAGTTTTATCAACAAAAATCTGGTTAAAATGTTGTAATGCCAATACATAGATTTGTTTTTTAACTTCACGAATCAAGCAGACATATTGATTGGTCCTTAATTTAATGTGTTTTCCCTTGTTTCCATAGTAACCAGACTTTAAATTGATAGAATTGGTAAAAGCCCCTAAACTACAGTTACATGATTATGTATGATATATTTTCTATATTTCAAAAAATTCTAGTTTTTGGTAAATTTTCAACATTACTTTTTCTCAATAATCCTAAATTCTACATCTGAACTGAGTGGGATCCATAACAATCGTTATAGCTGTAGTTTAGGCAATAATGTAAAATGAAAGAAAAATTTGTTATTACATGCACTGTGAAATCAGACTTACGCTACAATCTATATATCGATACGATAGTTCGGATCGTATTCGTTCTCCAGACGGTGATGTGTGCTAACCCAAGAGTGAGCGACTGCTGGCTCTCGGTAACTATGTGGGTCAAAACCACTATGACCGTTACCAGAACAACCCGAGTAACCACCACATTGACAACCAGAATGATTGTTACATTGGCAACCGCTGTTACAGCTGAAACAATACGTAGGTTTTTTATTTACTCTGGTAGGCGTATTTATAGTCTAATCAGTGCAGTCAGTGCATACATGGAATTAGATGCAATTGGTATTTAAATTAGAGACGTACAAAAAATTACTATGTTGGGGTATTTAAGTCCTGATTTCAAGTGCTTGTGCATGTAATACACAAATTTTCATATTATCAATAGTTATATCACACATATACACTGACTGGCACATCACCCATTCATTTTAAATTTATTATAATCTATTTCATTTTCTATATATATATGATCGTTTTTTTTTTTTAAATTTATTTAAATGATAATAATCCACATCAGTTACAGTTTACTATGAGATTTATTCGGATTTTTAAAACAATTTACCAAACGGTTTTTGAAATATTAATATCATAATTTAGAAGCATACCTGGGAGCACATCTGCAATGTTGGCTGTTCGGACAAAAGGAAATGATATTACAGTCATAAAACAACAAGAACTAAAACGATGATGACACAACATGCACACAATTACATAATTATAACCACTAACTATACAAAATAGGCTGTGCAGGTACAGGTAGTACAGAAATGGAGCGGTGACACAACAAGGACAAGGAGATATATTTTGAGTAAGAGTGTACATGTAAGTCAATACATATCTGAAGCTGGGTTTGACAGACTTACAAGACATAAAATCTTATTTAAATAGGGAATGGTAGCCAAAGTCTAGAACTTGGACAACTGAAAAACATGAGATTCTCTGTCAAATTCATTTGTCTTACAACCTTCAAATACTTCAACTAAGATTAGTTAAATTCTGCAGAAATTCACAAATTCACCAATCATTTAATAAGTTTTAATGTATATTTCAAGCATAACTTCAACTGTACATTTATTTGTATGTTTAGGAAGCCTCAACTTATCGATAATAAAAAAATGTTGACGAACTGTCAATAAAATCATCTCCACACAATCTCTAGTTATTTACTTAAACGTTTCTATTTATAAAATGATTAAACAAAACTTACTGTTGATCATAACAATGAGTGTGTCTATCCACTTCAATATACTTCTAGAAAACAAAATAATAATGACATAAAAATCAAATTCAAAAAATGTTTATTTGATGAAGCTGCTGATTAGACAGCAAATATTCCCTGCTTTTACAAAATGTATTAATGTATTATTCAAAATATGTTTTATCTTCATCTAGCATAATGGGGTGATCTGTTCGATCACCTTGATCCACATAAATTATTTCTATCTAAAACTATATCTGTAATGACCAGAAAAAATATAATTGTAGTCTTAAATTGAATAATAAGCCCATTAAACAATTTAATTATTATATGCTGTCAACCACTACAGATGTCATAACTTTTTGTAACTTTTGTCCCAATCCGTTTGTAGTGTATTTATGTTCTGGTACAATAGACTATGTTTAAAACAAAAAGACTGTCAATGCTATTTCAACATGGGCATTACTTGCACATTGAATTGTAAAGACGGCCACATTAATATTTGAGATATTTTCGACTTTTTTATAGCAGTTGCAAAAAGTTAAATGGCTTCAAATCCTTGCTCATTAATGGCCCAACATGAAGACTTATTAATTGTTATAAAACTAAACAAGTTTTTATGCTATTTTGCATTTTAATACAGATGTGATTAATATACAGTATTTACTGTTTGAATAGCTGGTTGTATTGGTGCTGCTGCTATAGGTTGTGGACATGGTGGTTGATGTACAATTATATTTTGTGGTGGATTCTGTTGTTGGCTGTTGAGTTCTAGTTGTATCTTTGTTTCTTGACGTATCGCCTCCATATTCTGTTGTAATTCATACATTTTTAGTAGATGATCTTGCTGTAATCTTCTGATTTCTCGTTCAAGTTCATCTAAATATATTATTACAATATTATGAAAACACTTCTCAACAGCAGGTAACAGGTTTCAATTCACTAGACATCTGAATTTTGTGTTGATACATTTATGCATTGTTTTGTTTTAGTGCTTTGTGATATTAGTTCTCCTGAATCTTCTATTATAATTATCATCAACAAATTCAATTGTGAGTATTGAATTACACTAACGGGCTTAACGTTCTGTAGATGTTCACAGACACACAAATCATGTGAATGGCGTAAAGGGACTTTCATTTTATCCTTGAGATTATGGACTGAAAAATTAATCAGTGTTCTGAAGAGGGCAGAAATCAGTTAATAGTGTTACATGAATAAGCAAGTGGAAAAGGACAAATTTTGCAGTATTTGTAGCATAGACATGGCACTTTATCATTTTAGTAAATGGAGTTATCTCCCCCTGCTCTCCAGAAATTCTAAGCTAATCCCACTGAAATACACATATACATTAATAACACAAACTTTAATTTAAAATTGCCCTAAATGTCCATTTATCTTATTGCATTTTTCTTGTGAATATGAAATCTTTATTTGATTTTGAATGGTTCACACAGTGAGTCAAGAATGATTCATTGTAGGCCAAAGATATGTATGTAAGGTTGATAGTAAGAAATGAATTTAGAGGAGTGCTCTGTTTTCTTAGTTACGTATAAACAATGATACACATTGTGGCAGGAAGACAGCTCAACCTAAGTGAAATGGGGTGGTGACAATGTGATATTTAATGTGAAGGTGTTGAGTGTTTTTTGTTATAAGGCTTTCCAAAGTGTGAATGGATGCCAAAGAATATTTCTTTTCATTTTAAAAGGTCACTGTTAGGTTTGAAGATCTTAAAAATTTGTACTACACCAGTGATTCCCAATCTTTTGTTGGTTGCGACCCCATTCTAGAAACCAGCATCGAAGAACAAAGGCACCTTTTACAAAGATCGTTCATGTGACGTACCAGCCATCTCCCTTCACAACAAGTAACTACTTTAAATTAAAGAGAACCTTAATGTCCAAGGTCCAAGATAATGTGACGTAAAATCTATACGAACGAACGGCAGTCCTCTGGCACATGACCAGAGTGTGAATCAATATCATATGTCATTTTCCCAGTAAATAATCCACATCCTCATATAGATAGATATAGATAAAGTGGTAATCTCCTAAAACTAGTTGAACTTTCCAAATCAAAATGTTGTAATGAGACTGGAGAAACAAATTATGGGTGTGAGAGAGGAAAAATGGTTGGCAATCTGGCAAGAGGTGTATAGATTAGCTTTTTTTAAAAAGTTTGAGAGTAGTCCACCACAACCCCATGAAAATTTGGGAACCCACATACTATACTATTGAATTTAGGTTCTACAACATTATGTTTATATCTCTTTTCAGTAAATTTGGTTGAAAACTCATGTTTGAACCTCATTAAAGTCTGGACCTTATTGGCCTTTTTCTACATATTTGAACTGGTTTCTTTTCATTGTTGACATTCTGATTTCTGCAATGTGATTTTGGGTGGGAGAGGCAAGGGAGAAATAGGGATTAAGGTCCTTGAAGCGCAACTAGGACCATTTCATAGGACTAACATACTTTTGTTTGTTGTTAAATTGAGAAACAAAATGCCTTCTGATACAATATCCTGAACTTGTCCACATCAGACTTCACACCATTAAAATACAAAGGACGGTAATGACGTGCCAAAAGACCCCAATCATTTCATTGCATTTCTCATTAACAGAAATAAAGCACATGGCTCAAACTTAAGTTGATAATCTCCAAGATAAATATATTACAAATGTATATTAAATTTTTAAATGGTATTTGGTAATTTCAATGTATTTAATTTATAATTGAAGTGCATAAAGATTATAAACATAAGCTGAGCCATGTACTTTACTCCTAAAAATTACAAAAGACTTGCTATTAAAACTAACTTTCTTTATTATTCTAATGAAAAATATACATGTTCATTGTATATAACGAGATTCTTTAAGATACTGGAGCATTAAATGATGTACAATGTTGTAGAGGTAAATATTTTATAAGATATTAATATATTCATAGCACTATCTCTACAATAAAGGGCAAGTACAAATTCTCAGCTTATGTTTATATCCTATACACAGTTTATATATACAGTATCAGAACAAGCTTATCTTCACATAATAGATTCATAATTAATAACTAAATCAAGGTCAATATCTTTACATAATTATCACAGTTTTTACACATTCCTAGATGTGTTGATTGCACACAAAGTAACTAATCTATGGAGATGAGTTAATAACTAGTTTCGAGCAATAGAGAATTCACTAAATAAAATAAAAAAGTGTGTTTTCACAAGCTAAAGGAATCTCTAATTTCAACTAAATATTAGTGCTACTATCTGAAAATTGGTGCTATTAGCAATGCTCATTTCTTCATCAACTGAGACCATGTCATCAAATTGATCAGACATGTATTCTTTGAAAACAATGATTCATTTCATTTAAAGTAATGAAAGCTCAATATATCATGCAAATACTAATTGTTATTCAGGCAAAATTGTTATTCAGTCAAGATTACAGTTTGTATTTTTCTTTAATCTCTGTCCATTTACCATAGATATGCAGAGTCTGTCAATCAACACATACCAAGCGATCCTTGTGCTGTCAAGCTGGCATCAAGTCGACAGTGTGTCAGTTTGTGATGACCTTACATTTTTATCCTGTGTGCACCCCCCATGGGTGTTTTTTAAGGAATCCAGCATTTTCTTGTAAGATTGGGTGCCCTAGTTTTATCAGAAATAACTACCGGTAACTGATAAATATTTTCGGTGATATGTATCTTTAATAGATTAGTATTGTTAGTGCGAGTATTATCAACTACAAAAACATATGGAAAGTTAGAACTACCTACAACTGAAGAAGCTTGTTCTGATTTCATGGTGATAATCTCTCTAGATAATGTACAACATCTTTTTAAATATCTGGCAATAATTTTGGCAATAATTTATTAATTAATGCTGTCTATGAGATCTATGAGATTTGCGTGATTTGGGTTCTCTGGCACTTCCTGAGATAGAAGTAGCAGGATTGACAGAATATGCAGTTGTTGGTGCTTTGCTTGGCGAAGGGACAGTTAGGGATGGGGGTTGTATTGTCATCTGAACAGTTGGTTGAACACTGTGAGCAGATGATTGAGCAGCTGTTTGTGGAATAGATGGCTGAACTGTCTGTTGGACAGAAGGTGCTGGCTGTTGCTGAACATATTGGGGCTGTTGCTGAACATATTGGGGCTGCTGCTGTTGAACATATTGGGGCTGTTGTTGAACATATTGGGGTTGCTGCTGAACATATTGGGGCTGTTGCTGAATATATTGGGGTTGCTGCTGGGCATATTGAGGATAATACTGCTGAACATCTGGGTAATAATCTGACACATATGATTGGTTACCATAACAAATATGACAATTGCCTGAATCTAAAATGTCAATATTGCTATTGCTATTGTTTTGTGAATTTCCCGTTTCAAGAACAATATGATCAGTTGCGCGAGAGGGGGCAGGATGACTGCACCGAGATGGATAATTTATAACTGTTATAGGTGGAACTGAAAAAAAGAAGTAGAATAATTCAAGCTTTAGTAAAGTAAATATTCTTTCTCCTTACAAAGAAAAAGAATAGTTTAAAGAGTGATCCTATTGGCGTTTGTTAGTAGTAAAAACACATGCACAAGAAATAACTACATTTAAATTACTAGAAATAGGAAATGTGTGCAATCTAACACAAGTTTGGAGAAAATCAAATAAATCAGTGTGTTTAAATCAGTTTGTAATAATTTGCCACAGATCTCTGATGTATTTTTAACTAAACCATGACCAGAATAAAGCTGCTTAAATCTAATGTACACATGTACCAGACAGTAAAATAAATAAACAATAATATGTCAACAATTACTCTGAAAAAGATACTGCTTTTTTGCCATCGTTCTTTGTTCGACTTACAAAATTATCTTTAAATCTGTAAGTGTCTTTAGGAGCATTTTGTGCAGCCTTTTGAGCATTAGAAGTTTGTTTAGCAGCTTTTTCAGCTTCAGCTTGCGCTTGTTTGGCTCTTTTCTCAGCTTCAGCCTTAGCATTTTTGCCAGCTTTATCTGCTTCTGCCTTAGCTTGTTTTGCTCTTTTTTCAGCTTCAGCTTGGGCTTGCTGAGCTTGCTTAGCTTTCTGATCAGCCTCAGCTTGAGCATTTTGTTTTGCATTGTTTGTAATATTTTTTTGTTTCTTGGCTTCTGCTTCTGCCTTTTTCCTGGCATCTTCAGATGCTTTGGCTTGCTTTCGAGCCTCAGCTTCTGCCTTTTTCTTTGCATCTTCAGCAGTTTTGGCTTGCTTTTTAGCCTCAGCTTCAGCCTTTTTCCTAGCATCCAAAGCTGCCTTTTCCCGCTTTTCAGCCTCAGCTTTGGCTTTTTTACGTATATTTTCATTTTCAATAGAAGGTTTATTGTCCTTCTCATTTGTATCTTTGTCAGAGGATTGTTCAGACTTATTATTGTTAGGGTATTCCTTTTCCGGATTAAGAGGTTTATAACCTTTGTGATCTTTATGCATGGTCTCAAATTCTACTGGGGGCCAACCTGTCTCTGCATAGTAGTTATAGGGATCTGAAGGATCTGTTGGAGGTTTTGGATAAGAGTGAATGACACCACGAGTGGGTTCCTCTGCTTCAGTGTCTAGATAAGAAGAAGGGCTAGATTGCCCAATAGTAACAGGACGATCAGAGTAATTTTCCTCAGGAATGGGACTGGGTTTAGGTTTAGATCTATATGTAGACAACTGATCATGTTTGCCAGTAGGTTTGGGTCTTGAAGTGGTGGGTTTATCTCCATTATGTGCATTTATGGTAGAAGGCAGAGATCTGTAAGTATCAGGATGAGGAGGGATGGTGTTAGACCTCGTTGCAGGTTGGATATAAATTGGAGTGGATGCATCCATGGGAACATCTTCACCCCTGGGAGAATCTATCAAGTAGGGTGTAGTAGTATTAACTGGACTTTTATATGATTCAGGATTAACATAGGAATCATTTAGTAATGGCTGTGGTTGAATAATTGTGACTTGAGATGGCATGGGTCTAGCTGAGTTAGTGTATGGATAATACTGATACAGAGGATCCTGTACTTTTTGTGGTGCAGGTTTACGAGCAGCAGGACGCTGAACTGTATCGGGAATAGGATCATATATAATATCAGAATCAAAATTTTGTGGGGGCTCTTCTGGGTAAGTTTTCATATTAGAAGGATGATTATTCAGATCAGCAACAGAAGTTGGCTCTAAGGTTTTACCATTTTTTTTCATTGCAGATTTTAAGGGAGCATGTTCAGAGTTATTTGGCTCGACAATGGCTGTTCGAACTGAATCTTTTGTTTCTGGACGATTTTTGTCATTCTTTTTTGATGAACGAAATGAGAAAAGACCTTTTTTTGGTTTTTCTTCTTTTTCTTTTGGTTCATTATTTTTAGGTTTTTGAGAATCATCTTCTACATGCTGATCTGAATAAAGTTTAAGTTTTGGGACAGTTGGGTGGGTTGCCTTATATTCATATTGATCATTATTTTCATAACTATCTCGAAGTCCTTCATCATAGTGTGATAAAGATGTAGATGCCATATATGATCTAGCGATGTTTGGATCTTCTTCTCTGGCAATATTGTTTTCATCAGGAGGACCTAACACAATATCTAGAGGATAAGGTTTTCTTTTATGTGGCTCGGTTCTGCCAATGACACCACGCTGCAGACCTAAAGAAGTTAATGGACGATTTAAACGAGATGAAGATAAAGGACTTGTGCCAATATCTACTAAACCTCTATTTTGAATGTCAATCGAATCACGAATTGACGGGTTGAGGCCATACCTAGAGGTTAAAGTATGGCCTCCTTCCGCTAAAAAAGACGACCCGTAAAGTCCTAAATTGCTACTGGGTCGATAAAGTGATCTGTAACCCAACCCTGTACCGGGTCTGCCAAATCCTGATGCCCGTCCTGTTAAGCTATTCAACAGAACAGCATCTGTGTCAATATTGCCATCTGTCTTTCCCAACAAAGAACTATAAAGTGGTTGGTAACCCAATGAACTGTACAGTAATGGATTATTTTTGGAATCAGATGGATTAAGTAAAGAGCTATAAACAGAACTGTGACCCAAAGTACCACACAGCGGATTAGATAAACCTAGTCGAGAGCCCATCGTTCCACCGAGACCAAAGCGTATTGGCGGCAGCCTACCTTCTCTGTCATCTTTGCGCCTACCCTTTGCCATCAGATTTTGTTCTTGCAGCAAGTAAAGTTCTCTATTTAATCTTTCATTTTCCATATCTAATGTCATGATGTGTGCAGAAAAATCTGTTTTCTTTTCTGTAAAATAAAAGAAAGACAAATAATTTTTTCATGGTCAAAGATATAGTGATCTAAAATGGAAATCGGATGTAAATATATGTAGTAGGACAAGATATTGAATGCAGTGATTTATTAAGAAACAAAGTCTGATTAACATAAAGGGGGGCTAATAGCGACCTTATAACTGAGAGTGAATGCCATTTCGGCGGCTGGGAGCAACAGAATGCAACTGGAAAAGGTCAATCTTACAACTCAAAGCAACTAGTGTTGTATAGCCATATATTAGTTCTAAGCATGTATTATTGTGGTCTGTATCCTGCTACTAAGGATACATGATTTATCTCCCTTACATATTGCCTGTTGTAAGACTTGATAACTTGTATGTTTTTTGGGAGTGAGCTCCCCTGGGAGAAGGTGAATAAACATGTGCCTATGAAAGAAGTCTTTTGTTTCTATGAATGTCTTCCAATGAAAATATCTGAATACGTGTGGGTTTGACCATTCACAACATGGTGGAGATGCCAAAAAGTTCCCCAATATAAGTATTTGACGCTGATTTTTATTGGATGGCTGATTTTCACTCCGATTTTCATGGATTGAATTGAGATTAATTGTGTTCCATTAGGTACCAGTGATTTCTGTGTGAGAAATGTCAGACTTTCAAACTACTAATTAGTGGTTGAGACTAATTCGAAGATCAACTTGAAAACTTAGTAACTACAATAGTTTACTCTAGCTAACATTAGCTGATTGGATTTTATTATTACTTGTGATTTGTCGCAGCATTATTCTTAGTATCGTATGCCTACTATAGCCACCATAGATAGGTCTAACCTACAGTACTTCAGTAGAGTGGGGTAACATTTTAAATGTAGTGCAGTGGCCTTTTATTTCAACTTGTGTTGATCTCCTGTATACAGCAACTCGATCATAACCATTAATACAGATAAACTGATTGAGTGATTAGCTAAGTTTTTCAACATTGCTTGTAACTGAATTGTTTAACTTTGACAGTCCTCCATTGGATATGTGTTTGACCGTTTTAAGCAGTGTGTAAAGGACTTGTGGAAGCCGTCCATTTCAAAGAACAGTTCCAATTGTTTTTTTACCAGCCAGGACATTCATTGCAATTTCACTGTAACCTACATGTGATTACAGACTTTAAAATTTGTTCTTTTGTAAATTCTAGCTAAATAACAAATATTATATATATAATAGACAGTTTTGTATTGTTTTCATTTGAACTATTAATTGGGTTCCTCGATTTCTTTCATCTATGACATTTACAAACCTAATAATTAGTAATATTGTCAGATAATTTTTATATCAAGTGTAACACTTTTGATAGGTCAATTTTTTTTGGATTTTCATTCTAGTAATTCCATTTTTGTGAAACTGTTAAAGTTTCTAAATATATATACATGTAATTGGTAAATACTGTTACTATTACTATTTAAATCACATGATTAATCATTTTTTTGCCTTTCAGCTCCCTACCATCCTTTTGACGTTGATCAATTTACGTAAACTTTAGTTAGTTATTCATTATGGAGAAAATGATCGATCGATTCGATGGCAATATTATTGATAGGGACAATGCTAGGGCCCACACGTTAAGCTTTGAGGACTATCTATATCAAACGGACATATCGCCCGAGGATGGAGATTTGGAACATGTAGTTCGCCTTTTTAAACAGTCACTGAAGGGTTCTGCTCGGTTATGGGTTGAAAACCGCGATTTCGATTCATATGCTAGTCTAAAAGAACAGTTTATCAATAAGTTTTCTCCTACCAAGACTACTCTGGGTTTGTTTTCGCAATATTCTAGCTTACAGTATGACTGTTCTCTTTCTCCAATTGATAATCTAGAGAGGATTACAAAACTAGCTTCACAGTTGGATTATAATGCTTCTCAAATCCGAGATAAGTTTATATCAGTTCTACCTAATAATTGTAAGCAGTCAGTCATCATGGTCAGTTCTGATGACACACCAGTAGAGATCCTTGCTGCTAAGGCCCAGCGATACTTTGATGTCAGTTCCAGTGTTCCCTCTTCAACAGTGAAAGAAGTATCCTTCAGTATGTCTGAATTACAGGATGAGGTCTCAAATTTAACATTGGATTTGAGTACTCCTTCCCCATACACCGATAGTTCTGTCAGGAAGGTCCAGTCAGACCGTCGACTACATAGATCCCCATCAACAGACAGAAACGTTTCTCAATCTAGGTTTCATCGCTCTCAATCACCACATAATTCTCGTTCATTTTATAGGACTCAATCACCTCTTAGGGATCAATCTACTTTCCGCAATAGATCACCGTATCCTTATAATTCTCGTTCATCATATAGAACACAATTTCCTTCTAAGCATCGGTCTGAAACTCAATCTCCTCATCCATCCAGACCACGTGTCATATTTTGTGATTATTGTCTTTATCCTGGCCATACTTGGCAGTTTTGTTACGTTCGTCAAGAGCATCTTTCTCATCGACAGTTGTCACAGAACGAGCCTACCCATCCAAATGGTCCTACCATATCTCGTCAGGATTTTTGAATTCGGGAACATTTGATAATCATGCTCCACAAATGTTCCCCAATTCCAATTTTGTAACAAAAGCCATTTCTGCAAATGCGGACCAAGACGTTATTGTTCAGTTAAATCGTTCTAACTTTTGTAAAGGTGTTTTACCTGATAAGAAATCAGTTATTATTTTGTTTGACAGTGGTGCATCCAAGTCTTTAGTATCACAGTCTGTTATTAACTCATCTTCATATCTGTCAAGTCTTTCTGTACATACGTTGGAAAATAGTTTAAATTTTCGTATGGGTAATGGTCAAATATTGACTTGCTTTTCGTTCATGATGGTTAAAATTTTTATACAAGGCTCTTGTTTTAATGTTAAAGTTCATATTGCCCCACATTTGGTTGGTATTGATTTAATCTTTGGTCAAGAAACCCTGTCAGAGTTAAAAGGGTCTTTACAATTTGATACAAATCAATTTCATTGCAAGTCTAAGGAAGTATCATTTACTCCGACCCACAGTGTTTATATTCGCCCTGGCCATACACGTTATGTAACCTTATATGGTAACGTGCCATCTATATACCGGAATCGTGAAGTTCTTCTTAAGAAAGTGTCAAAGGCACCATCTTCCTCGTTTATATTAGCAACATTGCAACGCAATAAAACCATCGTACCTATATCTAATCCCGGTAAGAAGACTCTTCATCTTAGACCTTCTCAACATTTATTTTATTTTAACACTGACAATCTCTTTTTATGTGATTCATCAGATTTTGTGCACCATTCACAACAAATTTCTCATCATTCTCAGAGTACTCTTTCACCTCATAAACCTGAGTTAGAGATTCTTAAGCAGACTATCAATTTGTCTGACGGTTGTATCTTGTCGCCTACTCAGAGAGAGGAGTTTCTGGAGCTTCTAACTAAACATAAGGATGCCTTTAGTTTGTACGGCGAGATAGGTCACTGTCCAAATTTAGAAGTAGATATAGAAGTCACTGATTCGCGTCCATTTTATATTCGTCCATATCACACAAATGAAAGCGATAAACAAGTTATTGATGCAGAACTTGACAAATTAGTCAAGCAAGGTATTATAGCCGAGGGTCATCAATCTTATACCTCTCCGATATTGGTATTGCCCAAGAAAGGCAGCACTGAGAAACGCGTTGTCGTCGATTTTCGTCATTTAAACAACCGCATTAAAAGGTATAATCATCCCTTCCCTTTACTGGCTTCAACATTACAGCGGATAGGTAATGCCTCTCCCAAAGTTCTCAGTTGTTTGGATTTAAAATCTGCCTTTTTCTCTTTGCCCCTTGCCCCTAATGCCCAACAATATACTGGAATCTCATCATATCATGGCGGTCGACATTTCTATTTTAAAAGGCTAACCCAGGGCCTAAGTGTCTCGCCTGCCATTTTCCAGACAAAAATGGATAAAATCCTATCTGCAGTTCCTGACAGCCGCCATTATTGCATTGCACACCATGATGATATTATTATCTTTAGTAAAGATGCCCAGGATCATAGTAAGCATCTTCAGTCAGTCTTCAAAGCCCTGATAGATAATGGTTTAAAGATTTCCCCTGGTAAATGCTCATTCTTCAGGCGTGAGGTCGTCTATATGGGCCACGTCATAAAGGTAAATGATGATGGACTTGTAATTCTGAAGGCTTTAGCAGATCGTTGTCAGTCTATTCAGCATCTCATCCGTCCTAAGTCCAGTAAAGAGGTACGTCGATTCATAGGAGCTGTAAACTACGTATCCAATTTTCTTCCTAGATTACAAGAAGTAATGCAACCTCTCCATAGCATTTCATCAAAAAAGTCCAAGTTTGCATGGTCCAATGTACATGAAGAGGCCTTTCAGAAAGTTAAATCTCTGTTAACTACACCACCAGTCTTGTATCTTCCAACGGCAATAGGTCATCTTACTCTCTATAGCGATACAAGCCGTTCTGCAACTGGCTCATATTTGACACAAGTCATTAATGGCAAGGAAAGGATCTTAGGTTATTACTCAAAGAAATTACCTCCAGCATGTGCCAATTACAGTGTCACTGAACTAGAAATGTTTGGTTTGCTAATAAACATCACCCATTTTCAGTACCTTCTCCAAGGAGTAGAATTCACTGCTGTCGTGGATCATTCTGCCATTGTACACATTCTCAGTTCTAAGAAAGAACCTTGTACTCAACGCCTTAAGAGGATTATCATCAAGCTTTCGCAATATTCCTTCCAAACATGTTATAAAAAAGGTACAGAGATGGTATTAGCTGATTTTTTGTCCAGGAGCTCCACTGATACTCATGATTGTGAAATTGATCAAGTGGTCCCCACAGCCTTTGCCTTTTCAGACTTTGCTTTTCCCATTCTCTCGCCAGTTAATCGACCTGTTACTCGTCGATATGCAAAGGAACAACAAATACCTATCCCAGATCTGTTTCCCAAATCTAAAGCTTCCTCAACTGTTTGCATACCATCTTCAGTATCTCAAGAAGATATACCTCCAACCACTCCTACGTCTGATTTCAACCCAGATTCAGAATCATTTGATAACCAGTCTCAGGCACAGATCCCACATAAGAATGTTTCCAACCAGGTTATCAACCCCGCTAAACCATCAAAGCCCCCTTCTTCGACTAACGTGCCCACTCACCAAAATACAACCTATTTGGGTAAACACAGACCAGTAGTATCCACAACAGAAACTCGTCCCGAGGAGCGTCTTGTTGACAAACCTGAGGATGGAATCGATGATTCAATTCCGATAGACTTGTGTATTCCTCCCAAACCCCTACTTCACAATTGTGAAAAGGTTGTTTCTTCTCATTTTCCAAAGCAAGCTGAACTGACCAAACTCTATAATGTTATTAAGCGTAAGATAATCAGAGATTACAACTTACCTTTTGATCAGAATAAACTTCGCTTAGAACAGGAAACATCTCCTTATTTCAAACAAGTTTATGACTATCTGGCACATGATATCTTGCCTAGCAATCGTAAAGCTGCTAAACGTTTAAAACTACAGTCAGAGGAGTATATTTTAGCAGAACAGCTTTTATTTCGCCTCCTGGTACATGATGATGATCGCTTTACTCTTCAGTTAGCCGTTCCGGAATCAATGTGTAATGGCTTAATCCATCAGTATCATGATAGCCAGTTATGCAATCATCAAGGTGTTGTTCGTACCTATTTAACCCTACGGAAGTTATTCTATTTTCCAAACATGTTTCAGCGAATTACACAGTATGTCAATACATGTTCAACCTGCCAACAATTCAAGCCCAAAACTGATACAGCCAGAGTTTTTCATCCTCGAATCCCTGAGGAATATAATGTTTTCAGCAAATTAAGCATTGATTTTAAGTCTATGCCCACATCAGTTTCTGGTTTCAAACACCTTCTTGTTGTATGCGATGAGATAACACGTTTTGTTATTTGTGTTCCTACAAAGTCTGTCGATGCAGAAACAGTTTGCGAAGCTTTAATTCAGAAGGTTGTTTGCCTATTTGGTCCTCCATCAGTTATCATATCTGATGCTGCTTCAAGTTTCACTGGAAAACTAGTGTCTTCACTCTGCACAGCCCTTGGTATTAGTCAGAAAGTGATTAGTGTTGCCAATCATGGTAGCCTTCTAGTCGAACGACACATCAGGTCAATTTCAGACTTCTTAAAGGTCAACTTAAATCAATATGGAACCGATTGGGTCAGATACGTGTCTACGTGCTGCTATGCATACAACTCCTTTTCTTCATCACGATTAGGTAGTCTTTGTCCTTACGAATTAGTGTTTGGTCGTAAACCGAAAAATCTTACTCATCTCAATTGGCAATTTGATGGCATTTGTCGCTCCTATTCGGATTATATTTCCCAATTGAAGGACAGATTTGATCATATGTCGAAGACCATAATGGATCTCCAGAAACGTCAGCAGGAATCACAAAACATAAGTGTTGCTCATAATCTGAGTAAGAATCCTGTTTACGGATTGGGTCAGCTGGTTTATGTTCTCAAGCCTTCGTCTTCCAGCTTAACCTCAAATTCACGAAAAATCAAGGCCGATTGGTGTGGTCCTTTGGTTGTCCATCAGGTACTCGATCGAACCCATTACGTTCTTGCCACATTGGATGGCAGGGTGCTTCCGGATGTCTATTCTATTAATAGACTAAAGCCATGTTTTGTACGGTCGCCTAATTTTCAAACTAAAATTACCCATATTGATCAACTGCAAAAGGAGCTGGGTAATGTTCCAGCCAATAATGCTCATACCCTTACTGAAATTAATCCTTTATGTTTAATTACTGATGAGAATGATATTGTACTACATTCATTCAATGAGACTGTAATCCCTTATAATAGGATCACAAAACCAGTTAATTTACACCAGTATGTACATAATAGTGGTGATAACCATCATCTTGCTACTGTTGGGACATTGTCTAATTATCAGTTCACCAAACAATGTCACGTTTTACAAAATGTTTCTAATGTGTCTACCATGGAGTTAAAGAAAGCACGGTTCAAGTGTGGTTCCCTACAAGTTTTAGTTACCATACCGCATACAGAGGCAAGCCATAAGTCTTCTTGGGTCCCTGTAAATTCTTGCCCTACATTATTTGCCATTGTCAATAACCTTGTTCATGATAATAAGCTCCAAGTTACAGGTAGCATTAGTAAATATCGATTGATTAACATGTAATACTGTTATTGTAGTGTTCATTCAGAAACCCAGCTGTATATCAACCTAAACACTGTAGATATCTACAACATGTGTTTTAGTACACTAATGGGGTTCGGAGCATTGTGAATGTTCACTTTAATAGCTTCCATATCGTATATGTAAAAATATTGTTTGAGTTATAATATGTACCATAGTTTTAGTTTTGCTTTTCTTAAAATCATAGTTCACAGTTTGTCCAACCAGTTGTACTTTGACTTCAAAAACTGCGTTTTTGATTTCAGTCGGGGGGATGTTGTATAGCCATATATTAGTTCTAAGCATGTATTATTGTGGTCTGTATCCTGCTACTAAGGATACATGATTTATCTCCCTTACATATTGCCTGTTGTAAGACTTGATAACTTGTATGTTTTTTGGGAGTGAGCTCCCCTGGGAGAAGGTGAATAAACATGTGCCTATGAAAGAAGTCTTTTGTTTCTATGAATGTCTTCCAATGAAAATATCTGAATACGTGTGGGTTTGACCATTCACAACACTAGTTCCAGTCATTTGAAGCCATTTGCCCATGTTTAACTTTCCGCAACTCGTTTCAACTAGCAACAACTAGTTGCCTCGTCATGAGTGTTTTTACAAATGGCATCAACTCATTTCCATGGAAAAAATATCACATGATAAAGAGACATGGGTCATTTGACTTTATAAATAAGTAAAATGGAATGAAACGAAGCCACCAACTTTTCAAATGTTGATGATGTTAACAAAAATGTATTAATAGAATTATGGCAAGACCAACCATGCCTTTGGGTTGCTTCTTCTAAGGAATTTGCCATTTTGTTGATCACAAAATGAATAAATTAACAGTCACATGTAAAGTGTATTCGCTTTTAGTTCCAAGTCGATGTGTGCTTCAATTTTAGTTTCTCTCAGTTGTCCCAAGTTGCTGATATGATTGACATAAGCACACTTGCAACTGACTGGAACTAGTTGCTTTGAGTTGCAAAATCAACATAAGCTCTGCTTTAAATTTGATTATAAAATAAACAAGAATAGATCCCAGAAATGTGAACATACAGAGCTAATTCTCCATGCAGCTAATTCACACTCGCAATTAGTAACAGATTTAATCTCTATAATCAAGTAAATTCTCAATTCTCCTTTACAAATCAAGTGTTCAAAATATACTTAAAAACAAAATAACCATGTTTTCCTCAAAAATCTGGTTAAAGGGCCCAGTAACTAACTGTAATTCCTAAATGAAAGAATATCAAAGTATACCCCTTATATATATTTCATGGTTCAATTCATCAATCTCATTAGAAACCCACTTAAATATTAAAACTAAGTCTTCCTGATTGTTTGTTAATATTAATGTATTTTAGAATACCGGTACCTATTCGTTTCTAATAATATGCTTCCAATCTTGACATTAAAATTTTGCTTTCAATTTTTGATTTAAATATGGCATTAGTAAGTATGGTACATAGTTTTCCTTAATTTATATACTTAGAATTTCAATTTTCTAACCTTTTTGTTTGGGTTCAGGAGGTTTTTTGTTTCTCATGGCTTCTTCAATAGCTTGAGCTTCTGCTAGCATCTGAGCTAACTGAGCTAAGATTTCAGGATCGTCTCCTCCACTCTGAATATAAGCCTGGCGAATAGCACTGCAATATTATCAAAAAAACTCAATTAAATTATAATCTCTCTATTACTAGGATGAGTTAAGTTTAATCAAATAACATTCACATGCAATCATTTATATACATAAAAACATTGTTGAAATTCTCTATTTTTTCAAATATCCATCAACATTTCAAAGTTGAATGCAGTGCAGTTTAACATAATTAAATTTTCCACAACAGTTTTGTGTCTTTGGTACTAGTTCTCTGAAGTTTCTTCAAAGTTTCAAATGTTGTGTACTGTTCTTTCATATATTTATTCAATGTTACTGTTTATTTTGCATTTGGTGCAGTATTTAATAAGAAATTGACAATTAATGACAACTACGTTTCAACCGTGCAACCCGGGTAACTAAACTAATAATGGAATATCTAAGTTTGACATACCTAATTTCAGCAACCAATGAGTTACCATAGTAGATGGGATATGTGAAAGATTTCTTCTGTTGAACATGTTGCTGTTCTCCACTGAAAAAACACCCACAAATTTACATAAAGCAAAAAGATGATGACACTACAATTCAATTACAACAATTTCACAAGATTTTAAATGTTTGTGTTATGTTTAAATCTGAAAACATAGGTTATAATGTACATATTTATTGTAAAACCATCCTGAATGTAATTAATTTACCTTGAGAAAGATTTTAAAACATTAATGTCCATTTTTGTTGTCTAGAAATCATCCCTGAATTAAATAACCATTAAAGATAGCATAATAAAAATATGTTGTTTTTTCAAACCGTTGGTGTAGGTGAAGCAAACTCATTACATAAAAAACAATGAATTAACTTACATGATGGCCACTGGCTGTCTTGATGCCAATAACTGTTTCTTTAACTCCTCTAGAAGTCTTTGATTTCTTGCCTCCTGATCTCGTAATTCTGCGATTAAAGCAGCAGTATTGTCAGATTCTGGAGGTTTCCTGCCTAGATCACCTAGACGCCTGCGAATTTCTAAAAAATAAAAATCATTAAGTTAACAATTACAAATTCTAAAGCTTATACTAACTGCATTCATCATATTACAGCCAGTGTGCAGAAACAACAACATTTATCTGAAGATCAAATCTAGGTGGATCATCTACGTGTATCTAAAGTCTGCATTTAACTTTTACATTATTCTATATTAAAAACAGGAAAAGGGTACGGCAACACTCCCTTTGAGAGTAATTAAAGCTGGACAGGCTGAAACATCTAGATTTAGAAAGGTAAAAAAGGGTAACTAAAGATCCCAATTGTTTCAAAGAGGCATTAATTAACACTCTATAGATTTTAACAGTTACATGCTAATTTTGAGACAACTGAACAAGCTCATGCCACAATGGAATACGTCTTGACTTTCAACTATGTGTCATACATGTATAAATACTTTTATTGCCGCCCCTATCCATCCGTTTGCATTTTGTTTGTGGACACTCTATAGGTCACAATTTTTATCTGATTTTGCCGAATCTTGAAATATAGGTTTATATCCCAAAGATATTGGCATGTATCGGACCGTAACTTTATGGATTAAGGCTGCTTATTGTACGAAACGTCGACCCATTAAACAATCTTCTACTTCTACAAGTCTGTTGTGTATTCTGTTGAGCGGGGATTCTTTAATTTTAATTTAATTTTAATTTTATTCTATATTAAATGAACACAATTCTACTTACCATCTCTCTGCCGTTCTAGATCACGATTTCTATTGGAGAGAAATTCCATTTGTTTACCATGGTTTTCTGCCAGTGATTGTAACTTGGGATCATTGTTGGGGTTATATTTGCTTCTCTGAAAATCAAATGATATTTTTTTTACAGTCTTTCCTTTCTCTAATACTGATGGATAAGAATGGAACAATAAAGAAACACTGACAAAATATTAAAATTAAATCACAGAAAATAAACATATAAGAACATAGAAAAAATCAAATATGAAAAATATTATTTCATTGACATGTTACATAAAGTTATATAATGCTTCATGTGAATATTTTCCAAATGAGATATATGCATAATGGATAACATATTACATGCTTAAATAGATTTTGTAATTAAAATAGTAATAAGTAATTAGTACTAAGATTATTGGTGCACACAGGTATATCAGTATATATTTATATATATAAAGCATGCAGTTAATAAACAAACAAGCAAAACAAAACACAAATCCCAGTATGTTTTATTAAAAATCACAGCAAATCCACACATTACACCAGTAGTCTTTAGTCTGTAACTTACATCTTTAAGTAAGTGTATACTCATACTAGCATCTGAGTTACGGCCAGTACTTCTATGATGTAATGGACCTAGGTCTTGAATCATCTTTCGCTCTTGTTCTCTCATTCTTTCATACTGAAAATATAATCATATACTTATGTTGCTATTATTGTTCATATTTTTTATTTGTTTAAACAATGTTTTAACACATTAAACTTCATCAAATTAATACATATGTATATAAACATATCAAAAAGGAGAGATTTAATATAGTATTATAGGTGGCTGGGTTCAGGTGTCAACTTGATCAGATTTTATCATGCATATCATACAATATATCAAAATCCAATAACATAATAATATTTAATTGTGTGATTTCATCTTGAAATAGAACTGTATTGTGGGATATTTAAAGTGACTTAAACTTACTTCTATCTGCAGTTGTCTTAAGTCTTCATGCTTAGAAAGAGGAAGCTGTTTCCTGTATGTATTATTTGGTGTGCCATGTAACTGTCGCTCTGTCTCCTCTAAATTATCCAGTAAAATCCGTTCTTCAAAATCCCTGACTTCACGATTCCGTGATCTTCGATCTTTGAGAGCTCGAAGCTCCTCCACTCTACTCATCATTTTGGGGGATGGTTTGGTTTGGTCTGCTTTTGTTTACTAATTAAGATGAAAAACCTGAATAATTCTGCTGCTTGTGGTTGATTTGTAATTTTCATCTTCCCCAGGATCTCTGGAGAAATCCTTCATTTTTTTCTTAACACTCATCATTGTGGTACTTTTGCGTTTGCTTCTTCACAATGAACCAGATCTGGTTGTTTCTTTAGCACAGTATATCCTTCCAAGTGTCTAAATATTCGTCTAATCACTTGATCAAATATTGTTCTTTCTTTTTATCTTAAATTCTAGGATTTAATTACTTTCCGTTATCAAGAGAAGTACAAAAATTGACTTAAGAAGTTCAACTTTACTGCGTCAAAAAAGTTCAATCACAAGATACGAAAAGGAGGCTAACCTAGAACATTCCAATAACTAAGATAGAAGAAGACGTCTACTAACAATCAAAGCAAACAAAGGGCAATAGAAATATGAATTATGGCCCCATAAACAAAAAATCTTATTGAAATAATGATATCAATAGAAAGGTATGAATACCAATTTTGAATAATAATGCAAGTATCAGGGTTTGTTGTGGTTGGTAACCATATCCACAACAGGGACTTTTGTTAATATTCTATTCAAGCCATAGAATACCCCATTTTTTAATATCTTCATAGACAAAGGTTAACATGACAGCCAAAGTTTGTCAAAACTTACTCAACATAAGAGGGAAAAAACAGGATTGAATGTATAATGAGTGACTTATTTCTATAAGTAGAAACAACCACCCTAGCAACATATAAACATTTCAACAAGCTAATACAGATAACTTACAGCAAGTGGTTGACATTTAATATTGTACAGATTGACCCAACAAGATCAGCTATATAACTGTCAAAGCACAACATTTGCCAGGCTTTATAAATATTATAATAGGTTTAAGCAAAATACAAATCATTTTGTAAAAGCAATTTAGTCAATTCTCCCTAGTAAAACTGGATCTAACATCAAGTACTGTGGACCTTGTAATATGGTACATGTAAGTGCTTTACATCAAACCATTTGGCCACCCAACCCCCACTTTTGATTTGATTAAATATCAAAAAAATTAAATTTGCACACATAATGTAACTGATTTTCATTAACATGATGATAGATTTCCCAATAACTGTGGGGTAACAAGAAATATGCAAGAATTAAATCAATTCCCAACAGTTTAAAAAAATCATTCTGTAACTGTATTTTCTACATCACATCATATTGAATTTATTATGAATAAGTGTTGCAACTGTTTGAAATTGTTTGAGCTACCCATGCTAAAACATACATTATGCAAGAGCTAAATATGCATATTGCGGGTCTTTCTTTCAGCCTGAAATGTTATATAAACTATTAATTAGATATTTATTAAAAAAACAAGACCATAATCAACTCTCGATGGCATCAGATACTTGAGATTTTAACAAGATTAGAATAGTCCGCAATTTAAAAATTTAATTTAAAAATGGGGAAGCGAGGCTAAGACTCGAATATATCAATGCCCTGGTTACCACAATGCACATATCATGTCAAAACTACAAACAGTGATAACTTGGCTCAGAATGAAGTAATTTGAATGAAATTTCCAATATTTTCATTTTACATTATGTATTTTTGAGCTATTAAAGCAAGAATGGTCAGCTCTTTATCTAAATCATACATAATGTATCTTTAACTTGTCGTAATAAAATAGCTTTTATTAAAGAAATCAACATTATAATTTCTTAACAGCCCTTTAATGTTAACAAAGTTGTCATACATTTACAAAAAATTTGCATTCAATCCTTAATCTAGGATGGGCCTTACAGTCTATAGCAATAGGTCAAATGTCAAAAGTTGTTTGGAGATCATTAATTCAACAAAAATGAACAGAAGTCAAGCTTTCAACTGGAACACAATGAAATTTTATTCAGAGAATCACACAACACTGAAAATGACTTGTAATGTTATAAAAAGAAAAGTTTTATAAGTTTTATTTAATATACTAGATACATAGCAACCATAATTCAATAGATCTTGTATGTTAATATAATTTATTACCTAATATTTAACTTTTACATACATGAAGAAATAGAATAATAAGTGGTGTCATATATCATATATACATGTACTATAAGCTTACTTCTATTGTTTATTGTATATATAGTACTAAGGTACGGTACATATTATACTGTACAAATCTTTTATTAATTTTAATAAAATCCAACACACATTACCAAATGACTTGTTTTTTTTAAGATAAAAATATTTAATTTTGGGCGTTTTTTCTTGAAATATTTAACATATTGTCTTATGACGTTTTTTTAAAAACAAAATATCTGTCTATGTCATTTAAAAAATAGACATAAAATCTCATGTCACAATTCAACATAAGCATCTGTAACTTAATCGCCAAGTGTAACATGCACCCAAAAACTTGGATCACAAAGATTGCTTGGATATGTGTAATGAATTTAAATGTGGCACTTCAGCTAAAAATAAATACTATGCAATACCATTGTTTCTTTAAAATAAAGATTATTGTCTTCAAGACTATTGTAAACAAAAACATTTTCACATAAAAAAGAAAAATAATGCTGTGTAAGTACTCTGGCACTCAGGTACCTAGTGAAATTATTATTTTCCTTATAGTTATGTGGGAACATTCTTTGTGATAAACATTCCTTGTGATAATAGTCAATCTAAATTGCATAAAAAATTTATTATGTTATAGATGTAAGAAAAAAAAACTCAATGACAAACGTGCATACTACTTGATTAAATATAGTTTATATGAAGGGCAGGTGTGGCATGGGTACAAATATATGTGACATAAATGTACATGTTCTGTGTAGGCATCATATTATAAATTCATTTTCATACCATTTGTATTGAATACAAAAGTACAATAAAAGTTTTATTACATAAACTTATTACATGGTATGTGTGTGAGAATAAATAAGCATATCCACTAATGTGCTATGTGCAAGACTAAACACAGCGAAAGCTACTAATTATAACATCTTGGCCCAATTAAGATTTTTCCACAAGCCACTTTCAGGTGATAAAATTTCACAAGTTTGATGCACCTAAACAGGATAAGCAAGGTATATTTCTAGCAGATACTAGATGTGCATATAAAATGTCATGGTATTAACAACATTCTTCTAATACTTTTATTACATTTGCCAATTATACTTTATTATGGATTTTATCTGTGTGAAGCTTGTTAAAGACTAATTGACTTTTGATTACATTAAAGACCCTGATCTTGCAGTACTTTCGAACTACAATATTGAGAAAGTTGAATATCTTGTAGTTCAATTCTGTTCAGTATTTACAAAGATATAACAAATTGACAGTTACATCAATATACGCTGCTCCCTATGTAACAAACATACTGCCATCTTTATTTGTAGTGAACCAAATTGATGGGCCTGTTTTTAATACTATTGAATGAAAGCCGGGGCTTTATCTAGCCTTTGTATTTTGATTTTGTTTTCTTAATTAAATGTTAAATAATAATATAAGTTAAGCTGTGATAAATTTGATATTTTCCCAAAAATGCAAATCAGCATCGTTACTCTAATTCTCTGATGCTATCAAAGAATCAAATATATGTTGTTATAACCCTTGACATTGTGAGCATGATAATATGTAAAACCATGACATTCTGAACATTATAGAATAAAGAAAATAGGGTCGTGCAAAGTATTATAGGAGTTGGGAACAAGTGTTAAAAGAAATCAGTTTTATCCCTCCTGGCTAGTAAGCTACCGTACATAGATGGTTCATGCTTAGAATTTCATGCAGTATAATATCATCTACATTTCAAATAAATAATATCAATTTGTATATCATATACCTCACTATCATCATCAGATGCAGTTTTAGGAAGTTCTGTCTGAAAATGTGGTATCGGTTTAATACATATATGGGATCTACACAAATACAGATTTAAATTCGTTCTAATATCCATACAATAATCTGTTTCTATTCCGAATTCTTACAATTTTGTTCTAATATCTATACAATAATCTGTTTCTATTCTAAGTATTATTCCTTCACAGCTTCAGTTATTTAAAATCTGTTAGGAACCTTCCACTAGCTGTGACTAAAAGCTAGGAACAGTTTCTCCAAATAAGTATGTTACTACTAGGTGTGCCACGAGTGGCAAATAAAATTAGGTAAACCACATCACTGTAACAACCTTAGGGAGACATGGGGTGGACTCCCACCCCCCTGTAAAAAAATTCCACACCATTTTTTATGTACCCATGCTAAAAATAGAGTATCCAAATCCAAAGAAAACTTAAATATTTACTATACATCTATCTGAGTTAGTTATTAATGGTGTGGTGGCCTGTTTGAATGGGGCCAGACTGAGACCTGAGGGTTTCCAATTGGAAGAGGTGGAAATGTTTAAATCAAACATTGATAAATTATAGAGGTACTAATTCATTGTTATATCCCAACAGACTGTAAAGGTTTGAACAAATTCAGTTTGATCCTCTTCATGATACAACTGTTAAACAGGGCCCTTATTCACGAAAACTTAAACTAAGTTACAACCGAAATTTTAAGAAATATTGCAACTTCATTGGATATATGCAAATTGATATTACTGGTCAGCCAATCGAATTGCAGTATTTCTTAAAATTTCGATTGTATCTTAGTTTAAGTTTTCCTGAATAAGGGCCCAGGTTGATAACCTGTTTACACATACAGGATAATTTCCTTTGTGCCCTAATTATGTATATAATTCAAATACTAACCTCTGGAAAGTCATTATCATCACAATGACACCTTGATTCACACCTTTTACAGTTTCTGACTAAAACCATATCATGTCCACTTCCAATACAAAATCTGGCTTTATGTTTAGCCAATAGCCCATTACTTGAAAACCCCATACTACATGCATTGCATGTATAGGGCCCTGATGGGGCATACAGATATGAAGTCATTTTGATTTAATCTTTTGGCACTATTGTAATTAACACTATACACTATATGTACAAATTTCTTCTAAGTTACTACTGAAATAAAAAAAAAGAATAACATAACAAAACAATTAGACACACTATGTCTGTAGAATCATGTTAGCTAAAACAACATTATTTTTTGCTTTATTTCAAAATGCCGAAACAAATCTTTCTGTGACGTCAACAATGTTGGACGTAAAACGGTACAATAAAGAATATAGCCTATACATTGAAAGATGGCGCCTATCTGTATGTATTATAATACATTTCTTCATTGACAGTAAAATTATAACTCAAGAATATTTTATATAGAAAAAAAATAGTGTTGATACAGTACACGTCCCGTAACTAAAATTATTTTTCAGAAAATAACCGTTCCATTCGGTTTTTAATATAAAGCTAGATTTTTTTTCTCCCTATTAATAAAGTTTTACCTACATACCTGGAAAATCAAAGCCAAAATTGTGGCCTTAAGGCACAAATTCACCTTTTTTTGTCGTTACATTTTCGTTCTACGTGTTTCATCTTCGCCATATTGAAAAGTGCCACATTTTGCGCGCGCAAAATATCGGGTACTTGTTTTGAGGATGGTTGTCAAGGAGACATTGTCAGTCGTAAATTATTATCATGCGTCTTTTCCATTTAATAAAAGTTAAATATACTTCACTTCTATAAATTTACTTAAGATTACAAAATAAACAATCTTTTAAAATGGTTTTTATGGCTCTTACGACCTGAACAGACGTAAATTGAAATTATTTTACACAGATCAAGTTTGGGCATATCAGTCGCCGTATTACTTCTATTTGCTAAGACACGGATTGTTTGCCAATAAAATGTGTGTTTTTTTTATCATTAGTATAAAGATATGATTTGACAATAGGCTCTTTGCAATTCATCTAAACAATAACAAGTATAATGTGTATGTATACCGTTTTATAAGAATTTTATTATCGCCACTGCTATTCACATTATGTATAACAGTAATAAAAATTATTGTGAAAATAACGGTACATAGACCTATAATAATGGGTCAGTGATCCATCCTTATTCTTCCTTAGAAGCCTGTACTACAAATAATATAAATGTTTATTTGGGGGAAAATCCGGTCAACTACCCGAATTTTGTATCATAATTTATGTTTATGATAGACTGTAAAAGGGGGTCCCACAGCGAATCAGTGGGTGAGGGGCTGGCTAATTAAAAATGCATTTTGTAAGAGCTATAATAAACTATTATTTAGACATTTATTCACATGACAAGCCTACAGTCAACCCTCTATGCCATCGGATGGCGGAGATTTAAACGGATTAAAAAGTATTTTTGGGGACAGAAATCAATTTGTTCAAAATTTTCTTTAAGAGTGATTTTTCGATTTTTCAAAAGCCTTTTCGTTCAGTACCAATTTCGTCATTTGGAATCTGCACAAAAAACTGGTCTAGAGACAGAGCTCAGGTGGCAATTCCCCCCTTCAGTCACAGGACTGTGTGGAACGACATAAGATCTCAGGGACAGATTTGGCCGATATGATGTTAGTTGTTCAGATAAATAGCTGGGTGCAAGATTTCGCATTGGGAGCCAATGCAAAGATTTTAGAATAGGTGTTATATGAGATGATGTTTTGGTTCTGATATGATTCTGGCTGCTGTATTCTGTATTTTCTGTAGCTTGTAGATACTGGTTTAATTAATCCCAGACCGCAAACTGTTACAATAGTCTATTCCAGACAGAACTAGAGATTTGGTGCTCTACTAGTGACTGCTCTAGAGATTTGGAGGTAGCAATCACTAAGTGTCCAGTAACAATTACCATTATTACGATAATAAACAATCTGTACCACATCTTGTCAAAACTTTAAACGCTGATAACTTTGCTCAGAATAAAGTAATTTGAACAAAATTTTCAATATATTTATTTTGCATTATCTATTTTTGAACTAATACAGCAAGAACGGCCAGTTCTTTGTCTAAATCTTACATTATGCCGAGAAAGTTCATCAAGATTTTTCAGCGTGATTTCCACATTGTCAGTTGTGTAGGGCAAAGGGCCTGGCAAGTAACAGCATCTGGTTGTTCGGATGGGACGAAGTAACGTAGATATCGTTTAGATGTAATAGTACAACGCAGTAAAGATCAGGTGCATGACCTACAAACAAACATCTACAAGCAATCCACCCCATATGTCCCGTGGATGACTTAATTGCAAACCAGCTGCAAAATGATCTCCAGTAAATTTTCACTCAACTGATAAAATGTTTTCGCAGTGACCTTTTCTTTCAGAGAACCAAAAACAAAAGACTGAACATCCAATCCAACCACCCAAAATAATATGACCTTACCAACAGAATGAAACAATGCACCAAAAATCCTTAAGGAAGATGTGCCGACCTACACTTTTTTATTTCGTAATATTGCCATGTACAAGTGAATGGAATACATGTATTGTTTAAATTAAAGATGGCAGTGCAAAGTAAATATTTGTTTTTCACATACTTTATGCAGTTCTCCTTCACTCCCAATTAATATCAACCTGTTATTAACCTGTTATATGAAACATACGCCCATAGCAGCTAAGTCATTTAACCATATAAACTGTTGCATGATTAAACATGCATTATGCAAGAGCCAAATCTGCCTATTGCAGGTCTTTCTTTGGGCCTGAAATGTTTTCTAAAGTATTAATTAAACATTAATTAACTGATCCAGGCCTTAATCAACTCTCGATGGCATCAGATTTCTCAAATATTAAATAGATTAGAATGGTTCAGCGATACTTTGATTTAATCAAATATGGAGGACCGAGACTTAGCTTCGATCAACCAGTACGGTGGTTGAAATTATTGCACACGTCTATCAAACCCTCAAAGGCTAATATCTTCGCTTGCAATAGAGTAATTTGAATGAAATTTTCAAATTATTCATTTTATATCATCTACTTTCGAACTATTATAGCAAGAATGGCTAGTTCTTTATCTAAATCTTACATAATGTATCTTTAACCATAAAGTAAGTAAGCCAATACTGATGTCCCCCACTTAGCAGCCACAAGATTTTTTAAAGTGATCAAGGGCCATAACTCTGGTAGTAATTATTGGAAATCATTGAAAATCACCGGACTTCTTCACCTCACAACCTTAAACACTTTGTATAAATTCAAAGTCAATCGGATATTTATTTTAGCCTCTTGAGCATCCACAAGCAATTGTGGACGCCAGCCGGACAGGGGCGACAACAATATACGACTACATTTCAATTTGGGCGGATAAAAACTAGACAATGTAAAGGGAATAAGCTGAAAATTTCTGTCAAATTGCTATTATCCATTTTTTTATTTAATCATCAATGCGTGTTGAGCAGCAGAACGGATTCAAATCCAGTGACAATCTGACACATAATATAGCATCGAAAGTCTTTTCATGTTAATAAATGTCTAATTAATAGTTTATATAATATTTCAGGCCTAAAGAAAGACCTGCAATAGGCAGATTTAGCTCTTGCATAATGTATGTTTAACCTAAACAGAAAATGTTCTTTATTGAGCAGCACATATAAAAAATGTTCTGGCATACATATTATGCCAACTTTTAAAATTAATGCATACATCCTGAACACAAAACCATTTTTAAATGATATAAGTTTTATTATTCATTTTTCAAAATGTACACATGATTTATGAATGAAATTATAACAGAAGTCAACTGATAAATAGCTATGATTTACAAAATGATATAGATTGACTGTGATTGTATCATTTCAAAAGGTTTTGACCTTGACTGTATCATTTCAAAAGGTTGACCATTGTATCATTTCAAAGATTGATCGTCATTTCAAAATTCAACACACAAACCTCATCAAGAGTGATAAAATATAATATGAGTTACATGAAACTAAAATACATAAAATCTAATTTTTAATGGATATCTTAATTTCTTCAAGTAAATGATTACTATTTAGAAAAACTTGACAAAATAACAGGCTTAAAAAATAAACATCTATTTACAAACAAATATGAATTACGGTTGATGATTTATTAATTTATGTAATGTAAACCCCAAAATTTATAAGACAGTTCTTAAATTGGTTTAATTTTAAAGTGTAAGCCAATAAGTGAGAACACTAAACATTTCAAATCTTGCACTAAGTAGTAAAATGTTCTTAAACCCTCTGGATCTCTGAAATAGACAAAAAAAAAAAACCTAATGAATTTATCATTCAATCACATGCAGTGTAATATTTGAACTATGTAAATATTTCTATACAATACAGCAACATGGGGATAATGCAGGTGCAGGGCTGGCCACGAATAAATTGATGGCGAGCAGATGACTGCTCACGCAAATTTAGGTTTGGGCGAGCAATAAAAATTGCTCGCCTTGCTCGCCCATTTTGTAACATTGTTTCAATTTAAAATCATAAGAAAATTGCTATTCCTGGCACAAAGTTTACAGTAAACATGTGTGACCATCGCTTTCTGTTTTTGACAGTCATACGTACTCTTCTTTATTAAAACCAATTTCCGTATGGATTTCTTCACCCCACGAAATAAATGTGGATAGGGCAATCAGGTTGCCTTTGGCCATTATTACGCTTAGATTGAAAATTATACGACTGCACAATGGAATAAAAACCAAAGTTCTGATAAAATAGGAAATACCGATAAATATTAGTTTGAAACGTGTTCATTTAGCGTGAATGCCAAACGCCGGATGTAAACATTCTTTACTTTAGACTCAATTATCACGTGTTTGTTACTGGTGTTCGTAGGAAAACCAGTCATGACGTTCAGGTCTAAAGTGTATTTTTAGTAACACAAGTTGCGAGTAACTTTATTAACCAATCAAATTTCAGGAGGAAATGCCGCGTGCAGCTGGGTGAATCTCAGTTTGACAGACGATTTTATAACGTTATTGACATTGTTGGGTTACTTTCGGCAATAAACTTGTCAATATTTTGATTATTTTTACAGGGTTTTCTTAAAATTTTGTGCGAGCAACGAACTGCTCGCGTAAATGTAGATTTACGTGAGCAGTTGCTCGCGTCTCGTGGCAAGCCCTGAGGTGAATAAAAAAATGAACAGAGATATTTTATTCAAAGTGGGGGTTGAGTAAGTGTTTGTGAACCTGGTAAAGGGAGGCAACTGATTGGAGTAAAGTACAGGTAAACTTACTTGCTCTGATTAACATCAACTAATGAACCAATTTTAGACGTAGTAAAAGAAATATGTTCATCACCAATCACAACTTCTAATTCCTGTAATATAACAATTAAATGATAAATGTATTAAATGTAGAAGACTTATGCATCACAACTGTACATGTACAGATAGGACACAAACACTAACACCTCAAACATATCAGATCAAGTAAATGGATCTGGGTGCTGGGTGCTGGGGCCTGTAGTGGTACAAGTTTCACACAAAATGAAAAAAAACCCAAAAACTAACAGGCAAAATATTCCCCAACGTTGTATCACAGTACTGGTGTGAGTCAATAAATGAAATGAGGTTTAATGTCCTACTGTTCTGCTCCAGCTGGTCTAATGAAGATGGACATAAGACATACAGTGTGCTATGAGGGAAATTCTGCCAGTACAGCAGCACTACGGCCTACTCTTATATCGAATTCCAAATGCCAAGGGATCTTTTACGTGCAAATGGGACACCATTTATTGTCCCATCTGAATGACTAGACAGCTGCCCTTGTCAGGCACTCTGCCGTGCAACACTGACAAGTGAAAACTATGCCAGAAAATACTGCGGAACTTTCTCGACCATGGTCAATGCCAAGTAAATTAAAATGGCTTTACAGTATGGTAATCAAAATTTGAAACAAAACATTATAGGCATGTGAAAAAAAAATTGCAAGTGTATTAATTACAAAGTCCTTAAACATACATTATGCAAGAGCTAAATCTGCCTATTGCAGGTCTTTCTTCAGGCCTGAAATGTTATCTAAATTATTAACTAGACATTGATTAACTTATCCTGACCATAATCAACTCTTGATGTCATCGCTAGCCTGCGATATTTAATGGATTGGGATCCGATCTGCTGCTCAACGCTCTTTGATGATTACATCAAAAAATGGATAATCAAGACTATGTTTTTTATTGTACCGACTTGAGTAATCATGATCGAGGCTAGTCCTAAAATTCAATCGATAAATTCTCGTTTCAGAGTGGATCAATTTGACTGAAATTTTCTGCAAATTCCCTTTACTATCTAGTTTTTATTTAACTATTATAGTGAGAACTGACAGCTCTTTATCAAATCTCCCATAATGTATCTTTAATTCTATAAAATAGAGAAAACCTAATACTGAATACATTGAAGCTATCGAAAATATATGACTAGTCCTGATGGTGTTCAACTGCTAATCTAAATGATGTTAATTAAGGGGTAATCTGCTAAAAGACGTCATACGTAAATAATGTTAACAATAATAAGGGCGATAATCCAGATACATGTAGAATTAGGAACATTGCTAAAAAGGTTAAAATTAAGATACATTTATGTATTTCCTCAATAGTTGCAATGCTAAACAAATAAACTACTAGGAAAAATAGAATTTTTTAAACTACTAGGAAAAATAGATTTTGATAAACTAATAGGAAAAATAGATTTTGATAAACTAATAGGAAAAATAGATTTTGATAAACTAATAGGAAAAATAGATTTTGATACCAAAAATATGTTTAGAGAATCTTCAAGTTCAGGGAAACTTGTTGAAAAACTTCAATTTCAAATGATCAAGGCCAGCAAATTTTAAAATTTGTTTTGGAATAAACTCCAACCTGTAGAGCATTTACAAGAATCATGGACAGTCAGTCACATGAAGAAACATGAGTATTCAAATATGAAATTTAGATGGTATAAACAGTTGACACATTTATGTTCACTGGAAGGAACTTTAAGATCTGAATGAAGAATCTTTAGAACTCCACAAAATTACTGATTTTCAGAATAAAATAGAAAAGTCATGTATTGTTAGGTAAACCAGGGTAAATGAAATATATGGTCAAATTTCAAATTCTACATATAAAATTTACCTGTCTACCAACTCTATCAGGTGATGGCCATAATGTATCATCTTCTTGCATTACTTCTGAGTCTTCAATAATTCTCTTTAATTCTTCCATTACTGATTTATGAACAAAGGCCTTAGAGAAGAAAAACAACAAAATCTATCATTTCTGACTATTTTAGACAAAATTTGAACAGAAAAATCACCAAACATCATTCAGAGACTTATCTAGGTAGGGCTGGACAATAATCTCAATAAATCAATATATATTGCAATATATAAATTGATAATATAATATTTAGACTATTAAATATACAACAATAAACAAAACTCCAATATATAGTTTGACCCTATCTCTTTCCCTAATGATATTATTTAAAATAATTCAAATTTGTATTCTTCTCAGAGAAATCTATTTAGGGGTTTTCCTACCCCTTGAGTCTGATGTCTTGAAGTAGTGTATTTATCACAATAATGAAAATATGTATACTGAATTGAACATTAAAATACTTAAATACACTTACCTCTTTTCTGATCATAGTATCATTTTTGTAGTTTGAATTGTTAGCATACCGTAATTTACCTGAGATATAGAATGGACAAAAGTGTTAAAAAGTTCCTTGACAGAAATGCCATTATTAAAGAATTTTAAATTGAGCATTAAGTATTTGGTCATTTATTATCAACAAAATATTTCAACATACTATATAATTTTACTGCGCCTGTGATTTTTTTTTTTTTTTTTAAATCAATTAAATTAGAAACTTTGATACAGAAGGAAATCAAGTTTTCTATCTATACACTTGGCATTCAATTTTCGATTTACATAGTGATGTGTTGATTAAGTTAAATATATTTCAAGAGAGTTCATATTACTTTTCAACACATAATAATGTTTTGAATACATGTTGCAAATTAATGACCATACATGTGTAGAAAAATTAACTAGACCAGCGGCTGCCAGGAAGGATACACCCACATTTTCGAATTCCAACTGCCAAGGGATTTTTTACGTGCATTCCAATGTTTACATGGGACCTCAGTTTTCCGTCTCATCCGAAGGACTAGACAGCTGTCCTTGTCGGGCCCTCCGTTCTTCACTACTGACAAGGGGAAACCACGCCGGAAAATCCAGATGCACTTTCTCGGCCAATGCAGGGATTGAACACCCGACCTCCAGGCTAGCGAGCCAGCGTCTTAACCACCCAGCCACCCCCACATTTTCGAGAGATGGATAGAAAACAAGCTAAAACGAAAGTGATTTTTCCTACAATCAAGGGCCATAATTCAGGAAGTTACGTTCCGATATGCGCGAATATCGAAAAGAACCGAGATCTTTGGGTTATAAACTTACATTTCAAGTTTCATCAAAATAGGATTAAAATTGTGACCTCTATAGGGTCCACAACCTTGATATACCATATTTTTACGCTATTTGAGAGCGAAGGGCGGCCATTTTATCTGTCAGTTTTGGGCCGATTTTCACGAAATTCGAGCTCAGCCATCCTTAGGGTGTAACAGTGATATAATAATACGATTTTTTAAATCGGATAAAAATTATGACCTCTATAGGTTCCACAAACCAAAAAACGAAATTTTTCGTACAATCAGGGGCCATAATTCAGGAAGTTACGGTCTGCTATGCGCGAATATCGAAAAGAACCGAGATCTTTGGGTTATAAACTTACATTTCAAGTTTCAACAAAATCGCATAAAAATTGTGACCTCTATAGGGTCCACAACATTGATATACCATATTTCTACGCTATTTGAGAATGAACGGCGGCCATTTTGTCTGTCAGTTTTGGGCCGATTTTCACTAAATTCAAACTCAGTCGTCCTTAGGGTGTAACGGTGATATAATAATACGTTTTTTTAAATCGGATAGAAATTATGACCTCTATAGGGTCCACAAGCTAAAAACGCGATTTTTCGTACAATCAGGGGCCATAATTCAGGAAGTTACGTTCCGATGTGCGCGAATATCAAAAGATCTTTGGGTTATAAACTTACATTTCAAGTTTCATTAAAATAGGATTAAAATTGTGACCTCTATAGGGTCCACAACCTTGATATACCATATTTTTACGCTATTTGAAAGTGAAGAGCGGCCATTTTATCTGTCAGTTTTGTCCCGATTTTCATGAAATTCGAACTCAACCATCCTTAGGGTGTAACGATGATATAATAATATGATTTTTTGAATCGGATAAAAATTATGACCTCTTCTATAGGGTCCACAAGCTAAAAACACAAATTTTCGTACAATCAGGGGCCATAATTCAGGAAGTTACGGTCCGATAAGTACAAATATCGAAAAGAACCGAGTCTTTGGGTTATAAACTTACATTTCAAGTTTCAACAAAATCGGATAAAAATTGTGACCTCTATAGGGTCTACAACCTTGATATACCATATTTTTTATGCTATTTGAGAACGAACGGCAGCCATTTTGTCTGTCAGTTTTGGGCCGATTTTCACGAAATTCAAACTCAGTCGTCCTTAGGGTGTAACAGTGATATAATAATACGTTTTTTTAAATCAGTTAAAAATTATGACCTCTATAGGGTCCACAAGCTAAAAACGCGATTTTTCGTACAATCAGGGGCCATAATTCAGGAAGTTACGGTCCAATATGCGCGAATATCGAAAGGAACCGAGATCTTTGGGTTATAAACTTACATTTCAAGTTTCAACAAAATCGCATAAAAATTGTGACCTCAATAGGGTCCACAACCTTGATATACCATATTTTTATGCTATTTGAGAACGAACGGCGGCCATTTTGTCTCAGTTTTGGACCGATTTTCACGAAATTCGAATTCAGTCGTCCTTAGGGTGTAACGGTGATATAATAATACGTTTTTTTAAATCGGATAGAAATTATGACCTCTATAGGGTCCACAAGCTAAAAACGCGATTTTTCATACAATCAGGGGCCATAATTATGCACGAATATCGAAAGGAACCGAGATCTTTGGGTTATAAGCATACATTTCAAGATTAAACCAAATTGGATAAAAATTGTGACCTCTACAGTGTTCACAAGCTAAAAACGTGATTCTTCGTACAATCAGGGGCCATAATCCATGAAGTTACAGTCCGATAGATGCCAATATCGAAAGGAACCGAGATCTTAGGGTGATAAACCTATATTTCAAGTTTCATTGAAATCGGATAAAAATTGTGACCTGTAGACTGTTCACAAACAATTGTCGACGTATAAATATAAGAGTATCCGCAGTTCATATGACAATATTTTTCGGCAGAGAGAGAGAAATGAGGTTTAACGTCCACTCGACACAAACTAGGTCATTTCGGGAATAACATATGGTTCAATTTTATTTCAATAATTCGCTTGCGCATAGGGTTTAGAAGTGGGAGGGAACCGGAGGACCCGGAGAAAACCCACGAGGTTGGACAGGCGACCCTACTCCTTGTCACGTAGCGCTTATATCTCCAAAGATCGCACCATCGACAAGAATAGAATACTAATCCTATATTTCTTTTATACAGTTCCTAAAACTGTTGTTGACTTTCTGCGGTTGCGACCATCTGAATCCAGATGTTTTTTTCCCTAGCTAAATGCATCTGTGATCTTTCATATAAAATAGTTCTCAATAATACATGCCTGTCAATCAGCCAGAGACTGTTCACTAGACTAATTTTAACCCAAGGGTGCATAACCTATTTTGTACTTAAAAATAGTTATGTTGTGCCAGAGTGTTGTAATTGCTGGCAGTAGATTTTAATTCTACGGTACTTTAAATGGCGATAACTTAACTTATTAAATGCAACGTAGACATTTAATTAGTGATGATAAAAGGAGAACACATTTAAGGTTCTGGGGAATATGGTGGCATTATTATCGATATATTTGGAGACATTTATTATCTGTTGCAAACTTGTTTTTTCCAAGCATAAACTAATGTGTAGGACACACTAGGCAAATTTTTACAGCGTATCATACGAGCGAATCAGTCGCCAGAAAATTTCACCTAGTGTAGTTGGACCTGTGATAATTGCTGGAGCCTCGGCCAACGCCCAACACCATAATATTTATCGTCGTCGATGACTCATTCGGTGAATTCCTCAACCAATCAAAACAATTTGAAGCTTCAAATGACATACAAAATGCAGACCTCTAACTATATTATGTGGCCAAAAGCCCATCAGTGTATGCCTGATTTAAGTTTTAGGCAACATATTCGCAGAGAAATTGGCACAGGCAAATAAATTGACCAACTGATCAAAAACATTTGAAGCTTCACATGACAAACAAATGACGGGCTCTACATTGTAACTACCTTATGTTGCCAAAAAGCGTATCAGTGCATGCCTGATTTAAGTTTTAGGCAACATATTTACAAAGAAATCGGCACAGGCATTCGCTTTCTGAGTCCACTGCGTTGCCCACGTACATGTAATTTTGGTGGCAAATAAATTGACTGACTTATAGGTGGATAAAATTAGCATAGTCACTATCATTCTATAGACATAGTGGTGGATGGTCATTTCGGCTAATTTTACAAAAATGTTTTTACATCATTAGGGAACACCACGTCCAGAAACTTGCAGATTCTGATGTTTGGTACATGGACGATAATTAAACATTGGCACCAGTGTCCGAAACAAACATTTTCCAAGCACAGGCCCGCAGGACCTGTGTGGCACGTGATCATGTGGGTCCTTCAGGTGACACGCAGGCCCAACCAATAATAATAATATTTATAGTTTCCAAGTGAAGCGCAGAACGATCAGAATAAAGGAAGTACATATAAAGCCAGTACACCACAGAAGGACTAAGGGTTTAGTAACTTAATTTCATTTCAATTTAATGGAAGCAAATCTATTCACGGCTACATAATTTACGTTTTTTCTCATCAAACTATAGGTCAACTTCAAACAGTTACACAAAAAAACTTGACGCCTGGCGATAACGTTGAGGAATGGCTTATCCCGCCCTAGATTGTTAGCACTATAGACCAGAATTGAGTCAAATGAGGTCCCGTAGGAAATGGTTTTAAAATTATAAGCTTCCATTACCTTTAATAATAGGTAGGCCTACAGCTACAACGTTCGGAAAATTATCGTGTCAGTAATATTCCTGAATAAATTACTGTCTTCGTTTTTTGGATGGATATAAAATGATACAGCACGGTGGTATTTTTCATAATACAATTTGTAGTTTTTGTCTATCACGTCACTTGCAAATATGTTTTTATTCATTCGTCCATGAGAGACACGTGGCACAGTGATCACGTGACAGTCATAATTGAAATTACTTTAAAATAAAATTCCGTACGACTATGCCATATAGTTTTCAATAATAATAAAGACAATATGTTTAAAATTTAGCCTCTGCCAGCATGTGTATCAAATAAAAAATCATAACGGTAAACATTACTTAAAACTAAACCTAGCATCGCTGGCTTATTGACCTAGAAATTCCACCTGATGTCACGTGTCATTGGCGGATTTGGCATCGAAGATTTTGTCGGAAAAATATATTATTAATGACTGTTCTGAGGATTATATTCAACTAAGATTTAAATTTCTGTAACAACTGGTCAGCCAAACCATTAAATGCATGACCCAATTATTATTTTATTATCTACCGGTACCTGGAATCTATACGGCGCGTCGAAGAAGCGCGATTCCCGAGCGAGATTCGCAATCCATACCGAGAGGTATGACTGTTATTGTAGCCAACAAGCAAGTTGATTGACTACTTAATCAAAAAGTGATAATTAACCCGTTAATTTTAGCCGAAAGTAGATTGATTTATGATACCACAGTGGCCGATTCATTGTTTTTACCAATCGGTTTGTTTAAAGTTCAAGCGGCTAAAGCCGACAAAAAAAAAACAACAGTTACAAATCAAAGGCTGGTTACCCGAGTCAATGTTTGGAAAAACAGCAGCTTCCGTCATGTTGATGACAAGTAAACAATAACCGTCAACTATCGGAGACTCGGGGGTTGCGTTTCTATGACAGTTCTAGCATTTCCCGAATTGTCGTATGTGGACACTAACTATGCGAGATAAGAAAGAAGGCGAAGGCCCGGCGGACCCGAGTGAAATAGGCAAGCAGGAGTCCTCCGATAAATCAGTCGGCCTCGGGCCTACTGACCGACGTTTGTGTCGAACACTGATTGGCACTCAGTATTTTTATGCAGTTTTATGCCATGGGTCGTGTATCAGGAGTTTTTGTTCCATTATTGTATGTACTTTTACAAGGAAAGTCTCAGACAACTTATGAATTTACGTTTTGCTTGTTACAGAAGCATGGTTGTGACCTGTCAACTGTTATAATAGACTTTGAACGCTCTGTAGATCTTGTTCTTCATGCAGTGAATGGACCACAAGAAGTACAGATTTAGTACTGTTTTTACCACCTTAGTCAATTAACTTGGAGACACATCCAGTCACTAGGACTTGCAAATATGTACAAAGATGACAATGAGTTCAGACTTACTTAAAAAAACAAAAATTTGTCGCAGTAAAAAACAAACAATAAAAATGAAATGAAACAGAGTTAAACGTCCTACTGTTCTGCTCCAAACTGAGCTAATGAAGACGGGCATATGCCATACAGTGTGCTATGAGGAAAATTTTGCCCGGACAGTGGCACAACGGTTTACTCTTATATCGAATTCCAACTGTCAAGGAATCTTTTACGTGCACGCCAATGTGTACACGGGACCTTGGTTTTGCAACCCATCCAAATGACTAGACAGCTGTCCTTGTCGGGTCCTCCATCCTGCATCACTGACAAGGGAGAATCACACCAGAAAATCTGGATGAACTTTCTCAGCCAATGCAGGTATCGAACACCCGACCACCAGGCTAGCGAGCCAGCGTCTTACCCACTTAACCACCGTGACCCCCAACAAACAATAAAAAAAACCCACCAAAATACACAGCAAAGAAAAGATCTGTAGGAGAAAACAAACAAATAAATCTGGCTGAACCATCCTCTTTCTAAAGACTAACACTAGAGTCTATTTTATATTATTATTAATTTAATAAGCTTACTCTTTCAGTTTTAAGAATTAATGATATATGGGCATTTCATTTACTCCCTGAAAAATTAACCACATGAATTTCATCTACTCAATCGAGGTAAAAAAAATACGATACAAAATTCGTCAAATCTGAGTCTTGTAGGGTACACGGATCGAATCGTTGCCACTACGTATCAGTAGAACTGAGCTCAGCCTCAAACCCACGCCCGGCGACCCTCTTAATAAAACTAAAATGAATATAGATAAAATGCTGTCATAGTTTTAATTTCTATGGAAGCATTTAAAAGAATATACATTACCATCGGGTCTAAATTCAAATTCAAGAAACTCGTGTCCAAATTTGCCTTTGTGGCCAACATAATAACGAAGATAAAAGTCTGTGGAGTGCGCCATTGCTGTTCTTCGACTAAAGCTACTTTAAATGTTTTCGTATGAAATAGTTAATATTTCCCCAAGAAGAAACAAGTCAACATAATACTGTATTCACGCGTATACAATTAACAAACTGCTTTTCAAATCATTTCCCCTCCTTATAACTGTCCATACTTGAGCATATTCCATTATTTAATTAAGATCCGAAACAATACTCATCGTTTCCTAAACAAAGCTAGCCTCTAGTATTGACATTAATGTCTGTGTTGAACACAGGCTTAACCATTCATTAAAGGCCCAGTTGTTACGTAATTTGATTAAATTAATGGCTTGTGTAATCAATTAGCTGAAGTCATGAGTAAAGATATTCCGTCTAAGTTAATTCGAACAATTGACTGCAAACAGGGTGCTGTCAGGGCAGTCAGATTTAATGGTAAACTAAATACATTTTATAGTATAGGCCTAGCAGAAGTTGATATTTATGAGACTATTAATTATTTTTTCTTTTTATGCGAGGGGTTAACCCATGGTTATAATTCTCCATCTTAAAGGACAATATTGGTGCCAGTCATTATCACATATGTGATAGAACTGGTTAAACACGTTCCAAATATTATTTTATCAAAGAGATCATTGCTACGATCGGAAGTGACCCACGCAAACGGAAAACACGAGTTATCCCTCTATATAACTGACTGAAGTGACGAGTGATAACAGATAAGTGATAAAAAATGAGCAGATAAGAATATGCCGCGAACAAACCTACCGTAAAAACACGAAGGGTTTTAGTATATTGTTCATAGGCCTAACTGCCTGACTCAAACAGTAGACTAGCATGCTAGCCCTTTAACTTTTACTACTTTTAGCTAATGTGTAAAAAAAAAAGTTTACTGTCTCTGCATCATCAATAACAAATCACAGTATGTACATGTAAATAATAGGTATTAAAATTAAATTCTTTAACCTACTTCAATTCCATGAACTGATGGATAGGACATAACATTCCTGAGTATAATCTTGTCTTTTTAGCTGATGGTACCTACTGTTTAACATGTGGAAGCAATAAGACAATTAAACTCTGGAATCCACATAGAGATTTGCTGTTGAAGTCTTATCAGGGACATGGTTATGAAGTTTTAGATGCACAAGCTGGGTGTGATAACAGTCAAATATGTTCCGGTGGAATGGATAAAACTGTTCGCTTATTTGACGTGGCTACAGGAAAAGCATTGCGAACATTCAGGGGCCATGCAGGTAAAGTGTAATTAGATTGCTTTCTTTTTTATTGTATTTTTATGGTTTCGCATTGCAGCCCCTAAACCCCTTCCTCTTTAGTCTTTTCATATAAAAAAAAATGATTACTCTTGTTTTCTGCTAGAAAGTGGTATCAGGTGTTTCAGAAAAAAAAAAAAATTATTGTATTGGTTACAGGTACAGTTAATTGTGTCAAGTTTAATGAAGAATCAACTGTTATATTATCTGGAGCTATTGACAGTAGCATACGAGCCTGGGATACAAGGTCAAGAAAAAATGAACCAGTTCAGGTAGAACTTTATATATTTATGATAAGAATTGTAAATCTTTACACATCTTGTTGCCTTTGACTTTATACACAGTGCATATGGTTATGAGGAGGGTTGGATGGCCAAAGGGTTAGTGCATGCGCGCTGTATCATAAGGTCTGTCATTGAGTCAACTGGTCTGGTTTTGATTCCCCGTTTGTACGTGACAAGGAATAGGTTCGCCTGTCCAACCTTGTGGGTTTTCTCCCACTGCTTAAGACCCCTACGCACAAGCGAATCATTGAAATAAAAATGAACCATATGTTAGTCCCGAAATGACCTAGTTTGTGTCGAGTGGACCTTAAACCCCATTTCTCACTCTTAAGTCAAAATCAAAATGAGATGAAGAATTCTATTGATTTTCAGCGATTTCCGATAATTACTGACAGATGTTTGGCCTTTGAATACATTTGATAAATCTTATTCACGCTCTTTTCAGTGATTTCAGATAATCACTGCCAGAATTATGGCTCTTGATCACTTTGATAAAGCTTGTTTACTGTGTGAAGGCTAAGGTTATCATCCGATTGACGTCTAATTTATACATGGTAAAGGTCATGAAACTAAGAATGCTATTGATTTTAACGATTTCAATAGTTACTGTCAGAGTTATGGCCCTAGACCCCATAAGGTCATGAGACGAGGAAGTCTGTTGATTTTCAACGATTTTCGATAATGACTGCTTGAGTTATGGACCTTGATCACTTTGAAAAATCTTGTGGATGGTCTAAAGACCAACTTTATCATCCAATTGACATTTAATTTGTATGCAGTATTTAAGGTCTTGCTTACATGTAATGCAACGAAGCCTATTGATTGCCATTAGTTTCTGATAAATATTTCCAGAGTTATGGCCCTTGATATTCAACAATTTCTGATAAATATTGTTCAGCTAAATTCATGATATTAAATGTTTTGAATACTAAATGTTAGCAATGGGCAGAAATTTTAATGATTTATGATAATGACTTAATAATGGATTGTTTCTCTTAATCAGATTTTAGTGTGTTGTAGATGTTTCATACCGACAAAGGAAAAAAATGTGTGACAACCCTTGTTGACTCCTCGAACTACTTAGCTGCTGTGGGCGTATGTTTTCTTGCCTATTATCTAAAGATTCTAAATGTAATAACCTTTATGGACTTCTTGAATATCTTAGCTGATATGGGTGTATGTTTCGTTCCCTGGCAACAAAGCCTTTTTATATCAAGGATGCATTGTTTCATTCTGCTGTTTAGAAATATCTTTCTATTAACTATAATTGAAGTCTACAATGTAGGTACTGTCTTTTGTAAACCAGCGGCTGCCAGGCAGGATACGCCCACATTTTTGAGAGATGGATAGAGAACAAGCTAACAAGAAAGTGATTTTTCCTACTATCAAGGGCCATAATTCAGGAAATTACAATTCAATATCGAAAGGAACTGAGATCTTTGTGTTATAAAATTACATTTCAAGTTTCAACAAATCGGATAAAAATTGTGACCTCTATAGGGTCCACAACCTTGATATACCATATTTTTACGCTATTTGAAAACGAACGGCGGCCATTTTGTCTGTCAATTTTGGGTTGATTTTCGTGAAATTCGAATTCAGTCGTCCTTAGGGTGTAACAGTGATATAATAATACAGTTTTTAAATCGGATAAAAATTATGACCTCTATAGGGTCCACAAGCTAAAAACGTGATTTTTCGTACAATCAAGGGCCATAATTCAGGAAGTTACGGTCCGATGTGCGCGAATATCGAAAGGAACCGAGATCTTTGGGTTATAAACTTACAAGGGCCATAATTCAGGAAATTACAATTCAATATGCGCGATTATCGAAAGGAACTGAGATCTTTGTGTTATAAACTTACATTTCAAGTTTCAACAAAATCGGATAACCAGCGGCTGCCAGGCAGGATACGCCCACATTTTCGAGAGATGGATAGAGAACAAGCTAACAAGAAAGTGATTTTTCCTACAATCAAGGGCCATAATTCAGGAAATTACAATTCGATATGCGCAAATATTGAAAGGAATTGAGATCTTTGTGTTATAAACTTACATTTCAAGTTTCAACAAAATCGGATAAAAATTGTGATCTCTATAGGGTCCACAACCTTGATATACCATATTTTTACGCTATTTGAGAACGAACGGCAGCCATTTTGTCTGTCAATTTTGGGCCGATTTTCACGAAATTCGAACTCAGTCGTCCTTAGGGTGTAACGGTGATATAATAATACGTTTTTTTTTAAATCGGATAAAAATTATGACCTCTATAGGGTCCACAAGCTAAAAACGTGATTTTTTGTACAATCAGGGGCCATAATTCAGGAAGTTACGGTCCGATATGCGCGAATATCGAATGGGACCGAGCTCATTGGGTTATAAACTTACATTTCAAGTTTCAACAAAATCGGATAAAAATTGTGACCTCTATAGGGTCCACAAGCTAAAGACGTGATTTTTCGTACAAACAGGGGCCATAATCCATGAAGTTTAGATCCGATACATGCCAATATCGACAGCAGCCGAGATCTTTTGGAGATAAACCTATATTTCAAGTTTCGTCAAAATCGGATAAGAATTGTGACCTGTAGAGTGTCCACAAACAAATTGTGGACGGACAGGGGCGACGGCATAATACATCCACATGAAAATGTGGGCATATAAAAAAATCTTTTAAGGGCATTTCTGCATTTTAATTTCAGGTAATGGATGAAGCTAAAGATAGCGTAACATCAATACAAGTATCAGATCATGAGATATTGTCAGGATCAGCAGACAATCATGTGAGAAGATACGATCTACGAATAGGTCGACTGATGTCAGATTATATAGGAAGTATGGCATTGTTTAACAGTTACATGTCTGAATGGTCTTAAACTACAGGACTGAATAAAATATTACAAGTTTTTCAGAGATAAATATTTTTTACATTTAGATATTTGAGGATGTAAATATACAAAAGAAACTCTGATAAAAACTTTAAATTAATTACTTTTTAACTCTTAGAATTGTATATTAATTATATTATATGTATGATCTACCTTTTAGAACCTGTTACCAGTGTTACATTTACTAGAGATGGTCAATGTATTTTAGTTAGTTCTTTAGATGATACATTACGACTGATTGATAAAGATACAGGAGAACTTCTTAACGAGTATGTATCATGGTTGTATTTAAAGTTTTTAATCAGTCTATTCATTTTTATTTAAAACCGTTTATTCCTTTATTTAAATGAATTATAATATTGTCGAGTGATGATGTTCCTAAACATTTGGAGTGCGGCATGTCAACAAAGGTTTTATGAACCTCGTAAATGCAAAAACCTAATAATCTTAGGTATATAGATTCTAGCGAAACTCTGCCGCCCTGAATGCCATAGGTAATAAAATAGCCAATTTAAAATGAAAAATAAAACAAACTTAATTTTCTGAAGTTGTCTCAACCGACTATATAACTTTAATTCAGCCTGGTTAACATCAGATTGTTCAGGCCATTATTATTGATAGATGTATAGAGAATGACATGTGTATTGCTATTTATAAACGAATACAAGCTTCTGCTGATAATACAAAATGCTGTTGTGTCATGTTATAACTTTAAGATATGATTGTCATTTGAAATTGAACATTCACTGAAGTATTAGTTCAACTGGGGCACATTGATGGTAAGTGTTCTTGTAAGAATGTTCCAAGATTTCGACATTGAATCAAATGTTTAATTTAATTATAGATATAAAGGTCATAAAAACAGTGAATATAAAATTGATGGCTGTTTAAACAGTAAAGATACTCATATATTAACAGGATCTGAAAATGGTTTAGTTTGTATTTGGGATCTTGTAGATGTAAGTATCATTGCTTTGGGTTTTTTTTTTCAATGGTTATGTTTGTTAAGTATTAGGTAATGAGATGCAGAATAAAGTTTATATTTGACTGAAAAAGAGAATAAATCATATAAATTTATTTCTGTCCTTAAAATTCTCCCACAAGACATCACTGAATGAGTGAATGTATGAAAAAATCAAATGGTGTGCAATAATGAATTATCTCCCTTTAGTCTTCAAATATCTTTTGTATGGTCGAAATAAAATGTGGTTTAACATCCTACTGTTCTGCTCAGACTGGGCTAATGAAGACAGGCATATGCCATACAGTGTGCTATGACGGAAATTTTGCTCAGTCACTGGGGCTATGACCTACTCTTATATCGAATTCCAACTGTCTTTTATGTGCATGTGGGAGCCACGGTGGCTAGGTGGGTAAGGCGCTGGCTCCCGATTTTTCGACGTGGTTTCCCCTTGTCAGTGATGCAGGACGGAGGGCCTGACAAGGACAGCTGTCTAGTCCTTCGGATGAGACGAAAAACCGAGGTCCCATGTAAACATTGGAATGCACGTAAAAAACCCCTTGGCAGTTGGAATTCGATATAAGAGTAGGCGATAGTGCCACTGCCTGGGCAAAATTTCCCTCATAGCACACTGTTTGGCGTATGCCCGTCTTCATTAGCCCAGTATAAGAGCAGAACAGTAGGTCGTTAAACCCCATTTCATTTCATTTCATTTCATTTATGTGCATGCCAATTGCCAATGTGTCCCATCTGAATGACTAGACAGCTAGCTGTCCTTGTCAGGCATTCCATCCTGCACCACTGATAAGGGCAACCCAGGCCAAAAAATCCTGATGAACATTCTCAGCCAACACCAGAAATGAAAACTCAGCATGGTTAGTCGAATGTGGGACATTAAGTAATATATTGCTATAATGTCCGAGTGTTGTTTGAATATAATACTTAATGTCTTGCTTGAGACCAATAAACAGCTTAAAATACAGACACTGTTCCGCACTTGCATTTCAAACAAATGGTCAAAGGATTCAAATATTTCATCTAGTATTAAAATAAGTTACTATTGGTAGGTTGCCCATACATCTATATTTTAAGTATGTATTGCATGGTAGAAGAATTAGAAATTACAGAAAGAGTAGCATTGATATCTTTGAGAATATTGTTTTTGAAACAATATTCATTGAGATAAATTTGTTTTATCTGATCTTTGTGTTTCCTAATTGCATTCTAAAATAATTTGGAACTCCTCGTTTTTCCTTCCTTTACACCTCTGTACATGTACATTCAAATTAATAGAACTGGTTATTGCAGGTATAATTAAAGGAAATATAACTTCAGTTTAAATCTGATTGAAAATTTGCTTTTTTAACAGTAGATTTCTATTTAAAAATTGACTCTGGAGCAAATCAAAGTATCTAGTTTTATAAAATAATCATAACCATTTAAATGGTTATATACTTCATCAATTTAGATAAATATACTTCGTAACATGCAATAATAAATACAGAACTTTGGTTCGTTTATAAGATTCCAGGGCTATTTTTTTTGTCTAAAATAAATATGATGCGTTCTGCTGTATGTAATTCTATATACAGGAAGGATTCAGCTTTTTGTATTACATTTTTTTAAAACTAAAATTTTCAGGCAAATATGGTGGAGAAATTGGATCACTCAACTACGCGTGCCATTCATTCCCTGTCTTACCATCCAAGTGATACTTGTTTATTAACAGCATCTGGTGACAAGTTTTATGTTTGGAAATCAAAATATGCACCTAGTGGAGATTGAAAGAATAAAAGCATGTCATTGATACTGAATCCTTCATAATGTAATATAAGTGGATTAGACAGCTGCTGGTACAGATGAACAGAATCATAAAAATACCCCCAAGGGAGATAACTCGTGTTGTTTCTGCTATTGCATTGGCCAAGAATGCATGTTTGAAAGTTATTTGATTCACTTTTACATGCTTTTGGTGATATTATATCCAATCAGGAGATATAGTATGAATGATACCGTTAAAAACAAAACATTCCAACCTTTTGTATTGTTCTTTGAGAGATAGTATTGCTTTGACATCTCTGAAACATCTGCTATTAACATGTAAAATGTATTATACTACTGTACAAAAGATCTTTTATATATTTTTATATTCAGATAGCTAATTGGTTCTGTCTCAAATAAAGTTCTCTTTTCGAAAAGGGATTGAACAAGATAAATTAATAAGTAATTTTCTGTCAAGTACTAGATTGAAATATGAAATGTGGTGTGTCTCTTTTTGTCAATTTCGCAAAGAAACTGGCCTTACTGCATGGTAAAATATAGCCATATGGGAAATGCAAGGGCAATAAAGTTGTAATATGTACCTTAGATAGTGGTGTGTCTCTTTTTGTCAATTTCGCAAAGAAACTGGCCTTACTGCATGGTAAAATATAGCCATATGGGAATTGCAAGGGCAATAAAGTTGTAATATGTACCTTAGATAGTTTTCTTTTCCAAAGTGGGCCAGAGTGTAATAATACTTCACAAAGCTATAATAACTAGGGGTGTTTTGAAGTGTAGGCATGGCCTATGTAGTTATTTTTCTCCCACAACAGGGTAGGCTAGGTATGTTCATGTCATTTATAATTTGAAAAAGTATTAATGACTTTGCCTACAAGAAATAAGGTCACTTTTGGTTTTGAGTTGATATAATTATGTTACATGTTGTATTATTCATACCACATATGAAGAGTTTTGTCTTGCCCAATCAGATTTTGTTCTCTTTCATTTCTATATGGTTGTCTTTCGATTGATGACAAAGAATAGATCGACTTTCTATAGTTCAATATCACTGTCCAGTGACATTTTTCAAAATAGCAAACATGATTTTTTTTTTTACTCAAGATATACATCATAATCCCCCAAATGGTATCGATTTTCTAAGAGACTATTTACTGTAAGTGCCAAAATTAAAATTTGTTGCATTCAGATTTTACTTTTCCGTCAATCTTTTCCTTCACCTCATCTTTACCCTCTCCCCAGTCCACTACACACTTATAAATGAAATGAAATGGGGATTACTACTGCTCTGCTCCGATTGCGATTATGAAGACGGGCATATGCCATACACTGTGCTATGAATGCCTATGATGGAAATTTGCCTAGACAGTGGTGCTACGGTCTACTTCTATATCGAATTCCTATATCGGCCCATCCAAACGACTAGAAGGCTGTCATTGTCAGGCCCTCCATTCTGCACCACACTGGAAAATCCCTTTAAACTTTCTTGGCCAACACCGGAAGTGAATCCAGAACCTCCAGGCTAGCAAGCCAGCATCTTACCGACCGTGGCTCCCGCTACTACAGTTATCTTCTAGCAGGCTTGGGGGATGGCAGGGATGCGTTTCCACACATATTTTGACCAAAGTTTGAATAAAGTGCACTTTTCTCCTCGCATAGTGTTCATGAGAAGATTCATTTACGTATAGGTACAATAATATTGCTTTTGATTTTCCTTATCTATTAGCTTCAATTATCAATCCAGGTTCTTCACAAATACAGCAGCATGTGGCTGACTGGATGAAAACAGTATCTCTTAGTATTGTATATTATCTATGATCAGTGCCGTATTGACCCATTTTAAGACCCCTCAACATCAACCAAGAATTTAATACAATACTGAAATGAAATAAAAATGAAATGGGGTTTAACGTCCTACTGTTCTGCTCCGACTGGGCCAATGAAGATGGGCTTACGCCATACAGTGTGCGATGCTGGAAATTTTTTCCGGGCCTCAGTTTTTTTGTCCCATCTGTCCTTGTCAGGCCCTCCGTCCTTTACAACTGACAAGGGAAAATCCTGTTGAACTTTCTCGGCCAACACCGGCACGAACCTGCGATATACAGGCTAGCAAATCAGCGTCTGACTCACTTAACCACCGTAGCTCCTATACTACAATACTATTACAAATGAAGTAATATATGGGGTAACAAAGAAAATAACATCACCTTGTCAGACAACCTTTAATTTTAATTAGCACGAAGCTGTCCATGTAATACCAAAATACCGGTACTGTACTTTAAATTTAAACATAATATAGGTCTACATAATTATGTATCAAGCTATAAAGTAATTCAACGACGCGTGTTGAGTACGTTTGCCGTATAACGCTTCAGCCTAGTCAGACTTTGGGATAATACGGCACTGTTATTAGGTGTGGTGATTTGGAAAACGTACGGGGGAATATCCCAACTGACCCAATTTACCACTGAAATTTTGATTTCATCCCATAGACTGAACAAACGCAACATCATGAATGTTATGAATGCATCTTCAATGATGACGATATTGATAATTCAAATACAATACATGAATAAATATTGTAATAAATGCCAGACATTCTACATGATGACATAGATTAAATTATATTTTATCTATCATCTGGTGTTCATTCCAGCGTTGACATTTGATAATTATTTCTGGTAATTAGTTTTAATAATGTGTATCCTTTCCAAAACGATAACACCGAAGCAATTAAGACATTGGGGAAAAGCAATCTGTTGCGCAGTTTGATGTTCACTAGAATTAATTAGTCATTTTTAAAGGTTCGAAAGACGAGATTGTGTATAATTTGATCAGTAAGACCCCGATGGGCTGTTATCATGGTTGAGCCCAAGTTTCACAACGTTCTTATTATCTTCTATCTTTCTATATAGGCGAGTTTATTTCCTGGGGAGACAGGAGATCAAGTTTTATTTTAAACCACATCAATGGCAGTGTATTAATTTTCCTCGCATTCTCTGAAGTGTTAACGATCGTGTTATGGCGGCCGAGGGATCAACCTTTGTTCAATATTTCAACCTTTTACAGCGGGAGGTTTTCCTTTTTCTTTTTCTTTCCCACGGAATAAAATAGTGACGCAATGTCTTCAAGATTGTAGGTTTCCTGTTACATGTCTCCAAAAGCATATCTAGAAGATTGTAATGGGCATCGTAGTTTATAAAGCAGTTGGTCCGCATTATTCGTAATCTCATATTCACATAATCTTTTTTATTATTATTTAATACATTTATATCTTTCACCGAGTTCAGATGCGCTTAACAATAACATAGTAAAATACGATTTAAGGTAAAAATGAAAAGTAATAAAAAAATAACAATCTCGTAGTTTGGGGTATTTTTATCTTCAAATATATATCTATATTAAAAAGGACACGATTTCGAAGTGTGCAGTTGCGTTTGTTTAGGGGAATCAAATTATTTTGATGCCCCCTTTTTTAGCAAACCTTACACTAATAAATGTGAATTGCAGGTGAAATTTAAAACTTTCGGAATTTAGCTTGGAATCTTCTCAGTAATTTATATTATAATATGGTATAGCTGTTAAAAGGATATAAACCTAATGAAGTGAATCAATGATAACGTCTCTGCTGGTGCCTTGTTTAGAATTTTTGCTACATATTTGTTAGTGGTTGAAGGTCGACCGATGAAGTGCTAAAGTAATTGATTTATATGTCATGTGGAGAGGTGTGTCAGTTTCTGCCGTCAAAACTGAACTGATCCATGGCGCTAAAATCGTCAAGTGGTTTAACATTAAGTCTGCCTTTGGGATAAGCGTCTTAATTATAATTTCTCACGAGAATGTCAGCACATTCTCAAAATTAATTTATCTCTCAATGTTAAGTTGATTAAGCGTAAGGTATTCGACAAATTAGACCACAGTCTAGGCTACATCAATAAGTATTCGCTTCGGAGATCAGAATCTGTCAAGTCAAGTATATAAATTTGTGCATGTATGTTTGTACATGTATGTTAAAATGACTCATCAAATATACGAAGGGATGTTCGGTGTTACTTTGGAAACGGCCTACAATGTTGCAAGTTCGACTTAAAATATTCTATAATTTCTCGTATTAATCGCACTGCATGTCCATCGAATAAGGAAGGGTTAGAAATGAAATGAAATGGGGGCTTCACGTCCTACACTGTTCTGCACCACAGTGTGCTGTGAGTGAAATTTTGCTACAGCCAACTCAATCTGTTTTACAGACCTAATGCGACAGCGGCCAAGCGAATATTCACTGCGGATCAGTGTGCAGCCAACTCTCATATTGAATTCGAACTGTCAAAGGTTCTTTTTGCGTGCATACCAATGTGTACACGGGAAGTAGGTTTTTCATCCCACCTGAACGACTATAGCGAATATTATTATTATTACAACATTAAAAAATGATATAAATTATGAAAATATCTAGATGTGATAAGAAATCGAAAACACAGAAAAGCACTAACAAATCTAAGAATAAGCGCACATAAATTGAAAATTGAAACAGGAAGGTATTTAAAATTAGACGTAAACGATCGTTTGTGTAATATATGTCAGGAGGTAGAAGACGAAATTCATTTGATAAACAAATTGTAAAAGACACGACGAAAAAAGAAAAGAACTGTTCAGATTAATTCTGTTTCGTGAACCAAATTTTTATAAACTGAATGATTTACAACAATTTAAAATACTGATGATGAATAAAAATATAGAAATTTTAAAATGTTTAGGAGCTTTTGTATGCAATTCGTTCATGTCCTTGTAAAGTTGTGTATCTTTGTATAATTATGTCCATGTATGTATCCTTTGTTTGTTTCATGTATATTTTTATTATTTTATTTATATATATATACACATAACCTTGTAAGGTTTTTTTTATGCAATAAAGTTTCTTCTTCTTCTATAGTGCGCCCTTTCATATAACATATTCAGGGGCACTTTACAAAGTGACAATGTAATCATAAATATAAACAACAAGATTATGGACATTTTAACGATTGTATACAGAGACTGTTAAAAGCCTAATTAAATAAACATTATGCAAGAGCTAAATATGCCTTTGCAGGTCTTTCTTTAGGCCTGAAATGTTTTCTAAATTATTAATTAGACATTAATTATTAACTTATCCAGGCCATAATCAACTCTCGATGGCATCGGATTTCTCCGATATCAAATAGATTAGAACAGTTCAGCCATATTTTGATTTAAGCTAAAAATGGAGGGGCGAGACTTAGCTTCGAACACCCAGTACGGTGGTTGAGATTATTGCACACGTCTTGTTAAACCTTCAAAGACTAATATCTTCGCTTAATAGAGTAATTATTTTCGAACTATTATAGCAAAAATGGCTAGCTCTTTATCTAAATCTTACATAATGAATTTTTAAGTTGTTTTTTAAAAGAATATAGAGAGATGTACAACATCTTTAACATACATTATGCAAGATCTAAATCTGCCTATTGTTGATTTTCCTTTAAGCCCAGAAAGCTATATAAATTATTAATAAGACCTTATATTAATAATCAACTCTCGATGTCATGGATAGCCTGCGATTTTTAGCGGATTGGAATACATTTTTTGAAAAATAATTAAACGTAAAAGTGGATAATCGAGGCTTTGTTTTTTTATCGTGCTGACTTTAGTAATGATGATCGAGGCTAGCTTAAAATTCAAAAGCTAATATCTCGGTTCAGAGTGCCCCCGGGCAGTTTGAAATTTGCGCTCTGTTGTTATCTCTATGTCCATCAAATAATAACGTTTATGTAAATGACGTACCGTGTCCTGATGTATATGTATGAAATATTAAATCATAAATAATTGTTAATATTTGATGGCTACAGAGATAACAACAGAACGCAAATTGCTAACGCCTAATTCTCAATACTTAAATATTTCAGATTCGTCGTTTCGCCAGACAAGCAACTATTAGCTTTAAAGGTATTCACTGCTAATCAGTGTGGGTGGGTACCTCCAGGTAAAGTCAAACTCAGCCCGCCGCCGTACGTGCTACTACATGTAGTCTACTGGGGAAATTTTTTTAGTAAACCCGCGAGACTTACGCATCACTTGCGTATGTTCGGCATTTTCACCCGGTTTCTTGCGGTTGCTCTGCGAGCTACCAAACCCTGTCAAAACGCGTACGGCGGGTTGTTAGCGATAGGTTTTAGCAAGCCAACGTCTTACTCACTGAACCACCGTGGCTCCCACGAAGTGTACGTGTAAAACGTTGTTTTTCAAGAGATAACTGCAAGATCTACAAAAAACGGTTCGTGGAAACGTTTGTGTAATAAATATTGGTCAAATACGTCTAGCATTTTAATCATTGAATTGATCCGCAGTTGAATAGAATTAATCTAGAAAAAAACAGTTCTTATTTCAGCATAAATGTTATCGCTTCTTTCTCAATATCGTTGTCATTATAGATTTGTTGCAAGATGCTTTAAATAAACAAAAATTCCGCGAAAAAGAATGATTAGACGACAATAATATTAGCCCTGTTAAAGGGTATTTGCATCTATAACATATAACTGAATTATACACCTCATATATACATGTATATTCCAAATGATGATAATATAATATATTTACATATCATAATCATATATTAAAAACCAATCTCACTATATAATACACACGGCGCGGATATTGTTGATATTGCAGTTTTCATTTAGACCAAATCGGTACAAGATATAAGGCAAGGTTAATATAGGCGCACACTTCGTTTTCTTGTTATATATATGTTGTCAGGTTAGCTGTTCAGAAAATGCCAAAAATCTTATTATTTTCGGTGAATAATTTGTAGCATGCTATATATTGATATAGCTGTAATGAAGTAGATGTGTTATAGATATAGGGTATTGTATGATAGACGGTACATCTGACATGTGTTTTCCCCGTCGAAATTAAAAACAAATCCTTGTGTACCGAAATTCACAGATTTGTGTAAGATTAATTAATGATAAAACTACCATGCTGGAAATAAAAGATCATCACCTCATAGGCATTCCACATACTCGCCAGGAACGCTGTCGTATACATCTATATAATATTTTTATGCAGATGACAAACAACATTTTAATGCTCCCATAAACATATTTGCATACTTTAGTTTTAAGATCATTAAATATAGTAAAAAAAAAAGATTAAGAGGTATTAAGGTTGTTGAACATATGTAAAAAGAAATTTATCTTCCATAGTAATAGCAATAATATAGTTCGTATTTTCTATGCTAATATGTTTTAAAAGTCGCTGATCGTCATTTGCATTTTACGAACAATATTTCTTTTTTCACGGCCTAATAATTAAAGGAGGCAAGTCTTTAACTCAATATCATCCATAGTCTTCGACATTGCAAACACGACTTGTTGGTCAATTTAAATCAACATTGGTGTTGTTATTTTACCGTGAAAAGATGGGCTTCTGATATTGATTATTTAAGACAAAATGACAATTTAAAAATTGGCACACGAATCGCGCGCAGAATGCTTCCGAGCGCCATTTGTAATGAAACGACTCGATGAACGAGGTTAAACATATTCCACAGGGGAGAACACTACCAGTGTAAACTGGAATAACCAGCCGCTAAAGACTGCCTTTCAATTTCGCCGGACATAACTGATTAGAAATTACAGTAAAACAGAAACGGTTGAATGTAAATCAGTTTATACACATTCATATTACATTATTATTTATGAACCATGTGTGTCCATTTCTAGGTGCCAAAGAATAGATATTTAGCTCCCTTAAGCTAGGATAAAACTGTACTAAAATTGATTATTTAACTTTAACACTTAAAATTTAAGAAAACCAACGGTAGTATATCTTTGCAGTTTGGTCCATCAAAAGATTTTAGATCAGACTTATGGGTTATATAGACGAAACGGTCTCAAACCAAAACAGCAATCACAACGATCGTAATGAAATCAAATCGACCAGTTAAACATACATTATGCAAGAGCTAAATCTACCTATTGCAAGTCTTTATTTAGGCTTCAGATGTTATAGAAATGATTAATTCCATGACAAGCTCAAAATCAACTCTGTAGACTCTCGGATGGCTTGGATACAGCTTGGATTTAAACAGTCGTCCATATAAAATTAAATCAAGAAATAACCGAGCAAGCTAACGTTTACCGTTAGTCCCTGATGGCAATACCGGAAACTGTATCTTTAAATAATAGTTATTTAATACGGATCCGATAAATTTTGACCAAACTTTTAGACGATCTCAGACTTTATTCGGTAATATTAAGAGAGAGAGGGGTCATTTCGGGACTAACAGGTGGTCTATTTTATTTCAATAATTCGCTTGCGCGTAGGGGTCTTTAGCAGTGGGAGGAAACCGGAGGACCCGGAGAAATCCAACGAGGTTGGACAGGCGACCCTACTCCTTGTCACGTACAACCAGGGATTCGAAACCACACCAGTTGACTCAATGACAGGCCTTATGTTACAGCGCGCACATGCTAACCATTCAACCATCCACCCCCCCCCCCCAAAAAAAAAATATTGAGAGTAGTAAGGCCTGTTCCAAATGAACTAGCCTCCCAATCCGGGCGGGGGTGCGGGGCGGGGATGCGGTCAGGACAGTTACATTATCAACTTGTGTTGATATTTTTTGATATCAAAAAAAGACTGGTATATTATATCAGACAACGTACCGAGTAGCGGGAACGGTAGGGTGTAGAGGGCGGGGGCACCACTTTACTCCACAAATAATTTCGTCAATTGTCTTTATTTCAACACTCATGTTTCCATATATCCGTTTCCGTTAACAATAATTACAATAATTTATAAGCATACGACTTCTAATAAACTGAAATGATATATCAATAGATGGTATAATTAACTGACAAATTGCATTGTATATTTATGTTTAGGCTAAGAATATTTTTGAAGCCACCTTTTTACGTCAAGTAAACTTAAAGGAGCTAAATCGCTAACATTTGGGACCTAGAAATTGACAAAAGTGAGTCGCAACGCATATAATACTGTAATATGAATGTATATAAACTGATTTACATTCAATGGTTTCCGTTTTTACTCCAATTTCAAATCAGTTATGTTCGGCAAAATAAGCCAGCAGTCTCAAGCGATTGCCAATTTTTAGCGTCTGGTTATTCCAGTCTATATAGGCCGTTTGATTTGGTGCAATGTGTCTAGCCTCGTCCCTCGAGTCTCTTGATACAACTGGGGCTGAAGCGCATTATGGTACACGATTCGTGTACCAATGGTAAAATGTTTATTTTGTCCTAATTATTGGACACCAAAAGCCCATCTTTTTCCGGTAAGATCACAACATAAATGTTGATTTAATTTGACAAATAAACCGTGTTTTCAATGTTGAAGATTTTGGATGATATTGAGTTAGAGACTTAGCTACTTTAAAAGTTTTAACTTTAAAACTTTATTTATTTCAATCTGGTCATTCGTGTAATTATATTTTAACATGTCAGATTAGGCGTATAGGTTCTATATTTGGATCTAGGAGCGTTCAAAAAGTGAACACAGATGAACACGTAAATGGGAGAGAGAGAGAGAGAGAGAGAGAGAGAGAGAGAGAGAGAGAGAAATGGGGTTTAACGTCCACTCGACACAAACTAGGTCATTTCGGGACTAACATATGGTTTAATTTTATTTACATAATTCGCTTGCGCGTAGGGGTCTTTAGCAGTGGGGGGAAACCGGAGGACCCGGAGAAAACCCACGAGGTTGGACAGGCGACCCTACTCCTTGCCGCGTACAACCGGGGATTCGAAACCACGCCAGTCGACTCAATGACAGACTTTATGATACAACGCGCGCACGCTAACCAATCAGCCATCCAACTCCCCCCCCCCCCCCACGTAAATGGATTTTGATAATCGAACCACAGGTTCTCTGTTAAACCCAAGAAACTAAAACAATTTACGTTTGTGATTTTTTATATTCTCTGTTATAATTGCAGATTTTATTGAAAAAGAAAAACATTGATCAGCGAATAATAATTTGATATCGCCCACCCACATTGAACACATTGTTGTACAAAGTTACAACCTAAACTTTAACACGTTCTAAATTAAATAACGTTAATGCGTATTAGACAATAATAAAATTGGTCGTAATAGTATAGTAAATAAGCACACACCGTTTGCAAATGACATACTTTTATAACGGTAATATAACTGTTCACGATGACAGACAACACGCGGGTTTGTTATGCGCAATGAATACAGGGATATATACCGCTCGCGCAGGTCTGTCTTAAATCTCGCCTGCCTTTAGAAGTTCAGAGAAGAGTGACATCAAAACGGGAACTGTATGATATCCCTGGTTATCAATGGCGTTTTAGAATCGCGGAATTAATGAGTGGTGATTTTTTATATTATTTGAATTATTAATGATAAATTTGCTGTGAAAAGTGAACCTTTATTAGTTGAAGGAGTCGCAGTACATCGACTGACACAGTACACGACAAATGGTGACGATATGACACAAGTTCGAGGTCACTGACACTCGAGAATAGTGTCAGTTTTCCAGCATGTTTAAGGTGTAAATGGACCAGTAACAAGATGTCAATGATATCCAGATATAAGAAGGATAGGTAATCCTATTGTCAGAGAATATGGAGATCTATCGGAGTATATTTATGGCCTTTATTGGGATACTGTTAACTGAAACACCTGTTGGATGTGATAGCGACTCAGGTAAGTCAAGTTGAGACTGTTAACTTTTGGGTGACTCTGAAGTTATTTTTACCGTAACACAGACTTTGGATTGAAGAATTTACGTGTTCGTATTGTATACCTCTAGTCAGATTTTATTTTAATATATAAGTCGTTTTACTTTTCTAAAATCTCAAAGCGTCGGCGTACGACACATTCCCCTGATATTACAATCTTTTCTCAAGATGTCAAACGGAAAAAAAAACCGTGTGATCTTCTTTACCTACTGGTTATTTGACCAAGGTTTAGATAAGTTTTGGGGAGTCGTGTTTATTTGCAAACAACAGTTTATTTGTTATTTAAGATCTCAAGCTTTAGCATGTATGCTTTACAAGGTATACTTGTTTATCAGTTCAAAGGGAATATGTGAAAGAAGAGACGACCTATGTGGTCGTACCTTTAGCTAGTGGGTATCACCAGAAGACAGTTGGGGACTATCCTTAGAATTAGGTCATACAGCACCGTGTGACAGCAACTCAAGTTATAACTGTAGTCGTTTGATCTCCCAGCGTGATTTATCATAGACCACACATTCTGCTACTGTGTGTTATTCTTTATACATTCTTTATGCCCTGTTTCAGTTTATTAATCTGCTTTGGAAAATAGATTTTAACAATTTTTTTTACTTTAATTCATTCAAGCCCTTTGATGTTCTTAAAAGATTTACAGTGAGCTTACACATTTAATATTTACTTACATACCTGTGTACCTTTATAGGTTATATAGAAGTTTAACTGCTTTTAGAAATATGCTAAAATTACATAATTATCCACAGAAAATATGGCGATTTATTAATTGTAAAGCAATGATTATTGAATTCCATCCATTTATTATTTGGTTTAAATTTATCTAATGCCTTTGGCATTTTCATTCATTCATTCATTCATTCATTTGAGAGGAAAGCTAGCCTTATACACACATTTTTAAAATTAAATCTTAAGGTCGACATAAAAAATTTGTTGTTTTCCAGCGATGGGCTTGTATAAAAATGCCAGGTCTTGTGATTGCAAGTGGATATAAATTATGTTTTGCTCCTCTCGAGCATAGTAAACAATAATCTTGAATTACATTGTACATGTGTATGTATGCAAGTGTGTTGTACAAATGTATAACCTTTTTTACACCTACATGTAAATAATATGCTTGTTATTACATAGATTAAAATAAAAAGATATTTAATATTTTATTGTCTGACAACAGATTGCTATAAATTAACTTTACCATCTTACATCTACATGATATAACATAACTCTATCAGTCAGCCAGTTCACTGCTATTTATTTCACCACAGGCATAGTAAGATTTCTCTTGATTTATGACTTGTTCATTTGTAATTGGTTCAAGACGGTTGGTCTACATTTTTGGAATGATTTTTTAAAGGGCTAATCTATCTGTGTGATGCACCATAATGATAAAATGAATAAAATCTAATATTGACTAAAAATGAAATGATAAAATAAATAACTGTAGTTTTTATCCAAATAGATACAGAATGACCATAGCTTGAGAGTGGGAGGGGTTTAAATTGAATTTGACACAAACTAGGTAATTTTGGGACTAATTAAGATGGTACAATGCTATTTCAATAATTCACCTGTATGTAGTAGTCTTCTTAAAAGCATTTGTAGGAAACCGGAGGACTTAGAAAAAGCCACAAAGTTGGGTGGGCAACACTACTTCTTGGCACATATAAGCTTGGGATTGAAAACTATCCACTTGACTCAATGAAAGACCTTACGATCTAAAGCGCACACGTTACACCACTTGATTGCTTGCTTTTTGACTTCAATAGACAGCCAATATCTAACATATTTTAAAGATGCATTATGTAAGAATTAGATAAAGAGCTGGCTGTTCTTGCTATAATAGTATAAAGATAGATAATAATGAATGCATTAAAATTCTACTTTATTCTGTGCGAAGTTATGTTTAAAGCCTTGACAAATTTAGTGTAGATTGTTTATTATCATAGCAACAGTACTTGGACTTGTTTATTATCGTAGCAGGGAGCCATGGTGGCTAAGTGGGTAAGATGCTGGCTCGCTAGCCTGGAGGTCGGGTGTTCGATCCCTGCATTGGCCAAGAAAGTTCATCGGGATTTTCCGACGTGGTTTCCCCTTGTCAGTGGTGCAGGACGGATTGCCTGACAAGGACAGCTGTCTAGTCGTTAGGATGGGACGAAAAACCAAGGTCCCTTGTATACATTGGCATGCACATAAAAGATCCCTTGGCATTTGGAATTCAATAAAAGAGTAGGCCATAGTGTCATTGCTTGGGCAAAATTTCCCTGATAGCACACTGTATGGCGTATGCCTGTCTTCATTATCCCTGTCGGAGCAGAACAGTAGGACGTTAAAGACCATTTCATTTCATTTCATTTATTATTGTGGCTCACTAGCCTGGAGGTCGTGGGTTCGATCCTGGTGTTGGCTGATAATGTTTATCAGGATTTTCCGGCATCGTTTCCAAATTTCCCTCATAGCACACTGTATGGCGTTTCCCTGTCTTCATTTGCCCAGTCGAAGCAGAGCAGTAGGACTTTAAACTCCATTTCATTTCATTTATTATCGTATCAACTAAGTCTTGATTATTTATTTTATTGTTAAACTCTTAAATGGCAATGTTGAACTAATCTTCAGAGCCATCCTATGCCAGAGAGCTGATTATCTACTTGTGTATAGCTTTTGAAGCCCGTCAAAAAGACCTACAATAGTCAGATTTAGCTCTTACATAATGCCTCCTTAAAGGGACAATAACACTCTTGCTGGCTTGAAAGCTCCAGAAAATAAATAATATCTCTATCTAAGTACTAGATGTTTAAGTGTCCTACCTGTTGTGTAAATTATCCATTACATCCTATTTTACTTGTCCAGAGGGTTCGAAAATATTTTTAAATCGAAGTTTCATTTGAAAAGGTTTACGTTAGACGTTTCAAACCATTATGTTGAATTTTTCAAAATTTTTAAATAAGGAGTGTTAAGATGAAATTTGTATCATCAATTAATTGAAATATTTTAAAATAGTACAATTTGTTGACCAAAATAAAGATTGGGACATATTATTCAGTTACAACAAGAGTGGTATTGAGCCTTTAAGCAAACCCTAAAAAAGTAAGAAAATAAACGATATATCATTGAACCACATAGATTGTTTAATGATTTGTCTGAAAAGTACATGCGGTCATGTTATGAGTGATTCATCCAGCCCTAATATTAAGTGCAGGAGGACCGAAATACACACAAACAGAACCGAAAAAACTAACCTGCAGACAAGACACAACTACACACACATTGCAATGAGCAATAAACAGAAAAATATCAAACCAAGTGAATGGATCTGGGGTGCCAACCATAAGAATCTACTGCTATGTACAATCTCAGACTTGTAATGATACAGACTTCATTCAAGATGAAAAACAAAACAATATTTACAAGAAAGACACAATAATGTGACTGGTATTGACAGTGGTCTTCTAATCTTAATGGAAAATGACCTCTACTTCCTTTCTAGTTTTCCTGTCCACCTGCCCCTGCTTGATGTTCGAAATATATTCAAACAATATGAACGAATTATCATTAGGTCTTGGCTATGATTCTAACAGAAAGTATAGAACACGACATGAAATCAGTAGGAAGTAATGGAAAATTTAGATGGCCATACCTGAACCAATATGCTTTTTGGTTAAAATTGAAATGGGATTTAACAGGCACTGACCGAGCTAACGAAGACAGGCATATATTAAGTATATAGTGTTGGATGTGGGAAATTTTATTTCAATTTACAACTGAAAAGGAATCTTTAAGGTGCTGTCAATGGTATACACAGGACCTTAGTATTTCATCAGGTTCAAATCCAGTACCTCTCATACTCACTGAGCCACTGTGGTTCCCTGTTTGGCAAGACTTCTTTTTGTTGTGTGTGGTCTGAAAGCCTATTTTTAGTCTGGAATATTGTCACTTTAAAATGTGCAGAAAAAAATGTATTTAAGAACTACCCCCATCATGTAACCAGTTCTATTACTTGTGTACAAGTAAATGTCTGAAATATAAATAAGATTCAAACTACAATATTCGTAATATTAATGTATATGTGTATCTAGATGGTGATATACAAGATGCAAAATTCAAATACTCTTATATTAGCTTATCTGATTTATACACATTTATTTGGTATAAGATTAGATTAAAATAGATTTGAAGTGAATTTGGAATAGATAGATAAGGGTATATGTGTATATATAAAGATGATGACATGAATGTGCACTCATACTGCAATAAATTAACACAGATTTAAACTACATCTAGTTATAAATAATGACACACTGAACTTTAAATATAGAGTATATATATATGGATGCTATAAAAATCTCTTTTATTTAAAGTTATATTCATTTGGCTCATTTTAGAGTACATCCAGTGAACAGAGATTTTGGAGGGGTTTGATGTTGAGTCATTGAAATGTGGTGTAGTGTCCTACCAACAGGGCTAATATTTTTTTTATTGTCCCCCGCCTTTCGAAGAAAGCAGGGGACTATTAAAATGGGTTCGTCCGTCTGTCTGTCTCTCCGTCTGTCTGTCACACTCTTTGGAACACAATAACTCTCCTTCTAATTGAGCTAGAATGTTCAAACTTGGTGTAGGTGTTTATTAGTTCAATGCCTTGATGGAGTGTGAAGATGAGCATTTTCTGCTTAGAGTAAGTAGAGATAAGCAATTTGATTGGTTGATGCTTTGGGACACGATAACTTTAGTTCCAATTAAGTGACAGTGATCAAACTGGGTGTATAGTTTCATTACATCAATACCTTGACTAAGTTTGATGATAAGCATTTTCTGCTCAGGGCAAGCAGAGCGATAAGCAATTTGATTGGCCGAGACTTTGGAACACAATAACTCTCCATCTAATTAAGCTAGAATGTACAAACTTGGTGTAGATGTTTATGAGGTCAATGCCTTGATGGAGTGCGAAGATGAGCATTTTCT